AATTCATGTACGTTGTCGCTTGCTTCTCCAAAGGGTTTGATTCAATCAAAAGTGACTTGACGAGCTTTTCTCGGTTTTCATTTCTATTGAAAAATCTTTCAAGTAAAAGAAGCTGTAATCGGGGAAATTTTCGAGAAACGATAAGCTTATGATTTCCATATTGAGAATGAGCAAAAATATATTATTTGAATTGAAATTTATTGATATGAAATTAATATCTTTCTAGATCCGCTCAAAAAAGTTTCCGAAATTTCATTTTAAAACTTAATTTTTTTAAATTCTCAAAAGCTCTTCGACATTCCATTCTGAGCTAAATTTTTTGTGTATAAAAGGATGAATTTTTGATGGAAAAGTCTCAGTTTAATTATTATTGGAAGAACTTTTTGTACCTCTCGCAGTTGTCGTTGCTGCTGGTGAGTAAATATAATTTTTTTTGTAAATTAAATAAATAATCATTTTTTAATCTTTCTCGTAGATGCAAGAGAAGTGTGCGTTCTTACCCATGTGCTTCATTTGTAGCAGCTGTTGGTTCAATTTGGCAAGAAGCGTCTGACGCTTTCAACGAACTCGATCCTCCATGCAGGATCGAATTAGAAGCTTTGTCATTCTGCACTTATGAAGAATTTAATAACGTTGAATGTTTTTATCAGCAATGCTTGGTTCCTTTTTATTCACTCTGAACAAATGCAACCGCTGATCTTACATACAGAATTATTAACATGTATGTCTCATAATTTATGATCAAAAGAAGACGAAAAATTATTTCAATTTTCATACCTGGCATTAAAGTTTGCTTTTTTAATTTAAGAAGCAACTCATGCAAAATTGAAGACTCTAATTAAATATGTTTGAAGTCTTATTTCTATTTGAAAGTGAAAACATTTGATCAGCAACTTCATTCTATTTTCTTTATTCTTTCTATTCATTGAATTTATCATTTTTGTGAACTCCTGAAATATTTTCATTCTCTACTTGGTTCAATTCTTTTAGTTTTGCATCAAAAAATGCTTTTCGAAGAGTCAAAGGAAGCCGTTTTCGACGAATAATGAAAGATTCATTTCCTAATGCCGTATATTCACTGTCATCATTTGTTAAATCTCGTATGGCAATGTTTTTATTTAGTAATTTCGCATAGAATCTAACACCAGCTTCAATAAATCCTTTGCCAAGAGCTGCCAACCTTTGATCTGTATTTCCATCAGCAGAGACCTAAAATAAAAATAAAGCAAATAAATCTATTCAATAAACTGTTAACATTGAATAAAGTTACTTGTGTGTAATCATTCAAAAATGAGTAAATTCCGAAACAAAATAATCCAACAATCATGTAGAAAGAAAGACGAAAACTCAAAGGACGAATGAAAAGATTAAATTTTGTATTAATTCCACTTGNGGTGAGTAAATATAATTTTTTTTGTAAATTAAATAAATAATCATTTTTTAATCTTTCTCGTAGATGCAAGAGAGGTGTGGGTTCTGACCCATGTGCTTCATTTGTAGTAGCTGCTGGTAAAACTTGGCAGAAAGCGTCTGGCGCTTTGAACGAACTCGATCCTCCATGCATGGTCGAATTAGAAGCTTTTTCATTCTGCACTTATTAAGAATTTGATATGTAACTTTGAATGTTTTTATCAGCAAAGCGAATGCTTGGTTTCTTTTTATTTACTCTTAACAAATGCAACCGCTGATCCTACAAATAGAATTATTACCATGTATGTTTTATAATTAATGATCAAAAGAAGACGTTAAAATTATATAATTTTTCATACCTTGTGCATTTTAGTTAGGTATTTTATCGAAAAAAAAGTCATTAAAAATTATTTAAGAAAAATTAAGATAAAAATTTGTTTTATTCCCTGGTAGTTTGCATACTCTGTATATGTAGTGCGACACAGATATAAGGGTAAGTAAAGTAAATATTGAGCCTTCATCAGAATTATTTGTCAACGACGACATTAAAAAAGGAAATTAAATATTTATGGAAATAATAAAAGTGAAAACATTTGATCAGCAACTTCATTCTATTTTCTTTATTCTTTCTATTCATTGAATTCATCATTTTTGTGAACTCCTGAAATATTTTCATTCTCTACTTGGTTCAATTCTTTTAGTTTTGCATCAAAAAATGCTTTTCGAAGAGTCAAAGGAAGCCGTTTTCGACGAATAATGAAAGATTCATTTCCTAATGCCGTATATTCACTGTCATCATTTGTTAAATCTCGTATGGCAATGTTTTTATTTAGTAATTTCGCATAGAATCTAACACCAGCTTCAATAAATCCTTTGCCAAGAGCTGCCAACCTTTGATCTGTATTTCCATCAGCAGAGACCTAAAATAAAAATAAAGCAAATAAATCTATTCAATAAACTGTTAACATTGAATAAAGTTACTTGTGTGTAATCATTCAAAAATGAGTAAATTCCGAAACAAAATAATCCAACAATCATGTAGAAAGAAAGACGAAAACTCAAAGGACGAATGAAAAGATTAAATTTTGTATTAATTCCACTTGACAAAATGTAATAAAGAGCGATTGCTCCCGTTGGATAAATTGACTTTAACAAGATTTTATCATCTTGCAACTGAATCATTTCACGCACAAGCGCGAAAATTTGTTCATCTTCGGTTAACACTAAACTTTGCTCTAAACGTTTTCCACCATTCGAGTTCCAATCAATAGATTTTCCACGAATCATTATGTTAGCTTTATCGATTTCACATGGCTCTGTGTATGAGAAGTTAGTTGGAATTCCAGTTAATGCTCCAAACCGAACTTTAAGACTTCCAATATGGACAGTATCGAAGCCGGTAACCATGAAAGGACTCATATGATTCTTTTCATAATCTGATAGCTTCAGTATATCCTGTGCTATCTCGAAACGTTTCATGATTGCGTCCGGAACTCGTTTCTCAATTCCATCTTTGTAACAAGCAACAAATTCTCGATAATTCTGAGAGAAAAATGTATGAGGGAAATATTTTACAGCAAATGCTCCAAGTGCTACAAATCCCGTTGAATATAATGAAAATTGTTTTCCCGTTGTACTTGCAAAGAAGTTATAAATACGACTTTGAGATGACATTGCTTCTATATGGAGTTTTTCTTAAATTTTAAATGATTTCAATGCTTTAGTTTATGTTGAATGTTTTCGCCTCTGAAATTAACAATAATGAGCAATCAACTTTTTGCTTCTTATTTTGCATCTTCATTCATCGTCTCATTCTTTTGCCTCTGTTTACAAAAATAATATTCATCAATATTCTTAAAAACTTCTTAAAAATAAAAAACAAATAATAAACTGAACATTTACAAGTTACAAAAAAAGTTATCGAAAAATGTTTCAATTCTCAACAGATCAAAGAAGAAACTCAAAAATATTTTACTTGATCAAATGCTTTTAACGTGAACGAATCAACCCTTTTACATTTTGAAAACTGCTACCTAGCGCAAAACAATGAATGCCGACGAGCTAAAATCATTAGAAGAAAAGTCAGAGAGCCAGAGTAAGACCTTTGTAGAGTCCAAGTTAATCAAAAATACGATTTGCCATTATTGTGACAAGATTTTTTTGAAAAATTCTGACTTACAACGTCATATATTAAGTCATACAAATGAAAGAAATTTTAAGTGTCTCGAAATTGGTTGCAACAAAAATTTTAAATTAAAAAATACTCTTGAAAGACATGCGAAAACACACCAAAAACATGTTTTCTCATGTAACGTATGTTTAAGTACTTATAGTTCTTTTAAAGCATTAGAATATCACAAGAAAGTTCATTCAAGTGTTCACATATTCCAACTCTTCAACATTGATATCGAAAGTGAAACTAAAGTAACGAAAGAGATGACATATCCTGCTACTCAACATTCTACGAATAATTTATCAAAATCAGAACACGTTCATGAAAAAGTACGAGAAGTAATCGTAGACATTGATATGTCTACAAATATTCCATTAAAGATAATGAAAAAATTTTTTTGTGAAATTTGTGGTAAAAGCTTCACAAAGCCAGTTGATTATCGACGACATTCAGACGCTGTTCATAACAAAAAACGACCATTCTCATGCTCGATCAATAACTGCAACAAATCGTTTTCACTCAAATGCACTCTTCAGCGACACATGAAAACTCACGAATTCTCCCGAAAATTACTAATTTGTGACATTTGTAAGAAGCCGCTCCGTGCAAAATGTAGTTTAAAACTTCATAAACTTCTTCACGACAACATCAAACCACATAAGTGCAATGAATGTGGTTTAAAATTTAGAACGCCTGGAAACATGAAAAAACATTTTGAAATTCATAAAATTAAAACATTAGACTGATCAAATTGTAATGATTTGCAATATGTAATTTTATTTTTTCCTTTTTTTCCATTTAATAAAATATGTACCTGTATGATAAAGCAAAAACTCTTTGTATAATGGTTATAATTATGGCTCAAAACTTTTCAGAAAAGTTTCAGAAAAGTCGTGAAAATGTAAAATAGCGATGAAAATTTAAAATTTATTATACTATATTTAATCTGATGCTGTGGTAGGCGTCTTTGGCGTGGATGGTTTTGGATGAGATGGATGAGATGGATGGAGATGGAGTGGATGGGCATGGATGGCGTAGATGGGCATGGATGGCGTGGATGGACGCGGATGGGCTTGGATGAAGTTGATAACCTACACACAACGTTCATCAACGCCCATCTATGTGCGAATCGCATTTGTTTTTAACAAGGTTTTTAACTTACCCTGCACCATTTGGCCCTAACTTTTGTCGCTAACTTCTGCGCTGTTTCTTATCTTACTTTTACTGAAAATTTGACATTAAAATCTTCTTGTGCAGTTCGAGAAATAAATATATCTATCTATCAAAATCTATACATTTGAACGCTTTTTATATCTTTAAATAATTTCCTTGAACATTTCAAAGGTTTACAATAACATTTGTGTTGATTTCACTTGAGTTTGAATTTATTCGAACATGAGCAGGGCTGCAAGCTTTTTCCAAATAGCATCAAAGAAGACAGAAGAAAAATGTGAATCATCAACACGAGAAGAAGCTTGTCGCCAAAGCTTTGGGTGAAGAGTTTTTTCTATTGAAAATACAGCATGCGCATGGAACAAAAATTTCATACAATAAGTTCCTGAATATTCAGAATCACAATCGTCAGTCTAAAGATCGTTTTGGATTTGATAAGATGAGGCAGAATAAGGATCCACTTCCAACATCAACAAAGTTTTGTTTTTTATTTGATTTAAAACCATCAGTAGGATACTACATAAACGTCGAATACATTGTTTGGATTCTTCTGATGTTATCTTCAATTAACTTGGAAATTGAGTGCATTGAAAAAAAGGATTTACTGGAGTTTGAAAATGTTTTAAGACAAGATTTATATTATACAATAATTTTTGGTAAAGCTGAGCCAATTCCACATGAAAATGCGAGATGTAAGCAAAAGTGTATTTAAAATTAGCATTAACGGTTCATAGAATTTTTATTTGATTACAGCTTCAGTAATTTTTCTTAACACCGTGCTTGTCGTTGTATTCCTTTTATATTTCTTATTTACGCCGTTTCTGCTGGTCGGAATATTACGGGTGAGTGATTTACTCAAAGTTAAGATGCCAGATAATTTAAATAAAGTATTCATTATATTTCAGTCAAGCCCAAATATGTTTATTCCATACTTGATATACGACATCATAATGATCAATTTATCGGGATGTTTCTTCATTATTGCACTAATTGTATGGAATCTTCGAATGTTCTGGATATGCTTCATATTCTTCATTCTGAAACTTAATTCATCTATTGGTGTTTTCTCTTTATATAAAGAATGTGGAGGCATTGTTAATGACGAATCAGATGTATCATTCACAAGCGGTCTAAGTACTGCAACTACGATGGAAAGTATTTGCGAAGTTGTCAACGTATAAAAATAGTGGAAAAACTTCACATGTAATAGGATAATGCAGGAAATAAGAATAAAATGTGAATGTATAATTGGATAAATCTTATTTTTCACGTGCTTTCACAGTTGTTCCTTCCATGTGACAACTCCCCAAAACCATTGCCTTCAATAAAGTATTAATTGTGATATGTTGAATGATTATGAAAACCTGACAGTAAGAAAAACGTGTATAGTTGTAAACAACCAAAAAATTTTGTGGCAGAAAGTATCAGATGAATTCTGTTGCTTCCGGTCAAACAAAAACAAATGAATACCGACTAAAAATGGACAGAGAAGAAAAACTGGGGTTGTTTTTATCCATCACGTTTTTCTTTTCTATCATCAAAATATTTCGATTTTCAGAATCAATTTTAATGAGAAAAAATGAAAAGCAACGCAGTCTATTTTTCATCCCCACTGTGCAACTGAATATTAGGGATGACAATGGAGCGAGAAAATTTCATGGCGCCAGTATGACAAAAGACAAATAAATCCTAGTAACGTGATGAAAATCTTTTATTGCTTTCCTTTCTTAGATCGAACAGAGAAGAAGATAAAAACTTTAAAAGTATTTTTTATCATTTCAATGTTTATTAAAGGATTTTTTCATTCAATAATCCAATGTATGACACTCAGAAATGTCTTTAAAGTTTAAATATCATTATTTTATGATTAGATATTTATCATACATTCTCATGTCAAATTATCAAAACGAAATGAATTAGAATAACTGAAACTTATCTCATCATATTAATTGAACCATAAACACATGTTTGAGTGAAAAAGACGACATATTATTCAGTTTTAGTAAATTATATTCACTTCTTCTTCTACATCATTTTAAATACATGCGCGGAACATTTTCCTATGTTAGCAATCTCTAAGTATACCATTGAAAGAGCAAAATTATTCTCCGTTTTAGTTGTTGTTGAGACTTTGTTGTGACAACATGAGAATGGATAATTCATCGACATCGCTTCCTCGCTTTAACAAGTGTTGCTTCTTTTTTGGATTGAGGAGTGGAGTGTTGATATTTGTGTCGATTGAAGCCTTATTTTGGGGGATTTTGTCTTTTGTCGCAGTTTATAGTGAAGTTAAGTACATTAGAAATACTGACATTCCTGAATTTACTGACGATTTGGAACGCGACTGGTATTATTATTTGATTTTTGAACACCCCAGAGACACTTTCAATGAGAGAGTACGAAGTAAGTACAACTACATTCGATACTAAACAAACCTATAAGAAGATGATTAATTGGAATATATTCCAATCTCTACTGCATGTTGATTTTGTTCTTATTTTCACATGTACATATTTACAGCCAACCTCATCGTTCTAAATCTCGTCCTCGCATTCATCATCGTTCTCTACTTAATCTTCACACTTTTGTTGATTATTGGGATTTCAAAGGTATAATGAAATCTATAAATAACTTTGAGTTTGGATACATTAATAATTTATTGAATGATTTTAGCGTTCAAAATGTTTTTTCGTACCCTATTTAGTTTTCGACGTTTTCTTCTTGATTCTGACGCTCGTTCTTGGCATCGTAGGAATGTTTTTCCGTTTCCAAATCTCAAAACTATGCATCTTCTTCTTCTTTATTAAATTCTATTTCGCAGTCTGCGTTTACTCGCTCTTTAAATCATACAGCAAAAAATCAAGTGATCGAATCTCCATCCACAGTGCTGCAAGTCAACATTTAACTGCCGTTGAAGAAAGTCCAACATCATCGCAAAAACCAGGACTTGGTGAAGCTCCTTTGGCTGTCGCCGTTTAATATAAGGCTCGCACGATGAAATTTCTTCATCACAAAATTTATAAACGCAAGCCGAATGAACGATAAAAATTTCCCCGAACACACAAAGTTAAGTGAAAAATAAAATTTATTTCGATTTCCGGTGAAAAAATATTACCAACTTGAGGTTGTCGACAAGAGAATCAGAAAACGGAAACCAAAATGTTCAATGTGAAACCCAATCAATTAAGCGGATTAGATACAACAAAAATAACATTTTTCTTGGTAGCAAATAAGTAATTTGGTAGTCATGCGGAATTTAGAAATTAAGAATATTTTATTTCCATTTCGAAAAGCTCGCCATTCACTTACTGGCGTTAATAAAGAAAAAAGCTTTCTTCGTTTTTCGACGAAACATTAAATGTAGGATTTTTAAATGTCTTCGATGTTGTAATTTAATGTAATCAAATATTACCCAATAAAGTTTTATACATTAATTTTTTTGATCAACTTTGCGTCTTTATACGAACGCAAAATCCAAAGAAAAAAAATCTTTTTTTGTGTTTTATTTTATAATGAAAGTAAAAGAAAAAAATATTAACACGAGATATGAAATTTGTTTTCCATTCCCTTTCTACATGTATCTATGTGAAGTTGAATGTAGGTTAAGATGAACGAAGAATCGTGGCGCCACCGAGTTTAATGTCTCGTTTCCCTTCTCCCTTTTTCTCTTTCAATGTTTCAGGGGAAAATCCGAAAAAAATACTGCACAAGTTATAAGGAATATTGTTCCCTTTTTTCGCTTTGTGTTTTTTTTTCGATGCCAATGTTGATATTTGAGTCATCAACATTAAATTTATTTTGGTCTTCATGTATAACAGATTCGTTTTTTGACAAAATTATATACATCGTTCTGGGTGACTTGAAAAATGTATGATAAGCTCATGCGCAAGCATTGGTTGAAAAGCCAAATTTGGAATTTTCTATCAGTTTATTGTTGTATTTTGAAAAGATCGGATGGTAAAAGATGGCGACAAGTTTGACTTATGAGATGCCACACTTGGAAGTGGAAGAATTTCCAAGGGTGGAAACTGTAATAACAACGGTTACGGAAGTGATTCGAGAAGAGTTGCCAAAGATCGATACTGTCGCTACTGTTGAATTACAACGAAGAGACAAGTTCAGAGGGTCTGAATTTTGTCTTCAGTTCTGGCTTGCCCTTGAGACTTTCTTTTGGCTTTCTCTTTTCATCGTCGAAGTTAGATATCAATTTATTTTCATGAGAAATGATCATTTATTGGATTTCATTAACGAAACCGACGGTTACTTCTATTTATTCTTTGGAGAAGAGTTACGTTATGCTGACCAGAAAGTTCGAAGTAAGTAAAGAAAATCAGAATTTCATTTTTGCTGAATAAATTTATATCGTTGGAATCACGTGACTTGAATTTCATTTCAGCAAACATCCTTTTCTTCAATTTATGTTTCATGATGCTGTGTGTGATTTATGTGATTTTTTGCTGTATTTTGATCTTTGGAATCAGCAAGGTATGATTATTGTTTAATTTCGAATAATTCATCTAAGTAAGATAATGTTTTAGTGCAAGAAAAGTTGCTTCCTACCTTACATTATACTTGACATAATTATGATGGCGCTAGCGGTTTTGGGAGCTTTAATTGGTATGGCCACTAATAACCATCATCTTTTCCGAGTGTCCTTTGTGTTCTTGATTGTGAAATTGTATGTTGAGTTTTGTGTTATTTCTCTTTATCGAGAGTACAAATTGAAAAAGAAAATTAAAAATCAACATAATGGCGCATCTTCATTCGATCCCAGTGAAGGTGATCAAATCACAGCAGTGTGAACAAAAGATTAAAAGAAATTTAAGTACCTAAATTTAAGCAAACTAATGAAATGATTTGACATTTTAGTTTTAATTTTAAGTGTTAAAATTTATTTATCTGTGTTGAAATTTCATAAAAAAATTGAATTAGAATTGAAAAGTCAGAAGAAAACAAAATGGATATTAACTTTTAAATAATGTACCTAACACTCTTAAGACATTGCAATTGCTTAAATTCATTCATGAAAATGTGTTCTACATACTAAACATCAAAAGCTTTATTTAATGAATGTTCAAATTAAAAAAATATTTGTAAGTTAAATTCCTTGATATTAGATTTTGAGGTAACAATTCTATAATATTTAATTAAAGAATCTTTGTAATATATTTAACTTACGCTTCAAGAAAATAGAAAACTCTTTATCTAATCTTATTTATTTGAGAAAGTCTTTAATATTAATAAAAAGTTTTGATTTCCATTTACATGATCAGCTTCTACTTTAAGTATTATAAAATTTTCAAAATTTGAGTTTAGTTTTCAAGATCTTCAGCAGCTTTTGATTAGATAGATAAGTATGGGTAATTACTCAAATGGCTGGTAATTTACCACCAGCCCTACTACTAAATTTAGAACACGGTTTACTGCGTTTTACCTTTTTATAGCCCAAAACTTTTTAGAGAAGTAAAGTATAGTCCAAAGTACTTCTTTAAAAAAGTTTTAAGCTATAAAAAGGTAAAATAGCAACTGATAGTGCAACTGATGGAAAATTACTCTAAATGAAATTGTTTGCTTATTAAATAAATCATTGGGATATTATTCTCTTTAATAATATTTTTAAAACATTCCTAAAAAATTTTATGACTGGTAAGTCTTATCAATTATATTCATTTTTCTATTCAAAGCATTCTTCTTAGAATTAAAGTGAAACCATTTATAAAACACTCGCCTGCATTCTTTTTCGTTATTATTATGGTTTCCTTTTATTATTTGTGTATCCGAAAACCTTATTGATTCGTAAATTTTTTCTTTGTATCGATTACAATAGCGATACCAGATTACTTAGGCTTTGAGGGAGGTTTCGTAAGCAGCTAAAAATTCATCAGAAAACATCAATAGCCTGAGACGTAACTGACAAAGATACAAGAAGGAAAATTGAAAACTTTTTCAGCAAAAAATTTATACTTCTAAGCATGGCTCATTTTGACCAACGATTTGCTGCATCAAACTTTGAATTTGAATGTTCAATACTACATAAACATCGTCTACATTCTGCTTATTTTTATGACCTCAAACAAGATGAAATTCGCTTATAAACTTCCATGCTAATGATTCTCTTATTAGTCACAGAAATCGAAATCATCGTTGTCGAAAATTTTCGCTGACCTACGTCAACTGTGTGTGAGAATTTACTATGTTTGATGAGACGATATAAATGATGAGACGAACGTAAATGAGATAACGAAAACAAAAATTAAAAAATCTTATCATTTGGTTCTATTAGTGCAAAGATAAAGAATCGTAATATTATTCTTATTTTTATTTATTTCAAGTGTGATCGACTAATCAGTTTGAACTTTATCAGCTGTCTTGATTAAAAATACGATTTCTCTGAGAGTTTACACTTCAGTGTACGTTCAGATTCGGAAACGTGAAGACGAGAAAAATAAAAATTAAATTTGGATAGAAGAAAATATTGTCTTAAACTTTTTATTTCTTTTTTCTATTTTCTATTGAACATTTTTGTTTTGTGTATTGTAAAAATAAAAAAAAAACAAATTATTGAAGGTTGAAATCCCGTAATTATGGGCGAGACTTTCTGTAAAGATGACTTTTGGGTAAATTAACAATTTTACTTCATTTGTGATTGTGTATTTGATGAAAATAACTTTAAATTAAATGTTTATCAACTAAAATCATCAATTGAAGACAATTATTATTTCTTGAGATGTTCATCAAATAAAAGTGAAAAAAATTACTCATTTTATCAAATATTATCATCAACCTTTATGCCCATTTCTGGTTTAATTAACAGAAAAAAATCTTTATCGCGAGATTATTTATAAAAGAGCTTCAATGACGATGACTTTGTGAATTCATATCAGCACGTATGATAAATTAGTATTTTAAAATGAAGCGTGTCTCCACAACAATTCAAATGCTATCCAAACAATTTAATCAATTGATAATAAAAAGAATTTGGTCGCGTGCTAGACTCACACATTATAATTCATGAATATCTACATTTTAATTCGAAAGAAATGAAAACTGTTTATCAATTGTGAATATCTAATCTATTTTTAGGATTCTGAGCTAAGTTGGCGGGAATCAGAACCAGATTTTACTTTTTGTTTCAAACAAACTGTCTTAGTTTGGACACCATGCGGCTTTTTGTGGCTTTTCTCACTGTTGGATTTAATGCGCCGACGAAACAGTCGTTATCGCGATATTCCCTGGTCGTTTCTCAATGTGACGAAATCAATTACTTTATTTCTATTGATTTGTGTGATGTTTTTTGACATGTCAATGCTGTTCAGTGTTCGCCAAGAAGAGCCAATTTACGATGTTCAAATTGTGTCGATTTTTGTCAAAATTGCAACACTTGTAAGTTTCTTTTAAGAGTCAAAATATTCTTAATTACTAATGTTTTATTCTATTAGCTTTATGTAGCATTCCTTCAACAATTTCATAAAATTAAAGGTCATCGATCATCAGGATTACTTTTCACTTTTTGGGTGATCTTCACATTTTGTAGCATTCCACAACTGCGATGGGAAGTTATTAACTTCAATACTGGAAATTTTGATGGCGAAAATATTTCATGGGCTGGAATTCGTTTCATCATTTACGTAACATTTTTTTCTCTCATCAGTATAATGACAATACTTAACTTCTTCTCTGATAAACCACCACGTCATTCAAGCTATCCGAAAGCAACAAACCCAAATCCAGAAATAAGCTCAAGTATGGCAAATCGAGCATTTTTCCTTTTCTTCGATCCAACAGCATGGAGAGGCTGGCGACGACCTTTAGAAGAACGAGACATTTACGACATCAATCCCGAAAATGCTTCAAGTGAACTTGTACCAGAATTTGATAAACATTTCAAAGCAAGTGTAGAGAAACAGAAAAGGTCAGCTGATAATTTCTAAACGTTACGAACATATCTTAAAATATTTTTTCTTATCTTTATTATATGTATGTAAATAGAAAACATGAGAAATCATTGAGAAGCAAAAGTCCCACGGCAGAGACAACTAAACCATTAGTGTCCATCTTTCCAGCGATGGTCAAAACATTTGCCGGACATTTCTTCTTCTCGGCAATCTTCAAATTCTTCGTTGATATGCTGCAATTCGCATCGCCTTTGTTACTCGGTGCACTAATTATTTTTGTTGAGGCTGAAAGTGCTTTATGGAAAGGATTACTCTTAGCATTCACACTTTTTCTTGTCACATTCTTAATTGCGTTACTTAATGGGCAACATGGATTAACTTCTTATCAAGTCGGATTTAGAATTCGAACAGCTTTGATCAGTTCGATCTATCGGAAAGCTTTGAAAATTTCCAGCCGAGCTAAGCGCAATACAACAGTTGGAGAAATTGTAAATTTAATGGCAGTTGATGCGCATCGATTCTTTGAAATGATTCCTTATTTACACATCCTTTGGTCAGGTCCAATTGTCATGTCATTAGCAATCTTCCTTCTTTGGACATATCTCAATGTTGCAGTATTTTCGGGTCTTGCTGTTATGATTGCATTAATTCCACTTTCTGGCTTTATTGCAACAAAATTAAGAAACTTACAAACACATCAAATGAGAATCAAAGATGAACGTGTCAAGTCAACAAATGAAATTCTTAGTGGAATGAAAGTCTTGAAACTTTATGCTTGGGAGCCGAGCTTTGAAGATTTAATTTGTGACATTCGTGAAGGTGAATTAGTGTTTTTAAGGAAGGCAGCTATTTATAATGCAGCAACTGAGTTCATTTGGTCACTTGCACCATTTATGGTCGCACTTTTCTCTTTCATGACATTTGTTTTCCTTGGAAATCGATTAACACCGGAAATTGCTTTTGTTTCGATGGCACTTTTCAACATCCTTCGAATGCCGATGACATTATGTGAGTTTAATATAAATAATGTTGATGATATATTCAATTTTATAATGGTTTTCAGTCCCAATGACGATAAATTTTGTTATGATCGCTTATGTGTCAGTGAAACGCTTGAGTAATTTCATGAATATGGAAGAACTCGATGCTAACAATGTGACAAATAATCCAAGTTTGAATGCTTTAGAAATTCAAGATGGAACCTTTTCATGGGGTGATGATATTCCAACATTGAAGAACATTAACATGACTGTGAAAAAGAATAATTTGTCGTCAGTTGTTGGACCTGTTGGATGTGGAAAAACTTCTTTGATTTCGGCACTTTTAGGCGAGATGGAAAAGAATCGTGGAAGTGTCAATGTTGATGGTAAAATTGCTTATGTTGCCCAACAAGCTTGGATACAAAACGCAACACTTCAAGACAACATCACATTCGGAAGGCCTTTCAACAAAAGATTCTATCAACAAGTTATTAATGCATGTGCTTTGACATCTGATATTGCGATGCTTCCTGGTGGTGATCAAACTGAAATTGGGGAAAAAGGAATAAACTTATCGGGAGGACAAAAACAACGAGTTTCTATTGCACGTGCAGTTTACAGTGGTGCTGATATCTTCATTTTTGACGATCCCTTATCAGCTGTCGATTCTCATGTTGGTAAACATATTTTTGATAATGTTCTTGGTGAAAATGGAATATTGAATGGAAAGACAAGATTCTTAGTTACACATGCAATTTCATTTCTACCGAAAGTTGATGAAATTTTTGTCATGTCCAATGGGGAAATATCTGAAAGTGGGTCGTATAAGTAAGTTAATCATTTTAAAGATTATTAAATAAATATTTTAAAAAAGAAATAATTTAGACAATTAATGGCACAAAAAGGAGCTTTCTCAGAGTTTCTTATTCAATATCTCCAAGAACATAACAATGAAGAGGATTTGAAGGAAATTGAAGATTTGGTTGATGATGCTGATTTAAGACTCATGTTACAAAGACAAACTTCGGTGTTGTCGCAAAGAGATCGAGGGTGAGAAAAATGAATTTTCATTAATTATTTCAAGCAAATTTAATTTTTTTTTAGTTCAAGTGGCTCGTTAAGACGTCGATCGAGTCGACGATCATCAACTCAAAGTGAAGTTAAAGAGATGAAGAAGCCAGCATTAGCGAAACTTATTGAAAGTGAAGATTCTCAAACAGGAAGTGTCGATTTGGGCATTTACTTGACGTACTTCAAAAGTATCGGCATTCCATTTTCAATAGTCATTTTGCTATTTAATGCAATTAATCAATCAATGTCTGTTCTGTCAAATTGTGAGTGAAAAGTTTTTTAAAGTTATTAGAATTGTTTTAAAATTGTTTATAATTATTCAGTTTGGCTTTCACGATGGTCCACTGATGATCGAGCTCATGAAGAAACATTTTGGAGGAATGTTTATGTTGGAGTTTATGGATCACTTGGTCTTGTTCAAGGTTGAATTTATAAATTATTTTAAAATCGAGTTGACATTTAAAATATTTTCTATTTTACTTTTCAGGCATTGCACTTCTTATCGGTGCAGTGTTCTTCGCAATCGGTGCAATTCGTTCAGCACGAAATTTACACAAAGGTTTACTGCACAACACTTTGCGTTTGCCGATGTCGTTCTTTGACACGACACCGTTGGGTCGAATTATGAATAGATTTTCGAAGGATACTGATGTTATCGATGCCCTTTTACCACAAATGATGCGTAATTGGATTTGGATGTTCTTCAGTGTTGTGGCGATTTTTATTGTTATCTCAATTTCCACGCCAATCTTTATGTCAGTTGCAGTCCCAATCATAATTATTTATTACTTCATTCAGAAGTTTTATGTCGCAACATCACGTCAATTAAAACGATTAGAATCAGTGACGAGATCTCCAATTTATTCGCACTTTAGTGAATCTATTGGGGGTCAATCAACAATCAGAGCATATGGAGAAAATAAGCGTTTTACTGTTGATTCTGAAACGAAAGTTGACCACAATCAATCAATATCATATATGAGTATTTGTGCTAATCGTTGGTTGGGAGTCCGACTTGAAATTGTTGGATCAATTGTCGTTCTCGCAGCTTCTTTGTTTGCTGTTCTCGCACGTGAAACAATTGATTCGTCGATTGTTGGTTTGAGCATTAGTTATGCATTACAAATTTCGTCATTGATGAGTTTCTTCGTTCGAATGACAACTGAAGTTGAGACAAACATCGTTGCTGTTGAGCGAGTTGTTGAATATTCAAAACGACCTCAAGAAGCTGCGTGGAAAACTGTCGATGTTAATCCTGAATGGCCACAAAAAGGTGTTGTTGAGTTTAAAAACTTTCAAGTTCGTTATCGGGAAGGTTTGGATTTGGTACTGAAAGGGATCGATTTCATTACAAAAAGTCAAGAGAAAATTGGAATTGTTGGTCGAACTGGTGCTGGAAAATCGAGTTTGACTCTTGCATTGTTCCGAATTATTGAAGCAGCTGGTGGAAAAATTTCTATTGATGATATTGATGTTGCATCAATTGGATTGCATTCTTTGAGATCCCGTCTAACAATCATTCCACAAGATCCGGTATTATTCAGTGGAAGTCTTAGAATGAACATTGATCCATTCAACTCTTATCCTGATGATGCAATTTGGACGGCACTTGAACATTCGCATATGAAAACATATGTCAAAGGTTTATCTGATGGATTACAATACAAAATTACTGAAGGAGGCGAGAATCTTTCTGTAGGCCAACGTCAACTTGTGTGTTTAGCACGAGCGCTGTTACGAAAAACTAAAGTTTTGATACTCGACGAAGCAACAGCTGCGATTGACATTGAAACTGATGAATTAATTCAAAAGACGATTCGTGAACAATTCAATGAGTGTACAATTTTGACAATTGCACATCGACTCAACACAATCATGGACTCCGATAAGATTATTGTCCTTGATCAAGGATTGATTGCTGAGTTTGATACACCAGCAAATTTATTGGCAAATAAAAATTCCATTTTTTATGGAATGGCAGAAAGTGCCGGTCTTGTTGGTGATGACAATCAAAATGACGATTTTGATGAAAGAAAAGAAGAATCGACTGACACATAAATCGAAATTTAAATTTTATGTTTAATCTGTGTAGCTTAGACAATATGTTTAATAAATTCTTCTACAACATTTTTAATTATTCCTTTCATTTATTTATCTATTTACATGAGCATCTTGAACTTTCCATTTTTCAGCTTATTGAATATCACAATGCAATTGGGGAGAGAATGTTTAATATCAACACAATATTTTTTATCATTTAATGGGCATCAATTGTACTTTTATTAGCATAATAGCTAGGCAGAAGCTTAAAAATTAAAAATGTTGCCTTTAAAACTAGTGATGGCGATTTTTAGATGTTTCTTTGAGCTTTTGCTGTGCTAATTTTTTTTTCTTCTGATTAAAGGAAGGAGTTTGTAAAGCTTTCATTTTAATTTATGAATGACTTTAATTTATCATTGCATTCGATTCCTGACTTTCGTTTTAAATGTAATGCAATTGAGATAAACGTTTTAACAGAGAATATGTCATTAAAAATTTCTACAATCTCACATTTTTATGTAAAGAAATTCTTGTAGATAACAAAACTTTAAAGATTTTGATGAAACATGGAATGTAGAAAAATAGAATGTGCAAAAAATATTTATCTAGGTAGTTTACAAAGAAAAATTTTGATACACGTAATTATCTTCTTTTAGCTAGGAACTCGTTTTCAAAATCAATATAGGCCAGTAAAGGATCACAAAGACTAGAAAAAGTCCCGGAAAGACAACACGTGAGATTTTATCAATTTCTCGCCACATAATTTTTTCAACACCAGTGTCATTGTCTGTCCATGAAACTGACAAGATTGATTGCCTTCTATTTATTGTTCTCGGTCCGCCACCATTTCCTTGCACATTTACCTAAAAATTGATTCAAAATATTTAATTCTAGTAAGTTTTGAATTCATAGCAAAAAAATTACTGCAACTGGTGTTGTAGGCGTTTGAGTATTTGCCTTTCGTGACCGTACATTTGTTCCATGTCCGTCAAATACAGCTACTGTCTGACATTGTCCTTTTTCTAGTGTGCTAGTTAGGCGAAGGGGTAAAATAGGTTTTGGCGTTAGCTTTGATTGCTGTTGATATTGAACATCCAAGACTTTGACTACTACAAATTCAGCCAAGGCTGCAAATACGAATACCATGCAACCAGCCATCCATAAGTCTAATGCCTAAAATTAGCATTTAAATGAAAACAGAAAAGTTTTTTCAGAAATAATTTCTTCAACTTACTTTCACATAAGCCACAGGCGGAATATCAGCACCGGTGAACATCGTCACTAATGTCAACATGCATGTAACAAGAAGCGTCACACGACCAGGAATTGCATCAAGTCCCAACCAAAAACTGAACCAACTCAACATGACGACAAGAGATGAAGGCGCAAATGTTTGAATGAGATGATGACCTGCAGATTAATTAAGATTTAATCGAATTAAAAATTTTAAATTGAAATAATTTTACCAATTTGTCTTTCAAAACGAAAGTAAACTGTCAATCGGGAATAATTTCCATCTTTTTCCGGCATGTAACCATCAGTTTCTTCTAGTTGAAGTGGAGCACCCAAATTATATTGTAAAAGCTTTAGCTCTGGATTTATATTAACGCCACTCTCTGCCCATTTCAATCGTACTTTAGAGTTGCTGTATGAAAAGCTTTCAATGTAAATTGGACATATTTGTATATCCATTGGATACAACTGGAACTCCATTTGGCATGCAATGATTGCATGTAATCGCGCTGCATATCGAATTGTTTTGTTTTTGTAAAGTGTCACAGATGAGAATTTGTGTGTTAGTGTTGCAATTTCTTGTTAAGATAAAAAGGAAAGAAGTTTGTGAAAGAAAAAGTTCAGTCAATTTGCTTCTAAGTTACTGAAATCACAGAAATTCACAATTTATGATCAATGATACAAAAATTACTATAATTCACGCTAGGTATGTTTGTCTAAATTGCTCAAATATATCCAAGCAAAATAAATTTATAAAAGATTTTAAAATAATGCTTAAGGAACTTCAAAAACAAACAAAATTGGGGAATTAAAACTTAAAAGTTCTCAAAGTCAAATGTGCAGTTGAAATTGAAAATGAAAAACTCGTGGAAAATCTTTTCCAATGTTAGAAATGTGGAAAAGGAGAAAGAAATTGGTGATATGTTTATTGTAGTACTTTGAATATTAAGTACAACTAAAGCTTGAATAAAATTGGGTAGTTAAAAACTGAAAAGATCTCATCAGTCTTGATTTGTCTGCTTGTTTATTTTGTGTTTTAAAGCGACGTTTCGAAGTTATGTTTACTCATCTTCAGGCTACTGTTGTTTTTCTATATTACATGAAATAATTGACATATGAAAATATAAAAAAGAGCTTTTACTTACAAAACAACAATTCATCGTCAGAATATATTTTAAAAATCCATCACATTCATTACTTTTTACTTTTGTCAAATTTACTTAAACAAATAATTGTATGACATGTTCTACTAAAAGTTTGTTTTTAACTTCCCAATTATTTCACCGTTCGAAAGAGAAAAGTTTAAAAACTTGAATAAAATGTTGAATCAATCTAAACATGTAAATGATAAAAAGTTCTAGAATTGTGTTGGATATGAAATTTCTGAACTTAAATAAATAATTAATAAAGCTTCCTAGCATTGAATTACCTCTCGAATATACTAATTTTTGTATCATGTAGAGTCCGTGTAACTCTTGGTGTTGCGGTAATTAAAGGCATAAAATAAAAAGAAAATAAGTTTTCTTTCGATTGCTGTGGAGATTTCTACATACAAATGGTAAGCGATGAACGCACGAAAAAAATTAAAATGAAATTTCTTTAAAGAATGTACTTTTGCCTTGAGCTACGATCGAGGTTCCGATGCAATCGTTATTTTACCTTCAAAATCATATGGTTGCAAGACCGTGGTAATAATCAGAACATAATAAAAGCAGGATTGTTGTCAGTCATATTTTATATTTCATATCATTATTTTGATCAAAAAGATTTAAATTAATCTCTATATAGAAAGTTGCATTTTAAAAACTTTAACAATGACCGTTTCCAGCAAATTCTGTCTAATTGTGTGTGAAATGTAAGAAAAATCGAACAATTTCAACGAGAAAACTTTCATCGTATAAATCAATAAGACGGCGAGAATATCACGGTTCTGACGAGACGACATTGCTGCAATTTCTGTTTACGTGCATGAAAGTTTTCGATCAATAGAAAACGTTGCTGAAATGCCTTGCACCGAGCCGTTTTCATTTAATTACAGAGAAGGAAAAGTATCAAGGAAAATAACTTTTACACACAAGGTTTGTTCAAGTAGCAAATAAGTTGAATAAATTGTTTTTCAAATCTCAATCTTAAAGGACATGAAATTAATTGAAACTTGATTCTTACCTGCAACTTTTGAGTTGAGAAAATAAGGATCGGGCTGCCATAAATTATCGAAAAATTCTGGTGGTAATGTAACATAATCATCACCGTCTTCAAAAAGATCATCACTGAGTGTCAATCTTGACTCTTTCCACTTTTGATGAACAAACATATCAACACGAAAATCCATGTCTTCAACATTTATGGAATTTATATCAACAACAAATACGCTGAACTCTATGACTACGGGATTTCCTTTAGCCGTTGGTGGACGAACTTCTTTAAGATATGTTTCGGGTAGTACGATTCTCTTAATTGTAGAATTTTGATAAGCTAAGCCTATTTGTAAGAATTGACTGCAAAAAGAAACAAACGGTATGAACATATGGTAAATTCAAGCGACAACGTCAAGGACATAACATAGAAAATCAATGTGCTTTATGTATCATTAATTCAAATGGAGCAACACGATGTAATGTGATGCACTAACGTATATCATTCGTCACAAGTTAAGTAACTTGAAAATTGATTCCAAAGCGTCTCATGATACATCAATTTCTTTCTTATCATTAATCTCAATAGAAAATGGAAATGTTCAAAGCATTTCATTTTTAATTCATATCTCTCTCAATGTTTTCCTACATATATTTATTATTTTTTATTCACAAATAGGAATGCGTGCAAGTTTTAATTAAAATTAATCAAAGTTAAATTGCATTGAAAAGCGGAAAACACGTTGAAAACCTCATGATATTATTTATTAAGAAGATTTTCTCTGAGTACGAGAGACATCGCAACTCGAAAATCTTGAATTTTCCCGTGATTTTAATGAATTTGTTACTATTTATGAACATAAGGAAAGCGATGCAATCGCGATTGAATAATTGAGATGAAAACATATCTATTTAAATAAAGAAAAAATCATGTGACATTCATTTGAGACTCTCTTGACTTTCAATTTTGTGATTGCAAATAATTTTTTTACAAAATTAAAAATTGAAGGTTAACATTTCAATACATAAGTTAATATTTTTATGGAAAAAGTTAAAATATTATTTGTATTTTAAAAATTGAATTAACCGTTTGAGCTATGAAACCCGATGTCAAGGAACGCGTGCAGTTCTGATGGATTTTGTGTGTAATTTCATTTTGTTGCATATTTCCAAATACATCAGATTTTAATGCATTTAAAGCTTTTTTTAGGTTTGGGTAAAATAATTTTTACGAAACGAGATTCAATTTATTGTCCACATGAGTACCAGTAGTTTTTAACACCGGGTCGTGTTGATAAATGCGCGATAGAAATTAAAGATAATATTTCACATGCTTTTGTTACGCACTGTTTCATGAAAATTATTTTTTCATAAGTTTTATAATAAAATTGTCAAAATTAATACCGAAAAATAATATGTTGAAGACTTTTATTGCGGATGTCTAAAATTTTGGAAGTTTTTTGATTATTCATTATTATTACAAAAAGGAAAGAATAATTAAAAATATTGAAATACAATACGAATAAAGGCGGAGGCTTGAAAATCAATATTAGGTACCTAGTTGTAGATTTTCAAAGTGAAATTGCTGTTATGTTTTTAATTAGATATTTTGCTTTAATCAAATGATCGAAAATTTGTTATCAGTGTCGTTATAATCCTCGAAAACACATAAAAATAAAGAGATCGTTTCTGTTAAGGATAAGAAAGATCAATGAAATCAGTTTGCGTGCACTAAAACATTACACATTTATTAATAATGAATCACGATTAAGAAAACAAAAACAAGCTTCATTCACAAAAGTATTTAAAATATCGCGATTAACTTTGCTTATTGTTTTTATCTTATCATACTCACCATAGTAGATAAACTAGAATGAATATAATGTTGTAGATATTCGTTATGAAAATTGGCATAATAATTATTTTAATTATTTTACTTCGAAACTTTTCCCAGATTGATTTCTTATGCCACAAACGACATTTGCATAGCTTTGAAGATAAAAAATCATAAAATTAAAAGACGCAGCTTCCTTCCTTCAATTAATTTCACTTTGGCTTCTCACATTTAGTTGCTTTAATTTCTCTAAGATTCTCAGAGTTATTATTCCTTTTCATTCAAAATTATTTCTACTGAATCTGGCATGGATTTTCGATGAATTTCTGCATTTTAATTGAGTGCATTATTGTAAGCAGCGAAAACTATTCTGCTTAATTTTCCAACTAGATACATGATCTACGAAGAAAACAATAAATAAAAGGGTACTTTACTAATACTGTGTAAACTTTTTAGAGAAGAAATGTATAGTTTAAAATACTTGTAATAAGTAAAAATATCAACAGAATTTTTTGATGATGAATCAAGTGATCAATTTTTGAGTGTATTTTTACGGAACTGCATTGAAGTGAAATATTTAAACACCATCAACAAATTATCTGATTTGAACTTGAAAATATTTTAAGCCGTCAATTACATAAATAGTTGTGATTGCTGATTAGCTGTTAGTGATACAAGAAATGAAAATTTTATATTTTTAAATTATGATTTTTTATGTTTCGAAATAGATATCTTCGACGACAGAAAAGTTAAATTATTTTTAAATATATAAAATTTAATTTCAAAATATTAATTGTTGTGAATCATAAAAACAATTAGTTCTCGTTGAAAATTTTGTTCCACTTTAATCCTTCAAACACATCGCCGTGTATATTTTATGATCACTATCGTTGTTTTTTCTTACAGAGCCACGTAACTTTCAAAGCACCATATGAAACTTTATTCACATATTAATAGTGAAATTATTTTTATTAGCCACTTGAATCAGCTGGAAGTTCACTTTTTTTCTTAATCTTTTCTGCTTTTTAAAAAATCTAAACAGGGAAATAAAAAACTAAGCATGAAAAATTTATTTTTGGCTCCTAAATATTTTACAGCTTTTCAAAGTCACGTCATATAAAACTAAAATATAGCATCAAATTACACTTAAATCACTTTTTTATCCTTTCTATTTATTCATTGTAGCCTTTTCCTAACTTTTTCTATTGAACTTTTCCCCGTTTGACCCGTACGACTTTCTTTGAACATGCAATGTGACTGTTCTAGGAAAACTGAACATGAAATAAAATCCTATTTAAGGCTCACATATTTTTTAATACTTTAAAATACTTATACAGAGAAAAAAGAAAAAAAATTTGCCTATGAAAAATGAGTCAGGGAAGAAGTCGTTCAAGAGATTGATGAAAATATTGAAAAGAAGAAAACAATCCTACTTCACTGCATATATAAACTACGTATGCAATAATAATGCTTTGAATGTAGTTCTATTCTACATATGTACAATTAAAATCAAAACTATTGTTACAACATAGATATTTATATTGAAACTTGAAATTTATTAGCACATTTTTTTATCCACGTGTTTGTAAAATTTATTTTCTTTATTTCTGAAAAATATTTGTCTTGTCTGCAGTAGGTACGAATGTGTGATCATCTTTATTCTGATTATTGAATGATTTTACTTAAAAATAAGTAATAATTCGTAGACTTTCATTGTGACAAACATATTGTTTTGTGAGTACACGTTCTATTCCCAATAATGTTTTGCAAATATTTTTAGAACACTAAATTTATATTCCAAATGCCCACTTGAATTACAGTAATTAAAAATATGACTAATGTTTTACCACAACCGAGAGATTTCATTGTGTAAAAATGTCTCTATGAACTTTACAACCGTCCGATTACACCATCAGAGAGCGAATGTGACAATGTTAACTTTGTTAACTTTAGGAATTTCCAGCATAAAAATTCTCATTTTTCAACTCATAATATTTGCAAATGAACATTTTCATCAATAGCAAGAGAAAAAAAAAGTTGAAAAATAGGCTCGATTTAACCCCTTGAGACATAATTGTTTGAATATTGAGAAATGAGCATTGAAGATAATTTTTGTTACGCATTAACTTTGTTAATGTCAACTTTATTAGTTGGAATGTTTTTGGATAGTTTGTAAAAGTCACGAGTGACACATTGTGAACTGAATAAAATCTCACAGGTGTAGAATTTTTGTGTTAAAATTCTAATTTAAAGGGTTGCAAATTTACTTGACTTTGAGATTTTGAATTTTGTTTCACTTTCACTTTTGTTTCATAGACGAAGTCATATCAAAAGAATTTCTTTTAAAAAATTCAAGATCACATGATTTAGAATGAACAATAAAGTAAAATTAACCAAATTTTCAACATTACGTGGATGAGGATGTAAAATACCTCAAGATGTTCTCAATAAAATCTTATCACGGGTTTATGAGACATCTGAGGTATCAACAGGTTCAAAAGATTCTATCGGTGAGTAATATTAATTCATTTTTTTTTTCTATTAACAACAAAAGGATCAATAGGAATCGGCCTGGACTCTTCTATCATCCCTTTAAAACATAAAAATTTATACCTCATACAATCAGTAGATTTCTTTTATCCTCTATGCGATGACGCAATATTAATGGGTAAATACATTTAATATTAAGTTGAAATGATCTCATCGTGATGCATTTACAGGACAAATAGCATTCAGTAACATTGTCAGCGATATTTATTCAACAGGAGTTGTTAATATTGATGAAGTGAAATTGATTTTAAGCATTCCCAATGAGCTAGCAGAAGATGAACGAATGGAAGTTTTAAACGAGATCGTCATTGGTTTTAAGAAATCTGCAAAGCTTGTAAAATGTCGGCTTACTATCGAAAGAATAAATGAAAATCCTTGGTGTATCATTGGCGGAATTGCGACATCTGTTTGCGTAAAGGATGAAATAATATTCCCAACGAAAGCTAAACCTGGTGATATAATAATTCTTACTAAACCACTTGGAGTTCAACTTGCCACAAATGCATCAATATGGATGGAAGAAGATTCAAATAATTGGAAGAAAATCAGTGAAAAATTGACTCGGGAAGATATCATGGAAATGCAGAGAAAAGCTGTGGAATCAATGACAACATTGAACTATCTTGGCGCACAATTAATGCACAAATATCAAGCGCATGCTGCAACTGACGTTACAGGGTTTGGAATTACTGGTCATGCTGAAAATCTTCTACTTTTTCAAGAAGAACCTTTAGATTTTATTCTTACAAAATTCCCATACATTAAGAACGTAAAGATAATTGCAGAAATTTTAAATCAACAAAATAAATTAAATAATGGAAGAATGGTTGAAACATCTGGAGGATTATTCATCTGTTTACCATCAGAACAAGCTCAAAGTTTCTGCAATGAATTTAAGGACACATCAGGCAGAGATTGTTGGATTATTGGACATGTTGAGCATGGCACATCAAAAGTTATCATCAAAGATCTAAAAATTGTTGAGGCATAAATTTTTAAATGTTTTTATCGAAATTTATCAAATGTATGAATGATGTTCACTAAACGTGTAAACGCGTGCACATCAGAATGATCTTTTTGATAAATAAAAAATTATTTCTATAGATAGATTATAAATTTTTATTGATTCACTGTTGATGTTTTTATAGATTTATTAAATTAACGTGGTCTGAGCATTGTACATTCAATTTCAGATGGAGAATCTTAGAGAATTATCGGATAGTTTTGATATCTACTCTTGAAGCGTTTTGTTACATTCTAATTAATGTATCTGTGATCATTCTCAGTTAAGAATTCATTTGATAAGACTTAAGTTCGTTAAAGTTCAGATTCATTTACTATTATTACTGTATGAGGCGCTAAATCTTCCGTTACATAATTATCATAAGTTTAATAACATTGCTGATTTGCTCATCTAATAAACATCGAATGAAGTAATAAATTGTATGATTAATTGACGCTTAAAGCTACTCTACACAACTAAGTATTGATGTGCAGCAATTTATTTACTAATAGTTGGTCACTGCAATATTGATTAAGAACTGTTGTTTAATTAATAATCAGATATGTAAGAGATTTTTACTGAATTATTGAAAATTCAGTGAACTCTTGATATATCATTACTTGAAGGACTTGAAAAAAGGGAATATATCGAGAAAATTGTTATTAATTGTTTCGTAATTTAATTAACGATGTTCAAACTTTAAAGGAAATGCAATTCTCGATGTTCAGTCTTCAAACTACAAAGGAAAAGCATCGTAGTTAAATTTAAGATGATCAAACTTCAAAAGAAATGGATCGGATGTTGGAAACATTACAACATATTTTGCTTTAAAAAATATTTGCTTCACTTAGTTAATAAAATAATTGTTGAAATCGAAAATGTTGTACGAAGAACATTTTGTTCCAGATTTCGAGTGTATGCAGGAAAGTAACGTAGATCGAGAGAATTGTTGTATCGATTGTATGTCATATCAAGAGATCACTGTATTATTAAAATTTTTTAGCAGTAAAGAATTCGTGGTTGAACTGTTTGTCAGATGTCACGTTCGAAATGAACAACAGGTCCTGAAGATTCTCCAGATTTGCCTTTATATGCAGGTGGTTTTGGTCGCATAAAAGAAGCATTCATTTGAGGTGAACCTTCACGGAATACGTCACTTGATGGACTAAAATTATCAATGTCAAATAATTTTCTTAATCTTAAAATTTATAAATCAAACCTTTGCGAGCCAAGTGACAAATTATCATCATAAGGATCGTGAAGACTTTTCAATGTTGTCGTTGGAGGATTTTTATTATTCCCCGAGTACTGAACCATTTGAACAGGTTGAGTTAGTTTAATTTCTTCACTAGAAAATTTAAAACAAAGATGAGAATAGAATTTATTCCTAATTTTAAAGAAATTTTGAGAAAAACCAGAAAAAATTAAATTAGTAAAACTGTCAAAATAAAATTAAAATAGCTTGATTGAAAGTTACAATACAAAAATCTCACACAAAAATAAAATCCACTTCAACTCAAAATTTTCTACCTTTCCTTTATATTTGGACCGCAAAGTTCAAATAAATTATCGAGATATGATTCGAATTTATCATCTTTTCTGAAAATGTGTCTATTGTGTTGATGAATCAACGAAAACATCGAATTTACAACATGAATAATTTAATAAAAATATATAAAACTTACAATTTCTCATTATGGAAGCACAGAACAACGGTAAGAAGTGCGATTAAGAAAGCGAACCAAACTGAAGGAATTGCTACTGCCAATGCAATTTCTTCACTATAATTTCTCTCTGGGAGTTCATCTTTTGATGGTGAATTCCAAACTTTTCTAGAGAACATACTCGCTTCTTCTTTTGTAGTTTCATCAGAAGTGACAGTATTATCGCTTATGATCCGAAATGCACACCAATCCACCTGAAATCCCGCACGTTGAAATATTGTTTGTACTGATGTTTTCTTGAATGTACAAGTGGAAAGCTTTCCTAATGGTTTGATTTCTTCATTTAATTCTTGTAACCGTTTGGAGAGTTGTGCGTTACTTCCAAGATGCACAATGACACCTTCACGATTCTGTGGCTTCAGTGGAACTCTCGACCCAAGTCTTACAGCTGATTCCATGAAGGTGATGTTTATATCACGAGAACTCTCAGGCCACAAGTCATTTATGAATATTCCTTTCAGATTTTCTACTCGACCTAAGTCTGTAAGATGAACCCAATTCAAATTCGTTATTTTCATTTCGATCTTATTTGTTGGAGGTTTCTTATCAACAATCTCAAAAGGAATAATAATTCGACGAGTTTCATAAGTTTGCTTATTAAGTCCAACAATCTCAATCTCAAACTTTTCATTTGCATATTTTTTTGTAGGAGATCCGTAAATGTAGCCATAATTTCTTTCATTAGAGAATTGAAAGTTCATCCAGCTTGGTAAGTTGGGTTTTCCACGCATTGCTGGCCGATAACTGAAGTAAAAGAAAATAGAAAAAATCTTATATTTAATTGCATTCAAATGTTTACCGAAATTGCTCAATAAGAGAGCTTGTCCAATTGAACAAATCTGGGGAAACTTTCATGGTATAAAGTTCAGAAACTTTTATCACTTCAGGTCTGAAATGAATTTCTGGCGTAGCATTGATGTTATGAATGCTTAGAAGTAATAATGAAAATAATGTTCGTCTCATCATTTTTTGAAAACCTTAACTTTTAACAATAAAAAATTAAAATTTTTGTGAGATTTTTCCTGAGAATTTTCCGAATTATCTTGAAGATTTTTTTAAATTTCCATTCACTAATCTGATTGAAGTGTCTTAATTCGATTCAAATATTATGAATTCTTTTACGTATGACACTTATTTGATTATTTTGTAAATTGGAGAAAAATCCTTATGAAAAGTTGGAAATAATTTTCCATTAAATTAGCGAAGTGACTGAAACTAATAACTAATAAGTTTTCAGGAAAACTCGATGTATCAATCCAGTATGTGCTTATTTTAGTTTGGTTAGAATATATTTCATATATTCACCAATAATTTTGCTGTAGTTAAATTCTATAAATGAAACTCTGAACTGAATTTATCTTAGAAATATGACGTACAGAAATATACCAACAGATACATATTCAAACAGAAAGTACCTAAATTCGTTGCAATTATTTTTGAAGGGAGAAGAAAAATTTCGTTTTATCGAGGAACTACCTCCCTACTATCAAGAGTCATATTTCTAATGTCATTCATTTTTCTCTCCGATATCATATAACGTATTCCTGTTCTTTTAAATTTTTAACGTTTTTTTAGATTTTGAACATTCGTATTCACATTTTACCTCGACAAAACTTTTAGCCCATCTTATTATTTTTTCTCTTCTGATATTTCATTCTTGATAGTTCAATTGTAAATTTTCTTAATTATAAATTTAGATTCGAGTTAAAATATTTTAAAACTATGGCAGAGCTATTAATTGATCCTAATATTCGAGGTTGGGTATTCTTGCCGATTGTTGTGATCACTTTTCTTGTCGGAATCATAAGACATTATGTGTCCAATTTAATTTCGAGCACAAAAAAAATTGAACTTACTCAGCTACAGGACAGGCATGTAAAATAAGTTTTAAAGTAAATGTTTGCTTCATAAATTCTTTTAACTTATAGTCAAGCCATGATAAGAGCTCGTTTATTACGTGAGAATGGAAAATATTTGACTCCACAATCCTTCGCCATGAGAAGACATTTTTTCAATAATGAGGAATCTGGTTATTTCAAGACCCAGAAAAGACCTCCAGTGACACCGAATTCGTCAGCAATGCTCACTGATTTAGTTAAAGGAAATTTTATCAATGTGTTGCCGATGGTTGTCATTGGTGGGTGGATTAATTGGATGTTTTCTGGATTCGTTACAACAAAAGTTCCATTTCCATTAACATTGAGATTTAAACCAATGTTACAAAGAGGTGTTGAGCTCCAATCTTTAGATGCATCATGGGTTAGTTCAGCTTCGTGGTACTTTTTGAATGTTTTTGGATTGAGAAATATCTACACTTTAGTCTTGGGGGAAAACAATGGTGAGGTTTTTTTCTGATTTCCTACGCTAAAATTACATTTTTCATTTTTTTTCTATAGCTGCTGATCAAACACAATCTATGCAAGATCAAATGAGTCTCAATGCTGCTGGTCAAATGCCTCAGGATCCAAAACAGGCATTCAAAAACGAATGGGAGGCTTTAGAAATTACAGAATATAAAAACGCACTTCACAATGTGTGCGATGATCTTCTAGTTTCTGTATCAGAGCCCATGACCAATAATATACATCATTAATTTACATTATTTTCAAAGTTCAAAATAAGATTTAAAGTATTTTGTTTGAATCTTTCTAAAAAGAATTGAATTAAAATAAATAGTTGGATTTAACGGTTTCAAAATATTCGAAAAATGTTCAATTTTCAGATGTTCCATAATTGTCGACAATCAAAGAAAAATTCGACAGACATCATTTAAATAAAAAGAAAATTATTTTTGTAACATTTTAAGCATCTAATTGACTCAATATAAACTTTAAACTCTTCGTGGTGAAAGTTCTTAAAACTAATAGTTCATTTAGAGTTCAATAAACGTTATAGATATTCACAAATTCATAAAGTAGCGAGAAAACACTTTTTGTTTACATTGCTTTTAGATTTAATTTTCATTAATTTAATATCTAACAGAGTTTTTTGGGACTATCCAGTCTACACACAATTATTTATTGACGCAATGGATGCCATTAAGAAATCACGAGCTGATCTTAATTCTTTACCTACTCGTCAGTATCTTGATCAAACTGTGAATCCAATTTTGTTGCCGGCACTCAAAGGTAAGATTTTGAGGAACTAGCAAATCCTTGATATTATTTACTTTGTTTGTTTTTCAGCTCTTGCAAAGGAACGTCCAGCTGATCCAGTAGCTTTTTTGATAACACAGCTCACAAAAAGTAAAGCTAAAACTGAGGAAAGTTAAAGTTACTTTAGATCTAAAATTTCCAAGAACACACTTTGTTTAAATTATCAAAAATTTTCAATAAATTCACAAATGTTTAATAAAAAACTTCTTTTTTTTCGAAATATTTACATAAAACCTTTATTTCTCTTCAATTTTTTCTTAATGTTTAGCATTACAATTAATTTTTTTTTCTTGACGACATCAATTTGCGTCGTTTATTATTCATTGATTAACTATGGTTAAGAGCTTCACTTTATTATGAGATTCCATGTTTCCAGAAACTATAGAAACTTTTACTTAGATACTTTTTGTGTGTGTAAGCATCTGAGTAGATGAAAAAGAGTGTTAAATACACATACTTAGACCATAAAAATACTTAGAATTATTTTCTACAGACTTGAAGAGCCAAAAAATGCATAAAATTGAGTTCATAAAATTTTCAATTGTTTCGAGAATATATGCTCGCAAAGTATTTATGTATCTTTTTGAAAGCTTTAAAATCGCTGATGTGTTAAGCAAGTTAAAATGTACGTTCTTGATGAGCTTTTGATGATATGAAATGTAAGAGGCGTTGAGAAAAGGTTTATCAAGCGCTTTTTAATTTGAAAGAGGATTTCTAGGTTGTCTGGTTATTTGTTAGAAAGGTTTATTATGATTTATGAGAAGCTTTTTGAAATGGTAGCGTCGTTTAAAAATGTTTTTAATTTTTTTAAGTATCTACGTATAACGTTTTTGCAGTTTTGAAATACATAAGTTTAGACAGCAAAAAGTTATTTAGCTGAAATTATTATGTTATTACAAATATAAGCGTATTTATTTGAAACTTTTAGCTTTTTTAACTCACATAATTAATGAAGGTTGCAATATAAAAAATTCATTGCAGAAAACAAGTTCCAAAAACTCAACATACTCAAATACATGCTTTTCCCAACACTTTCAGGATATGGAAAATTTAATAAGAATCTTATTAAAGCAATCTTTTCAGGATGAACAATGTAGCAAAGATAGTGGTGTGGTGGGTGGTGATGTTCAATTTATGAGAATGTAGAGAATCTTTTCTTGTTATGTTTTCCCTATGCTTATGATCCAATCAAGCAACACAATTATTAGTTAATTACACTTGATGGCATTTGATTGAAAGGTTTCTATAACTATGTACTTGTTGTTGCTCCATTTATTGAGCATTTCATATTAAACACCGACAGTATATTATTCCCGTAAAAATGTCTGATTGTTGTATCAAATCAAGTTTTCATAATTTCACCGCTAAGTACAATCTAATAATTTTTTTCTAATATTTATTTTATTCTTTTGTGATTTTGATGAGGGTTGTGACATTACAAAGTCATGACATCACTTTATTTATGCTAGACACAAATGGTTGGAGGTTCAAAGAACCATCTAAAAGTAATTTTCCACTCTTTTTTTTCTATCAAAATCTGTCAAAGTGTTTCTCCCAGTAGAGATTACAAAAGAAAAAAAAGAAAATTTCTTTCTCTCAAAATATTTCTTTACAAGTTGAACAATAAAAATGTTTCCATTCATTGCGTTTCTTTTTTTCCACCTTCATTTCATCTTTTTATATCGATTTCTTATTATCGAATCACGGATTCATTTCCCACGTTTTTCTTTGAATTTTCTTTTTCGATAATGAATCGTTCAAAAGCCATTAATTTAATTATCCTAATGATTTCCAGTAGGTAGTAGTAAAAAGTTTATTTGTTTAATTAAAGCCACCAATTCAAAGATGTAAATCATTTGTAACCGTCATCGATGTGTCATTACGTTTTCTGTCTGACAATTATTTCAGAAGACTCCAGAACATTTATAAAAAAGAAAAACAGTTTGCATTCTTATTACAATGTTGAGCAAGAAAATTTTACAACAAATATTTCTAATGAGTCACACCACAATGTTGATTTTTCCTAAAAGAAAATGGAACAACGCATGGGATAAAAACATTTAGATGAAAGTTTGGGAAAATTTGCTCTGTGGAATGTTATTTGAATTTTCTTTCTCACACATGTGTTTGTCATACGAGTTTATCGCGTCACTTCGAAGTTTATTTTTAATTTTTCTTCATTAAATGTAACAACGAAAACTTTAATGACTTTGACAGTTACATGGATTTAGACTTTCTGACTTCAGTATCTTAAAGATCAAGTCATAAAAACTCTCACAATTTCCAAGAAAAAAAGGAAGCCATAATTCCCCCATTGTGATAATTTGGCAGTGGATCTTGGCTATAAATTTGATAACATGAGCAAGATAAAGGAAATTGCGTTCTGCTATCTTCTGTGTTTTTAATGTGTAGGTGTAGAAATTATATACTGAAGTCTACCGCAATGTTATTGAAACTTTTGTTGGTTTACTTTAACTTATAAGTAATATCGTCGTAACGTTGTTAATTCGTTGAAATTTGCACATTTATAATTAAACTTCGTGTCATTCTTTTAGAATTCTTATAAGAAAATGTGTGCATATTTTTTTTAATTTTATTATAAAATCTTAAAACTAAAAAAGTAATCAACTTAAACTCTAAAATTCACGATGATTTTTTTTTTGTTATTTCCATTTCAAATAGAAAAGTTTTTTAATTTTTTTTTTCACCAATGAAATTTTTGTCTAAGTTTTTTTCTTTCTTTTACAAATAGTTTTTTTATCGTAGAATCTTAAGACTGGAGCTTATGGAAAAGCAATATAAAGACCGATGGCGCCTTTCTAAACGTCAATCTCGATATCAGCTCAAAGCGTCTTGGCACGATCCAGAAGATCGGTGATAAATTTCTGTAGGAAATAATAAAAGAAGTTAATTATTTATCTTTTCAAACATGTGTCATGTAGGCAGTCATCTCACTGAAATGTCCTTTTCGGATCGTTTGCAAGTTGAATTTGATAAGAGACTCTGTGTAGGAGTAAAATAAATAAAAAAAAAGAAAACGAAAATGTTAAATTTGCCATCAATCATGTAGGAAGAAAGTCAGCCAAGTTTTATCATATCAAATTTTTGATTATGCTAAAAGCTTTAAACATATTTATGATGGTAAAATTGAAGACGATGACAATTTCTACTCACAAATAAATGTGTCCGTCTAATATCGTCAGTGTCCATATCTAAAATTTCATCGATATCAACATCAACGGCTTCGTTCTGCAAATAAAACATAAAATTGCATGTTAAGGCAACAAAAACTCTTAATGTGTCTATAAATTCAGGCATTATTATGTGTGCGTGTGTGTAACGAATCTATGAATGCGCTTTCAAAACAGAGGGTAAAAAATATTGATTTTTCTTCCCACTTTTCAAACTTTACTTCAAAAACTTTTATGTTTTCCTCCGACATCTAAATATGCTTTATAAAACAACTTTATGAATTTAATTGACTTACAGGTGGATCGAAGAGCTTCTGTAATTCATCGTAAAGCCACATCTCAACAGCAAGTCGCTTCCTGATAAGACTCATTTGATGCGATCCATATTTGGCGGTTAAAAACTTTTCACGTCGCTCTTTCACTTCACCTTTCTCTGTGAAATTAACTCTCAACCCTTGCCGACCCGGTGATCTCTCACAGTCATTCATTGTTTCAACACCACATTGCATTTTCGACTTCCGAATATTTTTATTTTCAGTCAATCTTTCACTTTCACCTTCGTTTTATGGTTGGGTTAGTTTTAAGTGCCTCTGAAAATAGATAAAATTAAAACATTATGGTAAAAATTTAGTTCATCTTTTATTCTATCATTTTGTTGTAGATAATATAGCAAACTTTGGTACCAAACGAACAGAGAATAACTTATTTGTTTTACAAAACAACACTGGTCAATTGTTGTTCTTTTATGTATTGTTTGAGTTTCATCCAACATATGAACATTTTGTGTTTTTCCAACAAGGTGAATAAAAAATTTACTCTCATTGTGAACGTTCAATATCATGTTGAGCTCATGTTTTCTCGAGTGATTCAATGTTATGAGATTCAATGGGAAATTAATTTCAAATTAAAAATAGTGTACAGTTTTTTTGGATTTCTTTATAATTGAAATATAGAAAACATTTTACACGGTGTAATTATTAATAATTTTAAGGAAATTTGATGGGAAATTTTCTAATTAAAATGGCTGAAAGTTAATTTCCTGCAATGACGAATAGAGATAGATGGTGGGTGCTTTCAGATGTTTATTTATGTTCATAAGTTTTCTTCATCGTGATAGACAATTGGAAATAAATAAACAAAGTCATTCATTATTAACTCGCCGTTTGACTTCAACTTTTTTGTTAAGGGTTGTATCAGCGATAAATAAATAAAAGAATAATGCTCGAGAAGTTCTCGCAGAATAAAGAAAATAACATTGAAAGAATCATTTCAGAACCATCGACACATTTCTATCAGTTGCTATTAAATTGTTGAAATCTGGTATCGTTGTAAATTTCATGAATGAAAACCAGTTTAGAAAATGTCCAACAACTCACATGAGATTGAACAGCTTCGTTGTGAAAGAATTTGATGACTCGGACACACCAAGGAAAATCGTTGAAAGATCCAGTAAACGGACATAAAGAAATTTCGAGTAAAAAATCGCTACTGATAAGTTGTGCCAAATATAAAAAATCTTTTTTACAAAATCATCTACACCATGTATAAAATATCATGGCAGTATTTTTTAGGTGACCTAAAATGGGTCCAATATGCTGTCTAAGTGGATATACAATAAGCCCATATACCGACCTTACAAGAACTCAACAAAACTGACATTAACTTGTGAATAATAGATTTATTATCAACAATGTTTTAACTAAGCAAAGACTTCATTGACAAGCACATCACCATCATCTAGCACATGATCTATTAAGTAAGAAATTATTTCCATTAGAAATAAGAAAAAAAAACTTGATTATTGCAATTTGCAACTGTTGCAAGATGTGGCTGAGTTCTCGTTGTTTAATGTTTCATCAAAAGAGGCCGATGGAAGAAGTTTTTAATTTTATCATCAGTTTACGACTGATGGCGAGACTTGAATGGAAGTGAATACTTTCTTTTCAACATTTTTTTATGTATGATTGTGTTAAAACATAAAACGAATGGCCAAAGCAACATAAAAAATAACAAACGATAAGTATTAACATTTACTACTACTACTTACACAAAAGCTGAACTTCCGGAAGTTTACCAGTTAATAGGAAAACGAGGTGGAAACAACGCAAATCGTTATATCATTCATAACATTTATTAGTTTGCGCATTTATTTTGTTTATCAATTTCCATGCAGTGTCGGGTTATAAATAATTAGCACTACTCAAGTCAGTTATCTCGACTATTACGTAAAAATATAAACAGGAAAAGTAAAAGATTCATAAAAAACAGTTTGAGAGATATCAAGTAAATTTATCAAATTGCAATTAGAGTTCATAATAAGAAGAATGTTGAGTAACTTGATTACTTTATAATGATAAGATTGAGAAGAGATTTTAACTGATGGCTTAAAGCATCAAATATGAAGGGAACATCAACATGAAATATAAAAAGAAAAACTTTCAAAAATTCGTATTTATACCCACAACATATAAGAAATGCTTAAGCAATCAAACAATAACTGTGATGAAAGAGAAAACTTCGTGAGTTAAGGATTTATGAATGTCTATAAAACTCAAAGATTAAACTTTGTTACTTCAGCATTATTAGATTAATTATTTAATTGGGACAAAATAATTAGGAGAAATCTTTGGAAATCAATCAATGAATGATTATGACTTGGCAAACATTTTCATATCAAATACTTTAGATTAATTATTATTGAATAGACTTGTGGGTTGGGTAAAACTTGTCGGATTAAGTTCAAATCAATGAGGGTGTCTGGTTGCTACAAACAACTTCTGCTTTTACCGAAAAAATAAAGAGTTATGAAGAGTCAAATATATTCATAAACACACACCTATCAACAGTCTGCCCTTAGATGGGTTTGTCGGCTTCTTTCGTTTCAAAGGGAAGCATAAGCAAAAACAATAATAATAGTAATAATAATATTGATTTATGTAATTTTACACATTTTCCATTTTTTTTAAAAATGATGTGATGTTTCTCGCTTCAATAGAGCTTCACGACATTGTCTCACAACAGTCTTTAACTCTGCTAACCAATGGCATTTCATTAAATGACCTCAGAATTACTTTATCCGTTCAAGGTACTCCTGATCAGAAATGCATTATGGACAAAAAGCTTCAATTTAATCATCTGAACAATAACATAGAATTATTTTCTTCTTTTAATTACAAGAAGACAAAGGTGGAAGACCTTAAACCGTAGCCAATTGTTGCACACTTCTTCAATTTAAATTTTGTACGCATTCACTTATTATAAAATCCCTTCATCACGAATCTTATCACCATTTTTCATCCTTTTTATTCTAACACCAACTGATACTTTTTTTCAAGTTACATAGTCATTTTTCATTATAATTGTTCCAAGATTCTAGACGATTCGTTGCTTTTTATAAGGTCAATGACGTTCAAAATTAATCATTCTTGTGGCATTCTCAAGTTCAAGGCAAATCTTTTTGGTACACACAGATTATGTAGACAATAATGTCTGTTGTATTGAAACCGAGAGAGAATATCTTTAGATAACTTAGACTATGATGATCTGATCTGACAATATTTGAATTCTCACATTCTAGAAAGATTATGCGAGGGTTGAAGAAGCTCATTTTCTTATCCTTTTTGGTTTAAGTAAGTAATCTGTCAATGTCGTTTTGTAAAATGATTTTTTTCTCTCTCTCAGTTGAACCTTAAGTCAATGACGTTGATAATGTGATTGTTAGCAACATTTTCATTTCATTCTACCTACACCACATAAAAAATAGTCGAAAGATAAAATTTTAATAATTATTTAACATATTTAACTGTTAGAATAAATTTAACGCTCGTTTGATTGTGATAATATTTGCACAGTTGATTTTAAGACATGACGCTTCGTAATGCTTTTAATGCCATTGCTACATTTAAGATAAAACTTTTAATAATTACTATCTATCTATTTGAAACTTTGCAAACTCTTAAATTTGTTCATTGTTGTGAACATCCAGCTTAGAAACTAATTTCTTGCTTCTATAATTTCCTTCTTGAATTATAATTTAACCAGGCATTTAGACTATGAAAATGAATTTATTTTTTCATCCTTGATTAAACAAAATGAATTTTCCAGACAGAAGGTCGAAAAATTGTTTTTGTTAAGAAATGTTGATAAAATATTCAACAAAGTACGAAAAGTATTGATGGAGTTTACAAGACTGACTCATTTCATTCATGAAAGTATGCATGAAAAGACGTAACAAAATCTACTTTCTTTTCTTATCAATTGAAGTACGCAACAAAATGCAGACTTTTAAATATCTCTTGCAGTTGTCAACCAAAACCCTTAATTTTGTCTGAGATGTTATATACTTGGAATTCCTTTTACCGCTTAAATAAGAAGATTAATGGCAAGAGTTCATTTTTTCTGAATAATTTAAAGCTCATTGATTTCCAGTTTTAACATTGTTAGCGTCAACGTTTCGTGTAAACAACAACAAAAAATCAATAAGCAAAAAAGAAACTTTTTAATCTCAGTTAAAGATAGAAACGCTTTATCTAACTAAGTTCTTATATCCGTAGTCAAACAACTGTTTTTATTACTTATGTGATTGTTTAGTGTCTAATTTTTAATAACTCACGTACAGCCTTTTTGGAGCTATTTTGAATCCGAAGACTATAAAAAGCCTTTGAAAAAATATTCTGGCACTTAAAGGTGACGATTGAATACGAAGATCTCAAGTTATATTAAACATATATTTATTCTAAAAAAACATCTATTCATTCGCATTCACGTCGAGGTGTTAAACACTTCAACCCCATCTAGAAAACTCTTTAACACATTTATACTCATAAGCTGAGAACCTTTAAATGGTTTTATTCAGCAGAATCACTGAACATACATCAGTTTGAATCTCATGTGAAAGCTATGAAAGGAAATTTCCATAACTGAGTTGATGCTTCAGAAAATTTTCTTTTTTCCCTTCTTAAATCGATTTTGGGTCTTAAAACGAGCAGAAAATGTTTTTCTCATATTAACAATTTATTTAAATGTGAAATACTGCATCTGCAGTACATTGTGAATGTTGCTAACTTTCCATTAGAATTTTAAAGTTTCTCATGCTTATGGCTTGAATATCGAAAGTTCATTTCAGTAGTAAAAAGGTTTCCAATTAATTAATTGATTTTCGTTTTTTTGAGTAATTTTAAGAGCAAGATTGAATTAATTATGTGCTTTTATGTTTGAAGCTACAAATACTTAATCAGACAGAAAGAAATGTGAGACTTTATGATGTAATCACTTTATTTAATGAGATTTTGTTGTTTCTCAGTAAGAAATAAAATGTCTGACATTTGCTCTTCAGAATGAAATCTTATTCTTAAATATACTTTTTTCTCACTCTCTTTAAAGCTTAAAAATATAAATAAAATTGTTAGCAACGTAATTTTGTGTTACTTATAATGACCGACAAGCTGATTTCAATTGTTGTTTCATAACCGTCAGCACACCTCATTTGCTCCAACATTGAATCGAAGATAAAGTTAGAGAATAGTTATTAAATATTCGCAGTTCTTATTGCTGACTAGGCTAGCTTCGAGTTGTTTGATTTAAACTTTTTGTCTCTATATAAACAAAAACTTGAAAATATTCATGAGTCATGGCATAAATGCGATGTTGCCAAATTGACAACTGCACATTGTCATGCCAAAAGAATGTTTTAGTTTTCTTTTATCTCAACATTTGGATTCAATTTCCAAGTCTTTTCTTCATTAAAAGTGTTAAAAGTAAAATAGTCCCTAAGCCAATTGGCACCTTTTGCAAAATCACTCGATAAGTTTATACGGTTGAAGCGAAAAAACAATGAAACGGAAACGATGTAAGGGTCAATATCGTAAAGTGTATCTATTTGCTTTCGAAGTTTTTCCCACGGAATTGGAGATTATTGTGAAACATGCTAAAGTACTACGCACGCACCTCTTACATTTCCACTTTTCTATTTATTCGACTTTACCCATTTCACTTGAACAACACAAGAATTCGTTGCATTGTTATGTGTTAGCGATAAATGCGTAAAACCATGTCCAATGTTCAAGTAAATATAAATATAAAGCTTTGACTCCACTTTATATGCTGTGATTCACAATATCACCCAACGGGATTTAATTTGATTAAAAGCAAATTTATGCGCTCATCGCATCATAACCACAGGTTCCGTCAAGAGTTGAAAGCGACATATGAGTTCCAAAGTGAAATCTGTGCTATTTATTACTTAAAAACATCATCGTTGCTTTGTAAACACATATGAGATTCTCTCTTTCTTTCTCTTCATAAGTTATGATGAATAATCAACGATTTGTTTTTATTGCATGAACCTAGCGTGAACATAGAGTTAATGAGGTCATCGACCTACATTCGGTGAGCGATTCAAAAGATTTTTTGTTTTTATTTTGACTTAACTTAAGTCAGAAATGCCTGATGCAGATCATTTTGAATCATTACTGTATGATGCATGATTGCTTTCATGATTTGCAAAAACACGAACGCGCATAACCATTCAGATTACCACCTTGACTGTTATGAGTGCAAAAGTAATATAAATCGGAAGTTTAATTATATGTAAACGTGTGAAATAACATAATTTTAAGTGGAATAGACAGATTTCAAAAGATGAAAGAAGTTGTAATAAATAAAATTAATCAAAAGTAATAATTTTAACTCAATCACTCGTTTTCAAGCTTTTTATAGGTCAAAAAGACAAAATTTACATTGAATAATCACCAAAGAGTCTGGTCATTAATTAAAGCTTTAATAAGGTATGACTGGTGAGATCATTTTTCATTACACTCGAGAGGACTGATGTCATTTCGTAAGCAAGTAAAATCTCCCACAATTCTTTTTAAACTTTTAACATCTTGAACTTTATGTGATTATAGAGCGTGAAAGATTTAATGATTCGAATGTAGTGCATTCTCGATGTAACGAAATTTCCCTATGTTCATTATTAAGTTGACATAAGTCATAGACTTTTAATGAATGAATAATAATTATACTTTGTCTTTGTACTTTTTCACAGAACATGAGCTAATTTACATTTGTTGAGGTTTAAGCAGGAACAACGCGTTATATGCAAATCATATTCATCTCTTAGGAAGGCATAAAAGCAGAAAAAGCTCGACGATGTGAAACACGTCTATCATTCTCCAAGAGGAATGATGATAATGGATGACTGAGGTTCTCTGTTTTCGTTTCTTGCATTAGATATTATAATTATATAACACTTTTTTTCTCATTCGTAAACATTTAATGAGTTGGCAAGGAAAGATATGTAGGATAATCTTAATTTTTTAAATGAGTGGGCGTTTTTTGTTCGAAGAGTTGATAATTGCGGACGATTGAAACGTGCATTTTATGGTATCTTTTCAACTGTTTCTGAAGATTTAGGATGCTGCCTCGTCTGGTCTTGCGAGAAAGAAAAATTGAAATAGAAAGTCTCAAATTGCGACATACAAATGAGTCAACGTTTTAGCTCAGGGCTCAATAATTTATCTCACAACAATTTATCAAAGAGTTCGTTCCCTAAGCATTTCACTGTTTTCTCACGATGCGAATAAAAATGATGAATGGCGAGTGAATATTGAAAAATCGCCTTCAGCTTCACCAAACGAGATGATTCTGAGGGAGTGTTTAGAAATAAATTCTTTCAAGGAATTTCTTTTTTATTTTCCTCTCTTTTTGGTTGTTAATTCCACATCAAATGCATTCATTAAATTTTCTTCTCCTTCTCAGTATTTCGATCACAAATTTTTGCAATTATGAACCTTCACTCAAATACAATGTTTGTTTTGTAAATATTGAATAAGTTTGAATGAGTCCATATTTGTATAAATGTTGAAGAAAAATATTGTAATTCTATAAATATTCTTAAATAAACGAATTCACGATGTTATTTGATTTAATTTAACTTATGCCTCAATAGAAGAAGATTTTTCTCGCTGTTTTTTCTTTGCTTGACTTGTTGTCTGTAGAGTTTTTTTGTAGCTAGATATAAAGATAGAAAGAATTTATAATGAGCTTCATGCATACACGGAACAGGTATAAAAATTCTGTTTATTGTGATCAATGTAAGCCCAAACAAGTGGTGAGGGAGAGAATGAAAAGGCAAAGGCAAAGGCAAAGGCAGAAGCAAAGAAGTGGCTTTGAATTATTTATTAATGTTATTTCTCATAAAGCATAATTCAACTCAAAAACACGTTCGCGAGATGATGAGACGTTTGAATAATTAGTGTAAAGCTTGAAAGTAGTACATCAACGTAAAATTGTTAAATTGATTATTTAAGATTCTATTTCAAGAGCTTTGCTTTTTACGAGTAATTAACGTTTTCTTCTTGAAGCAAACTGATTCTGATAAAATTTATTCGCAAGAGTTTTTCTTTTTCAACTTCTGATTGATGTTCACTACTTAATGTTCCATTTAGCAAAATGTTCAATTTTTTTTTCATCTACGAAAGAAAGCACAAAAGAAACAAAATCATATTTGTATGTTGTGATACTTGTTATGATATATGAAGTCGGAAGAGAGCCACGTGGTCATGATTTGTCAGCAGAAAATTTAAGAATACCTGCATGAATACAATTTATGAATTCTTTCATATTCTAGTAGTTCAACCTCTTGAAAGCGAGAAAGAAACGAAAATTTCTCCTCTCTTAAAGACTTTAAAAACCAATAAAATAGTCAAGAGATGACAAAAGTGGGCGGGCGCCAAATAAACTTTTGGGAATTGAATAAAGGAAAAGTTCATAATCTATTTTTACGAATTGTCTACAATAAACAATCATTAAACTATTAACGCGGAGAAAACTCTAATAAAAATTTAAATATCCGAAACTTTTTAAGGTAAAAAGCATTTCAAGATGTTTTAAAAAATTATAAACGTTTACGAATCGAATGGTCATAAGGAAAGATCGAATTTCAATAGTTTTTGTTGGACTTTCTGCTCTGCTTGTAAGTTGTTTGCTTATATTTTAATTTCTTACAATGTTTTTTATGTGAATATGTGCTGCGCTATGAGCAACATCGGCTGTAATTTTATTAGACTATAAATGATTACAATCTTGGATTACTAAACAACCCGTCAAGACCTATTCTTGCTGGAATATTTATGCAAAAGCAATCGAGTAGAAAAAGTATAAGAAAATCAATATTGTCACTTTAGTTATTTGAAAAGGCATTGAATCGTGTAATAATCTTGCACAAAAAGTTCAAGTAAAAGTTGCATTAGTGAATTATGAGTTTCAAGTTTATAAAAAATGCATGACTTTAGTTTTTATTCGAATTGTAGAGGATGTTACGAAACTCAAACTGGATTTTCTATTCATACTGCTTTTCACTTTTATAGGTCAATAATATAATAATTACATAAATTTAATTCAATTAATAATCTTATTTTATTCCAAAACAAATATTAAACTTAATTGAAGAGAAGATAAATTCGTATTCAATTAACTGTGTAAGGATAACAAGGAATTTCTTTTTGGTTCGACAAGATTTTGGTTTGCTCGACATGTTGTTACAGTAACATGACACTTCCCATTTCTATTTTTTGATTGGAATTATGGTATGGAACAAAGCACCTAGAAAGCACCAAAGAAATGTCGCCAGGTTTTTTGTCTATCAATTCAATTCATTCACAAACGTCACAAAAAAGCTTTTGACATGATTTTTATTTCTAAGACGTGTTTTAATAGACATCGACAATGGAACGAAATGAACGAAAAAGAATTTCGTGCGTGAATAAAATAAGTTTTAAATGGCAACATCGACAAAGATACATCTGAAGCCATGCTTCCAAGAAAATTAATTGTTGATTGTGAAAGGTTAAAAAGATTTTTATCGCTTCACCAAATTGAGAGATGAATAATAAATTCTCAAGTATTTTGTGAATTTGTGACTATGTTAATAACGATACATGTCTTTGACGAAACTTTTACGGAATTCCCCTACGCACCGTGCTTTTACGACAAAGTTTAATTGGATTTTAAGACAAGTGAAGAAGTTTTAATATTAAAATGAAGACGTCAAAGCAACGGAGAGTAAGCTACTCAAATTTCTGGAAACAATAAATGGCGCAATTGTCCCAACTCCGTTAACTCTCAACGCTCATGGCTTAATTACGGCTCTAATTAAGAACGCTTAATTTATTCTTATTCGATTAAATCTCGCTCATCAATTTCCTCGTGTTACACAATGAACTTCATGCTGATCCAAGAAAAATCACAAACCAGGCCTGGCTTATAAAAATTTCTTTTCAATTAATTTTTCATTGTGGTGAAGTTTTTGAAATCGTCTTGATATTGTTTACCGTAGCGAATCTTCCCATACCAAAACGAATACGAAGAAAGAGAAGAAAAAATCTTCATACGTCTTCGTTGCAGTCTCAGTCATATCTATGAAAATACAAAATGTTTCACAAATTTTAACTTCTCTGATGTTCGTTCTTTCACAATATGAACGTTGAATGTTTGATTTATCAATTTCACTGTGCGAAAATAAGATTTTTGTTTTTACTTCACTGCTTGTTCAATCTTTTTTTGGCATGTGAAAATAGATTTCTGGCAGTCATGCTGTAAACATGTTGAAAAATTCGTGTAAATCCGATGAGTTAAGGTTAGGCAATTTAATTAGACGTCAGTAATCATTTGTGGCGTGAACAAAGTTATGATGATTTGCAATAGAAAATGAGTGACTGAAGGTAGTGAATTGCTTGATGTGTGAAATATATAAATGAATGGATTTTAATTAAAGTTGCTTCTGCTTGCTTGCTTACATAGGCTTGTCTTTTCAACAAAATTTTTTGATAAATTAATTATTTTACACATAGATGAACAAAATCAGTCTCGAAATTTGAAATTTCAACGAAGGTTGCATGACAATCATGGATTCTTCACAAAACCTTGGATGAATATTGCGACACTTTACTCATGACATTGAGTGGAAAATTCCTGAAAATTTGATGTTAGTTTGCATGGAGAAGCAATCATACACATTCATACGAGAACAATTGTGTTTTATGGTTTCCGTCACACATAAATAGCACGCGAACAGTCAACGGAAATGAAGAATTCTAACTTTTATTTTCCGTTTTGCTAAGAAAATTTTAATCTAATTTGTGTCAAGTGGAATTGGGATTGGTTATGGCTCAATAAATGTAGCACCATTATAAATTGTAACAGAAAGTAGCAATGATGTAATCGTTTCTAAAATATTGGACAATTTAAAGAAAAGTTTAATTAAATATCGATTAAATCAGTGAAAAGTAATCATGAACATTCAATCATGAAATTAAACTCTTCCCTAACAAGCAACATATCAAAAAACGTTGAAACTCGTTAAATTCTAAACAAATAATATGCTTCAAAAATTACTTAAATATATCTTCGAATAGCATCTCAATCACCTGATCGACTACTTTAACTGAAACCATGAGATTGCGAAATACAAAATTTCCATCTTTTGCTTTCTTCTTTCGTTCATGCGGCTTCAGACTTCATCATACAATTGCTTTATTCAATTTCTTACAGAAAAAGAGATTTTTGAATGATCGGCTTTGCAAGGATGACCAAGCGTAAAAGCATAATATCAAACACCATCACAACTACTACCAAATGACTTGATGGTTTCTTCAAGCCGATTTGAATGGAAGATTTTCCGGTTTTCTTTTCTTGACTTAGATGAATTTAATACGTTAAACAAAACGATCATTTAAGCTCCCAACTTCTTATTTATATGAATTATGATTTTAATCGTGCTTTTCTTTGGTCATTGCTAACGGATTTAACTTCAACTCGTGTACATTATTGCCTCAACGATTTTGTTTGTAAATATTAAAAGAAAGAAATTAAGAAGAAGCTAAAGCTTGATTAAGAAAATACTAATAATAATAATAAGAATAATAAATGCCGAATTATTGTAATTTTTATGTCGAATGGCTCAGCCTACTCCAACAAAGTATTTGTATTTGTTACTCAAAATTACTCCAAACATGGAAGAGAAAAGAATTGGGGAATCCAAGTCAAAAACTACAAAAAAATTAATTTGTTTTTGCTATGCGAAAATGACTTTCAATATGCATGAGGAAAGCTTTTTAGGAGATATTTGAAAGCCAAACCACTGTTTCCGTATCCACTGGAAGGAGCTTACGCTTTTTTCATTTAATTATTATTATGAGGGTAATAAAATCGTCGCGTTTCCTTATACTGATCAGCACTAAATAAACTTGTTTCGGGATTTCAAAACCATTGATTTATTCTACGTCTTAATAAGTAGGAAACTTTCAGTTTTAAAGCCAATTCAACTGACAACTCTCATCATTTTTCGTTTCACTTTTTATTGCGTTGTATCTCCTGAATGTTTGAGCTTGTCTCAAAATTGTCGTGGGTGTGAAATCTTTCACGAAATTAGATCACAAAAATGAAATTATAAACAGAGTATTTAAACCGTGATGAGTAAAGACATAAGAAATTTATTTAAAATATTCACGTTCCGTTTGCGAAGTAAAATGCAGAAAAATTGAAAAGATTATTAAAAAAAACTCATAGGGAAAAAAACTGTCTGCAAACCTCATCTCTTTCACTCAAAGCTTCTAGTGTTTGTGTTTATGTTAATTTTTTGTTGTTCATAGTGAATTCTTTGATTGGGATCGAAACGATATATTTTGATACTTTGATAAACAAAAGTTTCATTGCTGCGGTTTTTATTCCATGCTCAGGTGATTTCTCGACTTTTATTCGCAATTCATTAAGAGACAAATGAGTAAAAATAAATTAGGATAAATAGAATAAAACAACTACTCAATTCTTTTAAATACAGTGGACGGATTTGTATTTAAAAAATGTCGCAATTTATGTCAAACAAATAAAAAAATCTCCTTGTGCAAAAATTTAAAAAGTTTGACTGAATCTAGTTCGAGTCTCCAATTTGGAAATAGAAAAAAATCTTAATTAGGCCGACAATGAACGATGGTGTATCGTTCTCTATAATATCTTTTTTTTATTAATCTTTTCATATAAACTCTGAATCCTAAGTCTATGAGACTTTAATTTGATGGATTTGCCTTACAGCGAGTAACTTTTCATTCCACTTGTTTTTCTTTCTTTCTCGATAAACATTTCAACTTCTCAAGATTATTTTTCTTTCAAGAAACTTTAATTTCAAGAGTTTAATTCCCCTGCCGATTGATGAGCGATTAATGATTGGTTGGTCTGTTGCCTCCAAACGCAGCTTTATCTTGAGAGAAAAGGAGTTCCCTCTTTATTGAAGTTCATTTAAATCGTTTAATTGACGTTGACGCATCATTATAATTTTTCTCTTAAATGCGGTTTCATCATTGAAAACATAATCTATTCAATAATTTCAGCAGAATACCTAACAGAACTCTTTGAGATCCGGGTAACTAAGTTTCATTATCGTTTCAAATTTACTTGACAAAGGAAAGACGAAAAAAAATGTGAAAGTTTATCTCTTCATAAAGAGAATTGAATTAATAAATAATGGATCAACGAATCATGCTTGAGTTTTAGCTTCTTTTTTTGGATTGAATCGAATATCATGGCTTGAGTGAACGCAACTTCTTCGAAAAAGTTTAAAAGGCCTTCAACCGTCAATAAACATTCACGAGCATCGGCAAAAGACTGTTATTTTATAAAGTAAATATGTAAATGGAAGACATAAAAGCTTCAAACCCTCACTCATAACAATGCATCAACAACAAAGTTTCTAAAAGTATCTTCGAGGGAATCATGAGAAAAAAGATACTTGTTTGTTTTCTTTGAGATCTCATATCATGAGAAAAGTGTTTCAATTCTCTTCTAATTTTATTGGAAACAAATAACATTTGATGAACGATCATTTCTTAAGCAAATATTCAATTAAATTTAATTGAAAAGTTCTTGTGAAGCTTCTGACTTCCAACATTTATGTTTTTCTTATGTCATTATCAAGGAAAAAGATTTTTTATTTTATTTATGAATTATTACAGGCCGGTCGCCGCCTACAAAAGTTATTCATGAATCATGATATTGAACGACTAAATATTTATGGTCAAATGAAAGCTAGATACTTACGAGTCAGATCCGATGAGTTTATTCCTCAGTTTTGTGTAATTCTTACTAATGTTTATGAACAAGAATCAGATCTGTTTCCCAGCCTGAAACGAAGTTGCAAAAATTAGATATTTCTCCTCTTACATTGCAATGCAAGGAAATATGAGAAGAAAAAGAGAATCGGTTCGCTCATTTTTATTTATAGAAGAAAACAAGAAAAACTCTTGACACGAGAAAACATGCTTTGTAAACATCCAATGATTTTTTTCTTAGAATGAAAACATATTTACATTGCTATGTTTTCGGTACGATAAATGTAGAATCATTCAATTCAAGCAGGTAAAGGAAAAGGAAATAAAATTTATTTTAAACCATCAAAAATGTAGAAGTTAGATAACGAAGACGCAACATTTTCATATTAAAATATTTTTGAAGGTGGTAAAGTTAATTTTTGTGTTTTCCAAAACATAATTTCACACGATAAAGTTTTCTGCCGAAAATAAACTCTCATTTGTATTCAGTTTTTATACGGTTTTTAGTTCATTGCACTTTTTTTTCTCTTTGTTAGTTTTTGTTGTATCTCGGATTCAAAATCAAAAGCAGAGGGGAAAAGTTTTTCGTTTCAAAATCATCTCTCGTGAAATTTTTTGGTTAAATTTTATTTATTTGAGAGATTCTCGTAACTTGATAGAAATTTATGAATTTTCTGGTTTCATCCAAAAGACAAAACAAAATTATTGCGCAAATTTAGACACAAATTTACAGTAAGATTGAGAAAAACTTTATGGATGTCAGCATCATCTTGCTAAGTCATTTTAGCAAAATTTCTTCTTAATAGGAGAAATGAACAAGAGAACTTTTAACTTCTTATGATGCGATGCGAGACGAAAGCGCAAAAAATAATATAATGGAGCACAAGATACGAGAATAAAGTGTACTTTACTCACAAACACAGCTAATGGAGATTTTGCGGTAAGTAAATGAAGAAGAAACGATTAAAATAAAGTTTATAAGTAAAGAAAAAATTCTTCTTTTTTTGAATTGAATAACCAGTTAAAGATTTGACTCAAGTTAAAAAAGAAGAAAGACTACAACATGAAAATCAGTTATTTTATTATTTTTCTTTTTTCTACCTTTAATTTCTTCCGGAATTTTAGATGCTTAAGAATTTACCTTCTTTTTATCTAACAAATTCTTCCAAATTTATCACAAAACTTTTTAATATTTACTTGTTAATTTTTTTTTAACAATTTTTTTTTAATTTCTGAGCTTTTTTTTAAATATTCTTTGATTTTTTAAGCAATTATTATTTTTGACCTTGCAATTATTTATCTAATCTGTTATTTATCAAAGCAATTCACTTAATTTCTGCCACTAAGGTGAAATATTGTTTTTTGATTAAATTTAATCCGACAACCGAAACTTGCGATTCATGCGAGTATCTCAGACAGACTGCTGGTGGTTTTGTTCGCATTAAAAAAATTCTTCTTTGAGTATTGTTTTTCAATGTTTTGTAATGTTTTTCTAATGTTGGTGGTGTTGGTGGTGAAGTAAAAAATGAGAGAACGATGCGCATAAAGCGCGAAAAATGCTTTTCGATTATTTACAAGTCGATACAATTTATGGATGTTTTGGCTTTAAATGTTATCTAATTGAAACGTTGAGGTGAATAAAGTGATTTAGCAGAAAATAAATTTGTAATTTCGGAAGTTGATAATCATAAAACGAATTTCTTTATCGCGCTAGATCATTTTGAAAAACTTGTTATTCAAACTAAGACACTTTATTGTACTTTATTTAACTCAATAAGATATCTCTTAAGATGCTGGACACATTTTACTTCTCATCAATGATTCTGCGCAACGTTTATTCCAAAAAGAGTAGGTAATAATCTACATTATATAATCCCAAGAATCGTTCTTTTGTTCCTTAACCTGTACCATATTTTTTTTCTTTTGCAACGTAAAATCTTTTCTTTTCATATCAAGAGAAAAGACTTTTCTTCCAGAAAAAGAAAACATCCAATGGAGTGGCAATCAGGTCAGCAAAACATTGAGAAACGAAAATATTATTTTATCATGTACAATGAAAAGCCGTCGTTGATGCCAAGATGCATTTGTTGATAAATTTGTTGTACATACTTAGTCTGGTGATGAATATACACGAATCACAATTTTGGTGCTTTGATCAAACATAATAAAAATTTTAAAATACGGCCACGTAAGCGACATTTCATTCACACATTGAACAATTTTGTAATTCAAGAATCATTCTCCGTTAATGAGAATTGCTTCAAGTCCTTTGTTAACATTTTTTTCTGTTTGTGAATGTAGACTTTCTTTTTCTTTCTTCTAAATTTTTTTTGACATCTTTAACTGAAAGGTGACTAAATTCGGTCGGAAAATGTAACAAGAAGAAAAAGCTTTGATCGTTTTTCTCAAAATCTCTGTTCGAGATGTGAATGACTTGAAATATGCTTTCGTAGAAAAGTATCAAAAGCCTCGACTTTCTGTTGTAATTCTCTTCGATTTATGTTTATTCATAACTAAGCTTAGCTCAAAAAAAATATTTAGTGTTACCTGAATAACTTCTCCGTTTTTAGCAATGGAAATATATTAACTTGAAGTCACTTTCGAGAAAAACTTTTTCAGAAGCAGAGAAACTCGGCACGTGACATGTGGGAGGTCTGCAGCTTCGATGGAAACTAATCCTCTATTGCAGACTGTTTTTTTTCTTACTACATTTCAGTCTTTGACAAGTTTTCCAGAATTCAAAGAAAATTTTGTACTGCGCAATGGAAATTTTGTTGAACATAAGTATGGCATGATATGAAGATTTTTTGTTAGAACAAGTCAAAATGTTAATAAACTCACACAGAGAAATTTTGAAATTCCGGAATAACGCACGTTATTACTGAAATTATACTACTTATTGTATTAATAAACTTTTGCGTTATTCCTTTAATATTATGCGTGATAAAGCTTTCTTCATATGAAATGTAATATGATTGATGTAATATTGATGTTTAATGAAAATAAGTCATTGAATGCAATCTTATTTTAATATTAAATGTTATCATATTAAAGCTAAACATTATTCAAAAATCTTATCAAGAGTTCACTAATTTCATTTCAAGAGTTCATTAATAAAGTATTACAAATTTAGTTTTGCACATTTTCGTTCTAACACAAAATGTATTTCCGCCAATAACGTGCTATCTGGTGCCGTGCAAAAGACGCCGCTATAGCTTCAAATGCCTTATTGTGGCTAGCATATTTTTTTCTGCGTGTTGATATTGAGTTGAGTTCAATAATCGGCTTAATCTTAAATTTTAATTTAAAAGATGAAAATGAGTGCTTAATAAACCATTGAAGAATTATTTAATATTCGAAAATATATTAAAATTCTGAAATTTAAAAGTAGGTAATTGATTATAAATTAAGTTTACGATTTCTTTCTCGGATTATTTATCAACTTTTTATGTGAGAAAAAAATTATTTTATCCTTTAGAAGGTTCGTAATGTTTAGTGTTGCCGTAGGTTCTTCATATAAGAAAAGGAAAATGAATGTCGGTGATTTTCCATGCGCAATGGAAAGTATCAAACAGCATGATGTTAAAGAAATTGTTTTCATAATCACAAAAATACTTCCAAACTCGATAGTATAATTATTGATTTTTCTGAAAACAGACGGAAAATTGAAGAAAGATTTTCTAAAGCTAATAAAACTGATTTTGTCTTGAATTGTAGACAATTTTTTAGTTCATTCCATCTTTAACTTGATCTTTTAACTACTAAGTGTTGCTTTGAGTAATTAAATATCATAATCAATTAGCGTGTTCTTAAATATATTGTGAATGTAACTAAATATTATGTGGTTCTCTTGTCACTCTCAATTAAAGGTTAAATTTTTGTGATTTTCAAATGCTGAACATAGAAATCTGAGTCGTGAAGAAACTTTATTCTATTTTACTTGAGAATAGCAACAACATTCAAATAATTTTTGGCTTTCTTATAACACAATCTGATTGAATTACTAGAAGAAGAAATTTGAAGCTTTAAATAAGCAAAAAGAAAATGAACATTTCATCACTCAATCACTTACTATTGCAGTTTGCTTTGTTATTATTGTTATTAAACAATTATGAGACAGTTGCCTATCACGATGACATGCACAACGTAGCAAAAAGATTGGATGTAGACATATGTACAGGTGTGTAATTAAATTAATGAAAAGTTTTAAAAGCGGAAGTTTATAGGTTTTAATGACATTTATTGATTACAGAACGATTTGACATCCATTCGTCGACAATTATTCGCACTGAAGAGTCAAAATTAATGGGAGCAAAATTTCTCAACGATGAAGACGTCGCAACAGCTGATACTTGCTTAAAAATGTGCTGTGAAACGAGCGAGTGTGATGTTTTCATTTACGAAGAAAAGGTAAATATTTGACATCGACCACACTGAACGTTTAAAAAAGAAGAATGGAAAAAAGAATTTAAAAAAACCTTCACCGGACGTTCCAATGAATCATATCGAATAACAAAACAATACAAAGAAATCTATTTGCAAAAAAACTTTTTTTTATTTTTTCAACCAAAATTGATACTTGAGGTCTTGCTTGAGGTGATATCATTTCAAGTTGTTTGTCTTCCATTTGATTAAGTTCAGTTGAAAGCAATTAAATGTTGATTTACTTTTTTCACAATTTTTTGTTTTAACTTAATGTTTTTTAAGAAAAGAAACTGAGAAAAATCTTGAACGTAATTTTCATAATCAAGCATTCTTACCTAATCGCTTATTTATTGGAATGAAAATTTTTTAACTTTGAAAACTTTTAGAAATCTTCTTTTATGACTTCTTGAAAAATTTTAGATCAAAAGAAACTCTGCAAATATTACCCTAAAAAATATTTTGAACAAAATCTAATTTTTATGGTAAAAGAATTGATTAGCTTGAAACGAAATAATTTGTAAAACATAAAATTTTAATTTATTTATTCATCAAGTTAATTCCATTGTCGTCACGTGTAAAATGTTTTCCTTTTAGAGTACTGGCACGTGCTTTCTTTTTCATTGTGGAATGCCTGACAACTTTCGATGTAAATTTACATCGCACTCAAATTATACGAGCGGCATTCTCACTGTTCCTAGACGAGAATTTGATGCACCCACAAATCCACCTTTGCTAGCTGCTTTGAAGCCAAAGCTGTCGCAAAATGAGTTAGAATTAGTCAATTTGAAACGTCCATCAAATGCATATCACTTGTAAGTATTATTTTCACTTCAACGTGACTGGAAATTGAGACCAAATATGACGGAATTATGTATTTTAAATATCAGATCTCCAGATTTAATACCACAAACAACATCAACGATTATGCCAAATGGCGTTAGGTTGGTAGATGTCACAAGCACCAGTTCAACATCTACTACCAAGTCATCATGTGGCAGATTTCAATTTCAATGTCAGACCAGCAGAGAATGTATTGCGGTAAGATTGTCTATGATGACGACGAAGATTAATGACGATTGCAATTAACTTTCTTAATACTTCAGATTTATAACGTTTGCGATCAAATCGCGCAATGTGATGATGGAAGCGATGAGGGACCTGAGGTAAGTAAAAAGAAGAATAGAAAAACTTTTCAACTTTTCTCTTCATTTTCTTTCTTCATTTTCGTTTTTCATTTCAGTGTCCCACAACAAATTCCGCCGCAAAAACTTTACCTAATGTTGTTGAAAGTCAACCAAGATTGGACAACCAAGTTAATCGAAATCGTGTCGTAATGCCAGTGAATGTAAGCTTAGCGTTGATTTCATTAATTGATAATGTTCAAGTTAATTTCTTGTAGATTAATGATAACTTTAATCAAATGCCGCGACCGATGCTTCATAATCGAGAGGACCCTTTGTCGGCTCCAAAATATCCGCAAAGTCATGTTACACAGTATACTGGTAAATAATTTTTTCATTTATTAAATTTAAAAAACATTCGTTAGGAATCCATCAATTAATATCTTTCATTAAAAAAACGAACAATATTTGATAGAAATCGATCTTGAACGATTGACTACCCTACAATGAAGCAAGCAATCAAATAACCAAACCAATTTAGTTTGAAATAATAGCAACGAATGAAAGAAAACTCATACTTGAGTGAACTTTATAAAACAAACTTGAATCATTCCTTCTCAAACTCACAGATTTGAATACAAATGTGTCGTTTTAAGGTAATTTTCCAATGAAGAAACAAAGCGAGAACTTCTCATTATTCTTTTTTCAATTTTTCTAAAACATCACAAGTTAAGAAACGGAAGCAAACAATAATTGAAGGCGAAATTTTGTGTTCATCTTTGGGGACTTTACAAACGACAAACATTACAGTTAATTCTGTTCAAAATGGGAAGACTCTCCACTGATATGTCTGTAAATTTGTTATTTATTTTTTAACATGTGTATGTGTACCAATGACTCTCGTAATTTATGACTAATTTAAACTTCATCCACTTTTCGGGGTCGCCGGTCATGCCGAACATATTTAAAAACAAATTGAAATCATTGATCTTGATCGCCTTCTTTACCACCAATGAATCAGCAAATCTTCATAAAGAAACCGTTTGCTTGAAAGGTCACAAAACCTTTGTTGTTCAATCGTGATGAACTCATCATAATTATCATCATTCTAGTCTAGTTGTGCTCTGATTTCAACATCGTAATAAGATGAAATGATGTTTCAATTGCCCCACGGTCAACTTAGGTGTTCATTTTAACTACTTAAAGTTCGATTTCTTTTTTAAGAGTTGAATAAATGAAATGAAATAAACGAAGACATTTTTGAATTCAAAACACATAATAGTCTCGTGACGATGATGAACTTAATTCAATTGTAGAATGAATTCGAGTAGCGAGGCGTCGTCTCATGTCTTATATGGTTCGTTGCCGCATTGCTTCTAATTGAATATAATTTTTCTTGATGCATATCAATGAGTTGACGTTAGTGAAATTCTCTTCTTGATGATTGAGACAAATAATTTTAATAATGTTTCATAATTACTTTCCAGTTGCTTAATTTATCAATCTCGCTTACTTAATCTTGAATCGTTAATTAAGTTTATGTCTTTTAACCTACAATCTTATAATGGAGTCAATATATTTATTTGTTTCATTTCTTATCTCAAATCATACTAATTTCTTCAGACACCGACACAGATAGCCGCATCTTCAATCATAAAAATGGCTTGTTAAGCGGAAACTTCCCGCAACAATTTCCCACAAAACTTCAACATGACCCATTTATGATGCCGCAACAACCAGACCCACAGATGATTGAAGATCCAATGTACCGTGAACAACCGCAAATGACTCGAAACGATTGGCCACAAATTATGCCCCAGCAGTCACAAATACCTCAAGTCAAACAAAATCCCGTGTGGCCTGATAAGCTTGTTAAAGAAACTCCCGTGGTAATTGATAAAACAAGAAAAAAAGTCACAAATAAAGATGATGCAGAATATTCCGAAGAATATTCAGAAACAGATGAAAGTCAAAGTGAATATGAAAGTGCAACAACTACTGAGGCTCCTAAAAAGGTTTGTGTCTCAATGAGCTGAATGAAAATTTCATAAATTTAATTTTTCTTTTTTAGAAATCTCGCAAGCATAAGAAAGTGAAAGGCCAGAAGGATAAACAAAAAAATCACGAAAAGCCACTACACGATCAATTGAAGCAGTTGAAGAATTCAAAAAATGTGGAAGCTCAATTTATTACAGAACATAGTGGTCACGTTGAGAAACCAACTGGAGCAGTTTTGTCACTCACACTCGGTTGCTTGGTTTTAGCTGCACTTTCAGTTTTGATCGGATGTCGCTTACGGCGAGTTAATGTGAGACGTAGACGTGGAAAATCTGTTGAAGCTGATTATCTTGTGAATGGTCTTTACTTGTAAATTTTTTTTTGTGTTTCATTTGATGTTTAGATAATGTCTCACAACCGACATTTTTTCCTCTGTTTTTTGTGTTCTTCCCCGTCGCATCTTCCCATGAAATGTTAAACTTTAAAAAATATTTTTTATTGCAGCTTACGAAAGAACAATAAAGACAAAAATGTATTATACAGAAGAAATATCTTTTTTAATTCAAATCAATTAAACATCGCAAAATTTTTTTGAATTAGGGGAGAAGGATATATTGTGGGTACAGTTGAAAACGATACTTACTCTACTTCTGTAAATAGTTTTGAGCCAAAAAAATGTAAAATAACAAGAAAACCATAGTCGAAATTGAGTGCACTCACAATTGGTTTCATTTTAACTGTACCCACAATACGTCCTTCTCCTCTATATCTAGTTGTAGAATGTTTATGCATATATTGTGTGAATAATTTCACACATTTTTAAACAATGGCTTTAATTCATCTTATTCTCATTAATTAGTTCTTGTTTAATTTAAATTAGATCAATTGTTTGGTGAGAAGGAGAAAATCTGAAATCATGTGAATATTTTTATATTAGAAAGAAGCTAGCACCATCTATTGCTAGGTAGGAATTTCAAATCGTAGGTAATTATTTAAAATTTAAGAAACCGTTAAAGATTGTAAGTATTGTGAGTTTCGTCATGACTTGTATTATTCCTATATTAGTCTTAATTTGGTAAATATTTAAGTAGATATAAGAATGTATATAAAGATGCTATAATTGTAAATCAATATAATTTTTAAACTTATAACACATTTGAACAATGAAAATGAAAGTTAAAGGCTAAATATTTCAATACTGTGGTTTGAAGATGTACATTTCATGTTGCTTTATATCTTACAATTAAAGATTCTGATAATTGATAAGCGAAGAAATATCACAAGCATTTGAAATATATCGCGCGAAAAGTTACTTACCGATCCGTACTTCAACTTTTCATTCAGGGGTCGGAAGCTTAGCGATTTTTCGCAAAAAGCTTCCAAGCTTCCGCTTCGGCTTCTCAAATTTCTGGAAAAGCTTCCAAGCTTCCGCTTCGGCTTCTCAGAATTCTGAAAAAGCTTCCAAGCTTCCGCTTCGGCTTCCCAGAATTCTGAAAAAGCTTCCAAGCTTCCGCTTCGGCTTCTCAAAAAGATGAGCTTCTCTAAGCTTCCGCTTCCGAAGCCCAAAAAGATGAGCTTCTTTAAGCTTCCAGCTTAAATTTTTTAGTCTAACTCTAAAGTTTAGAGTCTAAATAAAAATAAATAAAAAATATCAAGTCCTTTGAGAACTCGTAAATATATATAAAAAGAGAATCACTTTTTGTACACTATGAATGAAAAAGATTTGTGAGTTTTATTTGATAACAAGCAACTTTATTCATTCTCTTTTATTATTTTATAAACTTTCAGTTGATTTGAGAACGATTGAATGACAAGTTGATTTAATTGACAAGCGTTGTTTAATTGTTGAACTTTTCGTTCAGCCTCAAAAATAAAATACTTTCCAGTATGTCTGGGTCCATTCGCGAACGGAACTTGTTTAAAATAAAGTTTAAATGCGAAAATAGCCGTTCGACGGAGACTTCCGTAGTAGGGGCACTAATTACATCGAATGCGAGTTCCTTCATTAGCGGCAATTGTTTGTTCTGTTTCCAGAAGTCAATGACGCTCTTATCAGCTGTTAAGCGATTCATTTCATCATACAGTTTGAATTCTGTTTCTTCATTTTGTTCTGCTCATCCTCACTGCTATTAAAATGTTGATAGATGTTTGAAATTCCTTTAGGCATTTCTAATTTCAATTTTCTTTTCACTTTCACGCTTTTCGAAGAATTTTCAAATAAAAATAAAATGTCCAAGTCTCTAATGTCAATTCTAAAAAAATTACGAATGCTTAGTAGATTCAAAAGTATTTTTTTATTGGATTTGTTATTTCAAAGTCAGTTCATTTTCTGAACCGGTTCTTTATGTTTGAATTTCCGTTAAACCAAATTAAAACTATAAGCATGTTGAAAATTTAAAAAATTTTAAGCTTCCTTCGGCTTCTCAGAATTTCTGGAAAAGCTTCCAAGCTTCCGCTTCGGCTTCTCAGAATTCTGAAAAAGCTTCCAAGCTTCCGCTTCGGCTTCTCAGAATTCTGAAAAAGCTTCCAAGCTTCCGCTTCGGCTTCTCAGAANAAAGATGCTATAATTGTAAATCAATATAATTTTTAAACTTATAACACATTTGAACAATGAAAATGAAAGTTAAAGGCTAAATATTTCAATACTGTGGTTTGAAGATGTACATTTCATGTTGCTTTATATCTTACAATTAAAGATTCTGATAATTGATAAGCGAAGAAATATCACAAGCATTTGAAATATATCGCGCGAAAAGTTACTTACCGATCCGTACTTCAACTTTTCATTTGATCTACTGACGTTTCCAATTTCCTGAAATGGAGACATTATCAATTAGAATTTGATATCTGCTTTATTCAGAGAGTTTTCAATTATTTATCAAATAAATGGTATTTTTGAAGAAAAGAGCAAACGCTTCCTTCGACTGAAACTTGATTCTCACCAATCAAGTTGTCACTTTATCGACATCATTGTAGATACATTGTTTTCGAAAAAACGTCTTCGAATTGTTTGAATGTAATGTCATACGAAATTTTCCTGGAAAAATTGCAAAAATGCAAACTTAAATCGTCCACATGGACCGTCGGTGCTATGTATCAGGGATAGAAGCATTGGAAAGCATGTTTTAAGGTTTTGATTGTGTAAGTGACAATTTATGAGAAGTAAGAAGAGAAAAGAAAGGAAAAAGGACGGAAACTTCTCAATAATAAATTGATCGTATAATGTGAAAATTTTCTTTTTTTCTATTTGTTTTACAATCAGAATGAATGTGATGGCAATAAGTTTCAAAGTTGATGTGAATTTCACACTTGAGCAATTACGAATAAAATGAAAATAATCACTCAAGAATGGTGGAAATTTTTTTTGTTGACCTAAAGCTTTTGTCTATCGATGTGCATTATCAAGAATATTAAACTTTTCCTCAATTTTTTGTCCATTTCAAATTCAATTTTGAATGAAATTTACATTTTTATTCATCCCTTGATGGCTGATAACAATGTTTACTTTTCAACCATTGAGTCTAATGCAGATTTTGCTGCCACAGCCATTTGATTTTCTGAGCTATTCTCTGGTTCATACTGAAGGATTTTATAAGATTCATTGAGAATTTGAACAACTTCTTTCAATCGCCTCTTGAAGTCTGAATTTTTGATTCTTCCCATTTGTAATTCACGAGTGAGCTGAAGCATGACAGGCGCGTGAAGCTCGTAAAGGATAACGCCTCTCAGTCGACTGCTTCCGGGCTCCAAAACATCGATTACCTCTAATAAATCCCTACACAAGTCTTCTTTTCTTTTCAACAGCTCAGCATTCAGTTCATTAATCAAATATCCTTCAACCTTTCCAAGTAACTGACAGAGCGAATGCTTGGCTGATAAGAATATGTAATGATTGTTATGAAGTGTTCTTGAATATTTTCTCATAAACCCTTCGATCTCGATAACGTTATTTCCACCAATTGCATCAAGTTCATCGAAAAGCTTTGTAACAAGATTCATTACAAATTGTGCTGCAAGCGAGAAACTGCATTTACTACATCTGAATTGAAGAAAAAAGAAAGAGAAAAGTAATTATTTTTAAACGTCTAACAATCGACGATTAAGAATTGAAATTGGTTGGTGAATTTTGTATTAAGTGCAAGCAAATTCAATTGAACATTTTTCTTTTCTTTAATTAAAAAGAGAAAGTTTTTAAGAAATGTTTGGGAAAGATTTTTATTCTTAAAGTATAATTACTAAGAAAAAAAAACTTTGGAAACTTCATGAACTGTGAATTCAGCAAAATTTCTTTCATCTTTATGGCGTCTCAATTCCTTAAAATTAATTTAAAACAAATAAGAAATAATTCTAAGATAATTTATGGATGAAACGTGTTTAATATTCCAGCCAATAAATTTAATTTGCATAATTTTAAAAGCTTCTAAATGAATGAATTAAATTCTTTTATTTTAAATATAAAAATATGTTGCCTACGTTTTCTGAAATGATTTCCATTATAAATCTTTAATAGAAATACATACATGAATGTCTGATGTATATTATGCAAAGTTAAGCATACAAAGCATTACTTTATCTTTACCTCCATTCAGCATTTTCATCAAGTGGATTTGATGAGAGAATGAAACCGTATGTGCATTTGGGACAAAGCAACGTGCTGGCATGAGTTGACAATTCATCACTACTTTTGCAACGCTCGCAAATGCACCAGAAAAACTTTGCTTCATTCAGATGTTGTCTTCTTTTCAATGTACCCTGGGAAAAAATTTACGTTGATCATCATCCGGTTCAGTGATAAAATAGAAAGTTTAAAAAACCTGAAGAGTATAAGCGTAACTCAAGCTTATAACTTCGCCTTTTTTTATCGTCTTTGTCGTGCGAACTGTCAGCTCGTGAGTTATTGGATCATCTGTGTGATTTGTGTTTGGTACACAGTCATGGCACATTAAATATGCCTCAGGAAACAAAGCTCTAGCAGATGTTCCCTTGTTACCACCAACTTCAAAGCAATTCACTTCCAATATACCACAAATAGTATGAATTTCATCTTCACTGAACTCTTCCAACTTCCACTTCTTCCTAATACGATCAACAATAACTTTTTGATTCCTATTCCAAAGAGCAGGCATGTTTTTACCTAAATAAAAAAGGAAATTTATATAATTAAAGATAGAAAATTATGGAAAGATTTCTTGACATAAACATCTCTGAACAACATCAAAAGTTGTTGATAAAAATAATCAATCAAGTCAAAGAAGAAGTCGATAGAAAAAACTGTCAGTAACAAATGTTACTACTTCTGATATTGAAAAGAATCTAAGAATTTAATAATATTATTAAATATATAGAAGAAAACTTTAAGAAAAAAGTTTGTTAGTTTCATGAAAGCGTTTTTCAATTAATTCTAGAGAAAATAATTAGTAATAAAATCGTACAAGCGCTCACACCAACACGATTTTGTCATTATCAATGATATGTTGTTAAATATGAGATCTACTAACGTATTTCGTTGTGCGATTCCATTTCATTGAGCTGCTTCCATGATTGTTCAGACGAAATTTTCAGCATCAAACATCTTAAGAGGGTAAGATAAAGAAGGAAAGAATAGTATAACATAGGAGAAGGTTCAAATTTCCAACAGATATTGTACATAACTTCTGGTCAAGAAACTCTCAAGTTCAATTCAACTCAGTAAAGAAAAAGGTCGAAAGGAAAAAAAGTTTTTCAACTGACATGACGAGTGAGTTTTTTCCAACACCATTTCATGTAATTTTTGTCAACATACCTGAGAACAGTTATTGCTTCGTAGTCGTTTTCGAGTTCTGAACGGTGTTCATTCAAATGTAAATATTGAAAGATATTATGGGTTTTCAGATATTGACACTCGAACTTTGTGTGAATACGATTGGTGCAATGAGCTGAACAGAGAGGAAATTTGCATCCGAAGCATCTGGTAAGTGCATAATATGAAAATTTCTAGTCGTAAATATTACAAAATTGTGTTTACGTATTAATAGTTAGATACGTTACCGAAATGAGTTGTCAATTTCCAGTGCCTGATTGCAAGAAAGACAAATTGGGGCATTTTCATCGTTGGCAATCGGCCCAACGACTAATGGTAGCTGTTGAATGATAATTTCACTTGTCGACAAATCCCGTGCGGCAACTAAATATCTGCGAAATGATGATTAATTAAATAAATTACCTTAATGCCAAATCCAATTATAAATCTTCTCGATAGTATCACTCCCCTGCCAAAAACGTCTGAATGCCTGATTTCGTACTCAGGTAGCGTGACGATGTCATTTTCCTTCGTAATTAAGATGTTCTTGTCTTCATTATATTCTTTCTTCTTCTTATTGTTATTATGCCTCTGTGGAAGTAACATTCATCAATTAAGAATTTAAAATTGACACTTCCAATGTTATTATTATAATGTTGTAAATATGAACGAGTCAGTTGAAGTGATATTCAGCATACATTGTTATGCATCGTTGTTAAGCATATTATGAATAAAACTACGTCATAAGCGAAAAAAAAGGAAAAATGAATCTTTTGTTTGAAATATTTTGAAGAAAACTCTTTCGTTTCATAACTGAGTTAAACTTGAAATGGAATTGAAAATCTTTTAAAGAAAGTTAAAATTAAAAGCGTTTAATGATTGTGTTTGAAATAAGAATGAGAAAGATTTTCTCCGATTAAAAAGTAATAGTGATAGAGAGAATCAGTGAGTGGAAACGTTTCGTTTTCATGGTGTTTGATAATGTTTCGGAAAACTCGTCTCTTTTTTCTGAAAATAGCATTTGTTAGCCTGCATCATCATCACAGAATACGAGACTTTCCTGTAGATTATGTGAAATACGATCTATTTCAATCTATTCGCGACTTTTGTCGTGGTTCAGATGAAACCCACAATGTCACACAATTAAAATTAATTGTTTGTCATCGACATTTAAATATGCTTTAAAGTACCAATCGTTTGAAATTAGATACTCAACGAAAATAAAATGTAGAAATTCGTCACTCACGTGAATCCGCCAATAAAATTCTGGTAATTAAAAGTAACAAAAAATAATTTTCCATCTGTTAATTATCGAATTTCGTACTTGAAAAACAGCTTATTCATTTATAATTTTTCGTTTTTCTCATTCTATCATCGAAATCTGGCACGAGATTTTTTATATTTTTTCTCTAAATGATTTTGAAACGATGTAAATTTAAGAAAAAAAAAGAGAAGAAGAGAAAAATTCGATTTTTTATGTTATTTACCGAACAATCTCATAACTGTAGATCCATCATCATCGTATGGAGATAAAATTTATTTGTAAGAGTCAATGGAAATGAAGAATCGTTTTGTTTAAACCGCTCGAAACATGCAATTTCAGGGCTGAGTGTTCTATGAGCGGTGAAGAACACAATACGCTCAAGCCCATCATTAAAATATCTTTTGCCAAATAAATTTGAATTTCTATGACTTCTTTTTGTCAACTTTATCATCATAAGAAGAAAACAAAATCCGAAAACGAGAAAATTTGAATAAATATCCGCATTGAAATATGAAAGAAAAAGCTTTTAATGCATTGCAACAAAAAGCAAAAATTATAAATCATTACGAATTTCCCTTTCTGGAATTTTGCTTTTCCTGCCACACAATGAATTTTCTTTTTTTGACGGAAACAATCCAAGAAATCTTAATTGCGGAAATGAATTTTCATACTTTTTGTTTGTTTATATTATTATTGGGCATGGTGGTTGTCGGTGATCGCTTTTTATTTCCTGCTAAATGTTGAAAACTGAATTTGCAACACTTCAAAGTCCTGTCAGATGTGAAATTTTCTTCTGCTTTCACACAAGTCTTAATTACCTAACTTATATTTCTTAATTAAAAATTATTTATCAAGAAATACTTTAAAGAGATTTCTTAAGAATTGTTCACTTGCTGAAATTAATTTGACAATGCACCAGTTTTTTCTTCTATTTTCACTCAGACTGAAACACTTTAATTTTCGTCGATGATTTTTCTTTATTTTTCAACGCGTCTAAATTGAATAGTAGAATTTTCTTTCATTTTATTTCTTATAAAAAATTAGCAGAACACAAACGAGTAAAGTCGAGTCGGTGAATGATTGAAAAGGAAAATCGTTTTCAGAATTTTCAGCTTCATCTCGTTGTGTGATATTTTTTTCTTTTCTTTTTCCTCTCATTCATGAGAAACGGAAAATAAACTGTAAAGAAATATGTGGAAACTGTGTACGACTATCTAGATCTACATAGATATATGTATGTGAAAAAGCATCGTCATATTTAATGGTCCAATCATGGTTCCAAAAACGTTATTAAGTTACAAAAATAAATATAAATCGACTTGAACTGTAACTTTTAAAACATCACCACAAGTTTTCAATTTGAAAGTTAACTTAATTGAATCAAACTTTAACCTTTTCCATTGTTATCTTTCCTTACTTTATCTATGTTATATATTCTATAAAAAGTATATTAATACTTTTTCATGTGCTTCTTTAAGTACCTCGGACTGACAGCATTTCTCACTCTAAATTAAAAATTCCTCGCTTTATTTTTTCTGGACATCTTTTTTTCTTAAAAATGACTTCATGTTTCAAAATGTATTATTAAATAAATCTTGGATGTTAAATAACATTAAGCTTATAATCACAAGCTAAGTTCCCGATCGTACGACTAGCTCACCCAAACATGAATTATCTTTATGGTTTATGCTTAGGATTTTGAAGTAAACTGTTGCAACATTAAAGTCGTAAATCAAATTTAAATTCTCGTGAAAGCCGATTTGTAAAGATTAAATAGTGTTAAAAAGCTTGGAGAAAAGATAAAAAAGAATCAGCACAGCTTGTTTTATTTTGAATCAAGAAAAAGATTAAAAAGGAAAACAAGCTGTGCAGATTTTTTTCCTAATACATAAATTAACCGAGTTTGACGAAATTCATGTCAACTTGACAACGAAACAATCATCAACGTCAACTGTTTTGTTTGTTATTTTGTTGACATTCTTGATGCATTAGGCTGATAATGTAATGAAGCTAAGAAAATTAGAAGAATTCCCTCAAATGTCTCATATTTGCATCAATGGAAATTCCCACCTGTTTGGTTTTTATTTGGCAATGAGCCAGAAAAATTTTTTGTGAGAAGAATTGCTTGTGAGAAGAATTGCTTGTGGCAATGAATACAGGCGATGTTTGATTGTAAAAAAGAAGAAATTAGGCCGATGTTTGTAAATATTATTATAGTATGAAATAATTTTCTTCTTTCATTAATTGAGCTTTGTTTGTGTCCTTGCTAAATGCGACAATAAAATGTACCTAGTTGTATATAAGATTAAATTGGTTGTTGACTTTTACATCCACAGGGTAATAAATCGAAATGCTTACTAAAATGTTTGATAACAACATATCTAAATACTCAGTAAATGACAACCTTCAAAACCAACATTAACTTTTTTAATTTTTATGTTCGAGTTTTTCCTTTTCCTTTGCTATAAAACATTAACTTTTAAATCATAAAGTCAGCTTTTATTTAAATTTAATCAACACGGAAAATAAATAAATAAAAAAAACGTTTAATTGTTTTTAATTAATAATTTTAAAAATCATTTATTATATTTGATTGCATCAACTTATCATGAATTTATTTAACAAATATGGATACATGATTAAATAAATAAAAGTACATATATTTAAATAAATCATAATTATATATATCACTTCAAAGGGGATTTTAATGTTCGGTTGAATTGTTATTTATTTATTTGAGTATCTGTGCTAAATATATTTTTGCTGAATACATTTAATGCATAAATTACTTCTTTAAACTGTTACTTCTTTACTGTCTCACTGTTGTCAGTTAAAAACATCTTGCCTATATATAGATATATTTATACTTCTTTGAATTCATCAATGATAATTATGTTTGAAATCATTGAACTGTTGATATTGACCTTCAAATTTTCCCTCTTTGATATTTTTATCGAATCTCCCATTAATAGATTTTCCTTCTTCATGTTCAATGAGAACTCCTTTTGGCGATGCTTCTTTAGTTGGTGGTATTTCTGGAGAATTATTTCTGTTTCTTGTAAGTATCAGCGGTGCTCCCATTTGTGATGCGCCTTCCTGAACAGCACCTGGAAAATAAAAGTCGGGAAAAGTTTATAAAAAAAAATATATTTGAATTTAATTAAAAACTTTCACAGTACCCGTAAATGGATCGATATGCTTTTTACTTGCATCCTTTAATGGTACTTTCTTCTGCTCTTGTTCAGTTGCCCGCAATGAACTAATATGTCCGACTACCTGATGAGATAATAAAATAACATTATGCATGACAAAGCAATAGTCTATGAATATTTAAGTTATGTGAAACACACCGGTGCACGATTCATGTTTATTGATACTGTTGATGATCCAGAAGATTCTTCCTGCAGCAAAAACAATTTATCCAGATTTTATATTTATTTTCACAACATTTATAAAGATTTTAATTGGTTTTTCCTTAATGCATTCTGTTCATACCTCTAGTTCTTCCTCTTCTGTAATAACAGACGATTGTATCCAATCTTTTATGCGGTTCTTCTTAGCTAGTCGATCAACCACTGTTTCAATACCTTGCTGAGAGAAAGAATACAATAATTTATTTTTTTCCTCCATGTTGCTATGAAACGAGTAAAGTGAAGGATTGAGTTCATCGGGCTCGTATTCTAGCAAGAAATTCATAAGTTTTGTTATCAAGAACAATTTTCCATGATGTAATTTTTACCAGCCATTTCTTTCTCTGCTGAGCGAGCTAACCATCTTTCATCAAGATATTTATGAAGTTCATTCAGAGATTTGATACGACGCTCGATTTTTGGTTCCAAAAATTTTCTGAACATTTTGCTAGCTCGAGCTGAGATTAATTTAAAAAGCTTCGGTGTGCGTTTAATTGGAAATGATGAGTTGTGCCACTGTATGTATTTGTTATATCGTGGATCATCCATTGAAGCCTTCTGCCATGGTAAACATCCTGGATTTTATAGATGGAATATATTTGTGCCATTAAAAGGAGGAGAAAAAGAGAAAAGAACGAAAAAAAAATCAATTTTATGAGTAAAGTTTTCTTTTTCTGCTTTTCGTTAGTTGGAAACGAAATGCTGTTGTGAACAGATGAAAGTACTGTAAGTGATAAAGCTTCTGTTCAGATTCAAGAAAGTTTTATGGAAAATACAAAAACATTAAAGTTTACCGCCTGATATCATCCATCTGGAAGTTTATTGATTTTATGTGCATACCATTCAAAGCGAAACTTTAAAGCTTAGAGAGCTAATCAAACTCTTTAGTGTGTGCTTTATGACGCAAGAAACATAGTAAGGAAATTTTGTATATGATGTAATGAATTCAGCATTTTCTTCAATTTCGTTTTGAAAATCTGCTTAGAAAGCTTTTTTCCTTTTTCTTTTTCTTTGTTTGAAGCTTAAATCAGTAAGTGTCTACCTAGCAAAAAAATCAATCGAATCAATCTTGTAGCAAATATTCCTTTCATGTATTCTTTTGACATTTTTTTTGTTATGCTCTAAGGAAAATTTCGGATTTTTATAATTTTGCATTATTTAAGTAATAAAAGCACTTTTGGGCATTAAATTCTCCATAAACATACCCGTCAAGCAAATGAAAATGACGATTCCAAATTGCCAGATATCATGAGTAAAATCAGTCCTGCAATAAAATAGTTCGGTCATAAACCTTCTGTCGTAAAAATTTTAATTTTAGGAAATATACTTATAAGTTTCGTCTGTTTCAGTGCTAATAATTTCGGGTGCTGTGTATGGAAGCCATTCATTCCTACGTTGAACCATTGTGTTGACCCGTTTTGATTCACCGAAATCACACAATTTTACTCGAGAAAAATCAGTACGAAACACTAAAATATTATCGAGTTTCACATCCCTATGACAAATTTCTCTGTAACATAATTTTCAGAATGATCATTTCCCAATTTTCAAAATTATTATCAAAGTCGTTACTTTAAATGCATGTATTCGAGAGCTGCTGCGATTTGACGTGCGACTCGCTTTGAATGAAGTTCTCCTATTCCATTATCTGACACATTCGATGTTAAATCACCTACAAGAATGAACATACAAAATGTAGAGAATGATTCGACAAGAAAAAGAAAGGAATTTAAAAGTATTTTTTTTGATTACAGATTTTTTTTTAGATTATTGGGATCAAGTTTTACCTAGTGGTGCGTACTCTTGGGTGAAAACATAAAATCCAGATGTTTCGAAAGCCACATCATATGTTGAGACGATGTTTTTGTGAACTCCTAGACATAATCCGAGATGAAATTCTCGATAGAAGTCCTGAGTGGACACGTAAGGCTTTGGTAAAGCTAAAAAAATAAAGAAAGCAAGAATAACAATATGGTTTGCACTTTAAAAAGATTCAAATGACTTTGAGTACCTTTAAGCACCATTTCCGTATCTGTAGCTTTATGTTCGACAAGCAATATTTTACCAAACCAACCCTCACCCACAATTTGTAAAATATCAAATTCATCCATTAGGTGTACCTAAGGTGAAATCAACATAAAATTAATCGCTCTTTAATATTTTCCAAGAGTCGAACTTAAAATCAATTTTTTGAGTGTACAGACAACTATCAAACACTTACTTTTTCTAATTCAAATTCTCGAATCTTATGTATGTGAAGATTAGATCGTCTCGAACTTGATGATTCGCTTCTCGATGATGACGAAGAATGACTCGATGACGCCATTGTGTATGTTCAAGTTTCTTTTCTCTGTCAATATATATTGCGTACACTTCTTCTCTTTTCAAGCTTGAGAGAAGAAAACTTTTTTCTTTTTCTTATTTTTCTATTTTCTTCTTATAAACGCTTTCAAGCTGCTAACATTTGATCTATGACCACATTTTAATTATATTCTAGAGAATGGATTGTGAAAGAAAAAAACATTTTGGAAGTGAAAATCATGTTAAAATTTGTTCAAAGATTGAAAGTGCTTCTCAGTAGCGAGGTACTTTTTTCATAAATCATCAGTTCTGTTTAAAAACGAAATGAAACATGAAATTGAGACAAAAATTATCAAGTGTTAGTTTTTCGCTCATCGTCTTTTAATTCACTCGAAAAAACCGCACTACCTAGATATATAAATAATTTATTAATATAACTTTATGAAACATACTACAGTATAAGCTTGATAGTACGATATATGTATGTAGAAGGGGCCGAAAAAAATTCGTTCTATCGAAGAAATCGTGCTATAAGGATTATTAAAATGTAAATTTGAATTCGAATTTATCGAGTTTATCGTTCATCGTTGTATCAATTAATGATTTCATATAAACATTTCTACGATTTATCGAGAAAACGTTCTACCGAAAATATCGTTGTATGAAGCAAATAATGCTCTAAATTTTGAGTGTGTGAAAGAAAGCTTAAGTACTATCGGGAAATTCGTCGTAACAAACGTTCGTTTCATCTAGATTCTACTGTATACCTACTTAAATATTTTTTTATTTAAATGAAAGCGGCAGTGACTTCACTTTAGGTCGAATTTATTTCATTATGTTTTATTTGAATTAAAGTGAATCTAGGCGCCTTTCAAACGTTCATAACAATAGTGTACATCGTTAAAAATATAAATGTAAACAATTATTCACAGATTTCATCATTAAATGTAGTAAAGTTCTAGAACAATATGTGAATGTAGTAAAGTGCTAGAACAAAAAGAATAATTCATCCTTCATTTTCACTTTTACTTTCAATATTTTAGGCTTAACATAGAATAGTCAAACGAAACAACAATTTCTAAATTTTAAATAGTTCAACTAGAAGGAAAAAAAAACTTCAAACTTAATTTGAATTAGAAGAAACAAGCGAAAAAAGAGTGTTTAGTTTTTTCGATATAGCTCGCTGTTTAATATTAAAAACTCGTAACTTGCAACGAACATTTTACTCGCTTGAGTCATTAAGGAAGAACAAGTAATTGAAAAAAGAAAGAAAATTCAATTAAACTAACAAATAATCAATTTTTTTCTCATTTCATTTCTTGTTTTCTGAGAAAATGAAACCGCAAGTCTGTTTTATTGAGGTAATGAGCATTGAGCAAGCGATATTAATGTGGAAAATTTTCTTCCCCTCTTATAAATCGCATTTGCAGTAACACAATTTCATTGAAACATATATCATCAATCCATCGAGTGATGTTGCTCTACTTCAGATCGTAAAAGCCGTAGAGATGAAATTTGTTTTTACTTTCATCATTAATATTATGTGATTTTTGCACAAAGTTATACACCGAGTGATTTTTCATATCGAATTCCTTGTACCTCTTTTGATGTGAACTTTTACGTTCTTCCTTCTTTATTTAATAATGATTGAATGTTATAAATTTTATGATGTCTTGCTCAACGATTGTTATGTTTTCTTTCTTTTTTCAGTTTTTTCTCCATCTACATCTTTCCACATCATCTCCGAGTTACTGTCACCCGATTTTCAAGTAAAACAAGTAAAACGAGTTCCGTACTGACATAATAATCATAAAAATTTGTTAACTCACACAAAACGACGGTGGGAATTGTTTTTTGCGCTTTTCCCCGTTCTTAGACAGTTTTCTTTATGTTATTCGAACTAAGACTTTCTTCTTTATTTTATTTTTTCTTGTCTTAAAGAGTCTCACAAGAGAAAGAAAAATGATATTTCGACTATTGTTGAGAAGAATTTGAAATTCAAGGGCGACTATATGATATCGTAATAAGCAGTAGACAATCGAAAGAAAAAATATTGAAGACGACAAACAATGTTCAGTACAGTTCAGCCAAGGATTAAACGATTTTAAGAAGATAAACTATTTAGATAATTAAATTAAGTTTTTGTAAAACCGATCGCAACGTGATCTAATAACAAACTGACTCAAACGATTTTCTTCACTTTCTCAAACGTTTGTGTGAGACGGAAGGGAAAGAAATATCTTAAAAATAGATTAACGAAGTCGAAATTGAGATTACTCTAAGATCTGGGAAATTTCATGTTGATTTCCAATGAGTGTTTCTCTCGAAATGCCAGTGGTGGAGAAGTGTGATTAAGAACTTTTCAACTTCAATTATTCAAGCTGTTATTTAAAGTTGGATTTAGAGAAATGAAGAATGAAAGCTCATGTTCAAGTTCATTAAATACAACCTTTTCCAGAGATATTTCTTTGAACTTCTCAATGGTGTTTACGAAGCTATTTACAATTTGTTTTCAATGATGAAAATTCTCAAGTTCTTCTTCAAGAAGTGCTTTTTAAAAATCTTTTTCCAACAACAAGTGAAATGCATTAATCTCATAATATTAAACAACGTTGAGTGTCAGAAGCTGGAAATGAACAAATAGCAACGGAAAAAGATAAAAGCTTCCATTAATAATTTCTCACTGGGCGGAAAAACTTATCACTACCCATTAATTTTAATTCTTTCACCAAATTTATCACTCAATTATTACTCTCAACACAAATTGATACAAACACTCTTCTAGATCAGTTTTAATACTTTGAAGATGGATAGCTTACTGAAAACCCAATGAATGTTTAGCTGAACAAGATAATATTGTAAGCGACTTACCAGACAATTACAGCAAGGAATTTTGTTACTTTCTGAAAAATAATTTTTCGGAAAATTGTGGAAAACCTATCTGAAAACTGAAAGTTTTTAATTGATAAAGTTATACTAAATTTTTAGCTTAAAATCAATTAAGCGTAATTGCTAAATCATTTTGTTCATATTGAAAGTACTTTTCATGGAAAATATCTTTAATTAAATTTATATTTCTCGAATAAAGAAATTATAAAACGCGATTTGTTTTGAGATTTCTTATTAATTTTTGATTTTTATTATGGTTTCTGTTGACGTATTTAAATCCTGCGGATGAAAAAAGGTCTGAGAAATATTCCATCAATATTGGTCTTGCATCAGCCGAAAATACGAAAGAAGAAAACATTTTTATTAGCAATTTAAATAAAACATATTTCTGAAAGGCAAGAAATTTAATTCATTAAAAAATCATTGCTTTAAATCTCAATTCATTTTCTTTTATTTTATTTTTTTCAGCAAAATTAAAAATTTACATATCTTTTTTACAAATTGTTTAGATTTCTAACTTTCTTAAATAATTCAATATAATTTTCCTTTTTGTTTGTCTAACAATTCATTTAAACTTTCATTTCAATTCACTATTTCTTTTTTATTTTCTCTTTGTTTTTAATGAAAATGTATACAACTTTAGCCTAACAACAGATTTTCTTTAAATTCTAAATATTTCCATCATTTTTCTTTCAAGTTTAACTACTTCGCATAAAGATGATAAAATTAAGTTTATCATAAATTAGAACTCCGTGCTTGCTTAACAATTATTTATGTTTGTGCTATAAATAATCGTAATAATGTTTCTTTCGACAAAAATAGAAATATAAGAAAAATTTAAGATCGTCTTTACCAAAAGGGAAAATATCGATTTTTCATCATCTTTCGAGCAATTCATGACAAAAGGTTTTTCAAATAACCACATCATTGAACATAATATAATTGCAAAGAACTCTTCAAAAGTAGAATTATAAAATTATTCACAACTTTAACAGCTACCGAGCAGCAGTGTGGAAACATTCAAATCAGTTTGATGATTTTACTTGTTTAAAGCTTCTGGTTGAATTTCAAAAAGTTTAATATTTTAAATTTAATCAGTCATTGTAAAGTTTATTTTGTAAGAAGTTTATTCATTTTTCTTCACTTCGTTGGAGGGTTTTTCACACTTTATTTTCATTTGAACGAGTTTTCTATATCAATGAACATTTTTTTTTCTTCTTCTTCCGTACTGTGAACATCTATGAAACACCAATTAACCATCAAATGTGAAAATGGACTTACTATGTTTCTTATTCATGTATATATAATTTTACGATCAGGAGATTCTATGAAAATTAATTTATCTTGAATGTCAGTAGCAATAAAAGGAAACTTTGAAACATGTTTGAATCCTAAAATTATAATTCCAATATGAAGGATTGCTAACATGTTTTCTCTCGCCTTAAGCACTTAAATAACTTTATAAAAGCAATGGGCAAATTAAAACTTTTTATGTTGCATGAAAACAACAAGGAGTGATAAACAAATATGGGAAAAATATGAGACATGTCACAATGTTGGATATTACTATGGAATGTACATTCATTTTAAAGTGAACCTTTTCCTCTTTTTTTTTCTCTCCATGAAAGTTCGAGAAGTGAAGACATGAAATTATGGTGCTAAGCTAAGTATTCATAAAAACATAATATTTTTTAATATTAGCAACTTAAGTTTAATCTTTGGCATTTTAATCATTTAACTTCTTCTTCATGGTACTGAATCTCAATGAAATTGTATTCGTTGCCAGGTAGTAATATTATTAATGTAATTCCATGGATTAAAAACGAATGATGTATGTACATGTTATATGATTTTGTTTACTGTGATGATGGGGAGGGCTCGTCACGCATATGTACATATATATTGTTCAAAGAATATTAAGTTGACAGCATTGAAAACGAGAAACGAGAACTTTTGCACAGTGAATGAAATGAGAGAAAAAGGTGCAAAAAAGCGGCAAATGGAGCTGGAATGATTGATCATTTGTTTATATACGGAACATTCTTTTACTACTGTTGTTCGAAGTAATAACACAATTTTCTCAGTTTCCTCTATGAAATATCTATTTAACTCTCGTTCACGTTTCTACTTTGCGTTTGCTTGTTGCTGTTGGGCTTTTATTCATTGACTTATACATTTTGTGTTTTTTTCGTACGTGGTTCCAGATAGATAGGAATCGTCAAACTCAATTTAATATGTAAAAATGTTTCCGGAAGGGGAGAAATAAACAAACAAACAAACAAACAAATGAGATTTCCTACATGGTAGATGTGTAAAAAAGTTGAAATTTTGTTTCATTTTTTGTGTGGGCGCTACACCGACTAATACATCAACTTGGGAAATGAGAACTGAAATAATTTTGTTTTGTGATTGTTCTTGCTTAAGATTGATTATCTTTCAATAATTGTCAATTTCATTTTTTATTACATAAAAAGCAACATAAAGTCATACCAGAACTCAATTGTCACTTGCGCAAGTTTATTTCAGTGTCAACTGTAAACATAGCTTTTTTAATTATTTTTTTTTTATCACCGTGTACATACGAAAAATTGACTTAGAATACTTCGCGAGTATTATCTGTAAGTAGAAGAAAATAAAGAAATTACTCATTAGCATTCTTTCAATTATAAATCATCAAAGCTTTGTCTGTCAAATTGAAAGCTTCGTAAATTGTTTGCTTCTTCATTTGAATAATCTTTATTCTAAATTTTTGTATTATTTTTGTTGATGAACAAAATTAATTGAAAAATCACGAGCAATGAAAAGAACATTTCAAGCATTAAGTCTTTTTAAGTAAAAAAAAATGTGATGGCGAAAAGGAAAAAAATTGCAATTTATTGCTGGTTTCTCATTTTCATGTTTAATCCTCTTTTCATGAGGGTCATCGAGTGTAATTTCTCTTTACTTCTCTCGGGTCTATTCATAGAATAATCGACCTTGTTGTACCCTAATTTCTTAAAGATGTTCTCTCTTTATTTTTATACTCTGGCTAAGATAAATTTCAAGGCTTAATTCATGCTTCATTTATCAAAACGCCTTTTACAAATATCTTCTCCTTCTTTTTTTTTCTCGGATTTGCTTTCTAGTGTTTCATTCTTCATTATAAAAAAGTAATCTGGCATGTTCTATTATGACATTCAGTGATTTTAGATCATGCAAAATTCCAGCAATATTTTACGTGTTTTATCTACAATCGGAACATGCTCCAACAAACAAACCACTACAACGGAAATCTATTTTTTAAATATTAATTAAGAGTCGCTCTAAGCGAAAGAAAGACCGATAATAAGAACACAGACACAAATTTCATGCTTTGTTGATTAGAATGAACGAAGAAGGTTGGTTTCTATACAATAATAATTTTATTATAGAAAGGAATCTAAAAGGATCAAAAGCGGGTTAGAAAAGTTTCTTTTTGAAATTATTGTCTAAGTACACAACGACACTTAAGACAAACCCGTTTGATCTAAATTTGTCTCAAGACATTACTAAAAGCTTTTCAAAAAGGAATAAAATTAGAATAAAATAAAGACAAGAAAATATTTTAAAAATGTATAAGAGAAAAGATTAATAGATATGAAATCTGTAAATTTGTACTTAATATGAAGTCTAAATGTTTCAACCTTACCTTAAAATGCTAATAGTTACTTTTTATTCAAACTGTCTTTTTTGTTATTTAATTACTTTTATTCAAAAGTCACAGTCCTTTTAACTGCATTTGCAATAGTAAGTTTATGTTATTGTGGTTGGGAAAAAGAGCAGATAAAAAGGTGGAAAGAAAACACAAAAATAATTAGATGCAAAATAATTATTTTTTTTTCTTTTTAAGCTTTTTTTTCTTTTTTTCAAGCTTTTTGAGAAAGAAAGGAAAAATGATAAAAATATAATTTTCTAGTGTTTGTGATTGAATGCAAAGAGAAAATGAAATGAGAAAGTTGATTGAGTGTTGTTGGTGACAGTTCGAGTATCAGATAGAAATTCTAAGTAAGTGAAAGAAAAAGATAAAAGCAAGAAGTTAAAGTGATCAGAAAAGGTCACAACTAAAAGATACTTTGAAAATGAAAATTAATCGAAACTGAAGGAGTAAGCAGAGGAACGCATAAAAGCAGAGAAAGATAATTTTGTTTATGGTTAAAGTTCAAATGTTAATTATGAAGCAGTGCGAGAAAGTAGAAGTTCATTTATTTACTTTGCAACTTGGGTCTGGTGATGTTTATCATAAAGAAAATTTAAATTCATACAAAAACATCTGGCACAACAGGGTTTGTGAGAAGCGACTAAAGGTAGTGTAAGTTTTTTTGTACTTTTTATTTTGTAAGTATGCCGAAAGCTTTTGGTTTTGAAGGAAATTATTGTGTGGTGAACGCACATTAGCAACTTGAAAACTCTCGTGTTTATCCATTTCATTTGTGCAAATTACATAAGTTAATTAATCCCCTCGCCCATTTTTTTTTGTTTTTCCTTTCCGAAATAAAAAAAAAGTGGGAAAAGGCAAGTTTCGACCTTGCTGGAGTGTTGTGTAGAGCTACATAGCACGAAGCCTCAACGATCGATACATAAAGTTTGAAAAATATAATTTTTATTTATTGCAACGAAATGTCTAAAGCGTTCACAAAAAAGTGTGATCAAAACAATGCAATGAGAAGTCTTGAAAGATAGAAGCAAAACAATTTTCTTGATAACATACCGTTAGTACTTGAACTCTTAACTCACATTGACATAGAACATAAATCCAACATAAATCATTTTTAAATTTGATGTGGTTCGAATACAATGAAAAATATGTGAATATTTAGAATAAAACAATTCTGAGCATGTTGAAGTTGATGTTGAACATCAAGCATTGCTTTTGATTAAATTAATTATACTTTTCTTTTATTATCATAAGTCATGTTTATCAAAATATTAACGAGATTATCAAATATTCGGTTGCTGCTTACACAAATGGAAAAAGGAAATCAGGAACAGAAGGGCAAGAAATGTTGTTATCAATGTTTTAAATATTTTATCATGAAATGATTTATTAAATTTTAATGATCCATTTTGAATATATCTTCAAGCACAATGATACTTTTGACTTGGAAGTTTTGGAATAATTTCTAAGGATATCTAAAGCTTTATTTCCGAGAGGAGATTATACATTAATTTATGCTTGAAAGCATTCACATGTTAAATGAAAACATTCCTTTAAGTCTAACATTAAGGAGCTAACACGTGTCATAGAAGAAAAGTTACAAACTCCTCCGATATTGTGACTCAAGCAAATATAAATTTATGAGATTTTATTCTCATGAGACTTGGGACCGATAAATTTATCATTTCATGTTTTCTTCTCAAATTTTTTTCTTTCCTCCCGCAATTATGATAATGGAAAATTCTTTTGCATAATTTATGAAAATCTCTAGGAATGAAACATAAATGAGCTCGTCAAAAAGAAAAACAGATTTTTTTATTTCTTTTCAAGAGCATCACAGACTCAAGTGGATTGATTCCGACTGTTATGAAATAGTTTTTGAACATTCAAGAGACGTCAGTTGCAAAATCTCTTGTAATCTCTCTTCATTATAGATAATTGATTTCATGGTTTGCTCTCTACACAAAAGCTTGCATTCCATTTGAGCGGCTAAAAGTTTGAACAAAGCACTTTTCTCCATTTCATTTGAATTGTTGGGATGATTCTTAAGTATTCGAAATTATTTTCATGCACTGAACATGTTGATTGAGCTGAGCGCGTTGATTGTTATGAACAATCGATTTTTTTAAATAATGTCAAGTTTAGGTTAACTTTAAGTTTTCAAAATATTAATTACAAAGAAAAGTTACTTGACATCATTTAACAACAACACTTAGTACAATTAAACGATACAAACGTAACTAATACAAAAGCTTAACTCAAAACAATAAAATGTTATGTTGAATAACTTCAACAAATTGTTTCAATCTTTGCCGAATTTTTTTTTGAAACAAAAATCAAGTGTGAAAACGTAAAATTCATTTCAACCGAAAGCTTTTTTTTCTCTTTTTTATTTTTTTGAAAAATGTTGTAAATAATTTTACAAATAACTTTCTGAATACTCAATGTCTGATGAGCGAGTACAGATGGAAATGGAAAAACGTTCACCATTTCCAAATGCACTGTCAAAATCTGACGTGGTTATTGGTTCAGGAAGAATTATTTGAACGCCGCCATCCTTACCTTGATTTAATCCTAATTGATTTGAAGAGCTCATCGTGGTTCCGTTCGTCTGCTGTTGCGAAAGTTGAAGTTGAGAGCCTGATTGCGTGTCACTTTTTTGCTGATCGCGTTCAGCTAATCGTTGTTTCAATATCCGGATTTTATCTTCCTTCTGTGTAAGCCATAAATTGAGTGCATAAGAAAACAGAAGTAAATTAATTGGAAGTGTCTTGTGGATAAAATAAAATGCTATTTGTCATTCTTACTTGAGCAATCAATTTCTGTAATTCCTCATTCTCTAAAACTAATTTCTTATACCGTTCCTCATCTTCCTTCGATATCCCCGTGTCGGTATTGAAACGTGATTCTGCTTTATCATGAGGATGTCGTATAACTTCGATTACCTAAACGTAAAGAAGACACAAAATGAAATATAAAAAAAGAGAAAGAAAAAATCAGAGTAGATGAAGTTTTATTTTTTGTGAAAGGAAAGAAAAAAAAGGGGAAAAACGATGAAAATTGAGACTTGTAATGTGAATGGATGATACCGATTCCAAGGTGACGATGGTGGAAAGTGAATAAGAAAAAGAATCGTAAAATACCCTTTTTATGGTAAACATAATCATTCGGCTATCATAATTTATTATTTCTGAAGTCCTCAAAAAATAAGGCGTCTTATTTTCACAAAGAGACGTATGAAAGAACATTCAAAGAGAGTAGAAAGATACTATGTGGGCGAATGAGGGCTGAAATGTCAAGAAGGAATCATATAATGAACATATTTTTTGTCTTATTTATGGTTAACTCTCTATGGAAAGAAGAAATAAATACTACATTGACATTCATTTAAGTTGACGGCTTTGTCATTCTCGAAAATGTCGGGAAAAAAACGAAGACGATCAGAAACGTTTTTTCGATTTCAGAAACGAAAGAAAAAATCGTTAGGGAATTAAAAGAAATTTAAAAAGTTTTTCTTTAATAATATTGGAAGTTTTTTAAAAACGAAAAAATTTGTGATGGAAAAATATTGAAATTTTGTTGCCATTTGTTGTATTTCCATTTGAACCTAAGGGTGTTGGTTGCGAGGGTTGAATGAAATTGACGCGGGATCTGAAAGCTTAAGATTAAAACCCACGTACAGCTTTACACCTTTAACGCTGTTTCTTATTTTCTCTCAGGAATTTTCCACGTTAATAAGAACTCTGAGAAGTATCTAACGTTTAGGGAATTTCAATATTAAACAAAATAAAATAATTTCTCAGATTGCGCAATTCAATAAACTTTCTCACAATGTTCTTACTTTCGGGACATGACATGAAATCAATCGAGTGAAATAATGCTACATCATAGGATAGAGTGAACGAGTGAGGTAAGAAATAACAAAAAAAACATTAACGAACTTCTACGTCTAGTTGGAATAAGAATTGAAAATATTGTTGATCAAATAGACAAAGCTTACTACTACTTTACTCAAAGAAAATGACGATTTTTGCTTATCCCTGGCTACATATTGCTGATGAAAAAAGAAAACTCATCTAACGAACAAACGTATCAATGCTACCGATGAAATTTTCCAATTAAGTGAGATTACCAACGATAGATTCCAAATATCAACGAGTACATGTTTATTACTTACTTTTGGCACAAAGATTAGAAGCATACTGAGAAAACAACAAAAGATAACAGCCAACGCTACAAAGGCGAATGAAGCATCCTGTTGCGATGCTATCACCATAGCCACCGGTGCAGTGATTAAACACAATACAGCAATATTGTAGATACTCATCCCGACATATCGAGAGTCGTTTATCTGCTTGACTTTTATGGATCGTGTCTCATATGCGAGAAATAATCCAAATACAAGGATGAGACCTTTGAAGCCATAGATAACACCTGCAGATTAGAAACGAAGAAGAAATTAGAGAGTTATGCTTTGGCTAAAATACGAAAATGAATGAAACGAAATTAAGTCGTATTAGTTGAAAAGACCTGATATTATGAAGAAAATCCCTTTCAAGTAGTCATGAAGCTTCTTTTTTTTATCATGATACTTCTCGACTAAATGACTAAATGTAGAAACTTCCACATAATGAGAGGAACATTCACCACAGTTCTCATCGTTATAGATTTATTTTCATTTGTTAATTGCTATTCGTTCATTTATTTATAGGAAAGTAAATTATTTTAACTGAAAGCTAGCACTAAAGGAGCTTAAATAATATTATCAGTACTGAACCATCAATTTATTTTGCACTTCTTAAGCTTTCTCTTAGCTTAATCAATTCATGATTTTCTTTCTGATGGGAAATATCTATGCAGTTAATGAGCTTTACATTACTTTTATTATTTCTATCCTTCTCTGTGTTTTAATATTTGAGATAAGAGTTTCATAAAGTTTTTACTAAAAGCTCTCGAGGCTTACATAACAGCAATAATAAAAGAAAAATTTCATTTATTAAATTCCTTTTTTAAGTGTTAAAGTTTTCATGGAAATTTATTGAAAAAAGTTTTTCAGATAAGTCTTTCCACTATTTATCGATTAGCATTATAAATTACATTATACTTTGTAATTACGATAATTTTGAACTTTTAGAAAAGTCGCATCAAGCGTGATTGGATTTTTGAGAAGCAGAATATAAAACTTTGTTAAATATTGCAATACATTTTCTCATTGCTGTTTTCTTTACACATTCACAATTAGTTTGAAATACAATTTGTCGCAATCTAACGTTATTTGCATATGTAAATTGGAAACTATAAAAAAAGGGAATTAAATGGTTCCATGATACTGACCTAACCACACCGAGTTGTTGATGCTTTCACAATGTTCTAGTTCGGGTCTTATTTTAACGTCGTCACTTGCTAAGATGGGATCCTCAAGAGGAAACGTTTCAAGTCGACGCTCGAGTGGATCTTGAATTTGCCATGTTAATAGTATCACCAAGTCGACTGCCAGTAAACCCGAAACCATCGTATAAAGCTTCCAAGGTTCAACTTTTTTCTGTAAAAAGAGAAGAATTTAGAAAATAATAGACAAGAAGATAATGTTAACGAGATTAGAAGATTACTCGTGTTTTGTTGTTCAACAGTGTGACATGAGAAAGTATTATGATCTCAAACGAGAATTGAGACGAGTGGGTGAGTAATGCTTACCTTGGGATCTGTTTTCGCCTTCGTTGTGAACCTGTGAACACGCCACACTTTACTGAACATTGCTCCAAATGCCAACGTAAATCCTGTTGATAGGATCCATGCTCGCGCTTGGCAAATCTGCATAAAAGATTATATTTCGGTCAGTGATGATAGATTGTTGTTGTAAAAAAATGTTTAAGATCATATAAGGAAGAATAACGATAAACAAGAAATAAAAATTATAAGATGCAGTGAAAGAGATTAACGTTAAAGAATTTATTGTAAATCTTGATTTCTTGGTCTGTATCAACATTAAATGGTCATCTTTATCAGATATCATCGTAGTTGATTCAAATTAAATAAATCAATCAGTTTGTAATGAATAGAACAGCAGTAGGGACTTGAAATGTCTAACAAAACAGAAAAGAAAGAAGAGAAAATCTAAAAATAAGAAATCACAAGAGCTCGCTTATTATGCAGAGGTATTTCGAGTTCGACAACAATCGAAACTGAAAACGGAACGAACTTTATTGTTATAACGAACATAGCTTGGAAAATAAATGAGACATTGTGTCATTTCGAACAATAGAACAACAATTGTTTGTTTAAAAGGCGACAAATAAGTAAGAGGCACAGGTTATAATGACAATTCCTAATTTGCTTGTTTATTTTCGTCCTCGTAATAAACGAAACCGGAAAGAAAGACTGACAAGTGAAGAAAGCCTCTTAATCTAATGTGATGTGATTTGGAGATATGAGCGGTGTTGTGTCTAATAGTAAATTATTGTTTGTTCATTCTTTTCATGTTTAACAACAATAAATTTCAGCTTAACTTGTACAACTCTCTCATTTTTTTTTATTTTGTTTCTTGTTGTCTGTCGCGATAAAAAAAATCGATGCGATGTCATAGTCATGTTTGAAGATCAACAGGATTTGATTTCCTTCAAATCACCAGAGAAATAACTTTACATTACATCTTGCTTGTTATTCTCACAATTATAATAATATAAATTACCAAATGAATGTGGACCCAAGACATAAAGGTGATTAAATATTCGATATGGCGACATATGATATTTATGTTTAGGTCCTAAATATTATGATCGAAGGCGATAAAGTTTTTGTTGGTAACAGTCGACGGGATTTTCTACAAGCTCGACAATAAAATCAAATATTTATAGAGGACACACAAAACTTTGCCTTCTTTCGAAAAACAGAAAAAAGGCTCGATTTTATTTTTCTCTCTCAAACATCATCAATAAAACTTGTTTTGTTTGTTAAACAACACGTTTCTTTTTTGAGGGATATGAAAATTCAAACTTTCTTTAATAGTTTTCTTAAAATTAAAAGAACAGAAAAGCGAAACTTTTCAGTGAAATTAAGTGTAATTCACAACGTTCAGATTCAGATACTGAGACATCTTTTTAATAATGTTTCTAAACATTGAAAAAATAAGGCGATACGGAGAAAAAAAATCCAATTAGTTACTTGTTGTTTCAGAAGGTTGGATCATAGTTGAAAATAAATTTGGAAACGATGGCATCTTAGTTTTACTGCCTTCTATTCTCATCTCCAACCAACCGAATGGAAAAGTTTTAAAATATTCCGATAAACTTTTCTCAATGCTGAAACTTTCTCTTTACGAAGGATTTCTGTATAGCTTTCTGAACCAATATGAAACTTGATTGATAAACGAACGGTAGAAGTGGAAAGAGAATCATTAATATTCGATTTAGAGCTATTGACTTCTGAAGGGCGAGAAACTTTGACCGAATTGGGATTACTGATAAAGGAGGGAAAAAAGGAAAAGTTTTAGAAACTTATTGAGCTTATGACTTACTTTGGGATATGTCCATGGATCCACAAATTGACCGTCAATGCCCAGAAGAATGACCGACACCAGACATGTTATCACACCAAACAACATTATTGTATTGCATACTGGATGCGATTGTTGAATGACCCTAGGAGAAAGAAAATTTTATAAATTAAATTCGTAATTAAGCAAATCCAGTTTCAATAGAATTTAGATATGTGAGATTTTCCACATATAGGTTTGCATTTCTAATTCATGCTGTGATAAGGCTAACCCGATTTAAGGTTGAAGTTACAGAAATAAAATTTTATTGAATTTGGTTTAGTTCGTTTGAATTTCTAGCGATCAGATTTCACGATTTAACTAAATGTTTTCGTTTCTTTTTGTTCATGCGAAATAAAACTTGTCATTATCAGTTCAGTGATCATCGAAGTGTGTAATGCGAACCAAAAATAGGAAATTAAATCGGGAAGGATTTCAGAAATTTTCCTAATAAAATTTTTCAAACTTTCGAACAACGCAATACTGAGAAAATGAAAAAAAAATGTTTGTTGCCACTGACTATTTCATTCCATATTACAATTTCTACTCATGTTGGAGTAGAATTTGTCATGACGAAGTTTAATGGAAGTTTTGTCAATTAAAAGCGACACAAAAAAGTTCGTCTTGCTCATTTAATATTCTATTTTAAGAAACAACTTGAGAAAATTGATAAAAATTACGCAAACACGAATTTCTCATATTTTCCAACGCGTTGACGAGAATTTTTTTCGTGGAAGAAGTTGAGTTGTTCAGAGTTGTTGATTCTACAATGAAACGAGTTGAGGGAGTTTTAAATGATGAACATGTTATTATTTTCTTTCATAAATATCTAAAATATTAATTCCTTATGCTTTATGTACTTGAATTAGTGAAATTTTAACAACTCTGAATTTATCTCGATAACAAGTTCTATCGTTATATTTTCTACTGTTACGGTATAAAGGCGAAAGATGAACGATGGAATGTTTAGTAAGAAAAACATGTTGATAAAAGGCATGTCGTTCTCTACCGGAAAACCTTGAGGAAGAGAAGAGAAACTTTTCAAGTCTTCAGGCACAATACAAAGAAAACTTCATGAGCATGAAACTCTTGAGAATGAAGTCTTGCATAAACAATTGTCAAAACTTTAGAAGGCATTGCTATGGAAATTCTTCTGATGTATTAACATTAATATGTCTTCTTCATGTTGTGTACGCGAATTCAGTAAACTCGTTTTTTCTTTTTTTACAAATTATAATAAAAAGGAAAAGTCTTTAACATTTCTGAAAAATTTAAATTAAATTTCTATGAGGATATGTAGAAGTTTCAAAAGAATTTTACACGATATGACATGTAAAGTAATGCATCGGAGACTTTTTAGGATGACGGAGCATAAATTGTTATGAATATTCCTTTAAAAAGATTTTTTATAATGTTTCCTTTGAAAATTATATTCTCTTTTCTGTAAGATTCGTATGACAGTTGATAGCTTAGAATTTCAATTTCAATTTCAAATCAAATGTGATACATTTATCTGACAGCTTGACAAATGTCAAACACTTGTAATATTCTTTTTTTTCTTACTTTACAATAGAGTAAGCAACAAACAACATGAGTAAATATTTAAATTAGTTCTTGATATTGCTTTTTCGACTATAATGAAGATGATGATGATGATATCAAATGTTAATATTTACACAAGCGTTTGTAATTAAAAGCGCTCTCATTAATTGTTCCACGAACGAACAATCATTAAAAATATTTTTGTGAAAGATGAAAGTTTCATTAATTAATTTTACCTTCTATGTCGATTCCAAATATTGAACACAATTAAGGCTGTTGCAACTAATATTCCACAACTGGAAATTGTACTCATGCAGATGAATAATGGCAAAGAAACAGTTCTTAGTACTCTTCGTACTATGGTGCGGTCTTGAGGAACCTGAATGAAATGAAAAATGAAAGAAACCTCTTAAGTATTGATTGTTCTCAAGTTACTAAGATATTTTGATTGCTAACATTAAATTTTATTCAGCAATTTATTGATTTTATCGGATGAAAGCTTTTGTTAAAAGCATAAATTGAGTTATATTTACTGAAAGCAAAGTTTTTCATGAGCCTTGATTGAAAAGTTTTGTTTTGTTTTCTGTAAGTCAGAAAAATGGTTGGAGAAAATTTTCTCTCACTTCATCAACAATATATTTACCTTTCCGCCAACCCATTGTTCATTATTGAACCATGTTAAATTATCGGCTTGGGTATCGTAATATCCTAATTTATAATATTGGCCATCCACCATTTGTTCGATTTGAGTTAGAGCTATACGATCACCCTGTGAGCTGAATGCCACAACTCCCTAAAGAAGAATAATCGAAAATGAAGAAAAAAATGATGAATTTGTTATGAGAATAAAAAAAATGACAGAACTTAACGGTTTGTAAAAAGAATTTTCTTTAACTTAAATTAAATCCTTTTCACTGGCCATTAAACATTTGAATAGAAAATAAAATAAGCGATGAACGCTTTCAGCGAAGCATATTATTGATTCGTTTTTCTCATTTTCATGAAAGTAAATATTGCTTTAGGATGTTGATATTTAAGTATCCTTTTTCTATCATCCTTGTTTTTTTGTAGTCTTCCCTTAGTAGCTCTTAAATATAAGGCAATTGTCGGGATGCAGAGTATACTATATTAATATACATTAGCCTCCCGTTTTACGTTTACAGCGCCACATAAAAAGCTTAAATCTTTTTAATTCACCCCATCCATGAACGAGTAATATTGTGTAAGCATTTATGGTTATTCATCGTTTTGAAAACATAAAACATACATAACGTTTCATGCTTTAATAAACGTAAAAAGTTCCATTATGTTTAATCTTTTTTGAGCTCATACCTAAAAATATTTGTTCTTGTCACTAAATGAAAAATTTAGCAAAACCTTTGAAGTTTCGTTTAAAATAATCTTTATATTTGAACAATTTTATATCAGTCATCATTACAAACATAAATTTTATGTCAAGTTATGTTTTTCTATGTTTGAAACGTCGTCAATTAGAATTCTGGCTAATGAAAACTGTTTTGCTGGTCATTGAGACTTCACTATCTTGCTGAGGTTAAGATTGGAATTCACTTCTGTGTTATCAGATTGAGTTTAGGGTCTAAATATTGATCGATAATCCCAAGTAAAAGGTTGTCTTAAGATTGAAAAAAATTCTTAGAAGTTTAAAGAAGTCTCGAGTTTCCCAATCTTAATTCTATTCTTGAATCGTCCAAACTATTGCAGTTTTTCTCTCCTTCAAACTGCATTGAAACTCTAAGAAAAAAAAACTCAACTTCATGTTGCTGGTGCAATTAAAACCCACAAATAACAATAGTAATAAAAAGACGCTTTGGAACTTGTTTCAATAGAAAATAAAATTTTTATGTATTTAGTATTGTTCAAACGGGAAACCAAAGCTCTGCTAGATGTTTGTGTTTAAGTAAACAACTCGTGTCTTTTACCAGATTTTCCCCGGGAAATATTTGCAAACAAAACGAAGGCAATTTGCCTCTAATTTTACGACCCGAGAAAAAGGTGGAGTCTCTTTAAGAAAATTTATGGTAATTTTAATGCTTAACAAGCTTTTTTTCTTTCTTTCTGTTTTATTTGAACTCACCGATACGCCCAAGAATTGCGTTGAATTCATAGCCGCATATATTTCATCAGCTATATCTTTATCAGTGTAAGTGAAATCTTTGAGCGATCTTGATTTCACTTTCAGTCGTTCCATTGTTTTATTAAAGGCTAATGCTACACTCCATACAGCGTCATATGCAAGTGGAGCTTCTTGATAACCTTCAGGATATCGATTATGTGCAATATCATAGCCTTTATCCGTAAGATCTCTGTTCAGTCGTTGCCTATAAATTCAGAACGTCAAAAATTAGAATTAAAATCGACTTCGATATGCTTCATCCTTTCGAAGACAAAAATGAAATGAAATCACTATAAGGTGGAAAGAGGAAAGGATAATAAAACCTGAAAGGGATCAACAGCAGTAAGAAAGGGAAATTAATGTTACGACAACGATAATTGTTTTCAACACAGCACAGGATGTTTGCTTATGTCTTCGAGAGTAAAAGAAAAAAAAAATAGAAACGGAAGACGTGCCTTTATACATTGTGCCTTTAAGTGTTTACAGAAGAACGCGGGTAGGTAGATTGAGTAAAATCAGTAGATAAGTAAGAAAGAACAATTAAAGTTAATGGATCGGAAAAATTTTAACGATTTTGTCTCATCTTCCACTAGTGATGACTGGTCCAACCAAGTCTTGTTCGTTAAACTTACTACATATTTACGTACACAAGTATCTGGATAAAAGCAGTTTAATGCTATGTAAAGTTATAGAGAACAGGAAAGGAAAAACAGGATGAGGTGATGGAGGAAAATGAAAAGGAACTGACCTGAAATCCTCTGATGACATCCCGGATATTGTTTTCTGATTATTTTGATTCCACATCAATGCTTCAGTCGTCAGATGTCCTTCAGCCGCCCTTCTCATCTCATCTTTTGAACATGAAATATTTTCACTTTGAAGATTTGCTTCATACCAGTTGTCTTCATACCATCCTTGATGGGATAAAAGAACAAAATATTTATAAGGAAAATAGTTTAGCTCTACATAAAGACCATTTATCTTTGTTAACAATAAATTTGGTATCGACATAACTTCAGACAATGTTCCAGAGAGAAAGAGAAAACGAAGACCATCTACTTAAATTGTATGTTTTCTGAAAACCAATAAAACTAAATAACTTTAGGTTGTGAAAACATCAAAGTGTGTTTTTAAAAATATTTCTTTTATCTAAAATGATTTTCTTTCTCTCGTAAATCAACTTTCTTTAAGGTTTTATTTTGTAGGAATTTAGACAATTTCAATATTTATCTAATCATTTTGGAGATTTGACAAGAGAAATCTTTTATCAGAACTCATGATGGGAAAACAAATTCTTTGAGGAAGCGAGAGAGATCTCTGTAGCAGCCGACATTACGAGTGACGTTGCTTTAGGAATTCCATCGGTCATTCATTTATATATTTTCCTATTTTCGTATAATGTTCTAGTTTTCAAGAAAATATTATTTTTCATCTGTAACATGACACAGTGAATCAGTGGGATGCTTGAGTGAAGTGTTAAAAGCATCATTCATCTATTGTTTGTTTGTTTTCTATAGTGAAATGTCTGGAAATCTTCATTCCCTTTCCCTGTTCATGCCACTTAACATGTTACTTCATCCTGTCATTGAAAGCTCAAACAATACGTCGAGAAGAAAGTGTTCTACATTGAATTTGTTGAATTAAAAATAAAATCAAAGCTTTAGGCGAGATGTTAAGGGAGAATGCATACTTATACGATTTGATCGAGACAATATATCATGGAGAATCGTTTCCGATTTTGGAGCATTGAATTTCAATACGATGTAATAAATTGAATATGTGCCTACAAAACATTTTAGACGGCTGATCACAAAAGAATCGCTTGGAACGATCACGATGGCGCAATCAATTTATATGTGAATATTTCACTATACATATTTTTTCCCTCGGTGCGCTGCACGCAGAGTCTCCACATTTTTATTCATAATATTCTTCATTTCACTTCTCTGATATCAAGCACAACATTGTGAAAATGTTATTTATTGTTATAGATTTTTATATTTTCCTTTTTCTTTTCTTTCTCCTTTACATGTTTGTATGATTTATGAGAAAATTTCAAATGATTTCCATACGATACTTTTATTTTTCTCCTCGAACTTCGACGAACACTCGTACAAATACGTATTTATCTCTATTTGAATGGAAAACATTTTCATTGAAAATAAAAATTGAAGTCAGATTTCCCAAATGATTGTCGGTGAAAATGAAAGAAACAAATTTTCCATCTCTTTCTTGTTTGTTTCGTTGAAAATCAACCTACATATCTAGGTAAGAAATTTCTTTTTTGGTATCATAAAAAGTTCTTTTTATTAAGTGTACACGATATGAGACCTTCGAACATAGCTATAAGTTTGATTTATCGCAGATAATGACGTTGGTTGTTTGAATACTTATATGGGAATATTAATCTGGGATGAATCAAAATAATTTTGGGGAAAGTTTTCTACTTTCGACACTACTTACAACGAAATAAATCAAAGCTTACCAATAAAGAACCAAACATATGAGCGTCCGTAAAGCTGCTGCTTGTACATCTCACACAGCACACGACGTGCTGCGACAACATAAAAAAGGCCAACAATAATACGAGCATCTTGACGCCGTAAATTCCGTACGGCATCAGTTGGATCCGATAAAAATGATTGTCTTGTAACTATTTCGATTCCAGCTTCCTTACAACGATTTTCTAAATCTTCTACAGTTGATATAAAAACTTCTTCGGCCTGTTGCAATATCGCAATCTTAGACCAGTCGAATTTCTGCATTAACTTAATTCTAGTTGGGTTATGAACGGTGGCTGATGGATGAGTACGAAATAATGTTGGAAATCTACTACGATCTGATAAGGCAGGACTTGAAGCACCATAACATAACTAAAATAAATGAAAAAGAAGAAAAAGAAAAAGTTCAGAAAATTTATTTATCTCGATATGAGTTAATGAATGTAATGGAAACTTACTACTACTAAATTCCACATTTTTGCGGCTTCGGCAACTGTGGTACAGACTGTGCTGCAGCCCGCTAATAACATTAACTTCTGGGGCTTATTATATAAAAGATCATACATAACGCTGGCACCAAGACCCGGCTCACACTATAAATAGAAATGAGAAAAAAGAGATGATGATAATGATTAAGAAAATTCGAAACAAAACGTTCAAGTTCGTTTTAATACCTATTACGCTCTCTTACTCACTAAGTAAACACAAAAGTTGAAATTATCCCTTAAAAACTTAAACTATCCCTCATCCCCCTACCACCCCATGTTGGCTTCTGGGATTGTATGCTAATTAAATTGATTAATTAACCCAACTCACTCTGTTGTAAAAAGTTACATCTTCATTTAGAAACTACAGAGAAAAGCAGATTTTCTTTTTACAATTTTCACATTTTCCGCATAATTACAAAAAGTTACTTCAAAAAACCTCAAAGGATGAAGGGTTAATATTGATGTATACATATATCTGAGCAGACCAAGAGAAATTTTAACAACATTTCTGATTTTAACATGTATGAAAGACAACCTTTGCATGTTACTTTTAATCATATAAATTATCTTAATCGAAATAAAAAGTCCAATTTGTGTAAAGCACCTCAAGTTCTCATGTTTTGTTTAGTTCTTCATTAAATTTTATAGAATTAATCTAACAGATCATGAGTCATTAGATTTCCATGCTGAAAATCTAATTTAAAGCTTTACAATTCAATCTATTAAATAAAAAAAAAAATATAAACCAGAATTTAATATCTTTTCGACCGAAATCGAGTAATGGCGGAGAATTTTTCTTTTCAAGATATCTAATCAGAGGAAAAAGACATGAAGAGTCAAGGTTAATCAGTTATTTGAATAAGTAATAAAACGATATCTAATCGAATACAGCTGAAAAGCTTTTATATCGTCCCTTTTCTTTTATTTTTTTGCAATAAAAAAATTACGTACAAAAGCATTGATAAGTCGATGAAATAACGAGTACCTAAAGCGAAATGTTCAGTGACTTTAGCTTTTACTGAATTTAACTTCGATCCCATTTCAGCTCTTTTTATGTTCAGAAAGTTTCTTTTTGAAATGAAAAATTAGAGACAATGAAAGTAGGATTCGATAAATGAATGAATGAATGAAAAGATTTATTTAGTGGGTTGATTTGCGAATTAGGTGTATAACATTTGTTTGAGACTCTGACGATTTTCATTGAATTGAGTGTCGTAAACTTAAGGGTTGTGAAAAACATCAACCAACAAATCAAATATTGACTGAACGTTTGTTTCACCCAAAAGAATTTGCATATATTTTCCCTTCATTCTTCACTCTTCGGTCTCATTCATTCTGTCAATTCGTTTACATGCCTCTTCATCAACATAATGTTGTTCAATTTAAATGAGCGCTGTTTTTGGTTTTATGTCAATAGAACTCTCGAAAACAGAGTAAAAAAATTAGATTTCGTTGGATTTTTTTTCTTTAACTTTCTGAAATATTTGTTGAATAATTTCATTTATTTCATCTATTTAATTTATTCTTCTCAACTAGATAATCCTTCAAATCATTTATTTCATTGAAAATCATTTTCCTTGTTTGAACTTCAAAGACGCCATTTTTCCAGATAAAAAATTTCAAATATTTTAATCATTTCTAATGAACGCCAAAAGCGTCGAATTTATTGAATGGATTTCTCGATACATTGTGATTGTGATTTATAGGAATAAATCGAGGGGAATCTAGTTCAATTTGAAAGCTAAGGAATGTCATTTATATCACACAAAGTAGAACATTGAATAATGATTCATTATCATTATGATACTTATCTACTATAGCCATGACAAAAGCTCACGAGACGCCTCTCGAGGTGTGGCTGTTATCTAAACAAGTCTCTACTTAGTATCTCTAACACATTCCCACTTTAACATCATTTCAAGCTTGTTTTCGTTTGCGTAATTAAACTTAACTTATAATTATGTAATAAAATAATTTTCGTTTTCTTTAACCATCATTAATCTTAATAAGGAAGAAACTCAATATTAATGTTGTGAGCTATACATGCGTGTTGATAATTTTTTCTGTCAACATCCTTTGCTTACCACGAAATAAAATTGTGTCATTGACTCCCAAAAAAAGAAAAAAAACCTTAATTACCCATTGAGGAAAATTTCGTGCTATTAACAACGATTTTTGCAGACATCCGATTACATTCATAATCGGGTTTTCTGCTAATTGAGGTCACATATTACTTAAGAAGTGAACTCTTTATGAACACTTAGTTAGATTGAATTCCACTTGTCTTCATGATATTCAGAAAAAGGAAGAAAATTATATTTCGATTTATAACTTTTAAATAAAACTTCAGAATGTGGTTGATTGTCTTAAGCTTTTTTTTCTCGAATGCAATTTAAACTTTTCCATTTAACGGAAGTTGAAAGCAAAAGAAGATTGTTTTACTCTCTTCTTGCACATAAACAATGAAAAGGAACTTTTCATCCTACCCAATCCCAGCCTAATCTTTTCCATTTTCCGCTTTGAATATTAATGTTGGAAAATTTAATTTTCACGAATTTTTTCAAATCTCTTTATGACAACATAAAATTTCTGTGTTTATTGAGTTTTTCTGTTTTTGAAAATTGAATTTCTATTCACTTCGGTGCACATGTGTTCGCTACTTTTATCAGTCGTTCCACTAATTCGAAGTGGAAGCGTCATGGTGAGGAAAGTAATAAAAAAAGGAAACTCTTCAATTATCGTCAATTTTTTTTTCATTTCACAAAATTTTGAATATAAACGATAATGCTAGTTCAAAGAATCAAATTTGCTTTTATAAAAAGTGAAAGAAGTTTTTTTGAAGTTAGGTACTAGAAAGGGGGAGAAGAGATTCGCAGAAAATCAGGAAAATCATATGCGCATATTTTATGATTTTCATTTTCAATGGATTCATGAGTTGGTGAATGCGTGAAATTCGTTACAGTCAAGAAAGAAAAAAAAAGTTCACGGATATTTGATATACTTTTTACCTTCCGGCTGTTTCGCAACAACTGATGTTCTGTTTTGGGAACCATAAAAATGTTCTCCAAATTAAAAAACCTTCTCAAAAATCCACACGATATTCACATTTAGGCTTCATGATATACAGTTTCGAGAATTTTTATTGATTTTTTTTACAGTTTCATTGAAAGTCTCAGCTGGTTGTAAGCACAAAGAGTTGAAATATAAAGGAGAACGTGATTCAATTGTAAAGCAGAGCTTTAATGAACACTCTAAATAAAAAAAGTCAGACCGAGAATTTTTGCTTATAAGTAAACATCATTTGTGGTGTTGTGGAATTATGATTCAACCGTTTTGTTTGAGAAATATTAGAATGTTATTAAAGATCGATAACACTAAATCAACATGAAGTAAATAATCATAGAGGTTTTTATTCTTCTCAAAAGGAACAAAGTTTCTCAGCACTTAAGTTTTATGTATTATTTCGATCTGATACGGAAGAAATAAATTTCATTCCATATTTTATCAATAACATTTGCATAGCAAGATGTGAAAGCATTAGAAAACACATTTCGATTGGATCTCTAGCTAAGATTAAGACAAGAAAAACATGAACGAATAAACTTTTAAAATATGTTAAATTCAAGACGAAACCTTTAAATGGAGTCTTGACAAATTGAAAGTTTGAAACTTTCTTAAGGCTGACACTAAACATGCTTAATAATTTCCATAATCAATTTTTTTTTAAATGGATTTATTTTTGCATCCTAATAAATTTTTATATTTAAAAATGTTGAAAAAATAACTTCAACAAAAGAAAACGTAATTTTGATTTATTAAAATTTCTTTCAATTAAAAATTGTTTCAACTGAAGCAAATAAAGATCCAAACGAAACTAAAATCAAAGTCAGATTAGAGTCTCGAAATTCAAAAATCTGTTGGATTAAGAGCAGAAAGAAAAAAATATTTCGAGTAGAAGACTCAAAACTAACTTTTTCTATTACTTTCCACTTCAATAATGATATTTTTATGAAATACAAGTTAAGTGTTTCTCCCATTAAGTCGTGAGCTCAAATCATGTCAATTTTTTTGGTTTGAATAATTTATTTCAGGTGTACAATCACTTTCGTGAATAAAACCATTCCAGACTCGCAGGAAGTGCCCATAAATGGTTTGCAACAAAAGGAAAAGTTTTCATTTTTCCTTTTTGAATCTCAATCCAGAACGATTTAAATTTATAGATTTGTTTTTCCTTGTTTCCATGAGAAAATTTTCATAACTTTATTATCGTGCTTGCAAAGAATTAAGCAACATACTTCAGAATTATTAAGCAACTTGTTATTTTTGGAATAATCCCAAAAGACTTATTTTGTTAAAAGGAATAAATGTCGTTTTCTTCTTTTAAAAATCTTCATGTAATCTTGACTTGAAAGTGAAAAGTAAACACTTCTCATATGAAATATATGTGAGTAGAAAAATGAAATATGTATTAGGAAAATTTTAATTACAATAAAAATAATGAGTTGAGAGAATCAAAGAAACTTTCAACTTCTTATTAAACGAAAACTGTTCTAAGAGTCCAAAGTGATTATGTTTCAGCCACAACGAGAAGTTTTAAACTGAAACAAAGAAAAAGAAACTAACTAGAAAGAGTGTCAAGAATCTTAACATTTTTCAATAAATATGAAATCAAATGCAGAGAATATTTACGACCAATGATAATTGCCGTAAACAGATGCCAACCAAGGATCAAATGAGTGAATTGAATTAAAATGACACAGAATTATGACCCACCACAAAGTGGATACAATAAGCAAACAAATACAGTGAACTCTTGTTATAATTAACTCTGAAGGGACCGAGAAAAATGGAATTATAACGAGAGAAAACTTATAACAAGAGTTAATTATAACAAGAGTTCACTGTATTGTAACAAAACTTTCTCGTTATTAAAACAGTGAAAATTTTGAAAACGAAAAGCTTCAAATTTCATAACATTTTTCATGATGTGACATCGCCATTGGGAAAAGTTTTTTTCTTTTTTTATCTAAAGACTTATCGTGTTTATAATATTAATTCAACGAGTGCCATAACTTTAAAATATTTCCCAAACAGTTACTCTTTTTTCTGTTTGTAAAAAAGTTTTCTTTTCACCACAAGTTTGTTCACATAAGGGCTTTTAATTTAAATACACAACAGAAATTGTGGAGGATTGAAACTTTTTGGTGTGAAAAGAAAGCTACATTTGAATTCATTATGTCAACGAGTTGTAAATATAATTGAAAGTTCCATGACGGAACTTTTGTTCAACTTGTTACATAGATTTTCTTGTGGTTTTGTAAGAAAATTTAGCGGAAAACTGACAAGCTAATCGGGCATGGCAATTAAATTTAATTAAAATAAGTACACATGCTTTGTTGCTACTCGTAATTTTCTTTCGTGAGTCACACATTGTGGAAATTGATGGATTGCAATAATTGGAAGCAACATCAATCATGCACGCATGCAGTTTAACATATTACTTCACATTGCCTCACATTAACGCAAATAGCCAAAAGATTAAAGGTAGGAAATATATTTTATAATAATCGGATCACTGATTACTCTGTTACCGCAAAAGCGAATTACACACTTATTTCACGAATAATTCTCATCACATCTGCATGACTTTGAATTACAACACGTAAAAGCTTCTTAATTGTGTGACATAATGAACTATTGAAAGCAAAAATAAACATGCAAATTCAATTAAGTCTCAATCTAGTGAGTGAACGTGGCAGCGGTTGGTAATTTTCCAATTTTTAAAGCTCCATCAAAAGAGTTTTGTAAGCTCAAATGGAAGGTAAAGTAGGGAAAATCGATAATGCTACAATAATTTTAATTTATGTAATTACGTGAGAATGGCACGAGCGAAGGTAGAAAGAAAAGGCATATTCACGATTGAACTCACTCTACACAAACTAAACGGAACATGAAAACGTCAACACTTAACGATTAAATTGAGTCAATATTGAAAAGGGAATAATCAAGTAATAATTATCTGGTAGATATCGAAGGAAAAAAACAATTTATGCACGTTGAAGTATTGAGTTTAATGAAGCAAAATGATTTTTTTTAATATCATCCCTCCCACAACTTAACCTGAAACGTCAATCTAAAATGTCAATATCTCAATGTGAAAACATGGCTTCTCAATTTAAAAATAACTTTCAATGGAAAATGAATTACTTCTCATTTTATTTTATTTTTTCTATGAAAGTTTACGATGATTTTTCCGATAAGGCAAATAGATGATTTTCTTTCTTATTTCTTTTTATATTAAAGCTGTAATTTTGGGTCTGTTTGAACTTTTTAATGTACAACTTTCCTTTTCAAATACAGTAAGCAAAAAAAATACATAGATTACTCAAGCGACAACTGAGAACGTGATAGAAATAGCGATTCATCATTATTCAATGTCTTTTCCCAAACAAGAATTTTGTTTTGACAAGTTCGAGTAACATTTGCTTTTTAAAGGAATTAGTTTTTTAATCTTACTCTTTTTATGTTGTCTACAAATTCTTTTAAAAGTCATTGTGCTTAATCAATTGGATGACTTTTGACTCAAAAGCGGACAAAGTTCATTTGAATATTGAGCTACGACCTTTTTTTTACACATTGTTACAGACAACATGACATGTTTGTTACACGAACTGAAATCTTAAACAACTTTTTCCTTTGCTTTTTGACTGTTTGCAGCCACACCCAGAATGTTTCGTGTTGTTATCGTATGAATGTGTGGTTCGAGAGTGAAAAGTTTACGGTTACACAAGATGTTTCAAATTGAGACTAAAGTTGAAAGCGAGCATATGGGACGAAATACATAAAACATCGCATTTTATCGTTTACTTGTTGTTAACGATTAATAGTGAATTCAGTGCTCTGGTCACGAAAACAAATTGGAGATTAGAAACAATATTGTATTCCATAAGGATATCAAATTGTTGATTGTTAAATGCGACAATAAACAATGAGTTTCCTGACAATAACATCACATCCTGACAAGTAAACTGACCAAACAATTGCTCTTCAATGGCGAAATTAGTAAATTTTTTAAGGGTTTTATATTGAGTGTTTTAAAGAGACAACTTGATGTTCTTGAGCATGCAAAATAATCTCCATAAAACGTTTCTTTCAGGAGTCTGAATACCCATTCAGAATCTTAAATTATTGCATTTATGGGAGCTTTCAAAACGTGTGTCATGATAAAATGGAATGGAAAATTGAAAAAAAATTATCAAGATGTATGCATTATGAATTGGATGGTATTAGGAATGTGTGTGCTCGATGGATTTATTAGGGTTCTTGTTGCACTTACATATGAAATTGTTGACCTACTTTCAAATATTTTATTTTGCAAATTGTTGAATGTTCATTAAAGCTATATTTAATAGAACTGCTTCGTAAACCCAACAAATTTATTCAAGAATGAAGAATCTGCTACGAATATCAATTGACTTGCACTTTAAAGGCTTCAAATGAAAAAGATTTTATTATTCAAATCATGAAATCATTTCAAAGTTTTCCACCGAAATGAATTTTCCTTTATTTTTTAATTCACAGTTCAATTTTTTTAATTCAATTATATTGATAAAATGGAAGAATATGTTTTTAAGATTATTTATCTGTTTATTCGAAGTTACAAATGTTTTATTGGTGACAGTAAAGGCTGAAGAATCAATATTGAATCAACATTCAGATCACGTTTCTTCATTTCCCATTCGATCTCCGATACACTTTTTCTACGGGTTGACTTCTATCTCAATTCTAGCACAAAAGCACGTTTTATCTACGTTTGTGGGAAATAAGTTTTACGCTTTGAACTTGTTTTTTTAATTATTTAGAGAATGTAAAGCAAAAGTAAATGCAATTTTCAGATTTCTTAACAAATTATTTTACACGAAATGTTGAGAGGGTGAAAAATAAATTCTTATTAATTATTAATAATGGAATTAATTTTTTACATTTTTGTGAAAACAAAAGTATTTAAAACGAAGTACATAATCTCGTTGTGACTTCTTTACTCACTTATGACAAATATAAAAGCTCTTCAAAATAACATAAATTTTTCATTCTATGCTTAATTAAACTTTCAAGTACTTAAAAGTGAACTTCATCAACATCCTCAGCATTATCAAGAACTACACATTGTAAAATGTGGTCGTCCTCTATTTTATGCCAGTGTCATGGGATTTCTTTCTCTTCTTCGAATGCTTTATAAGCTTGTGGAAATTAGTTTTTGAATGTGTTTTTATAGAAGGGTTCCCTGCTTAACATTATATTGATCTCAGCTGAATCACCCACCCTGGAAAAAATCTTCTTTCTTTTAGAGCTTTCAAAGCTGTCTTGCCCCAGTGAATCCATAAACAGAACCTTATGTAAATAGCAATCATTTTCTTGCACTAAACACAATAAAACAAAAAAAATAAAGAAAGAAAGGAGGAAATACGAAACTGGCTTACTCTCTTTCCTGCCAATTGAGTAGCAGTAAAAAAAAGGTACCAAGTATGATTCAAATTAGAATGCGTTGCCAAAGGAAAACTTTGAAGAATAAACCTTTTCTTGCGTCTGTTTTTGGGTCAATTTTGATTTTTTTTTTCTTTTTTCAGAGGAAACGAAAAAAAAGTTAAATCATGCATTAGCTACTGAAGTCGCAAATGTCAAAAGTTTTCTAAGGTAATGATGAGTAATTAGATGATAATTTCTACCGCATGTGCGTGGGTTAACCAAAGAAACTTTATTAATTAGTGGAAAAAGAAAGGACGTTGATTGTTATGTAAGAAAAGTATAAAAGGGAGAGAAAAAAATCTTTCAAACTGAAAAAGTTAGGAAAATATTCATTTTGAATCCATTAGTGCAGAGTGAACCTTTTTCCTTTCTCATCATGTTCTGCTTGTTGGTCCCACAGTGGTGTTTGACACTATTATCATGGAAAGCCTTTTCTTTTTCCTTTATTCAGATGCTTTTCCCACTCAACACATCAACGAAGATTGAGAAGAATTAAAAGTTTTTGAATGGCAATCCTTGTGACTTTGGAGAGCCAAGCATAGCGTACTTGAGAAACAATTCAAAAACCTCAGCCGTAAAGTTTTCTGTTAAAAATTTCATCTTGAATAACAGAAATCTAAAATCCTCTTAGTAAAACTTTCATTAATTTAATTTTTATAAAGCAAACATAAAAAAGCTTTACTAAAGCTCAACTTCTAAATACTGAGAAGCATAAAAGTTTCCAAATCATTTTTCATGAAACGAGAAATGAGAGAAACGGATGATGTTGAATCGGATTAACTTAGTTATTTATACAACCAATTTTAAGATTAAATTGTTTATTTGAAAGATTTTTTTCATTCTCATATATAAAGAAATCAAATAAAAAATGATCAAAGCTTTTCATTCAGAATTTTTCTTTTTTTTCCCTATTGACTTTCATTTTATCTTTTCGTCAGATAAGTTTAAGAATATTTTTTTGTTCTCTGTAATCTTTGAGCTTTAACGTTTGTGAGTATTTAAGCTTTCATCTGTGATGGAAGAAACCATAAATTATGTAGTAGAAATGAACGATTAAAGAAATTTTACAGAGGAATATTGCTGCCATTAAAGTAACGCAAAGCAAAATGTTATCCACTGGATCCTCTTAGAATTTCCAAGCGATGCATTTGTGAATTGAACAATGATAAATTCGGAAAATCCCTTCGCTTCTATTTATCGTTAAATTGAGGATTAATGTTGAAGTAAATATTGACAACTTTTAAAGCTACTCCAAGCGCTGTTTTTATTTTTATTATTTTGAAGTGAACTGCTTTCGATCACCAAAGTTTTCAGAATATAAATGCAATAGACAATGTCGAAACAACTTGAGTAAATGGGTTGAAATTTACAATCTACCCGCATTTGCATAATTGAGAGTTTTTTAAGCTCGGCACAATGAGTGTGGGATGACAGCATAACAGAATTTGTTCAGCATTCAAATTGAACTAATTGACAGTATTGAAATTTTATTTCGATCAACTTTCCCACAATTTACATAATTATTTCGCGTAGTCAGAAGAATTTTACATTTCTTTTGCTCCATCATTTTTATTTGGCTTCTCGATTATTCAAATTAAATGGAAGTAAAGAATTGATTCTGCTGTAACACGAGAGAATTTTCTATTTCTCCACAAATGAATTTGAATGAGGGGAAGCTGAGTTCAATAAATATGGTAGATTAACTCTACAAAGCGTTGGCATTTTAATGCTTTTAAAAGGGAAAACACTTCATTGTTTCTTAACAAAAGCTTTTTAACGCACATTTAAAAATTGTTGGACGAAAATATTTGCTGACAAAAAAGTTTAATATCGAAAGTCTTGAAACTGACATTCAATTTATGAGCCTATTTAAAAGTATTTCTCTATAAAATTCTCCCGTAACAGAGCATCCTAAATATTCTTCCAATTTCTTGCGGAATTGATTCGTCGCAATAAATTTTCCTTCTTCTCAATAAGAAATTGCTCTTGCCCATTAGATGAAGAAGAACACAGTTTCAAAGTCATCAATAACGTTTGCTTTTTCATTATGCATACTTATTTGCCCGCAAATTTTCTCATCTTGTTTCGATTGGGGATTGTGGTATGCTGAATCAATATTTTTCCTTCGCTTTATTTTATTTTTTATTTTCTTCTTAATAAATTTCAAATTTTCGTCGAATGTCCATGTTAATGTATCTTCTCCATAAAATTTGTTTCGCCTCACTAAGTTTTTTCACTCCAACAATCTTCAACTTCAGAGTGGTGTTTTGAGAAAAAGTCAAAAAAGAGAAAATTTGTGAAAATGTAAACAAAACTTTCAACCAGAATTTAAAGTAAAATTTTCATTCTCAACAGTCGTTGTTGGGACAAATACAAAGTAAAAAAGGAAAGTCCTGAGAGCTTTTTAAAAAGAGCTCGTGAAAGTACTTATAAACTTATGTTTATTCAAAAATGAAATAGAAAACGTGGCACCTAAAGAACGTACGAAAGAGAATTAAACTCCCATGAATATCTCACAAAATAAAACATTTGTGATACCATTAGCTTCGGATTGATGCTTTTTACAACGCCTTAGGTTTCTTCAACAAGACTAAATTTTCATCAATTCTTTTAACGTCCATCGTTTGAGGCTATTTCTTCTTTTAACCATTCTCATAATCTCATATCAAGCATAGAGGCGTTGAAGAAAAACATCAAGACAAGCTGAAAAGCTTTTCCCAACGAAAGATAACACAAGTCCATTCTACGGTTCCATTATGTTTCGAAAGCTTTACGTAAAATAAATTATGTATGACTTTGCCATTGAAAAGGGTCGTTTGAAAGAAAGCAAAAGCAAATAATTCCATAAGCTTTGGGATTTTTTATTCTTTGAAATTCATATTTTTGCTCTCTTGATGAAATTAATAATATGCAAAAGCTTATCCCATAGAACAGGCTAAATAATAAGTTGGAGAGTTCAAGCTTGATTAGCAAATGATCGTTTCGACTTTATGCTTACATATCTATGTATGTATAATAAAAAAAATAAGAATATTTTTCATAAGAATTTCAACTTGCTTTTATATACATTATGCATGGATAGAACTCAGTATGATTACTTATAAGGATGATTTCCATATCTCCATCTTCTTTTCAGATTTCTCTAAAGGATAAGCAAAAGGGATGAAATGAGTCGAATGGATGGTTGGATGAAGAAATTTTCTGTTTAATTTATAGTCAAGAGTGAGATTTTTATCTCTGAACCATTGTGAAAAGCCTCTGTTGAGATTATTTGTAGATAAAGTCGATTATTTACGTCTCATTAATCAGACGGTCGTCATAAGCTAAACTGAATAAAAATTTTATTATTTATGGTTTTAACGTGGCTTTCCTCTTCACAGATCGTGGCAATAAAAAAAATCGTTAAAACGATTTCGATGCTTGACAGTGAAGAAGTAAAATTATAGACCAATTTACTGGCCTTTAATTTTATTTCAAAAGTTTCCAATTATGCAAATTTACTTCGAAGCTTCCCCTGTCATCGTTTCTGAATTGAACTTTCACAAATAATCGATACCGTTTTTTTATGTGACGATCAATCCGTCACCACTCGTCAATTCAACCATACAGCGAACACTGATATGACAATTTTCAGTGGTGACAAATTAAAATTTCATTTTATGGTTTCCAACCCGCATGTCAAAACAAACAAACAGATAAATTATACACACAAAAAAAGTGTGAACGAATGAATAACGGAACAACAGAAAATTATAAAAACTACTGCAATTCTCCGACACGGTTGTTTTTTCGTTAATTACCTCAAACGATTCTAACAACAAACAAGAAATCAACAAACTATTTAAATAAATGCGATTTTTTTTTCATTATTTATTATTAAAATTTCCAAAACAAAATATAAAAAAACTAAAATGTTGATAAAAATAACGTTAATCGTCACAATCTATCTTCAGTTTATTATCACCAAAGCATCGGTAATTCCATTTAGAAGCAACACACGTGTTGGAAACATTTTTGGATGGTTTACAGGTAACAAGATAAAATCGACCCTTTTGGGACTAGCTTTGATGAGAGATTCCCATTTGTTGACATGATGTTTATGATGTCACGAAAATCGGAAATTCCTTAACAATGCAAAGGAAGGTTTGCAAGTTTGTGTTTAATGTCCCTAAATTTCATATTTTTGTGTGAGGAAATTACCTAGTTGGACATTACTAAACATTTTTATTAACAAAATTTTGCTTCGTCTTCTACAACGTTACAATGTGAAGAAAGCTATTAAAAATTTTCTAGATTTTCCAGATCACACGGAAATTCCAAACGAGACAAGATAGAAAAATGAATTTATCTTGTAGATGCTTTGTGAACATTTTCGTTACATTTATTAAAGTTTTTATCATTCCTTAGTTGACAATAATAATGGCGAAATATTAAAGCCAATTGTAAGAGCCGAGAGAAGATGGAAAGGTGAACTAAGCTTGTCGTTGGGATGGAAGCCATTAATAGCATCAGGTAAATAAAAAAGTTGACTGCTGGGAAAACGAGAAAGCTACGCACCAGCGGGTGTCTCATAATAAGTAATTATACGGGAAAATTGAATTAATGTGGAACAACGTTTTATTCTCCCGCGCACGCCCCCGTTACGCATTTTTAATTTCTTTAATGATAATGGATTTCGCATCGCTTATGGGGCTTTTTAGATAAGAAAAAAATTCGGTTAATGAAACGGACATGATGTAATCGTTGATCGTCTAATTGAATAAACTTTTATCTTTATTCTATTGCGTATATATTTGTTATTACAGTGGAGCTTGGGTACATTCGTCTACATCAGAAACCATCAAATATATTTGGCTACATTGAAAGCGGAAACGGCGATTTTTCGGAAGAAAGCGTATTGACAACAGTAAGTTTTTGTAACTTCATAAATATCGGATATGACAAAGCAATCTTTTGATTCCTTGTTAGCAATCAAATGATGTTCCCGATTCATCTTTTGAATCAACGACGGAAATTTCAATTCTCACCAAAACATTAAATTTAACGGATTTCACAGAAAGTTCATTTGATTCTTCAGTGGATAGAAATCGAGTAAGAAGGGATGCTCCAGAGAACAAAGAATCTGCTAATCAAGAATATAAAACTGAAATTGAAGATGATATGGAGTCAACATCTATCGAGCCAACTATAATCCCAATGAGCCAACAAGAGAAAGAGTCGTCTGAAAATGTTTTCGTTACTCTTTCCCCACCAACAGATTCTGATGCTTTTGAGAATGTAAACAAAGCTTCAAGTTACGACAAATTTCCTTATCCAACATCAAATATTCCGTTTGCACAGCATGTTGCAATCACTCACACACCACGCCACCAATATTATGTTCCGCCTGTAAAGAGCTATTACGACTTCAATCCAAGTCAAATTGATTACAGCTACATTCCACATTGCATCAACTCTCTTCACCATAAATTTGTTCCAATCATTCACGATGCTTGGATGAATTACCCCAAGTGGTAATGAGAGAAATTTATATGAAATAATTAAAATGAAAGTTGGAAAAAGTTTTCATTTGATGAGTGACAAGACCTGTTGTTGATGTGGTTTGAAATGAAATTTTAATTTGCTAACTTTTTTTATGTCAACTTTAAAATATTCATTCAGATGTTGATTTTAGATAACATTTATTTTATTTAGCAAAGAATAATAGGAAATTCTTTTAAAATGAAGAAAATTTGCATATCTGGGAAATGTTATGTCTCCGAACTCATTCAATTCAGCCTCAAGACAACTACAAAAATTACAAATGTTTTCTCCATGATGTTCTATCAAAAACAGTGAACAATTGAATAACGAACGAAATATCTCTTTTAATTAAACTTTTACTGCATTTTAGTCTCATACATATTCAGGAACTCAGTATAAATCTAGGAAATAAATTAAAGTGTTCATTTTTTTCCTTCTTATAAACAAGAAAAGTTTGATGACGTTTAAAATATGAAAAATTTTCTTTTTCTTTCCTCAGAAATGTGACTTAAATTTATGAAGCTTTCAAAGAGTTTAAATTTGGCAGATTTTTTCATTCTTATAACAAAATATAAAATTTAATCGTTCCATTAAAAAGCATTAAACTGTAAAATAACAATATTAAGGATAACATTAAATTCTAAGTTTTTATAGCCACTGACGACTAGACAATGCTGAAAACTGTCAAAAGTCTCGACATTTCAACTTTTTACAGTCAAGAATACTTTACTTGAATTCATTTTCTTTTCTATTATCTCAACTAATGCATGTTCATGCTTAAAAACGATAAGAAAAGAAATGGAAAAAGGAGATATTAAAGAAGTCGTTAATTATTCGGGATTTGTTTTCATTCTAGATGAATCTTCTACATCCTTCTCTTATCTATTTTGTTTGAAGCTTTTTGTTAGTAGTTTGAAATTACTGTAAATAGAAACGTGAATAATAAAAGAATGATCGTTAACGAATAAAAAATTAATCATCACTTGTACAGAAGAGCAACGGGGTGGACGGATGAATGATTTCAAGTAAGTACGTTGTAGGGTTGTGCCAGAGAGGAAGTAAAATATTCATTTGCAGACTTCGACAATGGTGATGTTTTATATGTTTCGGCAATTAAGGGACTAGGCTGATGCTTATGTTCGTGACAGCAGTAAACAACCTACGTGAATTCAGCCTACTGAACGTATAAAATCTTTTATAAAACGTGAAAGATTTCAATGTTTCAAAGCTTTATTACTCTTATCTGAGAAGAAACATCAACGTCAACTCTTTTGATACACAAAAATCCTTCAACGGCCTTGTTTAAGGAAATGAATAGCTGCATTGAGATTTCAATGCAAAAAAGATGTTTAGTGCCTCAGGATTTTATGTTAGCGATGAGAAAAAAGGTTTAAGCCTTAATTTTTATTATACTCATTACATTTACAATGATGTTGCAGTGGAAAAATCGTTAATATTTAATTACGGTTACCACTGAAAATCTTCTGATAGTGGAACACAAAAATAAAGATTTTCTGTTGTATTTTTTTAACTCATCGCATCATGAAGAAGTAAAAAACAATTAACATAATTTACGGTCCTTTTACTTTTGTCTCTTTGGGGATAAAACGTGAGAAAAAAAATTAGATTACGTAGGCAATTGTTCACCAGAGAATGAAATGTCGCTGCGAAAATTGCGCTGTTAAGAAGATAAAATAAAAGCATTTTAATTTTCTCAAATTTCCTCTCATTCAACACTTTCACATTAATTTTTCATATATTGAAAAATGAAATTTTCTGTTTAACATCTTAAACCATTGTGATTGTGATTTAAAATTTATGAAAATTTAGATTAGAAAACAAACTTTTTTTAAAGATGTTATAAAATCCTTCTATGCATTCCCTTCCGTCTATTTTAATGCCATGAACGTCGCATGTCAATTAAATTGCCTCATTTAAAATTCAAAAAGATAATACCAACTAAATTCATTTTAATGCTATTCTTATGTAGCATAAAATCCTTTTTTATTCAACTATGAAGAGACATTTTGTTGATGCAGTTCGTTCATATTGTTGGCTTTGAACGGCATAATAATTTTAAAACTTTTACCCTCGATATATTCTTTGGAATATTTCACATATAACATTTTTTGGCTTTATGTTTATGATCATATTTAGAAAGTAGGAGCCTCAAACATTAAGAAGATATTTCTTTTTAAAGCACTCAAGAAAGATATTCTTCAGTCATAAATAAAAAATGTTTACATTGCGTCTTGCTTTCTCATCACCACTCATACATTTTGTCTTCTGTTTTTATTACATAATTATTTCCGATGGTTTGGGTGCGTAAATCTCGACATTTTTTCGGTTTTGTTTACTTTTGGCGAAAAGACTGACGACGTGGAAAGAAAGGAGATCATTATTAAGAGATATGAGATGCTCATAAATGTAACGAGACATCAACCATTAAGAAACCACAAGAAATTTCCTATTCCTGTTTGTCTCCTTTAACATTTCTTAATGGAATTTAATAGAAATATTGTTTTTGTTTGCTAAGTTTTTAAAACAATAAAAAGCAAGAAAAAAATAAAAAAGAAAAACAATGGAAAGTGTGTCGTCTCCAGTCAGCATGGTTAAACAACATGTTTTCAACAAATTAATATTCGATCAGTTGCTGTTAGAGACAGAGAATGAGAAACGGAGTGAGATGAAAACATTTTATGGGCTTTTGTCGTCTAATGTTGTCGGCTATTTAGAAAAACAGTGTCGTTTTGGAAATTAATTAGGATTACCGTCACCATCGATTCGATTCGCATTTAGGTCGAGGGTTGGATCTTCCACAAATCCAGCAACACAAGCTTACTTCTATCTCAATTATTTATCACTTAAAGGGCTTGTGACTTCATAAATCTCGTCATGTTTAAAAAAAATGCTTTTAAACTTGTCTTTGAGACAGACAAGAAAGGAAAAGAAATAACAATAGAACATGATTGAAGACGTAACATTACGTAATTTGAATGTCATTAAAAGAAGAAAAAAAAGGAGAACTTCTCTTTCTCCCGCAATAATAATAAACGAGGCAAAAGACAAAATCGTCTGGAAAAATAAAATATTTTCCTTCGATTTGGATTCTAACATAAAAATAAATATCTTGACAGCAAGATTTTTTTTCTATTTTTATTTCGAGAATTTTTTTTCTTTTCGTTTGCCAAATTTATGCTCATTGACGATGAAAATTTATTCAAACCGGAAGCAGCGTTGGGGTTTGAGAAAAGTATTGAAGAAAATTGTTTTTATTTGAATTCTCTTTCTTTTCCTTCTTCACATAGTCGACAGATTTTTTTCCTTTTCTACAGCTTAAATACAACCATTGTAAATTTCAATCAAGAGAATTGTTTGCTGGAATTCGTAATGAAGTGATTTTTCACGCTTCTTCACAGCTTCAAGTTAAGGCATAGAAAAAGAAAGTGAAACGGTTTCCCCAGCGATATAAATTTTCTAATTCAATGAATTGATTTCACATTCTTTTATTTTATTTTTTTTGCTTTATTCCATTTCCCAAAGGTCTTTCAAATTCACTTTTCACAAGAAAACAATTTCTATTCAGTAGCCTCCGACATTCTTCGAACTTCTTGTGAGAAAAAAAAAATTCCAATTAAAATTCAATCACGAGTATTAAGGATTGGAATAAAAAAACACCTGAAAATCAGATAGAACGTTTTCTTATTGAAAAATGTTTATCTTGATATCTACATTGATGAAAAATGATATTTGAAGATGTCTGTGGCTTCTTGTTAAGAAAGAACAGGATATTTAGACAAGTCGTTATTAACGACATAGACGTAACATTTTAGACAAGACGTCAACAAAAAAGGCATAGAAATATAAATAATTGTCTCAAGTAATCATGGTAACATTATGAGTTGAGACAAGAAATCACTATCCTTTCTTAATTGATAAGGGAAGTATTGTTGATGAAAGCTTTGGGCAAAAATTATGACAATCAATTAATACCTAAATGTGTTATTAGTCTGAAAAATGTCTTGAAGACAATAACAACACAGCAACCGATTTTTAGTGTAAGACAGATGAGACAAAAATCGTGGGCGGGCTTTTCGACAACGTTCAGGTAAATGAGAAAATGATTAGAGGAAGGGGTTTAATGCTTTTTGGCCGAAGACAAGCAACAGGCAGCTTTTTTCTCCTTTCTCTCTTCATCTTTATGAGAATTCCATATGAGTTTCTCTGATGAGAAGAGCTGTCGGCTATTTAAAGGAGTTCGCATTTTATTTTTTCTACACTTTATCAATCGTCACAAAACGTTCAACTTGTCAAGCATTTATCAGTGCTTAATGTTTTAAAGAAAAATATCAGAAAAAAAGAATCAACGAGAAAAAGGACGAAGTTTTTTTTTATTATTCATAAAGTTTAAAGATGTGGCAAGCAGCATTTTTATTCTTTACACTTGACATAAGTGGAATAAGTGGTGGAAACATATATCGCAATGGTAAGCATTAAAATTTCATTGGATCAACGTGTGCTTTGGTTTCAAGGGCTTCTTTTTTATTTTTCCAAACTATTTTCAATCGATAAACATTGAAAATGGATGACGATACATGTCTTTGGTATATTTTGTAGTGTTCACTCGAACCAAGCCTTAAGCAATGAATTAGAAGTTCTCTATCAAAAAACTTTTGTATTTTCTTTTGTAAATCATAAAAGTGTATACAGAACCAACTTTCAAGAGACATTGTTCATTGTTTAAAAAAGGAAATCGATTCAAAAGTAAAGTTTCATTTCCTTCCTTCATTCATTCACTTCAAAACGTTCGTGACGGAATAGTTTGAGTTATTAATAGCTTTTAATTGTTTTCGATTTTTTTTCTTAAATTTCTTTTTTCGTTTTTCTAGGATGGGATCATGTACAAGAACGAGAACCTGTCCATTATCAACCGGCATATTATGAACAGTTTGGACCACTTTTGAATGAATGGAACTCTTATCAAGATCAATTGCGACAAGAAGTTGTACCGATAAATGGAATGAATTGGCCACCATTTATTTTGACTAACAATGCCGCTGAACAACATCATGTGAATCATCATCCTAATCCACCAGTTGTTTATAAAGAATGGACAACAGAATCATATCCAGAAGGGTATAAACATACAACAGAAAGCCCCATAAAGACAAAAACTACTACAGAAGCTCCAGAAACAACATCAAAGAAAAAGCATCACGGACATTTCTTTTTCAAATTCACGACAACGAAAAGCCCGAAAATCACGCCAATAACAATGAAAAGCGATCATCATGTTCACTCAGGTAAAGATAAGCATAATCATGATGTATTAGTTGATAAGAAAAATGAACATGAAAATGCCAAAAAACCTTTAATATTTCGTTGGCCAACTGTTAAACCGTTTAAACATGAAAAAGACGATAAACATCACGAAGCAAGTCATGTGAATAAAGTTCACGAAATTCCTGACAAAATTAACGAGGAAGTAGATGAAAAAATGCATGCCATCAAAGATCTTTTGGATAATACTGTCGAAACCATCAATAAACAAGCTGAAGCGATTTACAATAATATAGGAAAAGAGTCGTCAAAGTTGATAGAAAAAATTGATGATAAGATTAAAATAATCGAGAAAAAGTTAGAAGAACTGAAAACAGTTAAAAAGGTCGATGGAGACTATAAAGAATTGGTAGATGAAGTTCGCTCAATTTCCGACAATCAATCACCAAAACCGAACATCGTTCATAGTGAAATGGGAGAAAAACTACGCAGTTTAGAGCTTCTCAATGCAGAGGCGGAACTTCGTACTGATCTGAAAACTTCTATTTCTGATGCTGTAAAGAACGCACAAGAAAAATTCAACAAGTTGATTGATGATAAGGTTTACAAAATCAACAAAAAAATTTATGAAATTACTCATAAGTTTGATGTCGCTTTTGAAAAGATAAACGAAGCTTTATCTAAGATTCCAAAACCAACTTTCAAACCGAAGCCAGTAAAGCATGAATATCACGAATATTACGAAGAGAAATATCCGACGCCGGTATATAAACCAAAACCGACAACAAAGAAACCGCATAAAATTCATGCTTCGCTGATCCATAAGTCAACGCATAAAACAACAGAAGCACCTCCGCCTGCAGAAGAACTGACTGAGAAATATACGTCACCAATTAAATGGAAATCAAAGACAACCATTTCAAATACTGATGATCAGACGACACCTGAATATTTCAAATATACAATTCCAACCCCTTTATATAAAGAGAAGAATTTTGAAGATATTCTTAGCCGCATGGATATGAACATCGATAACTTAAGCATTGTTGATAATGCCAGAGATGACTCAGACAAAAGTATAGATGAGTCAGTAAAAATTGAGTCATCTAATACTGATGGAGAGAACAAGCAACAAGATAGGAAATCAGAACAAGGCGTAGACGAAGTTGACACCGCTAAATCTCTTGATGATTTACAGTCGCAAGTTCTTGAGAATGTTAAAGACACATTAAAGACTGACGTCGAAGATTTAACAGCAATCGAAAATAATCAATCGGAAGAAGTGCTTGAAAATACAGAAGATAAATTAAAATCAGATACAAGGAGCGAAGACATTGAAAAAGCATTAAACGAAGAATTACGCAACGAGAAAAAGGAGGACAAATTGTTAACTAAAGGCGATGAAATATCACGAATCGATAAAATGCGAGCTGAAGAGAATTACGATGATTTAGCAAAAAATTTGGATGATAAGGTTGCGGCAATAGAAAAGCAAGCTAAAGAAATCAATGACGACAGTTACACTGATAACGATGAAATCCGTTCTTTGGATGATGATTTCGAAGAAGCTGCGATTGATGAGGATGAAGGTAAAGAATAAGCGTTGAATCTTTCATCCCTTAAAGGCATTTCATTTCATTTCTTATTATCATAATTTTTTCATACTTATTCTCATTTTTTTTACTTTTTTCACGTTATTAATTTCATATATTTTATATATAAATTTTTTCTCTTAAAGGGATTCATTCATAAAAGATGTTTTACCTTCAATCGTTTTTTCATAAATGCTTAAATTATTAACAAGGCTTACATTAAGCTTTCTTCTCACAACATCATTTATGAATAAATCCCGACCTTTTTCATTAAATTATTGTATCTAAGCATTTTTCTATTTTATTTTTATATATTTAATAAATTTTGATATCAAAAACTAATCAAACTCTCGTTGTTTTTCTCTGTTGTAGACTCCCAGCTGAATCAGGCAAGTCAGGCGGGAAGTTTTCGTTTCGATGAATTGGAAGTAATTCAACTTATTCCTGTTATAATTGAACAATTAAGAAAAGGGCATGTGTCGGAAAGTGAGCGAGTTATTTTAGAGGGAATCTTTGGGGATTTGTGGCCTTTCTTAGAAGCTGAATCACAGCGTGATGAAAGCGTTGAGATAAATCCGTTGTTGAGAACATTATTACAGTCAGATGAAGTTAGACTAGCAAAGCGTGATATCACAAAGCAAATTGGTAATGATATCTTTAAGAATTCGGTGCGGCGTGTTTACCGTGGCGACGGAAAGGCCCAAACAAAGCCTTACATTTCGCTCGATGATGACAGGAAGTTATTATCCCCGTCGGAGCGATTAATGAACATGGTAGCTGCTATTGTTCACAAAGCAAATGTGCTGGAAAAGTCACAGCGAAAAATAAAGCAAAAGCGGAAATATCTTCGTAAGAAAAATAAAAATCCATTGGGAATTGTGACGGTTGAGAAGCCACGACAACGTTTCATGGAACGTCTTTTAAGCGTTAATCGAATGAAACGCAGTCTCATAAAATTCAGCTCAGATATTGCTGATATGAAAGCGCTGCTCGACAAAGTCAATGAAGCAGATGACGCCGAAGAAGATGAATTCGATCTTGAAATTGATGAAAATGATTCAAATGAATACTTGAATGATTACATGAATGATGATTATTATTATGATGATGCTGAATATCAAATATCACCAATTGCATCAAATAGATTGTCATGGGGCAAATATTCCAATGACTATGAAAATGGATCAATCAATGAATTTATTCGAAGGGCGAGACAACGAGATCTTCTAGAGAAAAGTGATGAGAACGAAATGTTCAATGATAGCTATGAAGACGATGATGATGATGATTATTATTAGCGTTAGAAGCTACGAAAATTTTAACTTCGTTGTATCAGGCTCCTTGCATGAATATTTAATAAGTACTACCAAGTCTACATCATGAGCTTCATCAGACCCTTTTCTTCAAGCACAGCAACAACAAGTACAACGTTAAGAACTTTCTGAAAAGTTTCGTCATTGTTTTCAGCGTACATAAATTTACTGGCAGAATGACAATTCAAGGTCTCATGACATATACATAAAAAGAGTTACTTTAACGTACAATTAGGTTGTAAATAAGAAGAAAAATAAAATATTTGTTGTAAATAAATAAAAGCTTTAGTCAAATAATAAAGAGTGAGATTATACTTATCTGTATAATAACTGAAAACTCATAAGCATAAAATTGTATTTTATATTATGTATCGCTAACAAAGTATGTATGAGAAAAATGTGGGTCAATTACAATCTAAATAAGCTAAAAAATCATAAAAGATATGACAGATGTGAACATTAGCAGCAGAGCTACTTATAAAAAGTCTCATAAATTATGAATAACATTCAAATGCGAATTAAGTAATAGAAAAAAATGAGAGAAAAAATATATTTTACTTTGCCCATCATACAAAGACGGCAGCATAAATTTATCTTCGTTCTTTATTTTTTAATCTTCATGAAAAAAATATAAAACATAGCGAGGGATAAATTAGTGATATCTTTTCATATTTGGAGCGATGTTGAACTTATTTTGTTAAAGCTGCTTGTGGCATGTTAAATTTCTTTTCCTTTTTTTCGTTTTAATTCATAAATTTTATATTTTTTCTTTGTCAATGTCGAGGCTACGCACCGTAATTTGTTTGTAGTTAATCATAAGCAATTCTTCTTTGTCTTGTCTACATAATTTCAACATTGGACTGTTATTTAGAAGAAAGAAAGAAATAAGCAATTCATACGACAACATTAGGTTCAGCAATTAGTCATTTAAGGGTGTAAGAAAGTCGAATGTCGGCGATAAATAACATCAAGGGTAAACATTTCGAACAATGGATTATATTTGATTATAACGAGTACTGTGAGGTGAAATACTGAATAAAGCTTTAAGGGTGAATCGTAAAAAAGCTTTTTTATTCATGACAAAAATATTTTCATAAAAGAAAGTGAAATTCAAGGCAGCAAGAGAATAAGGAAATGTCTTTTGTGACTTTTCCATGCCATCGAAATCATAAATTTACGATATCGTATATTGTAGACGAAACGAGTATGCCCATGCTTTATGGAAATTTGTTGTTGTTGTTGGTGCTTTCTTGACGGAGAGAAAAAAAAGAGAAACTAAAAAAAATTGATTACGATTGTCAGAGTTGTCAAGTGAAGTTTCGAGGTTTGAGAATTCTCCACAAATAAGCATCAGAAGCAAAAGTTTCGTATGAAAAATTGATTTTATTTTGACAAAGGTCTGACGCAGCGACTTCATGAATATTTTAGAAGTTTTCCACTGGCTCGACTCATTCCTTCCGTCGCTATCTCTTATTACAATCACGTGTAAATTTGACTTTTTATATTTGCAGTGAACGCGACATGTTTCAAGTCAGTTATGTATATTTTTATGTCATAATAATAAATAATCCGACAAAAGAATGAATTCTTTCATGATTTATTTCCGTAAAAAAAACCAGAAAAACGTTTTCCAAGTTCATCATTTATATCTGCGTAAGAATTTCAAATAAATAACATTTCAAGAACAATCAACGAGCTTTCTTAAAAAAAGATTCACATAATGTGATTTAAGTGTACAACTTTTTATGATTTTCATGAGAAACCTTACTCAGGAAAATCTCTTAAAATCGTTTTCCCTTTTTCTTTATCTAATCCCCACCACATTTGAAACTTCCTTTAAAATTTCTTATTACTAGAAAACGAAAATCTCGGTGTCAGCTCACAAGATAAGTACTTATGAACAAATGAAAAAAAAATGTCATTCGTAATCTTGTAATGTATTCAAAGACAAAAACGACAAGAGGAATTTCATGAGAAAATATTTTATATGTAAGATGAAGAAAAAGTGTGCTTAAGAAGACTCAAGAAAGTTCTTCCAATTACAAAGAAATAATTCAAATTCATGTGCTCCGTTCGAGTATACTTGAGAAGAAATAAAAGAGAGAAAAATGCGTAACATAAAGATATTATATGAATCACAAAACTTCTATGTCATTAAGACGAGATATCAAGCCGTGGGAACAAAGATTTTCTGGCTGGCAGTTCTAGCTTTTTTTATTGTTTTCTTTCTTTCCACGTTCTACGTGATTTCCCTCTTATGCTATATCATTTTTCATACATGAAAAGAACAATTCTCAATGTCGAAAGTTAGCGTTATTTATGAGTGTTACAGAGACGCCCATACAGAGAGAAAAGAAAGTCAGTCACCTTCATACTCGCAATTTTCCAAAGCTATAAAAATGATAAACTATCAAACACAGATTCAAATCTATCATATTTTTGATGTTGAATCAGCAAGTCCAATAAAAGTAAACTTTTACGGTCACTGTTAAAAGCAAAGTGAAGTGAAACTTTGGTTGTGATAAAATAATGAAGATAAATTGTGTTACTCAGTTGGAATCAGAAGGATGGAAATATCCTTTGAAGCAGGAACGAAACTTTTAGCTTCTGTCAAACAATATTCAACATTAGACGAATAACATTTCAAGGGAAATTAAATTATAATTAAACGTGCATGGATGAGATGTTCGCTTGTTTGAGCGTTAAATGAGTTCAAGGGCGTAAACAACAAAAAGCTTCAGTGAGTTGTTGATAAGTCAGGCGCGTCAAAATTCATAAAAAGCTCTTGAGACACTCACTTAAGGGACTGTCATTCTCATCATGACAATAATCTATAAACTGTCCACCCTTAAAAACCAATAAGAGGTTTACAATTTCCCTCTTCCTGAAAAAGGTCGCACAATTATATCGGAAAATTGGCAGTTAAAATTGAATTCTTGAAATAAGTGATGACAGATCTGTTTTTCTGACTTTTTAAATGTTTATGCTATTAGCAACACTCAGAAAAAATATGTTAGCCACAATAACGCATTTCACGCTATAACGGCATGTCTATGGTGCATATTTTCCCAATAACTTGACATTATCTCAGTTATAAAGTGCGTCATATTGATTAACACATATCTACACCCATAGTCGCCGTTATAGTGTGAATATTGTGGCTAACATATTTTTTTCTGAGTGAACCGTTGTGGGAATACTCTTATTTAACATGAACATGCAAAATAAAAAAAAAAATGATGGTGTGACATTTCAATCTAGTTTTTGGAAGGTTTCAATTGATTTTTGTTTCATGGATACTGTTATTGTTTCGTTTTTTCTTTTATCATTTTTTTTAAATAAGACACATTAAGAATCACAAAAGCTCCTGCTATCAGGTGATTACTCGTTATTTCTATTCAATGTCGCACAAAAGTACCAAACGATATTTTCCCCTTTTCCCCCCTTACTCATTCCTCTTTTTCTCCAAAGAGACGAGAAAAAAGAAAGAACAATAGCGCACTGCTGGCATGTCATAATTAATTCATAGCGTTTATATTCGACTGGTGGCGGTAGTAAGCCGTCGAAATGAGAAACGAAAATTCCCGCCATCAAACTCTTTCCTGACGTTTATTAATGGTGAAAATATGTTACGTTATAAAAGCATAGAAAATAAAAACTCTTTTTTGTTTTTCTTTTACTCTATTTATCAACAATAGTTTTGGTTAACGAAGCATGGAATATTCAAGTTGCCGGTACTACTTTAGAAGCAATTAAATATTGTTAGAGATCTGACTGGAATGAGAAAAAAATTTCTTGTTATTATATTGATTATCCATCCATAACACTAAGAATTAATTACAGTTTCACTTTGCTTTGTGCCAGAGAGAAACAATGACAAAATGTTACATTTTATGGTAATATAAAAGCTCTTTTCAGAACGCGAAAATTATTCTCATGTATGATACTCGCGCAAGGGTATTCTAGCTAACGTTTGTTCGAGGGTATATCATTCCATTTCCATGAGTGTTTTTAACGATTGGAAACAATGATTTTATTTATTCACTCGCTAGCAATAAAACTAGTAATAAGAGAAGAAAAAAATCAATAGACTTGAATTAGCTATAAATAATTGAAGAAGTAAATGGAATGAAAATCCTTTTTTTTGTTGAATAATTTCAGCAAAGAAAAGTTGTTTTTACATCGACAAAGATATCAAATTCTAGTGATCGCATTGAAAAAGATTTCCGAGTTTGTTTAAAATGTCACAAATTGTGCTTCTTAAGTTTCAACTTCAAACTTTTTCACAAAATAATCTTTCAAAAACACGAACAAATTTTCGGTATTTCTATCAACTTCAGGATTATTTTTCAACAATTTCTAAAAGAAGTTTCAATTTCATGTTCAGAAAACACTTTTTTTTCTTCCTCTCTTCGACTTTCAACTTAAAATTGCCTTAAACTGAAAGTTTAAATCTGTGAATGCTTGTCAAGTGAAAGCAACATGGCGCGACGTCATTTGAGAACTTGTTTGACAGTAGAAAACTTCTAGTCTTCTAGTCCATACCGTATGTAAGTAATCGAGTTTGGCAGTCATTTTTAACTTTATTTCTTCCTCGAGGAAACAAAAAATCTCCTTTCAAAGCTCATTTTGATAACAACAACTTAATAAATCAAAAATATTCGCCAATAATTACATTAGGATCTTTTTTTCTTGTTTGTTGAATGCGAAGGCGCCTGTCGTATGCGATAATAAAAAGAAAATATGAAATTTAGCCGTGTACGATCAGGGTGATAAAGGTATCAGTGAAAAAGGAAAGAACATGAAGCATTGGTGAGAATTTTCTCGACGGCATGTCATTTAGCTGGCATATTGTGTTCTTTCCTCGAAATAAATACAAAGAAATAGGGAGGTAGATGAAACACGGGAGAAGAAAACGAGAAACCCTGGGTTATAAAAATTCTGCAAATATTAAGTTTTATACAGTTTTATGCTAGCATCAGCCATCACAAGAGAACAGCGGAAGAAAGATGAGAAAATGTGCAAAGAAAAAACACAAACAAGACACTTTCAGTTTGCTATTATCCTTTTTAGATCGGAAATGAGGCCAAGGAGGAACACGGAAAAAAGGAGGCGAAGGGAGAAAAAGAGCTTAGTTTGAGCCTTTTTGTTGTCATTGGACTATATGATGCTAAGTAAATAGATAAATAACTCAAATTTTACGCACGAGTAACATTTATGTTTCTTATTTAAGAAGACGTTGGTGATGTGGGTGCTGATAAAATCTATAAACGCATTTAGAAAACTTTATTGTGAACGACAATACCAAAGTTCCCATTTGGTATTTCGTTGTTGAAAAAAAATCAATAAAATGAAAACAAAACATCTCAAAATGATTGCTGCTTTGAGAAAAGACAATTGCAGAGACGACAAGAACCAGAGATGATGAAGAGTAGAATATAATTTACAACTCACCATTGAAATGGAGCCCACTTGATATTACTAAATTGATTCGTCAGTCGCCATTTTGTTTGGAAATTCTATGATGAAATATTTATTTATTGCCAGAACTGATGTCGGTAATTGTATTGCCTAAAGAAGTTTATTGAATCTTCATCGATGTCAAAAAAAAAGTTTGTTTTATGTTATCAAAACAGAATTCCTTGAAATGTAAACTTCAAAGAATTGAGCATTGATAATGTAATCAATGGAAGCTTATAACTTAGTAACCTTCCAGCATCATAAATATACTTTGGCGGCCACAGCCCTACCTTAATATTTATGTGAAGCATTCTTTTGTTGAAAAGCTTTCCACATTTTCACTTTCCTCAGAGAGAAGAATGCCAGAAAGATAAATTTGGGTGTGAGTTAGATGGAAGAAAAATAAAATTTATTCTTGTTCAAAGTGAGATAAATAAATATTTTTTCCTCCATTAATTTTTTTCTTGAGGTTTCCGACTTCGATTGAATATGACAGATATCGTCAAGAAAGAAAAATATTATACCATTTATACATGATAACCAATTCAAACATCGAAAGGGTTTCTTTTCAAAGATAACATTGCATTGCGTTGAAAATTTATATATTTATGTCTGTAAATATATTTTCTAAACATATATCTTCAAATGATTTTAGCACTCTCTCCAATATTTATTTCCACTCGAACATTAAGTAGACACTTACTTGAGCTTTATCTTGAGCATTGCATTAATATTTTCTAACTTTTCTCTCCCTCCCCTTTCAAATATTTATTTTGATGTCATTCTTATCAATAAAATTACTGCTGTCAATCGCATTAACCCAATCTTCGCTATCGAGGAGTGATCGATGATGAATGTTTATTTATGTGTATATAAAAATTAATTTCCGTTTTAAGTTTCTCTATTTTCATAGATCGACCCAGAATAAATTTTAGATTTGAAGTCTGGTTCTTAATGCAGATGACTTTTCGGGAAAGCTTTCATTTAGTGATATCGATTCGGCCACTGTTTTATAATAAAATGAATTGAATTTCGGATAAATATTTCCAGATAATGGAATTGAAAGCAATCATGGATTTTCTCTTTTTTATTGTATTATTTTTTTTTTTCGTTTTATCGACTGAAGGCTTGTAATATTGTAAGAACGTTTATGATATGAACAGACGAAGGCAGTTACTAGATAAGAGGCGTCTACACTTAACAAGCTTTATTGTCGGAAGATTCGTGATGTGGTGAGAAATCGCTGAAGAAAATTTTCAGAATTTTCTCATGTCGAAATGAGAAGGAAATTTTTTATGATACGCACAAAAGAAAACATGCCAGCGATGATTGCTTTTACTGATATCATTTGAAATGATAGCGAATCTTTTTTTGTAAGTTATGCCAATGGAAAAACTTTTCTCATCGAAAGGGCGGGGTATCTAATCTCACTCATGCTGCTCTGATTCTTTCTTTCTTTTCAATATCTCTTAAAGATCGTACACTCTTGATCCAATTGGATTGTTTTAATATATACTTTGATATTATAAGCCTTTTTCGCTTAATTAATTTATCAAACCTGAGATTGCTGATAGCAAAATTGAATTGTTAGTCGTTAAAGTTTATTTCTTTTTTTTCTCACAATTTACAATAAAAATGTGAGAGATTTAAGCCAAAATATTCTAGTAACATTTGATAAGAGTCATAAAGATCTTTTTACGATGAATTTGAGTACATTGCGGAACACATTTCTCAGTTTTTTGTTAGAAGAATTTTAAATCTCTTATTTACGACTTAATAACATTTCGTTTTAAAGTGTTTGCTTTGAAAGTCATCAAAATTGCCAGATTGCAATAAACGACTTTTGATATCAAATAATTAGAAATTGATAAGTTAATAAAGATCTTGAGAGCCACACGAAAATAAAGAAATATATTTGTTTGATAATTTAAAAAAAGAATAAATTTAAAGAAATTATAAACGAAAAGGCATCCAAGGGAAGGTTCATAAGATAACAAACATGGTATAACAAATCCCCCTGAGAATTTTAATCTGAAATATTAATGCGGTTTATTTAGAGGGCTTTTAAATACGTAAATAACGAAGTAACAAGAAATGAAGCGAAACCCCCAAAGGAGCCATTAAAATTCTAATGAAAGTTTTTTTTAATTAAAAAGCATAAAAAAATATATTTATGGAGCTGAACATAACGTCTCGAGAGCTCTCCTTATTTTGACCTCTGCTTGTTGCTAAACCCCAAAGCGCACAATTTTTTTATGAACTCATATTTCTTGTTTTGTTGACCTTGTGGCTCTGAAAATATTTCTCATTGTTAAACATATTTCTACTCGTAATGTAATTTCAATAAGCATAACTTTCTTCTCAAACTTTTGCAATATTTTTTCATGAATTCCTGAAGTCGACAAGTTGCAGAAGGGGAGAAATGATAAGGATTTTTACTTGTTAGATAAAAGTATTTCTAGAATATGTTAAAAATATTCATCTCATTGTGAAAGGATGAAAAGTTTATTTTTCCTGAATTTAGGTATGCAGATATGACGAGTATGTTGAAGTAAAACACTTTTTTTATGATATCATGGGAATATTTTTCTGTTTCACATTATAAAAAAGTTAATGTTTTCGAAATTTAATTGAACACCATAATAAAATTTCCTTTTACATCATATAACAATATTTATTGATGAAAGTTTCGAGATAAAAAGCAACTAAAAATGTTGCAAAAATCTTATCAAATATGTTCTTTACGTTAAGTTGCTTTAATACAAATAAATTCCTTACATTCTCAAATCTTATAAAAAAAGAAAGCTCGTTATGAAATTTTTCAAAACAATTCCAAAAACAATTAACTTCAAATATGCTGGGACGAAAAATTCTTCTTCAAGAATATTAATTGTGATTATTCAGGGTGAATTATTGTTGTGAATGAATGAATGAATGAATGAAAGCACATGCAGCCACTTTTCATTAATTCATTCATCCCTCTCATCCTTATCAGTCTGTTATTTCGTATGGTGAACATTATTCGTGTCTCTTTTCCTGATTTATGTTACTTATGCTACACATTGTGTAAACATTTTCTCATTACCTCAAAAGAATCATCATCTTATATAATGCTACCGAAACTAATTTTCTTTCTTCGTTCACACGTTATAACTCGTTTGTTTTTCGACACCGCATTAAATTTTCATTCCACCAGCTACTTAGGCGCAGTTTCATGTTTAAGAAATACCTTCTGAATTTCTGATATGTATATCCACCCTGTTCTTGATGTTTGAGTTTACATCATCAAAGAAATTTGCTGCAATGAGATGAGATCTCTCTTGTTACAACTAAAATAGCACAACTATGAGCTTGGTTTGAAGTTTCTCACCCTCATAACAATATCAATCGTAAAAAAAGGTTCCTTGACGTTTGTTATGAAGATATCTTTGCTATTATGTGTTACGTCGAAAATCAGATTGTTATGAGTAAAACATTTTATTTCTATTTCTAGTTTAGAAAAGCCTTCAATGATTTTGCTTAAGGTTTTTACAGTTCTAGCTTCAGAAGAATTCTTAACGTGATGAAGATGTAGAAATATTTTCTTATTTAAACCGCATGACGTAATAAATAGTTGAATGATGGAAATCACCAAAGATAAAAACAGAAACCTTCATAAATTTTGGATAATTCATGTTTGTGTTAAGAAATTTATAAGAAAAATCAAACTCAGAAAACTCAGTTTTTTTATGTAAAAATATGTAGAAAAAAGTGGACGCGTAATGAATTCATACATGCGCCGTGATGAACACGAAAGTTTTACCCCTAGATGTGAGGTAAAAAAAGTCACTTAAGCATTTGCTGGCCTTTCTCCAGTATTCATCCAGTCTTCATTCATATTCATCATTTTGGAAACTCGCAGGATGTACGTAATGACCGACATTGCTCACACAAATTATTCATTTCCTCCCAAGCTTTTAATAATATCAACAGCAATAACATTCAGTATCGTAAACTAAGCAAATGTCTGCGGTTGTTTCTTTTCTTCAATTTGTTTTCGGTACACTGGTGCCTGCCTAAGAAAAAGCTTTCACTTGTTATGATGCTTATGAAATTTTCGAAAGTTGTTAAATTATTTGTTTTAGGAAAAGTTTTTCGTGTATTCAACCATTTACTAAGCATAAATCAAGATTGTAAATAATTTATGTAATCAATGTATTCATTTATTTTCGGCATTGAATAGAAAATGCTTTCAAGGAAAATAAAGAAAAATTTCAATAGAAGCCTTCTGTTTGCTTTCAAGTTTCATTTTTTTATTGTCAAAGGACATAGGACAAGAAAAACATTTTAATATTCAAAACTCTTTTGTGAAGTCAACTTCAGCATGAAAATGAAAATGAAAATGAAATGTTTCAACTAGAGGGATAATTAAAGCTGCTAATAATTAATTCAAATGAAAAATAAAAACAAGAACTCGAAATAAACAAAAGGAAGGAAGAATTGAGAGTGTCAAACTTCAAACAAAATGAAACTAATTGAAAGCATAACATCAAACAATGTTTCTTTCCTAATTTCTTCTTTTGCTTTTTTCTATACTTTGCTTTCTTTATTCTCTCCCTTTTTGCATTCATTCGTAACTCAAAATGTGCCGAGAAGACATGATGATTAATAGTCAAAGTAAAATATAAAAACTTCTTCAATACGATGTCAGGATAAATCTTTCATTTCATTAGACAAACTTCTGTATAACTTTCGTAATCTTTTTCTTTCGAACTATTTATGTAGTTTTATCGGAAAATGTTCTTTTGCAATAAATTTAATTAATTTTCTCTTTAGATTTTCATTTCAATTCTTTTACTCACCTCAGAATCATTACTATGCAGTGTGAGTTGAAAGCCTGGCAGTAAATCGGGATTGTTATTGACGTCTTCCAAAGCTAAATTGGCGGCCGGCATACATGCTACAGATAACATAAATATGTAAGAATGAAATGAAAGGAGGGGAGAGAAAGGATGACCAAAAATTAATTAGGAACGGTCGTGTCATAAGCGAGAGAAAAAATTCTGAAGTAAAAACGATCGAACGAGTTTACCAATATATATGATGGTCGAGCGTGTATGCAATAAACAAGATAAGCAAATAAATTACAGACTCTCTAAAACTCGTCCGACATTTTCCACATGTTATGTTTTTATATTTGAAAGCATAAATCTCTTAAAACATAGCAAATCCTTACCTTGCCCTCCTTGCCAGCCACCTTTTCCTGCTATCGGAAAAATTCCACCGATGTGAAGTTGATTCGTTCCATTTACGTAACTAGTTTCAAACACCAATATCGTAATGAAGAAATAAAAACTTTTATACACTAACATTGCCTGAAATGAAAGTAAAAAACAAGAAAATTAATTCAATGTCAATACAGAATCTTATAAAGAATATAAGATAAAGAATAAGCAATAAAGAATATTCCAAAAATCATATCAGTCACAACCGAAAGGGATTTGTTATCCAGTTAAACATTACATCCATTGAATAGTTTTATGGTTGAATGATACATAATAAATCTTGTAATAAATTATTGAACTGGATAAAATAGTTTTATGATTTGAAATTAACAATATGAGCTGAAATTTCATTTCGTTATAAGAAACTAGCGAGGTAGATAATTTGATATAAAGTTAAATGACGATGAATTTTACTTTTGAAAATACTTTCTGCACACATCAACTATCAACATAAATTGTGAGAGAAACTTTAAAGCCCATTAGAATTTTAATCGTAAGTTAAGTATACTAAATGTAAATAAACGATGAATTGTACATACCATCAGGTTGTTATGAGGTAAACACTGTTCTGAATGTACAAGATAAGAGTCGTTGAAAGCTCAGATATGCGAAAATTCAGACAGTAATTTTTACTAGATGAAAATTTTGTTTTTGTTAAATAAGTTTTAAATTTCGATAGAATAATACTTATCAACTAGATAAAATAATTCTAAACACAACTTTTTCGCCAAAAAAGAAATGAAAGCTGAGCATTTATGTTAACAAAAACATTTTGAATATTCACTTTAGCTTTTACAGTAAACAAATTTTTCAAAGTCTAACAAAGCAGCTTTTCATAAAAAAATTTTTTGAAAAGATTACTTAGATATACTTTTTCCCCTTTTTTACATGAAACATTCTCTAGAATAAATTTGTAGAATGAAGTAGGATGATGGAAGGATTTTCGGAATATAATTTTTAATCAGAAATGAGAAAACTCATGAGACAATATTTACTCGTTAAAGAGATTTTTTGTTTGATATGTAATTGTGATTACAAGAGTAAAACAACGTTTGAAGATTGCATGCTTTAGTAAGCTAGGCAAATGTGAGTTTTAAAAATTAAATTATTACACTTTCATAAACTTTTCCAACGATTCACAAATTCTTCTTCCATTGTGCTGTAATAAAATGTTAAAGTAATGTATGAGCATAAAGCGTGATTATAATTCAGATGAAAGATCAGAAACTGAAATTCTTTTCGTTTCATATCATTTGCTCATTGCCATCGAAATGAAAAAGCAGGAAAGCTCTTTACCGCACATAATCTTCGAGGCCCTCTTCCAAGCGCATCATTATCGAGAAAGAATACGAAATTTATTTCTTTTACTCCCCTACCTAATACTTATGTTGCCATCACATACCTTAACTGCCGTCTAATGGAAATAAAGTAATCGCATTTTTTATAAGTTTGTAAATTTTTGATGAAAGTAGAATGAGTTGAATTGTTGGTGAAATTTAGCAGACTGATGTGACATGAATAATTGCAAATTCGTCTCCTTCTACCTTTTTTTTTGTTTAACGCTTTAAGGAAGATTAACTTTTGGATAAATTATTTTTTTAATTTTTTTTTCATCTATTCATTGCAGGAAACATTGATCCGAATAATCTTAATAAAAAGAGCTTTAGGAAAGGAGAGAAAAACTGCTCCCCATTCTCTATTGGGTTGAATTTGCATAAGGTAGCAGATTAATCCTTTTAAAAGATTAGATTGCCTCATTGTATAAATAGAAATCCCTTATTAGTCGATTTAAAGCTTAACAAAAATAAGAGCTGGAATAGTGTGAGAAGAAACCGTAAAACTTCGCCTTTTCACGGATAAACTTTATTTCATGATGGCGAGATTCAAACCGATTTAATCATCAAGATTTATTCATCTATTCCATTTATCTTGCTATCACTAAAGCAATGTCTTCATTGGCACGAACGTCAACGCGACAAACGAGAAATAATTCATCGTTGATTCATCGTTTCTCTCTTTTTGCTTTATGTTCATTTCTACGATGAAAAAGCACGAATCAAAAATGTCACGAATACTTAACAAAGAATGATAAAAAAGAAAGGAAAATTTAAAGCAGTTAAGAGTGCTAGGGTGTCACATAATGAAGATAAAATAATAGACTTTATTTAATTAAAATTTCCCGTAGTTTGTTAGTTTTTCTCCAATGAGTAAAGTTGATTAGATTTTAATTCTCAATTGATAAAAGGAAAAAAGGATTTAATTAAAAAGCTCAGAAGCTTAGCATTCGATAAATTTTCATTCATTGCACAGTTTAAATCTGACTAAGTTTCACTACTTTTAAAACCTTTCTTTGACTTCTTATTCTGTCGATTTTAAAGGGGACAATATTCAATGAATGTGTAAACAAAACGTTCTGTAACAGAACTTGCGGCCTTAGCATAGAGTTGAATAGAAATACAAACACTTGACTGTATGTTTTTTTATCTATTGTGCTGTGGCTTTATTAGCCTTTGGTGATAATAAATTTTCCTCATGCGTTAGAAAGAGCTCTTTCCATTCTCTGTCATAACTTTCATGGTTTTTCGTATTCAAGTTTATGATTTGCAATATTCAAACATTTAATCATTTGAGAAGTTAATGAGCTCAAATATTGCTATGAAACTTTTAGGTGAAACATAAAATAGCTTAAGTTTTATTTAACGAAAAATCTTGTTCCATAACTGGAAATTTCAAGGAAAAAGGTTTCATTTAAATTCAAGCCATGACGGTAAAAGTGCTCTTGTAACTTTTTTATGAGAAATTGTTTTCATTTCAAATTTCATTTAGTACTTATTTTCATTGCTTTGACTACTCAAGAAGTCAAAGCCTACTCAGCAATGAATTCCATTTTACTGGACACGCTTTCAAATCCTATAATAAATGGATAAATGATACATTTCACACAGACATAATTCCCGTCCTTTGTACTACATTGCCATTAAAGTCTCATTACGATTTTCCCTGTTCACTTCGTCTTGAATGTCTAAGCCTAATTAAACTTAGATTGAAGTCGATCTCTTTTGCTTTTACTTGAAAGACGTTGGCGTGTCGTGTATTAACAAGAAATAACAGAAAAAAAGGTATTTTCTTATGGAGACCTCGAGGCAAGAGGAGAAGCAGCAGCAAAAGGAAAGAAACCGAAAATTCATGATGAAAAGGCAGCTTTTTACGTATTTATATTTTTTATGTGTCAGCAGAATACATAAAGGTGAAATAAAAAGAAAAAAGAATAAAAAAAAACATTTCCACATGTTCGCTACAAGTAAAATCGACCTGAATCAAACATAGAAATATGTACTCTGGAAAATACGCACACGAGAGAAGAGTTTTTTTTTCCACTTGAAGTGAAATGTAAGCAAGCTAACGACGGCAACAAGAAGCAGGCAAGACATAGAAAATCAAAGAATGTACAGAAGAAGAAAATATTTTCTTTTCGTTGCAATAATAAGACTCGAGTTATTTGATATCCGGAACGCAAGGCCGAATTGATTGCCTTCATTTTGACTTTAATTCTCTTCTCGCACGCGTGCTCAACTTGTGGTGAAAACTTTTATTGAAAGCAATGTGTGACATGTATCAAGTTTTGTAATTTAATATTTTTCATTTATTCTCAAGGGTAAAGACGTAAAATGAAATAGAAATCAGCTGAAGGAAGATGGCACCTCAAGCTAAGTGAAATTTGATTTCTTTCAGAGAAGCTTCTTCCTTGCAAAGTATGATTACAGGGAGTTTATTAAACAATCTTCTTTCACAATTTAATTATTTGAGTCTCTCGCTTCCCAGCTCATTACAGTGAAAAAGGATACGGAAACGGAAGTTGTCGAGAACTTTATCCAAAGTGAAAGTGAAAAACTTCCCAGCGAAGCACTCAAATCTTGCATTCAAAACACCAACTTTTGAATGGAGTTCCTTGAAAAGCGTTCTGCACAATGAGGTCGAAAGGAAAACGAGAAACGACCGCGCAACATTTGCGTCTGCATAAATTAATTAACTTTACAGCTATGAATAATGCATAAGGAGAAACATCTCAAGAATTCTTTCAATTGCTGTTTTACCGTTGTCTGTCTCCATGTTTTAAACAGTCAAGATTTTATCTAAATTAATCCATATGTCAAAACCGAGTAATGAAAAGATTCCAATTAAATAAGAAACATAAATTGGCGGCCTTGAATTAATTCAGAAAATCTTAAGATCAATCACGTAAAGACCAGGAAAATTAATCTAGTAAGAAACCAGATTTTCCTTCGTAGGATTTCCTGTTTCAAGATACCTTTGAGCATACAAGTAAAAATGTTTTCTTTGTGAAGAACATGAAACCACAGAAGAAAAAAGATTTGAAGCCATCTTCTAAGCGTCATAAAAGAAAGAAATTCTTTTGTTATTAGAGGAAAAGGAATATGCTTCTTCTTATTGAGTATCAGTACATTGTACATGTCTCATAAGTCATAATCATAAATCTCAGAATTTTTAGGTAAAAGTAAAAGCCAAAATTAAATATTGAAGTAAATTTTTTCTTTAATGCTTGAATTGAAAGAAAATCTCGAATCTCTTAAATTTTTAATAAATAAAAAGTTAAGATTAGAAGTTAATTTTAAATTTATAAACCCCACATGTTACATTTAATTGAAAATGGTGAAAAATGGTTTGAAGCATGATATGAATTTATCAAATAACAACTCAGAAACTTTACATTTTTCACCTCATATTTCTTTCATGATAAATCTATTTATTAAGGCTTCATTTGTTCATTTTCCCACTTAATTTTCAAGTACTTTTCATGCCAAAAAAATTGTTTGCATGCAGATCTTCATAACACTTAAATAGTGCTCAAACGAATTTCAGTCATTCTAGTTTCGGAACGTATGTACAAAAGCATGAAATCTAATTTATTTCAATAATTTTTCTCATTAAAACTTCTTTTTTTTGCTCCTCTTTCCAAAACCATTGTTCACTTTGTGTACATACATGAATCTGAACTTTTATTACATCGCGACAAACACAAATGTTGCTCGGTAATGGTTTTAAGTTAAAACAAAAAAAGAGAAGGAGACTCATACATCACATGCTTCAACTCGCACGCGGCTAATAAAATATTAATTTTGAAGGGATTTAATTTGCATTTTTATTAAGCGGTGAAACGCGCTACTAAATATATGCAACTTATTCAAAGCATTCAATATGAAAGAGTTTCAAGGCGTTTCCATCAAAAATTAACTACTTTAAACGGGAAAAGATATCTTCTAAGGACATCAGAAGCGACTTTATTATGATAAACAACAACCATCACTTATATTTGCCTTAAATTTTATCTGCGTTCCTTTCTGCATAATTTATTCCGCATGTCGTACAAGGAATTCACACCATCATAACTTTTGGGAAAAGTTTAAAATTCTTCACGCTCAATTGATTCTGGTAATAATGGGAAAGAGTTTGAAGGAATTTCAAATTTATTTGCATATATTTTTCGGCTTCACTTTAATGAAGATTTAATGCTCATCGTTTAACAGACTTAGCAATTTAGAAGTACCTTATAAGGTTGAGTAAGTTGTCTTAATGAATCTAAAAGCTGAAGAGCGTTATTGAAATTTAAAAGCAATTTTTTCCGTCTCCTACGGTTCGTTTAAGTGCTTAGAATTTTATGAGAAATTTCTTGAATCTGATAAAAAAAAGTGAACTTCAACCTTTTCAGATAAGAAAAAAAAACGAAAATCTTTCACAAACCAATCGAAATGTAATTAGCATACGCTTTACTCTACATTGAGTGTACTCAAATGAAGAAAAAGAAAACTCTTCATGATGTCTCGTATCAGCCGCTATCGTTTCGTATTTCCGCCGACTCATCACATCGAGAATAAATGATTCTGTAATGATCTTTGGAATATTTTCACTTCCTTCCATTCGGTGATGAGCAAAATTTGGTTGAATTAATTTGATTTTTTTCGGTGAACGTTGTACGTTTTATGTCGAAACTAATGAAATGGTAAAATGAAAGGATTAAAAAAACAGCTTTTTGATGAGTCTTGAATTTTAATCTTCTCTTTCCCCGGGTAAGAATTCTTGAAGAATCTCGTCGAGGCCAAAGGCTGTATAACTTAACTACGGATCAACCGTTAAAATTTAGATCCAAAAATTTCCTTTTATAATAAAATATAATGACAGAAGTCTTGTGACGTCTATTGGAAACAGATGTTTGGTGGGAGATTTAAAAATTCATCTTGTCGACGCCACGTTTCGTTTAATGAAAATGAGTGACTTACACGTTTTCGATTTTTCAATCATTTCTACCTTCATCGTTGTTAACGAGCTTTTATTTTCGTCCCAAACCCTCTTTTTCGACTTTTGCCATTTACATCAAGGAAGGTGATAAATTTTATTTACAATATTATGCAGAAATTCTTGCTTCGTCAGCATTGTTTGGAATTTTATTGAGCATCAAGAGGGTAATCGAAAGAAAGTGCTTTCGAATCAAAAAGGAATTTGAAAATGAAATGAACTTTCTTCAATTGAGGGAATTAAATTCTCCATCAAAATTATTTATCACAAAAACTGTTATCTTGGTGTTAAAATCACAAAACTTAATCAATTAGATATTCTCGTCGTATAAAAACAATTTTTTAAAGCTGACACCATTAGCAACCTTTTAAATATTTAATTCCTTAGAATCGATTTCATACACGTTGCATTAGCGCTTGTTTCATACATTTAAAGTTCAATGTTTTATTTAAATGGCAATAAACTCCATATAAGAAAGAACATTCCATAAATGCACATATTGAGAGCTTTACTCACTTTGAAATTCAATTTTTTGCTATTTTCAATTGTATTTGAAATGCTTTCTAGTGCAGTTTTGTTTTTCTTTTTTTATTTTCTCCCTGAAGAGAAGAAGAATAACTTAAACTCATGTTTCTCGTAAAAGTTTCCGTAGTGTGGAAATTTCCTGCCTTTTTATGGCACATTTTGTACAACATTATTTTATATTTATAATTTTTTGTTCCATTCATTCAACTGCATCACTTCTTCTGCATACATATTCAGGTCAGACAACGATTTCTAAAGAATTTCCACCAGTTAACTTTTGAAGAGCGGAGCTTTTATGTCAAAGAAAATTAATTTTGTCCCTTCTGTGCTCAAGTAGATAGTCAGTCATTCGTGTTCGTGGTGCAATGATTCAAAAGGTTAGAACTTAAAATCATTGCGCTATGTATACTGAAATTCATCCAACTTTTTTGATGAAAGACTAACTTTCACAATTTGTTTGCTTTGTGAAAACCTTTTCCATCGCATATTCAGTTTCATTTATGCAATTTCAACTTCAAATTATTCAAAGATTGACAAATTTTATTTCAACTTGGTAAAGTCTTCGTTATGGTGAAGACAAAACCAAATCATATTTAATCAAACACCAACACGTTTGGTAACCGCACATCGTTTCTTTTTATTGTCCAAGTCAACAGACCACGTTTGCTCGAATCTACAGTTATTCACCTTACTAAATACAATGTAACTTAATATTTGCTTTTGAACTCTACTCTTAATGTTGCAATCTTTTGTGTGCTTAAGATTTGAAATCGCTTCTTAGTCTCAGTTACTGTTGACATTGTTTTCATTACATGTTTTCCTCCCTTTCCCAAAAGATGCTAGGAAAATTTTAATTAAAAAGCAAAAGAAAAGCTTCTTCTCTTAATACAATGCAACGACAAATGAGAGCTTTAAACTCGAATGACATCAACTACGTGAGAATTGAACTGAAATTATGCCAAAACCAATTTCCTCTTTCTTCTACAATTCTTCCAGCTGAGAACTGCTTTTTTTAAGGACTGCTGCATAACAGATAAACTTTTGTAAAAACAAAAGCAAAATCTTCCATTCCGGAACTACGTTAGGAGATACAATCTTGTTCCAGAAACATGGCGAGATATTCCGGAATAAGATAAGGGACAAAAAAGAAAAACAAAGGAAAATTATGATGCTTTGTGATGAGTTGATGAAATTATTTTTGTCCGCAAAAATTACCTTAACATATTCTAAATAATTGATTTATATTTAAAATCAAGATAATCTCTTTTTCATTATGAATCTTACAGTTCTTAATTTTCTCTTAGATACATATTCTTTTTTCTATGTCAAAAAAAGGCAAAGGGCAGAGGATACTCAATCATCTTTTTTCTTCTTTGTTTCGTTTTGCTTTCCATGGTTTTATGACTTCTGTTAAATATGTTAGTCGTTTCATTTTGTTCTATTTTATAAAATTATTGAGGAATCTTTTTATGTTGATTTTAAAATATTTATTCTCGAAAGGTTTCAAGGCTTATCCTTGATATTTATCCTAATCATACATATCAAGAATGATGGAGCATGTCCACAGGACTTTTCCTGATCTTTCTCTGTCTCTCTCTCCTACATTAGAAGGGAAAGTTTAGAAATTGAATAAAGGATGTCGTCAAGGATGAAAAAATGTTTTGGGTCACAAAAAAATTGAGCAAAACACTTTTCCATTTCAATGTCTCTTTAAAAAAGCTTTCAAGAATGCAAACCTCTTTCGATTCAAACTTTCTTTAAAGGCTTCTGTTTTAGTGAAAAGAGTTGACCAGGGGATGTAAAAGCAGCAAGTGATGTCCTAGTTTATCAGTCTTTTGATGCTGTCAAGCAGAAAAAAGGAACTGTTATCATTCTATTAAGAATTCACATTCTTCCTGTTGCCTTTGGCACTTGATATTCTCCCTCACAAACCCACCCACTAAAAATCCATAACAAGCCAGGAGTAACTTAAATAGATTAAAAAATGAAAAGACTTTTGTGCGCTTTTACAACGCTACAACTTTCATTCTGCTGAGTTTGAGCTTTTACAATTCCTTTTATCTCCTTTTCACTCACAAAAACGAAAAAAAAACTTGTTTGCTGTCGAATTTGAAGCCTTTCCTTCTCCATTTGCTGTCTTGTCTTTTATTTTGAAAGATAAAACTCGAAATTAATGTAACTTTATTTAACTTAATTCTTTCATTCTTTACTTCAGGTAACCCTTGCTTCATTCTCAGTCTCAGTACGAGAAGACAACTCATCCCATGCCTTTGAGCAGTTCAACCTTCAAGACAAAACTGTTTTCTTGAAATTCGGAGAACATTACGAAAAAATGTAATAACAATGAAGGGGAAAGTGAAAAACAAGAGGTTGCGTAGAAACTTAGGATTCTTTGTATAAAAGATACATTCACCGAAGCATGATGATACTTGAAGAAAGTATATACAATAAAACTGAGCCCATTTCTTTACCGGTCATGAATAACAAAGCATAATGATGTAATTTTTATTCGTGACTGATGCTCCTTCATTCATACATAGTTAGACGTATAAAGGTCTTACACATTACATTGAAAACAACCCAATAAGTTGTTCCGTAGTAATATTAACTCAATTTTAAGTATTTTGTACAATTTGTTACAAAAGGGAAGCAGGTTGCACGGCATTTAAATATCATTACAGACATTATACAAAAGAACTACAAGACTGCTGTAAACCCGATTACATTTAGAAGTTAATTTAATAAGAAAATGTAAGAACTTTCGATTGTGACAAAGGTAAGGATAATAAAGTTTATGATTTCATAATTACATTTAATTCCACATTTCTGCTAATGCAATAATTATTTTTGAAGACACCCATCACTCCTAACACACAATTTAATTACTTTTTTCTTTTTCGGTCTTTTTCTTTCTTTTATTTAATTACAGTCACTTTTCCACAGTTTCCTTTTTATTATTCTTCATCCATCCACAGCTTTTCTAAAGGTAATTAAATTTTATTTTTATACTTTTAATGCAAACCGAAAAACTCTTTTTTTCTACTTTTCTTGACAATGAATTATGGAAAGCTTTTTCTCTTTTTTTGGTTGTAATTTATACACTTTGAGCTACATAAATTTTCTCCACTTCAAAACTACGATATTAACGCGATATATTTTCGTACGGAAACAGAAAACAATTTACGCCTATGCATGGAATTAAACAACACAACATTCGAATTCAATGGATTGCCTTTTTTCACCTTGGCGCGTGTACAAACTTTTTTATTTTAAGTATTATTTTTGAATCAACAAATTTGTTTCTTAATCAATTCACCATGAAAAACTAGTTTCAAGGGAACGAAGCTTGAATTATTTTAATGATTGCTCAATTTGGTTCTAATTAATCAATATTCAATTTAAGTCCCGTTGGATGCCGCAAATATTATTTTCTTCCTTTGCACAATTTTCCATTTCACTTGTTTTCAAGCTTCTGTTGCTACTTTTTTGATGATGTGGGACCAAGGCCAATTAATTTACAGTGAAGAAAAAGCAATTAAATTTAATTAGTGGCCATTCGTTTGCTCTTTTATTTTAACTTTATTTTAACCATCAGCCATATCATAGCAAAGTTTTCTTTTCTTTAATCGAGGAAATTGACAAAAGGTTGAACAACATTTTTCTTTTTTAATCTTTTTTCTTCACTTTTTTTCTCTTTTGATTTTTCACTTTGTTAACAGATAAGGAGAAATGAAGAAAAAATCTTTCTATGGAATCCGACACATGCCACACGGCATAACCGAAGTTCAAACGGCAAATGTGCTTTCCATCGTGCTTCAAAAGCAATCGACTTGAGCCCACAAGTTGATTTTCCTGTCTCTCAATAGTTTTTCCTTTTAATTTGTGGAAAATCTCACAAATGTTATTGGAATGTTGTACGTTTAATACGCTTAATCATTCCACATTACACAAACACAACTTCATTCAAAAGAGTTCGTTGAGCTTTTCCAATGTAAGAGTTTTTCCAGTGAGCTTTTCACGATGTAAGTTGATGTAAGAATTATAGATTTTTTCTCTCTTTGAAATAATTCTAAGAAAGTTTTTCTCCTGATTTATTTCTACAATTGATAATTGTTCGGTTTAAAACTCAAGGTAAGAAAGTTTACATTTTAAATAATGCAACATTCTGTGAATGACCCAATGTTTCCTGATATGGTGAGATTAATTAATTTCACTTAATTCACTTCACAATTTAGATTTTACAAAAATAAAACCTGAGATAAGAGATCCACATCACGAAGATGATTGCAAAAGGTTATTATCAGCCAAGGCGTGAAGAAGAACTGAACAAAAATCACAGAATTCTTTCCAACAGATCTCAGATTTTTAGGTACACGATTGGAAAGCTTTGGCACGCAGACTCGGAAATTTTTACTAAACGTGTCGGGTCCAGCAAAGTCTGCGTGCTTTAATATGTAATTCTTTTTCATATTTTTTCTTTAGATTGTTATATTTAATGTTATTGGTGATAAGAGAGAAATTTAATTCTACTTGTAATTCCCCTTTAATTTAATAAATTTGTTTCCTTCACTAAGTACCATTGTGATATGAATTCATTCGTCCCTTAAAGGTTCCTCAAGAAAATCTATTTATTACGGTTAATATTTAAACGCATAACCTGTATTTGGGCAGTGGAACAGTTAGATATTTATCAATGTAATATTTATTTAACATACTGAATTTCTAAAAAATGATTTTCAACTGCATAGAATTGAGAATAATATATTTGCGATTGAATTTATGAAATTTCGAAAAAAACTTGTTGATGCTTCAATTTCCACTTCAACTTATCTTTCTTTTATTTAAAACCCAAATATTTAACAAATGCACAAAATCAATTTAGTTTTAAATTTTTATTTTTTTCCAGTTTGCTTATAAGGTATAAATTGTACAATTAAAACATAAAGCTGTCGGTATAACGGTCATATAAAATTTAAAAAACTTTTTTAAACGTACTCCTTCTAATGAACCAGTGTTCGTAACGAACCACGGCTCTCCAGTGATCGAAAATATTGTGTATTGGTTTTCGAGAAAAAAATTAAAAATTAAAAAATTAGTTTGCAATGAGAAATAGACGAAATACAACCAAAAAATAGTATTCGAGACAAAAACGAATTCATAAGAGAGAGTGTGATGCAAGTTTAAGTAATGTGAAAACAGTGAGACTCGAATATAAAATTAAAATACAGAATTGCATAAAAAAATAAGATGCTATTTGTCTAAACTTAAAAATTGTCTAATATCTGAAGACAGTTATCTAGGATCTGCTTAAGTAGTAAATATTAAAAAGTTTTCTTCTCATTTTCTTCGAACTGAAATATTTCAAGTACAAGTATTCAAGTGATTTTCAATATTGAACTAGTTTTAAAATTTCTTTGTGAATGTCGAGACAAAAAAAGATGATTCGATTGAAATTAGTGGTTGGAATCAGGAAAAGAGAATAATTCCACATCGTCTACATTTTTGTTGTGAATAAAAATTTTTTTTCGTAAAATCTGTACACTATAGCGCAATCAATCATCTCAGTAATATAAATTATAGTCAGAATTCTGCTTTGATCTAAGAAACAAAAAAATTAGCGGACTATTAGTGGCATTGAAAATCATCTAATTGCGACAAAAAAAGTTTTGATAACAATCGCAAAAAATGCCCATCATTAACCTTCACTTCAACAGTTTAACAAATGTTTCGCACTCTTTGTACTCATGTTCAAATCGATATAAATGGACTTCCAAGTTGTGTCGAAATGTTTGTACGTCACTATCTGGCTTTTAATATTTACGGTTGTAATTACAAACAAGTGCAACGATACCTACTAGATACTTGGGCACGTGAAGTAAATTTCTAACGGATTTTAACTTCGCACAATACAAGTTTAAAGAAAACAAATAATTCCAAGCTTTAAGTCGAACCAAGTCTATTTCAGGAAGAACAGCTGATAAATGCAGTCAGTAGATTCTATCCATATTTTCATAAGATAATTTTTTATTCAATAATGTAACACAAAAGGAGTCGTCATTATCACATCCTAAACCAGATGAGACTACGAAAACTGCCAAATATACGAGACAGAGAGGGAAATCATTGACCCAGTTTTTCTTCCCTTCATCATTTTGCGTGAATTATTGCGAAGCAAAATGATGTTGATAATCCATCAAAAATCCCCGCGAAAGACGAAGTAAATAAGCACAACTTGATTGAAATGTTCTACATAAAATTCGATTAATTATTTAAGTGCTTCCTAAACGATTTGAAATTTGGGCTTGCCAAGCTTATCAACTTGTCCAAAATATTTCGTTCGAAGTTTTGCTATCAATTTTTTGTTTAATCACTTTGAGAAATCAGTTTTTATGGAATTTTCTGACTTTGTTTATCAGTTTCAGGTGTCATAAACCTGTACTTCTCTTTTCAACGGAAATATTGTTTTTATTTTCAATCTTTCAACGTTTCGAATTAATCTTTAAGATTAATATAAAATTGATAAGCAGTAATGAAAAATAAACAAGTCACTGGTTCTTTTTTATCTTTTTGAGCAAGATGTCCTTTCAGCTATTGAGCTGTGAAAAGTATTTAATTTCAATGATAAAAAAATGAAAATAAATCTCAATAAAAACAGAGTGTGGACTAATATCAACCTAGAATTTATCTGAATAATGTCAAATGTGTCACAGGCAGACTCTGAGCCTTGTCTCAAGTTCACAACACAATCTTTCAATAAGATAAAATCATCATTTTGTAGTTGTCGAGAAGTTTTTCTTCATTCCTTCTCTCAAGCATTCAAGTTTGAGAAGGGAAAACACAAATATTGGCAGAGTCAAAGTCATTTGGGATTTTTTTATGAGACAATTTCATTATGTGGAATTCATTGTAAGTCTTTGAATATTTCAATATTCTAACGACTATTGAAAAACTTTCATTCAGAACTTCTCTGTTAAGCTCATTCATAAATTCAGTAAAAGAAAGGCGTGAAAAGCCATGCGCATTGTGCAACAGAATGTTCTTCATTCTCATGTGAAAATTCAGTCCTTCAGTATATTTACTGCATTCACCAAGTAAAAGCGAGTTGGAGACCTTTAAGCATTTTATCTCTGAATTCAAAAGTCCATGGACTTCGCCAGAATTTTGTGTTTTAATATTTGCAACATTGGATTTTCTGATATCACTTGTGATAAGATTAGAAAAAAGCAAAACAAAATCATTTAAATTTGTTTCATTTATTTCAGTTCAGTTGATGGCATTGTTGTGAAAAGATTGTGAATACAAATTATAATAAATGATAATTTCATAACCAAGAGAAAAAAAAGAAATGACGAAAATTTAGAAGATTTTATATGTGAATATTATTTAAGTTTGCACGGAGCAAAATATAAATAATTGAAAAAGTGTTGATTGAACATCATCATCATCAACTGATAAGCTGAAACTGACAACAAATATCGTTTCTTAATATAAGGAAAGCTTCATCTTGAATTTGTTAATGACATTACTCGGGCCGAGTGCCCCCGGCATGGCATTTATGATGAAAAAAAAGAAATATAAGTTTGAGGTCGAACTCAATCTCGAAGAGATGATCGAGGTGCCATTTTTGAATGCAGTGTTGTTTGCTAAAATACGTTTACTCGATGGTGGATTTCAAGAGACTAGTAACAGGTGAGTTCTACTTATTTTCATTATTCAAAAGTCTTTTCATTTCACGACAACTTACGTGACTTATCTTCCCTTCATTGCAAAACGTTTTCGTCTCCCTTTTCAACAAAATAAGAATCAATTTTAAAACTTAGGGAGTTTCCATCTCAACCAAAACCCTTAAAAGTTATTTTCATTTCCAATATTTAATTAAATTTCGATTTTGTTTATTATGAAGACGAACAGCAAATATTAATAACGGCCACACGACGAACATTGTTGATGACTTCTTGGCTACAAAAGATAGCGCAGAATCTGCTATAAAAACTCTTGAACAATAGTTGCGAACAATTTTATTTGGTCTTATGTTGTCAACGTTGTTGGCTTTACCCAAATACAAATTTTGATGTTTAAACTTAAAATTTTTGTTGAAAATGATACGAATTTAAATTCTCATTTGAACATAATTAATTATCCTAAATTTTCTCCAGTAATTTTTCATAAACTAATCAAACGAGCGTGAACACAAATGCATTTCCAATCTTTCTTTACTGCTTACGTCAAGGTCGTTTCTTCACTTCACTTTTCTTAATTGGATTTCATGATAGAAAGCATAAGTGACTAATAGATTAAAATTTATTAACTTTTTCCATCTAAATTGCTTCCTTTCTGCAACTTAAAATATGTAATAAGGAAATATTTTTTATAATCAATTTCGAGCTTATAAGCTATTAGGAGTAAATCAAGTTAAACTTGAGCTACCGTTGAGCTTCGAAAATCGAAATTTAAGCGTGTTGGAATAGATGTGCATGTTCCAACAAACAAAAACTGTTTTTCTCAGATCGCAAAGTGTATGAAGGCGAACGATGATGTAAACGAAACTCGTTTCTCTTGTCTTTTATCGCGCTGTGTTGCCAAAGTTCAGCTGTGTAAATATAACGTCAATAAATATCCACGATGAATTTTCTCTCTTGTTTCCAAGAAGCTGTACGAGGTGGTCGTAAATAATTATTCGAAAGAAAATCACAAGCTGGCTTTCTGTTTACAATTTGAATTTCCACTCAACATAACAAAACTTCTTTCATTGGTAATTTGTTGGAAGTCAAAGTATGTTGTAAAGAGTGTTTATTGGTCACTAAATCAGACTTAATTTCCAAATAAATTTTCATTTTCGAATTTCCAAGAATGTTAACGATACTCAAATGACTTGGGAAATGAATCGATTTCTTCATTCGAACTCAAACAATTCGTTCAGCTGTCCTAAACAATAACAAAATCATGCTCTGATTACAATTTAATATGCTTTAACTCTGAGGTTTATTTTGAGGAATTGAATAAGGCACGAATGATTTTCTTTCTTTCTTTCTTATTGTTATAAAGTCGACGTTTACACTTTTCTTTATTGCAATTAAATCAATTGAGTATAGAGAAGTACTTTGTGTTGAAATAGTGAAAATGTTTTCCTCAGTTATGATGAGGGAAAAATTGAAAAAAAATTCAAAATTGCATAAAGGCACGAGCTGAAATAATAAATTTTTCTTTCAAGTTGAATCAAAGTTATAAGCACGTTTTTGTCGGTAAGCGTTGTAAATTAAGAATTCTCTATTTTTGTTTTTTCGCAGTTTCCTGTAATTGGTTTCTTCGTTTTTTTTATTTGCTAATTTTAATTTTATTAAAATTGAAATTAACCAACTCTGCAAAATAATGTCCGACGAAATCAAAAAACAAAAGAAGAATTTAAAAAATTCACAAATCATCAAGAATTATGGTTGCGTTGAGTTGCGTAAATACAACGCGAAAGCATTCATGATTCTGCTATTTCAATTGAAATTCGAATATCTCCCCCCATTACTTTCATGTCTATTGCAGTAGGTACTTTTAAAAAAGAATTCCATTATGAAAATATTTATTGTATGATTTTTTTATGAAAACAAAAATTTGCGTAAAATGTTTGTGACTTGAATGTGTGATGAGAAGAATTTCTTTAAAATTCTTTGTCAATCACAATTTAAGAATGATGACAAATTCTTAAACCTTGGAATGCATTCAGAAATGTAAAGATTGAGCTTAAAATTCGTTAGCAAAGACACAAGGTCGTTTGAACATTATTTTGATGTCGTCATGGTTTCTTTTTTCTACATTTGCAGTCGTCGAAAGAATGACGACATTCTTCTGACTCATTCATATATTGTTATCCAATGAACTCATGCAAATAATCTCCTTCTCTTCAGTCATCATAAAACCATCTCAACAAATGATTCATTCACCTGCTAATATAATCTTTTAATAATGACGTCGTTTGTTAAACAAACTGTTTAGAAACGTTACTTTTATCGCTTGATGACATTTCAGTTAACATCGAAACAAAAAAAGTAACATGATTCATTTCAATTCATTCTATTTTTAACAAATTTAATTGTGACTGTAAAGTGACAACAATAATAAACTTCGGTTTTAAAGTTCAAATCAATCTTTAATGATTTGATGATTTTCTATGGAAAAATTCAAATAAAAATCAACTTTCGCGCTTCTAAAATTATATGAACATGTATGCCTTCAGTATTTTAACTTTCAATTAAAAAAGTCTTAATTAAAGATGCATGGAAAGACTATAACGTATTTACGATTAAAGGTGTGCGAGAAAATTATTTTGATGTGCAATATTCTTTTGGGCGGTACTTGTGAATCACATTAAACGATTTTAAGGTTTTGAAAGAAAATTTCTCTTGTAAATTGATTTGTTAAAGCACTGAAGAGTGAATGATTAACGAGAAGAAGTATCTTAAATACATTTTCTCGCTTGTCTATTTGTCATGTTTGGCATAAAAACTTACCCTCATCATGTCTCGATAAAGATAGACCCAACACTTATTTCACAAACTTTAATATGCTTAATGATGACAACAACACATTAGCAATTTACCCTCAAGAAAAATTGAATCATTTGTTTCGTCACCTTAAGCTTGTTGCCTTCAAGCTTAAAGCTTTTGATCAATAAATAATCGGCATCAGAGGAAATTAAAGCTTCATTGCGTAATTATAAATGCTTTAATTACAATGACACGCGAATTATTTGTTTTCATTAATTTAGGCAAAAGACGAACGAAGTAAAAAAGCTCGAAGTCAGCATTGATAAATCACCCTTAATAAAAAAATTGCGAGAATTTCCACGCAAAATGGAAAGGAATTTTCCCATGTTGTGAGTGAGTGGGATGATAAAACGTTAGGGAATTATAAAAGCAATTACATTTAAATGAAATGAAATGAAATATTTTTATCCTCATAACTGTCAGTGTCATCAAAAAAAATTAATTAACTTTAGTTAGTTCCATTAAGAGGATTGCTAATTGTAAATCGAAAGCTGGATAATAAATTAAGTTTCCAAGAATCTCGTTATTAGTCCTTGAAAATATTCTTCAACATTCTTCCTATCCTTGAATATAATTCAAGCTCATCCTCAATGAAATTATCCATTGCACCATCCACACAAACTTGGCTGCAATAACATTTTTCAGCCTGCACTTGCCAAGGATATCTTGTGGCAATGAAAGGTTTTATTTATTATTTATATATTTCTGCTTCTTGTGTTATGCAATCATTGGTTTTCAAGTTATTGACAGTAAAAAGTTGCAATTACCGACATAAAAAATGTATATGAATGAATTTAATAAATTTAACCAACATCACATCGTTTGGCTCCATTTTTTTTGCAAAATATTTTCATTGTGAACCAAAAGATTTTCTCACCATCGATTGCTGCTTTGCTGTTATTTTTTTTTTGGCAATCACTGACTTTCTTTCATTGTATTCCATCTTTGAAAAGAGACCAAATTTATCGTGCACACAGAAATTGTTTATTCAACTAATTTATTTCTCTACTTTCTTTGAATATTTTTTGGACAGATGACGTAATAAGCAACATTTTCGGTCCTTATTGTTCGAAAATTACGTTTAGTGGCACACAAAATGAGTTGAATTAAAATTATCTTTCGAATAAGTGAAACAAAGTAGCATGCTGGTCTCTGATTTAAATCTCAAGAGAAATGAAAATGTAAACATCCAAACCAATACTAAGAGAAACAATTTTTGACCGAATTAGATCTCAACCTTCACCTCAATTTAGTTTGTTAAATGTAGTGGATAAATCAATCAGTATTATTAATATAGACATTACATTCTTGTAATGATGCAATGCTTTGAACATGTTTAATACATGTTTGTATTATGAAGAAGTAAAATTTTTCGTCTGATTCGAAAGCTTTCCAAACAAACATTCATGTGAGTCTTATTATATGTTATGACTATAATTGACATTGTCATCATAAGCTCGACTATTAATACTTCAGATAATGGATGGATAAGGAAAGTAGAGCAAAGTATGAAACAATTTGTTTCTCGATTTGAGTTTCATGCTTACCCAACATTCAAGTTAATTTATTTTTGCACAATTTATGAGAAAAATTTGCGTTAAAAGAATGACTTTGAAATCACAAAGAGTGATGACAAATAAGAACTTCCAAATTTAGTAATGAATAAGTGCCAATTTTATTAATTTCTTTCACTTACAATGGCAATCATAGAACGTAATTTGATACGAATTCGTCGATGAATGATTACCAAGATTAAAGCTTAAATGCCAAAATGATAAATCGCATTTCGATTAACTGAGTTTAATGAACTTTATAGTCGTTTTCTTTGTGTTTTTATTTTTTGACCGACACATTCGCCCACATAGTTAAGAACTCGCAAACAAGCATGTGTCACACAAAGCTATAATGTCGTCAAGTCTGAACATATATTGTCCATCAATTTCTAATATATATTCAAACATAAATCATTAGTTTTGATATTATTGAGTGTAAGTAATACCGCAGAACACATGTTACATAAAATTGGTTTACAACATATCACAAATGAAGTACACGAAAAGCCATAAAATTGTGAATTAAACTTAACTTCCGCTTCAATTACTTTTCTTATAAACTCCTTGGAAGCTTTTCTTAACAATGAAAAAGCAAACGTTCGTTAATCGAATTCATAAGAAAGCAATTCACCTTTGAAGAATGTTGATCAAGTCTACCGAAACAGATTCGGCTTAAGTATAAAGCTATATTCTTTATTGGAAACCGTTATTGATTCTGTTTATTCCGCAGAGTTTAGTGATTTTTGTTTCTTTAAATACACATGTGGGCTCGTCAGTTTAGTAAATGCCGTCGAGTGAAGAAAAAAATTTCGAAAGTGATCAATAAAAGTTTCAGAAGAAAACTTGAGAAGTGAAATATTTTTTAAATATCTAAAAATATATTTAATGAGCTAACATTTCCTGGTGTCAAAATCTACAAATGTCTCTCAAATTTTTCTCAACAGAAAAAAATATTCAAACAAACGGTAAAGAAAGAAAGTCTAAAGTAAGTTTTTAAAGTGTGTTGATAGAAAAATGAAGAATATTGTGAATCTAATTTACGAAATCATGTTACAAACTTGTGTTGATTGTTGATTTGTAAACCAGAAACTGCAATTTTAAACAAGTTTCATCTCTATATGATATGATAGAATTTTTATTGGCAACAAACCGATTTATGAATGCTGTGTCTTCAAGTTTCTTGTGAAGCCACAAAACGGTTCATTAAGTTAAGATATTTATTTTGTCATGAAGCTTTCATGTGCATCTAATTGATTGTTGTGAGGTTTAAACACATGATAACTTCTGATTGTTTGAAAACATTTCATCAAAATCAGACATTTTTGAACAACTTCAATTTACTAACGGAAACAAGAGTCAAACAGCAACAAAGAGTTTCATTTCGTTCTTTTTTTTGTGTGCTTCGTTATTTCTCTGTTTTGATTTAGATAATTACATTCAATTCTATATTCCGTCGCTTGTACTGTTGCTGTAAGTATTTATGGGCCGTCAGATGTGAAATGCTGTTATTGAGGCTCATGAATTAATGAAGGAAATGAGAGATTAAGTTTCATAGATAATTCTATACGTAGTTGCCATACTTATGTTGTGCAACTTAGACAGATTTTAATTATGATTCACTTGAGCGATTCCCAGAATTATATAATAATACTCACGTCTTCTTCTTTTTTTTCTTGTTTTTTGGTAGACATTTCTTAAGAAAGAAAATTGAAATAAAAAAGAATGTTTCAAGATATTTGAAAAGTAAAGTTTTACGGTTCGGAAGTTTCTTACTTTACGGTAAGGAAAGGAAGCGTGAAGTGCGATATTTGGCACCGTAAAATTTGTTCAATCGTTACAACATAAGTTACAGAACAGTAAAACTATGAGAGAAAATAAATGAGGTGGGATGAAATAAGTTTGTAATGCTGTGTGTGATCTTGACGATTCCATGTTTGAAGTGTCTCTACGTACATTTGTCATTAAGTAAGTGGCTTGATATCGCTTAAAAAACTTATTTCCTTTACAATATAGCTCAATTTACGACAACAATACTTTGCATGACAACTTAAATCGAGAATGAACAATGAAGTTCTTGAATTTTTAATCCTTAACGGATGTAGATTATGATGCGTTTGTTGTTCCAAACCGAAAATGTTTGTTATGCTTTCAAACCATTTCTGGCTTCGATTTATTATCGAATGCTTCAGATTGTGAAGTAAACAGTCTTTTTGTTTGTACATATTGACATTGAATTATGAGAGTTACACAAAAGAATGTCAAAGATAAAAAAAATTGAAAATCAATATTTTTTTGGTGAATTGAAAGGTTGCATATGGGACAACTCGCAAATTATGATTCAGGACTTTTAGCTTCGATATAAAAAGCTCATAAAAATATGAGCGAATGATTGATGGCGTCATTTTATTATACTTTGGATTACGAGCAGTTTAAACAGACAATGACAACATGACAATCAAAAGTGTTTTACATTTCAAAAGCGCTCGTTCAATAACTTTTCAATGATTTTGATCAAAAATATTTTTTTAATTCTTTTCATTTAATGTAAACTGATCAGGCCATGAACAATTAAAAGTATATATTAAGTTTATGCCAATCGTAACTAAATTCAATTTAGATTCCAAAGCTTAAATGTAATCAGAAATAAATTATTTGTGTTTCTTGGAAAATGATGCTTACATAAGCTAAACGTGACAAAATTGCCATGAGGTTTGCCACAAGTTTTCAACTTTTGCCAGAATTAAACGAAAAAAAAATCCAAAATGCGACCGGAATTTAATTTAAATATTTTTTGGTACGTGACTTAATTTTGTTTAAACAATTTACTGTCGCTTTTAATCTTCACCTTGAAATTTCAGAGTTTGTGCATGAAAAAACTTAAAATTTGCATCACCTTTTTGGTTTCTTCAATGAATTTAATGAATATTCTGAGGTTCAGTGCGGTGATTTTATGTTAAAATTGTTATAAAAATTCTTTGAAACCAAAGGTCAAAAGTGAAATCAATCACCAATTAGAATTCATTTAACTGTGCAATCACATTTTATTCGCGTGTAAATCATAAAAATATTTTCTGGTAAATTGAAAGTTGAAATCATTTCCATAAATCAATTAATTAAATTTATTATATTCAATGCCAGTCGTCTATTATGCGTTTAAACGTTTAAAGAAGTTTACTTTTATTTTTTATTTTATTTGACATGAAGCTTATCGTGAACTTGAATGTTTGTTTATTCGCCAAAGCGACCGTGCAATGGCCTTTTTATTTTCATTACCAAGGATTTTGTTTGCTTTGACTCATTTTTTTCTTGTTTCAGAAGCACTCGTTTAATCTGCTGATTGTAAATAAATCTGTTAACATTTGAGAGAAAAATATACGGAATTAGAAATTGCTGTTCTTAAATTGCATTTTTAATATAAACTAATGAATATTTAATTTATCAGTAATTTCAAAGGAAGTTCATGTTTTCCGTGAATCGAGAATGAAAATAGCTTAGCGTTTGAATGTAGATTTTAGTTTGTTATTTTTTTGTCATGAGATGATCTCTGTTAAATTATCGGATGATTCGCAAACTTACAAGAAAAACATTTACAATCTCCTTCTCGTGAAAAATGTTGAGCTAAAAATAACAAGAGGAGAGTTTCGTTTCTACTTAAGACGAAGACAAACAGCTACGCCTTCAATCAGTCACCTTCATGTACAAAAATATAAGAAAGCGTCATCGATGAAAATTACGCATTTTTCGTAATATAATAATCTTATCTCTCTCACTCTCTCGCCGACTTAAAATGAAATTGTCTCGAATTAAGCTTCAACGTGTAGCAAATTATGATAAACGGCAACACCCACAATAGAAAATTGAAGTAAATAAAATATTCAAAAAGCTTTTTAAAAAGTAAATAAAAACGACAGAAAACATTTGACGTAATAACCCGTAATAACGATCACATGATTTGACGTCGTCATTTCTTTAAAACCGAACAAGTAGATCATTTTGCTTTTGTCATTAAATGTCATGGTATATGTCAAATGCAGATTTAAAGGAACAGCCAATAGAAAGCCCACGTTATACTGATAAAAAAACTAAGAGTATCAAATTATTACTAATGCATCACGAAAGTTTGTAATTGCTAAAAGTCACGCAGCTAAATGTCAATCACGAATGTGAGTTTTAACAAATATCTTCAATTAAATTTTGATGTGAATTAGTAATGAACATATCGTACAAAAGCAGCTGCAGTGCTGTTTTGTACATTTTTTATGACATCAATGATCTTAAAGCTTCCGCTGACATGTGATGCTTTGTTGCATCATCAAAAGAAGAAAATCTGGCAACATTTTCTCAAAGTTACAAAATATATTTTAAAAGAGGTTACCAGGTCAAAGTCGAATGAGATTTTAATGGTCTGGACGTGTAATCGATATTTTAAGCAAGGAATTTTTCAAACACAAGCTTACAATGAAAAAAGGAAGTAAAAAACCTGACGTTTCAGTGGAAAATTTATAAGGAAAATGTTACAAAGCCGCAGGGATTAAAAATCATTTTCCATAATTTCTTGAATCACGCAAAATGCTACTTTTAAGTATTCTTCTGAAAAGGTGGTGAAAAAACTTACACTTAGATTGTATTCGTTTCCTGATTAAACAAGAAAACAGCAAAAGAGTGCAAAACACTTTGTAGGTTAGAAATAACTAAAACAATTAATTATGTGTAAAGATTAAAGAACAGCTAAAGTATTTAAACCTTAAATTGTTTCAACATGTAATCACAAAGAAATTGCGCAATGTTTCGTGGAATACAAGATTGCATTGAAAATAACGAGAAAGTCGCGATGTGCATTTCAAGTTTTTTTTAACTTAAACTTTTATTTGTTTGCCTTGTTAATGAAAAGTTTATTTGGTTTTCTTGTTGGAACTTTTTAAATGAAAATAATTTTCAGGAGTGTTCATGATTTAGCAATAGACAACATTTGCAAAGGTTTTTAAAACGGTTGAAACATTAAAAATTGCGTAATAATTTTATGAGTCCTTGAAATTTCCAGGTTGTAACATCCTTGACGAGACGATATTATAAATTTTCCACACATTTTGTTGAAACTTTTATAAAAGAATTTTCATTTAAATCAAGGCATACATTCATAATGAGATATTGCGGTTTGAAGACAAATTTAAAGTTTACTAAAAGGAAAATAGCAATTTCAAAGTTCTTATTTTCTTGTGCAGTTCTTTGGGTATTTTTACTTGATAAAGTTTTAAATTTAGTTACTTTGCCAGCATATTCTTGAGTACATGAACACAGAATAATTTAAAATAGTTTGCTATTTATAAAATTGATTAGTTTGCTGTTGAAACAAGGTAAAATTTTTTCAATATATATTCAAGCGCTTTAATTCCGGATTACATTCAATGTCCTTCAACCTTTATTTTCAACCTTAAAAAAATGTCTTCCCTTTGGCTACATTCCCAAAACAAATAAAATGTATTTAGGAGCAATGCATTTAGCAAAAATCATGGTAAATTAGAACCGTTGCCAACTCAAAAGTGTCAACAATATGTAGAAAGAAAAGATTGAATGTGAAGCGTGAAAATTAAATATTTAATAAGTGTTTTCAATTTGTTTAAGAACTTAAATCGTTAGCTGTTGTCGGATGATGTTTTATTTCTTTCATCACATCTTAATTTTTGCTTATTCTTCACTGTTGATTTTCATATTGTTTGCTTCAGCACATGTGCATATGACATGGATATATGTTTGTACTTTGATTTGATGTTCTCACTCAACGATGTTTTGTTGACTAAAAAGTAATATTTATTAACGGAATTTCATCGCGTTGTTGACCTTCGAGCACTTCCCGCTTGTTGGCTTGTGATAATTTCACTCAAACGAATTCAGTCAAACAAAGTATTGTCATTATTAATACATACATAGATAGAACAATTTCACGGGAATTGGAATGCTTTAGTCAACTAAGCTTTTGTTGTTTCTTTCTTTTTCGTGTAAAATTGACCGTCACTCTGCCTCATCGTCGCCATCGTGAATTTCTCTTTTCAATTCACTCGCATGTCATAAATTAAAGTTCCCCTTACCACGAAGAATTTATTTTATTGCTCTTATTTTCTCAAAAATGGGATTTTTGTTTGTTTCTTTAATTGAAATTAATGTCGAAGCAAACATATGTTCTCTAATCTAATGTCTAAACTTATGGTGCTTGATACTTATGAGAATCTTTTGTGACACATTTAAACAAAATTGCGTTGTTTTCAACATTTTTATGATTTCATCTGGAATTGTTTATTCTTTGTTTAATGCTGTGAATGTTTTTGTTTGATTAATTAAAAAGCAATAGAAATCTTTAATTGAATGTGTACGTTGAAAGAACTGAACTTCATAAGAGTAAGAAATGAAACCTTAATGGGATTATCATTGAAGTCATATTTGTCTATATTATGTTATTCAAATACAAATTTGCAAAGATGTTTATGTTTACATCATGTTTTAGCATTAAATTTATTTTCGTGTTTATTAGCAATTTCAAGAATACTTATTGGCATTAAATATGAAACTTTTTTTAAAGATAATTTTTATGAATTTGTTAACAGCATTTTAACATTAAAGAATTTAAGACTTAACATTCTGTTTCCGTAAAAGCATCATTAAATTTTGTACAAACATCAAATGATTCATTAAATCTATGTTCGAATATTCGAACCGGTCGGTCTTAAGAATTTTTAAACAAAAAATGATCTTAAAACTTGTGACAATTTTTTTCCCTAGGAAAGATAAAAATAATTTTGTAAAAAATGAAAAACATATGAAATGAAGAGTGAGGAAGATTTTTTAAAAATACAAAGACCTTAAAACGTCATGTCAGTCACCAAATTTTGTATTAATCATAAACACTCGGAAGCATAAATTACAAAATCTTGTCGAAGTTTAAAAACGACACAAAATCATTTCTCTTATTTGACGCTAACAACATTTCATGAAAAGTTCATTAATTTACTTATCTCAAATCTTTTCCATAACGTAAAAAGTTTTTCCTTCATTCTAAAGATTGAAAAAGATTTTTCGGATAAAGAAGGTGGAAAAGGTGCGAGATTCACGTTTTGTGTAACAAATAAAAGTGAAAAGTTGGCATTTGAGCTGTGACATGAAAGGAACCACATTTTAAAGATCTCATAATCACCATAGCGGAAGTTTTATGAAAATTAAGGTTGATACGACAAATATCTAGACTTAGCTCATTTATTATTTTCTGTTTGTTTTATTTACGGAAAAATCTTTAACTTCAATTTTCTATCCCGTCAAAGTAGCGACAAAATGTCTACAACCAGAATCGGTTTAACATCATCTATCAAAAACTTTCGTCTCATCTTCGTCATAAATTATTTTCCTTTCAATTGAAATCAGTTTCATTTCAAATCAACTTTCCATTATGATCTCACATGCCTTCTAAATATGATAGTGAAACTTTACAAATGACAAGTTTACTTAATTACATTTCGTTATTTTTGCTTTCTTATGATATTTACGCGATAGTAATAGCACAAACTGATTTCGTTCAGCACGCAACTGAATGTTAAAAATGGTTTTTAGCACGCATTTAACGATGACGTAATGGAAAAAATGGCCATTTGAAGCAACGTCATTCATGTGACTTTTAGTTCAATCGTCTTTCTCCTTCTTCTTTCCTTTATTTCATTCTTTGTCATTTTAAAAATTAATATTAGAAATATTCTCGAAAAAAACTTCACGAGAAGCTCCTAAATTTCTTTCAATCTTTAGATTTTCTTTAACAAATCAAAGTCATTCAAAAGAAAATTCCAAAAACAAATTCCACTGGTTCTCAAACTTTCCATACAAATTTTTTTTGGCAATGTTTTGAAAGTTTGTAACTTGTTGCTCCATTTGATTCGCAATTTCTTTTTCATAGCTTCAATTTGTGTTACGCGTAAGAAACGAAAGAATAATTGAATTTTATTATTTAATGCTTTCACTTTCTTGAATGATAATCATTAGTTAATAAGTATTGAAATGTGGGTGAAATCAATTTGTGTCATTGACTTATCAGGCTGAGATTTAATTAATAAGTTTTTTATAATTTAAAAGATCTTTTAAGTTCATCCTGGCTACAAATGATTTATTTCTCAGATGATCGCATAAAAAATTATATCATTTATCCTTCAATTAATTCAAACAAACACATGGTTAAATATATCAAAACTGAAATGTTTTTCATTGTTACTAAGAGAAGATTAAAACAAACAAAAGGCTCGTGTCGTGTTTCAGTTGTTTTGATAACTTGAGAAATACTTTAGTAAAACCTTTTGTCGTTTTATTTTCTTGTCGTCATTTAAGGAAGTTTAATTCTACTTCAATGAAAAGAACATGAGCTCTAAATTGAAAACAATCTCTGTGAAAGTCGCTCAGATTTCAAATGATTCTTTCAAAAGCTTAGAAGTCTTTTTGATGTATTAATCTCTTAAAATATCATGCAAATCTGTAATTAAAGTCAATTCTTAAGACGCCGCTTGTCTGTTGCCAAAAACCAATTTTTCTTTCTCTCTTTTTCTCTTTCCAAATGTCAATTTTTTATAACTCGCATTTTGAAAGATCATTTTGCTTGACCCATAACAAATTTACAAAAGTTAAGATTGATCAGCTGAATTTTTAAGTGCCTTTAGTTTGCATAAACTCAAATCATTAATGAAAGTAACACAAGGAAATATTTTTTCTTTCATTCATTCATTTCTCCCAAGTCATTTCTTTATGCAAATAATAACGTAAATCACAAGAGAAGGTGATGGATGTCGAGTTGTAACTAAATTTCGATTAAATAACAAAACTAAAACCACTTCAAGTAAATCCAATAAAAAATAATGCGGCAACATAAATTTAAAGAACCGGAAAATTATTTTTGGAATTGGATTTAGTTTTTATTTTTTGCGTAATTGATTTACATAAAAAATTGCTCGTGTCTGACGGATTTTAACGCAGATCAAATTTCAGAAATCACATCGCTAATGAAACAAAATAACGTTCAACGGCCATTCTTTTCCTAATAATTCTATTCAATGGTCATACTTTATATTACCAACGCACGCTTCAAGGTCATAGCCGTCCGTTGAAAATCAAAATAAAACGAATAATGCGCTGTTGTCATGTCACGTAATTGTCCATCCAACCAGTTTTTTATTCTCATTGCTGCTGATCATCTTATGATTAATAATGTTAAAATATTCTTTTTTCTCACTTCTGTTTTTTGAATGTTTTAAATTTACAGAGAAGAAGTAAAAAGTCATACAGTAAAGTGGGGACAACAATTTTCATTTCCATGCAAAATGTCAGCGAATGCATCAACAGGCGTACTCGATCCATGTCTGCTTAGAATATCAATTAGAAAGGAGCTGAAAGGTGGACGAAGCTATCAAAAATTAGGATTTACGGATTTAAATTTAGCAGAATATGCTGGCTCAGGAAGAACATCAAAGAAAACAATTCTTGAAGGCTACGATGCACGTCATCGACAAGATAATTCGATGTTGTTGGTGACAATTAAGATGCACATGCTTAGTGGTGATATTTTATTTAAAGTGTAAGATATTTTGTGATCAAATTGAAAGAAATTTTATTAACATAATCTCGTTTATAGTCCTTCCTCCAAAATAAACCAGTTGCCATCAGAAGACGACTTAGGGCGTGTTAGTAGTATGTCGTCAGTCGGAGCAAATCCAACGCCAACAAGTTTGATGACCGCCAATCCTAGTGTTGTTGCGAGTCGACAAACAATCAATTCCAAAGATGATGCGTCTATAGCATCAGGTTCATCTGGATGTGGTTCACTTACAAAAAAGAAAAGTCCAGGAACGACAGAACATCAACAAGCTATTGATGTTGATCCACAGTCAATTGTTTCTTCCATTATTACTGATTCGGGGATTAGTGAAACTTCAGACACGCCATTGACGACGATATTTGATCGAGCATCAAGTATGGCACCTGTTAATAGTAATCAAAACTTAAACACCACGCAACAGAATGTCGCCGAAATGGGTCATTCAAGAAATTCCAGTAACACTAGTCAAGTTCGTACTTTTAATTTCAAAAAAATCAATTTCATAAATCTCAATTCATATTCTGTTTTTTAGATGTCGAAAGGATCTGGCTATAGTAGCAGTATATCTGATCGACAACATTCACGCCAAAGTTCAGATGGTGATTCAGGGCATCAAAGGTTAGTTTATCTATTTAGTTTAAAAAAAACTCAACACTTTCTATTTGTTGTAAATTAATTTTCTGATTTGAAAAGAAAAGAACAAAAATAGAACATGAAGAACATTTTCTTAGAAAATAACTGTCTCAATGCTAATTAGAAAATCCCATAGAAATGTGTTTAAGAATAGACGTCATGTGATCGATAGATCGACTGTTTTTGACGTCGTTAAACTACTCGATGGCTTATCCGTGACTAACAATAAATCGATTATGTCAATTTTCAATAATTCAAAGCTTTTAAAATAATTCATTCGCGATTTTAATGAAAGTTCTGAGCAATTTTTAGAATGCATTATGTTGTTTAGATAACAATATCAATATCATTTTGCATTGCATGCAATTTATTTTTATTTAGAAATTTTAACAACTGTTAAGAGAACAAAAATAACTACTCAATTATGTAAATAAAGAGGGGAAAGTAATGGTCATTACTAATTACATTCTCCTCGACAATTGGATTTGATTTTAAAATTTCCTAAATTGTGAAAGTTCCTTGAATCTCCCTTGATATTAATTTAATTAATTTATTCTTTTTTTATTATTTCCCTGCGTCATTTTTCGTATTCTTACTACTCACAATCACATAAACCTACACCCACTGAATATAACTTTTCTGTAAATATATTCGAACCAATAAATATTGATTCATGAACGACAAAAAAGATATTCGCGTGGAACATTTCAAAAAGCGAATTCATTGAGTAGTTGGAATCAACAACAACAACATCATGAACAAGATCGATTGTACAGAAAACGTTATGAAACGAATTCATTGAAGTTGAAGATTATTCAACATTGTAAGCAGTCGTCATTGAATAGTCCGGAGTCACCAACTGATGAAATGTTTCGTACTCCAAATACAACAATTGATGCTGATGATTCTGCTGTTGATAACTTTAGCACACCAATTGGTGACTTCTCCTTAATTAAAATGAAAAGCATGAACAATCTACTTGATGTATCCGAATCACATAACGAAAGCTTGTCACGAATGAAATCGTTGAATAATCTTGAGAAAGAAGTCGGTGACACGCCAGTTGATCTTGTGAAATTGAGACGAGACTTTGAAAAGAAACGTTTCAACAACGCAAAAATGCAATCATTAACTAACTTAGTAAATGGTGAAGATTCTGTCGATGGAATGATTATGAACAAAAGGCATCATAGTGACAATAGTCCATCATCGATTGAAGTCAACCGAAATAAAAAAGTTTACAAACGTGTTGGTAACACAAAATACATTGGAAATGATTCAATTGATGATGGAAACAATCAATTGATGAAAATGAAATCAATGGGAATGATCAGTAATAAAAATAAAAAGTCAAACAAACATATCGATCCATTTTATAAAGTAAATGCTTCAAATAAAAATCTCGTCGTTCCTATTCGTCTTGACGACAGATTTTCCGTAGAAATCAACGGTGATTGTGACAATAATGATGAAGTTTTTAAAATCCCTCCAAATCCTATGCTGGCATTGCGAAAGGAGAAGTCTTCTTCATGTATTGAAAGCATCAAAAACCGCGGATCGATGATCTATGAACGTCTTAGGTATGAACGAGTTACAGAAATTTTCTCTACACTAAAATGTTTCATCAAATTAGCGCTAAAAATATGAAGAACTGAGCGATAATTTCCCTTTGGAAATTCTTGTGCTAAATACATATTTAACTCTCCTGTATAAAGTCATTCATTCATTCACTCATTATTTTTTATATGCTTTGGTTTTTATTGCTTATTTAGATATTTGTTTTTATTTACCTTAAATAGATTATTTAAATTGCTCACATTTAATCTGGATATAAATTAATCCCACTTTACTAATACAGATTAACTATTACTTATCTTGGTTTATACAAATCCCGGCTTGCATGTCATGCTAATATGTATTATCTATTCATTTTTATTATATTTATAAATTAATTAAATGCATAATTGTAGGTAAATTGTTTACATCTATGCTTAAACATTGAACTGAGATTAAAATTGTTTTGTTTTTCGTCTAAATCGAGTCGGCATATGTGAAATGTTTCTATGTTTGTGAAACCTTCATTCGTAAAATATTTGAACCTTTAAGTTAACTTTTCCTATACTTTACTGTGCTACTCACTCACGTAAACATTATCCTTTCTTGGATCTTTTTCTATTACAGAAATAGCTTACACCGTCGTTTATTTGACGGTAGTCCCCGAATGTCAACACTCAACGCAACTAGTTCCAATGATAATCAAAATTTTGAAGGGCCTTTAAGCTTAGGTGCTTCCTCAAATGGCGATCACTCTTTATTGCCCACCGGCACATCCTCGCTTGTCCTCCGAAGGCCAAGTTCAAACACGTTCGTTGTGGTTTCCTTTTAGAAGCTTTACTTTTCCGTTTTCCTCCTGCATTTTCACTCTATTTTGATCTTTATTTTCGTATATCATTGAGTTTTGTGTTCCGAGAAGCTAAATAACAAAATATTTCGTTTGATTTATTTTCGCATGAAGCTAGATTTAGATTTTTAGTCTGATTTAAAATTAAAATAAAACATTAAAAATTTGTACTTATTAATGATAATTTGTTTCTTTAACTTTTCAGAAACCCCAGTTCGGGTTCGATTCAAATGAGTGAAACGGGATCTTTAGACCGTATGAAAGCTCAAGCTGAAAGAAGGAAAAAAGTTCTCGATGATACTCCAAATGTAACGGGACGTGTTGAGAACACAAGAGTTAATCCTGATAAAACGATTGACGAGTTGCTGAGAAATTCAAAATTGGATCAGCTAGAAGAGACAACCGAGCGTAAGTTCATAACATTGTTTAAGAAGAATTAATTTAATTCATTAAAGTAATATTTTTAGCTTGTGGTGGCTTAAAGCTTTTTATTGGACGCGATGGTAAAGCATCGCTAGGAAGTCATGAAACACAACAACGTGGAGCATTCAAACATGTCGTCATGGACAACCCAAGATAGTAGCAATATCTCATTTTGTTCTACTTTTACCCACCAAAGCGCGACATTTTTTCTCAGAATGTTTCAAATCTTCTATTACAAAGTTTTATTTTAATCTAAAAAGAAGAGAAGAAAAAATAATAGAAATCCGTTCTTAATTGAAATGTTATATAATTTAACAGGAAAATGAAGTAACGAGAATTAAAAGCTTTCTGAAGATGAAACACAAATTCTGAAGACAAATAATTTTAGAAAAGAAAAAACTTCAGCCAAATTTAAATTTTCAAAATCAAAATTCTTTTCTCATCCCGACGAGATGACCCCTTAGAGATTAATGACAAATACTTATTTAAAAAGTAAAACAAAGAATATTATTGGATAACTTTCAGTAGACTGATTGCAATTTTCAATATTAATGTCACTTTTTTTGTTCGTTTAATTTTAATTAAAACAGAAATAATGAAAACAAACCTTTCAGTTAGTGACTTTATTTTAAATATTTTGAGAAAAAAATCCATCATTTTGAATTGCTTACTGTTGCAAAAAATATTTAAAGAAGTTTCTTTCAATTGCTTACGAAAAGAATTTTTGAAGTTAATTTTACACATCAGTGTCGCTTAAGCTGAGCTTGTGTTTATGTTCTAGTCAATATTGCTGTCAAATGGAATGATAAGTTAAGGAAGTTAATAAATTCCATGGATCTAAAGCAAAAGATTCCATAAAAATGTTTTAAGAAAGCTTCCGCATCTTCCTTATTTTCTTAGAAAGAATTCATTCTCAGAAAATTTTCAGTAGAAGGAACACATTTAATAATTAATAAATGGCCATTAAAAAGAAACAGGAATAATTAAATTTCTTTGCGCTTTCCAATGAGAAGAATAAATTTTTCCAACTGAAAGCATTGTGAAAAAAAAATTCCACATCTATGATATTGCGACCAGAAAATTGCGAATCGATTTTTAAAATTTTAACCGTTAAAAATATGAATGCGTAATAAAATATTTTCTAAGTTGAAATTTTAAAAATCGATTAATAAAGAAATAAAAATATAAGGTTTAGTACCATAATAAGTGAACTTTATTAAATTTAATGAGCAAAATTTAATAAGTGAAAATTATGTTTAATCTTAGAATTAAATTCTTACATTCATATTTTTAACGGAAATTCAAAAAAAATCTGCAATCTTATGTTGGGAATAATTTTTTCGCAATTTTCTGGATTTGGAATAGTTTAGTCGAGGAAAAATTTATTCTTCTCTTTCCAATTATTAGCTATTCAACATTAACCCTATACAAGTTTACCTTAGATGTCCAAATAACAAGAAAATCTGTGTCCACAATAAAGCTAATTAATTAAAATAGTGAACTTAAAGTTTGAGATAATTTAAGTTTGCCGTATAAAGAGGCTTGAAACTTTGCAAAGTATTAATCTAATAAAAGCCTTGATTTCGGATTGGATTTCTAATGAAGTAAAAAATTTAGTGATTAGGAACATTAAAAGGTGAAACTTTAAAATTGTGATTGGACATGAGAATTCTTTTAACTTTTCTTGTTTGATTTTCATAATCAAGTTTTTTCATAAAATTACAGAAACAATAGATCGAGAAAAAAAAACACATTCAGAGGTAAAAGAAATATGTATAAACATGAGTTATTAGTTAGGCGATCCGTCAACTGCTTTTGAGAAGCTTTTGGTCGTGTAAGTTATTAATCAGTGATCATTAAAAAGTAAATGAGTAAAAAAAGATAACATTTGTAAGTCTTTTTGTGGAAAATTAACTGAGTAAATAAAATAAATTGATTCAAACTTAATTAGCCTTTTTTTTTATCAATTTCAGATTTTAGTAAAACTGTGATAAAAATTAGATTAAAATCCATTTTGTCACCGAAACTAGTCGATGAATAAAATCTGAGAATAACATATTCTAATAGTCTGAAAACCGTAGTTCGTTACACATTCATATCAAACTAACATCAGACATATCAATTATATCATAGTATAGATATTTTTCTACGATTCGGTTACAGTTCTTCTATTAAAAATTGGATGCTTTTCCTTTGCTTTGTTAATGTGTGAAACGAAATTTTTTAAATTGTTCCTATAAAGAATATGATCAACAATATGATCATTAGTATTCTGAGAGAATTCAGTCAGTGAAGTTGACATGGACAATAAAAAATGGCAAGTGGTTTAATTATTATTGCTCTCATAACATTTGCGCTTTGGGCTTATAAAAAAATAACGAAAAATCATGGATACTTTGAAAATCAATGATAGCCTTGAACTGTAGTTTAGAGGTGATGTAATGATATGATTTTAAAAAATTTTTATTTATGAGACAACAGAAGAATATCGAAGGAATTTAAAGCTNATGAAGAAAGAAGGAATGATGCAGTTTATTTCGAGAATGTACCACACATTTTATAATGAAAAGTGAGATTTTAATATTCAATGAGTTTAGAATGATAATTAATGCAACTTGTCATGATAGATTTATAGGATTTTATGGACCAATGGGAAGCATGACTTTGATTGTGAAAGATCCAGGAATGATCAAACAAATAGCAATTAAAGATTTCGATTCCTTCGTAAATCGTGATTCGAATTTATTCGCATTGGATGATTTAATTCAACGCTCAGTTTTAACGCTTAAAGATCAAAAGTGGAAAGAAATGAGATCAATGTTAAGCCCAATTTATACAAGTTCGAAAATGAAATACATGTATGAACTTTTGGTTGAATGTGTCGAAGAATTTGTGGACGTTTTTGGGACTAAAGCAAAAGAAAATAATGGAGTTGTTCAAATTGCTACTCAAGATGTCTTTGCGAGAGTCACAGCTGATGGAATTTCAACAACGGCATTGGGATTCAAAGGAGACTGTGTGAAAAACAAAGACAGTGAAATTTATAAGATTGCTGAAGCTTTAGAAGAAGATTTTTCAAATCCAACAACACTCACATTATCATTCTTAGTTCCATGGCTCTTCAAACTACTTGGAATGCAATTGTTTAGGAAAAGCATTCATGATTTCTTTCTTGTTAATGTGATTGATGAAATGAAACGAAGGCGTGAAGGAAAAATTGTGCGACCAGACGTTATTCAGCTTTTAGTACAAGCTAAAGAAGGACAATTGAAACTTGAATCTGGTGATACTGAAGAATTAAATTACACGGATTCTAAGTTGAAAAAAATTACAAATTGGACAGATAAAGATCTTGTAGCTCAAGCTATGGTTTTCTTCCTTGGTGGTTTTGAAACAACAGCAACACTCATGCAAACAATTTCTTATGAACTTGCACATAATCCTGACGTTCAACAAACATTAACAAATGAAGTTGACGACATGTTAGACAATTTGAATGGGAAAACAATTTCTTACGATCAGTTGAATCAAATGAAATTCCTTGAAATGGTCGTAAATGAGACATTGAGAAAATGGCCTTCATTTAGAGCTACAACTCGAACAACATTCAAAGATTATACATTAAAAAATGAAGAAAATGGAAAAACTTATAAAATCATTCAAGGCACAGATATAATTTTCCCGATAGGAGATATCCAGAATGATCCCAAATTCTTCCCCAACCCTGAAAAATTTGATCCCTATAGATTCAGTGACGAGAATAAATCAAAGATTGAAACAGGAAGTTACATTCCATTCGGCATGGGTCCCCGAAATTGCATTGGAAGTCGTTTTGCTTTGTTGGAAGCTAAACTGTTGTTGTTCTACGTTATGTCAAGGTTTTCAATAGTCAAAACTGACAAAACACCAGATAAACTTACTTTTACTTTCGGGAATGTTGGATTTAATGAGACAATTTATGTTGGATTAAAATTGCGCAAGTAAATCTTAAATATTCGCTTAAAGCTATCAAAAACTGAAACGAAAATGTATCATTATCTACATACACCAAACAGAGAGAAAATTCTCCCCCGAGAATTCTAAAAAGAGTTAAACTCTTTTCTATGTACAAGAGTTAAAATAAATTTAAACAAACAAACAAGCATTAATGATTTTCATAATAAATGGTGAAATTTATTTAACAAAAATGAAACCACACAACTTCAGTTTGTCCAGAATTTGAACATTTTTTTAATTTTATCATCCAATTGACTAATTGAGTAAATTACAATCTCAATGCGTAATTGTTTTAGTGTAAATCAACTTTTTCATAGCCTTGAACTGTAGTTTAGAGGTGATGTAATGATATGATTTTAAAAAATTTTTATTTATGAGACAACAGAAGAATATCGAAGGAATTTAAAGCTTGGAATAAAAATTAATTTTCAAAGTTGTTTAATACATTGCAACATTTCTTTTAATTACATAAATGGTGACTGTGTTTTTTGAAATGTTTTATAAAAAGTGCAGTCTTGCGACTTTTCTCTCATAAAATGCTCGTCTGTTCATCATTGTGCTTCTGCTGCCTCCAAGTGATACTTCGAAAATCACTACCTTAAGAAAAATGACATTTTCCAAGAATTTACTTACTTATTCTAAGAATTTGTCTACCTAGTGTTTTTTATCAATTGTGCTTCTGCCGGCCAATTTTTTTTCGTTAAACAGCCCCTTGCCTCTTAGTGATCATTAAAAATTGAATGAGTAATAAAAGATAACATTTGTAAGCCTTTCTGTGGAAATTAACTGAGTAAATAAAAAAATTGATTTAAACTTAATTAGCCTTTCTTTTATCAATTTCAGATTATGGTAAAATTGTGATAAAAATTCGATTAAAATCAAAGACCCGAACCGATTTTCAATCTTCAGTTAATTTTCTACGATTCGGTTCCGGTTCCTCTATTAATGATAAGGAACCTTATAAGGGATAAATTATTATTCTTCCATATCAAGAAATGCAATGTTCAAGCTAAACCAGGCTGACGTTGCAGTTGTGTGAAGAATTCAATAAGAGTTTGTGGAAATTCACTCTTCTTTTCTCAATTCACTAATCCCGATTTCTATAAAAAATATTTCTAAAAATGGTATGTGATTATCATATCTGATTCCCTTAGATACATAAAAATCATCGTTTCGATGTTAGTGTTGGAAATATTATTTACTATTCTTTTGTGGTTGCGAATGTGTGTGCTAAGCTTTGCTTTGTTGATGTGTGAAACGAGATTTTTCAAATTGTTCCTATAAAGAATATGATCAAGAATATGATCATTAGTATTCTGAGAGAATTCAGTCAGTGAAGTTGACATTGACATTAAAAAATGGCAAGTGGTTTAATTATTATTGCTCTCATAACATTTGCGCTTTGGGCTTATAAAAAAATAACGAAAAATCATGGATACTTTGAAAGTCAAAGTATTGCGCATGAGAAGCCTCTCCCAATTATTGGAAATCTTTCAAAAGTCATGATGAAGAAAGAAGGAATGATGCAGTTTATTTCGAGAATGTACCACACATTTTATAATGAAAAGTGAGATTTTAATATTCAATGAGTTTAGAATGATAATTAATGCAACTTGTCATGATAGATTTATAGGATTTTATGGACCAATGGGAAGCATGACTTTGATTGTGAAAGATCCAGGAATGATCAAACAAATAGCAATTAAAGATTTCGATTCCTTCGTCAATCGTGATTCGAATTCATTCGCATTGGATGATTTAATTGAACGGTCAGTTTTAACGCTTAAAGATCAAAAATGGAAAGAAATGAGATCAATGTTAAGCCCAATTTATACGAGTTCGAAAATGAAATACATGTATGGACTTTTGGTCGAATGTGTTGAAGAATTTGTGGACGTTTTTGGGACAAAAGCAAAAGAAAATAATGGAGTTGTTCAAATTGCTACTCAAGATGTCTTTGCGAGAGTCACAGCTGATGGAATTTCAACAACGGCATTGGGATTCAAAGGAGATTGTGTGAAAAACAAAGACAGTGAAATTTATAAGATTGCTGAAGCTTTAGAAGAAGATTTTTCAAATCCAAGAACACTCACAGTGCCATTCCTGGATCCATGGCTTTACAAACTACTTGGAATGCAAGTCTTTAGGAAAAGCATTGATGATTTCTTTCTTGTTAATGTGATTGATGAAATGAAACGAAGACGTGAAGGAAAAATTGTGCGACCAGACGTTATTCAGCTTTTAGTACAAGCTAAAGAAGGACAATTGAAACTTGAATCTGGTGATACTGAAGAATTAAATTACACGGATTCTAAGTTGAAAAAAATTACAAATTGGACAGATAAAGATCTTGTAGCTCAAGCTATGGTTTTCTTCCTTGGTGGTTTTGAAACAACAGCAACACTCATGCAAACAATTTCTTATGAACTTGCACATAATCCTGACGTTCAACAAACATTAACAAATGAAGTTGACGACATGTTAGACAATTTGAATGGGAAAACAATTTCTTACGATCAGTTGAATCAAATGAAATTCCTTGAAATGGTCGTAAATGAGACATTGAGAAAATGGCCTTCATTTAGAACTACAACTCGAACAACATTCAAAGATTATATATTAAAAAATGAAGAAAATGGTAAAACTTATAAAATACTTCAAGGCACAGATATAATTTTCCCGATAGGAGATATCCAGAATGATCCCAAATTCTTCCCCAACCCTGAAAAATTTGATCCCTATAGATTCAGTGACGAGAATAAATCAAAGATTGAAACAGGAAGTTACATTCCATTCGGCATGGGTCCCCGAAATTGCATTGGAAGTCGATATGCTTTGTTGGAAGCTAAACTGTTGTTGTTCTACGTTATGTCAAGGTTTTCAATAGTCAAAACTGACAAAACACCAGATAAACTTACTTTTACTTTCGGGAATGTTGGATTTAATGAGACAATTTATGTTGGATTAAAATTGCGCAAGTAAATCTTAAATATTCGCTTAAAGCTATCAAAAACTGAAACGAAAATGTACCATTATCTACATACACCAAACATTAATGCTTTTCATAATAACTTCAAATGATGAAATTTATTTAATAAAAATGAACCCACACAATTTCAGTTTGTGCAGAATTTGAACATTTTTTTAATTTAATCATCCAATTGAGTAAATGACAAACTCAATGCGTAATTGTTTTAGTGTAAATTAACCTCTTCATAACCTTGAACTGTAGTTTAGCGATGATGTAATTATTTGATGTTAAAAATAAATATCTTTCAGATGTTAGCAATTTATAAAAGTTTTATTTTTGAGGTGACAGAAGAATATCGAACGAATTTAAAGCTTTAAATAAAAATCAAATTTCAAAGTGGTTTAATAGCATCATTTCTTTTAATTAAATAATGACTGTTTTTTAAAATGTTTTACAGTACAGTCTTAAGACTTTTCTCTCCTCTCATAAAATGATCGTCTGTGCATCTCACTTATCTACTTAGGTTGTGCTTTTCAAGAGAATAAATACTGTAATTGCATTATCCATTAACAAACTTGTGAATATTGGTTTACATATAAGCTTTGCTAGAAACTAAACTCATAAAATTTTATATGTTAGGCAAACTTCAAAGAAAGGACTTTCAGGATATTAAGAAGAGATTTGGGTTGAGTTCGAATTAAGAGATAAGCGTAAATAAACTGTCTGAAATTAAAATTTTAGTATAATTTTCTTTATTATCTTCTATAAATCAACGTTGAACAATTTAACAAAATGAATTTACTTGATTTGAAAGAAATTTAAACGTAAAAAGTTATAAAAGTATTTCGTGTTCGCGCTAAATTAATGTTATATGTCATGTTACTTTTTACGAGATTTCGAGAAATTAAAATTAAAAGAGTTTCATTCTATTTTCAACTGATTCAAAATTTATTTTATTTGAAGCAAACTGGACCCATTTGGAAACCAAATGCTTGCTGTTGATGTCCGTAATCGACTGGATAAAAATCAATGATTGGTAAATAGTCGACTTTCTTTGTTCTTATCTCAAACACAGTTTCACTTTTACTTCTTCCGGTTCTGCAGCCATCGGTAAGGATTGTTGGCTTAACAATATTACTTTCGTATCCTATTTCTGCATCATTTTCAGCAAGGAACTTAATCGAGAAATCATAATTTTCGAGATTACTGTTAAACCATGCAATACTATTCATACAAGTGTAAGTGAAATTTTGATAAGATTCTTCTGACAACATCCGTAGGAATTTCATTTGAACGGCACCAACTGATTCATAAGAAATTCGGAATCCACCTCTAAGATTTGAATACCAATCGGTTTTATCATTTTCTTTACGCCAAGGAATATTTGGCATTTGTGAACTGTGCACGTCAGGATGAACACAAGTTTCTCCTTCAGATTTCATGTTGCAGAAAACATAGATAGCATCATCAGTCATTCCCAAATTTGGATCAATCCAATACCAGCCACTTTCAAATTTATTATGTCCAAACCATAAATCTTTGCATGTTCTGGCTGGATTATCACGGGTCCCGACTGGCTTTCTCATGCGATCAAGTTCTTGACGCATGGAATAAATCGAACTATACATGTCCAAGAATTTTGGTCCCATATCGTCTTTTGTCTTCTTCTTTCTACTGCTAGATTTTCTGTTTGTTTTTTTCTCGACACCCATAAGTTCATCAATATCAGCATCATCTATTTCAGCTGCCAGTCTTTCCATTGCATCCAGATCTCTTTTCATACGCTCTTCACCTTTTGTGAGGGAAAATTCACTATGGAATAAAAGTTCAGGAGGTATCAAAGGTGCTTCAGCAGGTGGGCCAGGCGGTCCAGGAGGCCCTTTTTATAATATATAAAATTTAAAATAAATAATTTATTGTTCAAATTAAATAATACTAATTACCTGATGGACCAGTTTCTCCTTTTTGTCCATCTCCACCTTGACTTCCTTTTGGACCATGAGATCCAGTATCTCCTTGAATACCTTGAGGACCATCACTTCCTTTGATTCCCATCAAACCTGGTGGTCCTATTTCACCTTTTTGTCCAATTTCTCCAGGATCTCCTTTAGTTCCTCTCTCTCCTTTTTCACCTATTTAAAATAATTAAACTTTTAAATGGTATTTGAAACATATTAAGATATATTTAGCTTACCTTGTTCGCCTTTAATTCCCACTAAACCTAATTCACCTCTGAGGAAAAAAAAATAAATAGTTATGTTAGAAATTAATGTTAAAAAAATCGAATTCACCTGTGACCTTTCAGACCTCTCCTTCCTCTGTCACCTTTAAAATATAGGAAATATCTTTAGTAGAAATAAAAATAAATTACTTGACAGCTACCTTTCTCTCCTTGTGGACCTGTTTTTCCAATGGGACCATCTGGACCTTGAGGTCCTGTATTTCCAGTGGCACCAGCGTCCCCCTAAAAATAATAAGATTGCTTAAAATTTAGATTTATTTTATACTGTTTATTACTTACAGCAGGTCCAATAGCTCCCCTCAAACCTCCTGGCTGAAAATGTTCATAATTAATACAATTTAAAAATTAAATTTGATCAATTATTACTCCTTGTTCTCCAGGTGGTCCTGATGGACCTGGTAAACCTGTTAAACCTCTCGGTCCTTCGATTCCTTTTTCTCCTTTGTCACCTCTTATACCAGTATTACCTTTAATTATTTAAAGTTTTTTTTATCAAATGTATAAATATAAACTTTTCGAACACACCTTGAATTCCTGCTTTTCCTTCAGGACCAAGTTTTCCTGGGGGGCCTTGAATTCCTGGTTGTCCAGGTATGCCCTTTAAATGAGTCTTTGTAAAAAAATACTTTAACAATCAATCTCAATAGATTTACCTGTGGTCCTGGAAGTCCAATGTCTCCTTTTTTACCATCAGCACCATCTCTTCCAGGTTCTCCTTTTGATCCAGGAACACCTTGTTCTCCTTGATTTCCCGGAAGCCCTGGATTGGGAATTCAAATTTTAGAATTGAGAGAAATAATGGAACTTCAAAAAATGAAAACCTCTTGATCCTGGAACGCCTTTTGGACCCTCTTGACCTTGACTTCCTCTTTTTCCAGGCGGACCTGAAAAGGAAAAGAATTAAAAAAACATTGAAAGATATAAATTATAACAAAGTTCACCTGGCGTTCCCATTGATCCTGTTTCTCCTTTAATGCCTTGGTTTCCTTTTTCTCCTACCTTTCCTTCGATTCCCATAGGTCCTGGAACACCAGGTGGCCCAGTTTCACCAATAGGGCCCTGAAGACCTGATTTTATAAGAGTACTTTAACATCACACAAAGTTCAATAATTTTGAATTTAATTTACCATTTGGACCAGGTTTTCCTGTGGGACCATCGCTTCCAGGTGGGCCTCGGCGACCTAAATTAATGATTAATAAATTATGACATATTCTACTATTCTACTATATTTTTTAATAACCTGCTTCTCCTTTTTGTCCAACAGGCCCAGTGGCACCAGGAGGTCCATTATCACCAACACTTCCTTTTATAAGAAAAATAAAGACCTTTAACTAAGAAAAATCTGGAACAAATAACTAACCTTTAGTTCCACGTAACCCTGGAAGACCTTGCGGCCCTATCGGTCCAGGCTTTCCTTGCAAACCTTGAGGTCCGTTTTCTCCCTTACCCCCTGGAAGTCCTTGAATTCCTGGTGGCCCTTTCTCACCTGGAGGTCCTTGCAATCCAGGTTCGCCTCTGTTTCCTAATAAAAGAAATTTGAGTAACGAATAAGGAAAAAATATCGAAAAAAAATTACCTTGTATGCCTTGAACTCCTACAGGGCCTGCATCACCTTGAGTTCCTTTTTCTCCTTTTTCACCAGGAGGTCCAATGTCACCCTTGTCTCCATCTTCTCCAGGTAAGCCCATAGGACCAGGTGGACCTGCCAGTCCTCTTAAACCTGGCAAACCATCTCTTCCTATCGGACCCTGTATTGTGTTAAAAATAAAAGGATAATATCAATAAATAGAAATTGAAAAAATATAAAATTTACTCACTGCTAATCCAGATTCACCTCTTTCACCTTTAGAACCCGACGAACCAGCAGGGCCAGGTGGACCTATTAATTGTGTTTTGAAAAGAAAAATAGATTTTAATGTTAAGCTCATAAATTAAAATACAAACCTGGTCGCCCTTGTGGTCCTTGAATTCCTTCTTTGCCAGGTGGCCCCTTAAATTTAAAATAATATTTATGGAAATGTGAAAGGCATTATAAAATATAAAATCTCTTACTTGTTGGCCTTTATCACCCATTGGGCCTAATAGACCCGGCGGGCCTACTTCACCTTTCAAACCAGCAAGACCCTATAGTACATGAATTTAATAAAATATTCCAAAAATAAACATAACGGACTTACAGGTTGGCCAGGATTACCTCGTTCGCCAGGAAAGCCAATCAAACCTTGATTTCCGGGTGGACCACTTTTACCCATAGGTCCGGGAAGTCCAGGTGGTCCTTAAGAGATTACATGTCATGGTCAGTTTATATTTACTCATAATCAGTTTATTTATATATATACCTTCTTTTCCAGATTCACCGGGAGGACCTAAAAACATTACAATATTTGAAAAACCAATCTCAGACACTTTTTTGGTTCTTACCTGGTTCACCAGCTGGTCCAGGAGTTCCTGCAATTAGAATTTTCATCGGATAGTAGAGTATCGAATATTAACAAAAAAGAAGCTTCAAATGATTTACCTGGTATTCCAGGTTCGCCATTAGATCCCTAAAGAATGAGCATAAATTATTCAATATTTTACAATTTTTAAAACATCTAATTTACAGGTTCACCACTTTGTCCTGGTAAGCCAATTGTTCCTGCAGGGCCTGGCAATCCAATTGGGCCTTGTTCTCCCCTTTCGCCTCTCTCTCCAGGAAAACCAGATGGTCCATCTTTTCCATCCTTACCAGGTGATCCAGGAGTGCCTTTAAAAGAAATGTTGCATTTTTTCTTTTGTTAAAATAATATGCCAATCTATATTTGAAAACTTATTTAATATGATTTAGTTTTTCTCATTCATCCTTTCTCAAATAATTGACACATACTTGTAATATTCTGATCAGAATTATTTACTTTCATTCAAACACTTTTTATTCAAAAGTTTCAATAAACACTCTATCATGCTGCTAATAATATTAATTAAAGTTACATACCTTGTATTCCTCTTGAACCTTCGACCCCTTGTGGGCCCTATTAATATTATATTTTAATGTTTATTACCTGTCGTATATACTCATTTTTGTTTGAGTGGTAATTTTTTTTTTACAATGTTTCAAAACTTTCAGATTTTTCTTACCGGTTCACCTATTTGTCCTGGAGCTCCGGGCATGCCAGTGTCACCTTTAGGTCCGAAAGGTCCATCACTTCCACGTCTTCCTCTCGAACCTCTGAATCCCTTTATCATAAATGTGAAATTTATTGTTTGAATTTAATTAAAAGTAAAAATAGTTTTTATTACTCTTGGCCCAGTTTCACCTCGTTCTCCGGGCTGACCAGTGTTACCTCTCTCTCCTTTCAGTCCTACTGAGCCAGAAGTACCTGGAGATCCTTTATCTCCCTTGTCTCCAGGAACACCGGGATAACCAGGAAAGCCTTGCAATCCTTGACGAGAAAACACAAAAGAATTAAAAACTTGAATTAATAATCTTTTAAGGATATCCTTACCTTGCTTTCCTTTTTCTCCAGGCAATCCTATAGCTCCAGCTTCACCTCTAGGACCTTCAAACCCCTAAATAATCTAAGACATATTAGCGGAACAACCACAAAAAATACACATTTTTGATTTTACTTTTGGTCCCTCAGGTCCCTCTAATCCAACAATACCCTGTGGGCCAATCGGTCCAATCTCTCCACTTTGTCCTTGATCACCTTTCTCTCCATCATGCCCAATTTCTCCTTTATCACCCTTCTCTCCCGCAATGCCTCGCAGTCCATCATCTCCCTTTGGACCTCTACTACCTGGAAATCCAATTGATCCCTGAAACATCGAAATAAATTAAGTATAATAATGATATAATAACAACATGTAATACCTGAGCTCCTTGTGGGCCAGGCTCTCCTTTAGGCCCTGCTGATCCTGGGTTTCCTGCTCTACCATCAGAACCTGGAGCTCCAGGACTTCCTGGATATCCAGGCTTCCCTTGTGGTCCAGGTATTCCCGGGGAACCTTAAATAAATTGTATTAATATTAACTTAATATAAAATCAAATAACTATACCCATATTCCCTTGAACGCCAATAGATCCAGGAGGTCCAATAGCACCTTAAAAAGTAATTAGTTTACTCTATAATTCAGAATATTATTCTCATTTATAGTACCTAGTTGACCAGGGTTACCAGGTTGACCTGGTGGCCCTTGATTTCCTTTAGCTCCAGTTGCACCTTCAGAACCAGTTATCTTCAAAAAAATGTAAATTTTATTTTAGAATATTTATAATATCTAATATTCTATGAATCATTGTACTCCTGTATTTCCTGGTGGACCTGGAAAGCCTCTTGGACCTGTAAAGCCTCTTGGTCCCATTTCTCCAATCAAGCCATGTGGGCCTTGAGGTCCATCATCTCCTTGAATGCCTTCAGCGCCTTTGTCTCCTTTTTCACCAGGATGTCCTGATTTACCTCTGTCACCTTTTTCGCCTGGTAAACCTTGTAATCCGATAGGACCAGGTTCACCTTTTAAGCCCATAGGCCCTGCCAGACCTCTTTCACCATCTCTTCCAGCTCTTCCTAAAAGTTTTTTTCATTTAGAAATAATGTTAAGCGTTGAAGAAATATTCACAAAGTACCTCGTTTTCCTTCTCTTCCTGGAAGGCCCATCAAGCCTCTAACTCCTAGTAAATAAACGATAAAATATTAGAGACAATAAATCGAACTCAACAGCTCTTATTACCTTGTGATCCAGGTTCACCAGCATCTCCAGTTTCTCCTTTAATACCTTGATCCCCGGTTTTTCCTGGTAAACCAGGAATCCCTGTTAACCCCATTGGACCTTCTGGACCTTTCATGGCTAGCTAAGATAAAACAATAAATTCCTAGATGTAAAAATTTAATTAAGTTCATTTTAATAATTACCATATGTTGCGCAAGCATTTGTCTAAATGCTTCTGCTTGAGCATCAGGGCCTTTTTCACCCCCATTGTTTCCATTGTTAAGCTAAATTAATAAAGTAATATAAATGCTTAACTAAGAGTAAATTTTTTTTAACTTACAGGAACCATAAAGACATGGCCTGGAGCACCTGGTGGGCCGACTAAACCACCCAAACCACCACGTCCTTCATCTCCTTTTGGACCAGGATCACCTTTTTCTCCTTTAGGGCCTTGAGTACCTGAAAGAAATAAAGTCAATATTTAAATTTAATGAAATATAAAGATTTTCAATTTAATAGTAACCTCTTGGACCTGGAAGTGATGCAAATTTAACTCCATTCACGACAGTTGAGTAAATAGTGGATGACTCAACCTCAGTGTTGTTTTCAGAAGTTTCTACTAATACTCTTTCATTTATTCCTGGTTCTGGATTATAAACTTCATCAATGCCAGGTTCTGGATTATATACTTCAATTCCTGGTTCAGTTACAAATTCTGAACCAACATTATTGTTTTCAGAATTAAATTGATCATAATAGTCATCTATCCCGGTGAATCCTCCTAGTCCATCTGATTCAGCTGAAAAATCACGTGATGGGAGTATTCCATTATCATTAGGAATGTCACGTCCAGGCATATCCAAATTTCCTAATGAATCCATATATAATGAATTATTTCTTCTATAATTTGATCTCTCGTTATTTCTCGAACGATTATTTGAACTTTCATTTGTAACTGGCCTTCGCGAATTGCTATTGGAGCTTGAAGATCTTTCAATAGTTTCAGATCTCGAGGAACTTGTACAATTTGGGGCATATTTTGTGCAAATCTCATAAGCAGAGTCAGGTTTATCAGCAACCATAAGCATTTGGATTTCACCCTGAAAGAATATTTAATGCAGCTCATTCAAATATTTAAAAATAGTTAAGTTTATATTCTACCATGAAATAATCTTCATCTTCATCAAGTTGAACTCCCATAAAAATTAACCCATCATCAGAAACTTTAGGAGTTTTAGATCTTGAAAGTTTCTTAGTTATTTGTTTAGAACAATCAAAAATGACTGTGATGGAATCTCCTTTTGCACTAATGCCAATGCGATGCCATTTAAGATCATTTGTGCTTGCGTCAAAGCTTATAAGATTATCTTCAACTAATTCACCATTCATATCTTGATAAACAATTGCAATTTCAGAGCCAACAAACAAAACGAGTGACTCTTCGCTTTCTGAAGTGTAAATTGAAAAAACTGGCGCTCTAGCAAAAGTCTGTTGTGCTTTAAGAACTGTCATTATTGAGAAATCAGCTGGAAATCCATCATTGAAAACCTGAAACAAGTAAAATATTTTTAAATGTTATATTTAAAAATTCTTTCTATACTTCCTACTTCAGATGTAGCTACTGTTATCATAGCTCCTCTGTTAATTGTATAAGCTGGTGCTTTGTGGGTTTGAAAAGCATTTCGATATCCATCACACATTCCCGTCGATGTATTAACTCCATAGGGAAGGTCAGGGATTCCCATATCAAGTAGCATGTCATAAATTCCATCTTAATCAACGAAAAACAAATAATGAGAGTAAGTCCATTTCATTTATGATTCATTCAAAACGTGAATTGATATCAGCATAATGTGTAAAAAATATTAATTTAACTCTCACAGTATCTCTGAGTAAATTTATTTCATTCTGGAGTATAAAATATTTAAAAGTCGAGAGAACAAAAGCATTCAAAGGAGATCCCATTGCGTCATTTCTTTTTTTTCTAAAAATGTCTGTTGATAACGAATATGAATGTTATTGCCCTTATGCTGTCCGGAAGATTTTTTAGTCAGCTGACTTATCTCGTTTGTCGTAAAACGAACATAAAACATCTTCTTAATAGGTCAAACAAAATTGGCGTAGATAAGAAAATTTTGTGTCAAGTTTTCATTGATTGTTAGAATTTTTAACAACATAATTTTCAAATGAATAATTTTTTTTCAATGTAACTTCTAACATATGGAAGTAATTAAACAAATTTTTAGTAATATTTTGTTAACATTACCGGAGTTTGTATCATCAACTTTTCAATTTCTTGGTTTTAACCAGAGGTTTGTTTATTTATCATAAGAAAAATCTATAAGATGGAATTTTAATACCAAAAATTATTGACAGTTTACAAATTCATGAAGATACAAACACGATGCGTGAAACTCCACGTCACGTTCATTTCAATGACAATCTAAATGAAGGGAGGTCAGAGAATCAAAATGAAAGTAAAACTCCAAAGTTTCAAAGGATTTTATTAGGGCAAAGTGTCAGTTCCTTAAAAGTTTTAACTGTTTCTGAAGAAGAAGAAAATGAAGTTCCAGTGAGTGAAAACAGTTCAATGCCTTTCGACAAATACAACAAAGCTGAAAGCTCAAAGAACATGAAACTGAACGTTCAGCAAACAATTGAAAGCGGTCAGGAAAACACTCAATCAAATTTTAGTAACAACATCAAATTAAAACTCAAAAAATTATTAAAGAAACGTCCAAAGTCGTCTTCAACAGACATCCAGAATATTTACAATGAAATTTGCAAGGAAGTTCCTAAATTCGCAAATCTTTCTTTGTCCCAGTTTGCCTTAATCATTGATGATTACATGAAAAACTTTAAAACATCGTTATTAGAAAGAATGCTTGAAAGCATCTTGGAAGAACTTTACATTTTGTTAAGTAATTTACAGGACAATTAGCGAAAATCAGGTGTATGAATAAATTTAATGTTTCAATTTACAAACCCAAATTTAAGTATTTTTTATGTATTTCTCACCTTGGTTCTTCCTTGCTAATGAAAACCTCGTTTGTTCACTCAATAAAATTAGCACTAACACTAGACAATTTAAAATTCTATAATGCATAATGTCTCTCATTTTTTTTCCTTGTCAGCGTTCATCACATTCTTTTCAATTTGAATTGAATTTCAATTATCACAATGAAGCTGATAAGCTGAAAGAAAGGGAAATTGGAAATTGATTTATTATATTGACGGCGATTAACACGTAAGCCAATGATAATGCGATGAGGTCATGAATTATTTAGATTCATCTTATTATGTTTCAATTTATGTTTCGAGCTTCTGACTTTATTTGCTGATAGTCTTTCATTGGCGAGTTAAGCATTTTGCGGTAGACTTTAATTTTCATTGGGGTTATTTCCTATATTTGTAACATTTCATTGAATTCGCTAGATTATTTATTTTATGATAATGATTATAACTTCATGAATTAACAAGTGGCATCATCTTTAAATTAGACATAGTTTCAAATCTTTTTTTTTTCTTCATGCATTGACAGTGAAGTACACAAATTTACTTCACAATTAATTTCTGTTTGAAATTTTCTTCATCATTATAATTAATTTATTTTTTTTCATACACCCGCCACTGCTTCATCACTCGCATCTTGAAATTTCAAATTTTATTTCTAAAAAAATCGACGAACATTCACAAAAACAACGCGATTGATAACATTTTGACATTTTTGAGGAAGTAATGGACACTTATCAACGATTTTAGTGTAGTTTCACATAGAAATCGTCGAATTTTGTTGAATTGAGTCGATTTAATTACAATTATGATGTTGAAAACTTTCAATTTTAATTGAAATTTTTGATAGTTTTTGTTGATTTCCTATTAAATTTTAATTGTTTTTTTTGAAAGAACTTTCATTTAACTCACGAGTGTCTTTATTATCTTTAAGATACATCAATAAGCTTCATTATTTTATATATTCTATGGTTTTATCACATTTTATTTGCATTTCAATAATAATTATGTTGCCAATATGAGATATGATAAACTTTGACACTTACGAGTGCACACCAAATGCACTTTAACGCAATTTTCACTAATTCACTCCTCTGATTGTTTCACTCTTTACTCACTTTTCACTTTTTATTTCACTTGTTCACTTACCAAATTCAACCGACAAACTAAACTTTGTCTGGGATTTGCTGCTTAATTTATACTCATAGGTTATCAAATATTAGTCGAATTTAAATTAAAAATCATCACGGAATACTAAATCGTAATTTTTGAATGAAAAAATAAGAAGCTGATAAGCTTCAATGGGCCAAACTTTTTGTTAATGAAGTTAATTATCGCACATTTATACTCGAGTATTAATAGCACGGGACCTTTCGTAATCAACATAACTTTTTTTTGGTTTCGCGGTCAAGCATGTCACTTGATGCGCATTCTGATTTAACTCGATGTTTACACAACATATCGAATTGTTGATTGAATTAAATTTGTTTTGCTGACGCATGAAAAACATTACCTGACGACTTAACATCTGTTTAATATTAACTCTCCTGAAAATGAACGAAGTTTTGATGTTGTCATGTTGATGTTTCGAGAAAAGTTGGGTGTCAATATTTGTAATTGAGTTATGATTGTCAAAATGGTTGACTCACTTGTCGATCCCACTTTCCAGAGAAAACAACGTCAGAAACAAGGGAAAAGAGTAGAAAATAAAAATCGATACTTAACACATCATGTGAACCGTCCAACATTTAATGATTTCACTCGGATTCAATAATGCCACAACGGTTCTGATTTTTCCTTTTAGTTTGCTTAGGGATTCAGCTTTCCTGATCCATATTCATCCCAAAGTTGCTTTGTCGCATACGAAATGAGTCTTCATCCGAACGAATATTTGGTTTCATCGTTCATGAAAAAAGTGTTTATTTTGGGAAAATGACACGAACCATTTATCAACCCCAGAAAGGCGATGATATGAACGACCCAAGTTTGCATTAACCAATGATGAAAATTCATAAATTTAGAAAGTGATACAATCATGAAGCGAAAGCGACACAAATACTTGGAACGAAAAGTGCTTTTGGAAAATCTGTCATTTTTAGCATTTTGCATAATTTGTTATCCTTTCGACTCAACAATAAGCTGATTACAATGGTTATTTGAAATGTTAATTCTATGATAATGGGTTCGTTCGTAGGCCTCAATGCTGACTGGTGACATCGGAAATGAAGTTGTTTGATAAGTAAAAATTTCTCGTCACCGTCAGCATCGATTTCATCTTAATTGATAGTGACAAACTATCAAAATTTTTGAAATTTTCTTTCATAAAGTTCACTTTATGGATGTTTATAATCACACGAAGATTAATTTTCTCATAAAACATTCATTGACTGAAAATAACTTAAAAAAGTTACATTCATGAGACAACATACAAAGTATCATAAACATGTAAAGAAAAAAGTCATTGTAACATATAATCGAAGTCATTTTAATCCCAAAAACCATTTTCAATTTCCCTTCTTTCTGTTTTCCAGATAAATTCCACAAAACACTTGAATCCCTCATTAATAAGTAGTCGGAAAATTTCCTGCAGTCAAAAGCTGTAAAAATTCTCACAATGTTTTCTAATCGTCAATCCACCCACAACATTCATCGTCATGAAGACGAGTTTTCAGATCATTTCGCTACATTTAATGTTGATATCGACAAATGATGATCCGCTTTTTTCTTCGGTTGCCAAACGGCGCTGAATAATTCACGAGAAAAAGGCAGAAAATGAAGATTTCCTGATGAAGGTTAAGAAGTTTTATAAAGGATTCTTTTTTCAAGGGTTTCAATTTGAAAGAAATCAATTCTTTTTTTATTCATTCGTTTCATTTTTTCTTTATTTGAACTTTTTGAAGTTTATGCAAAAAGAAGACGAGACTTAACTCTTCTCAAGAGTAATTCTTCGGGTTTTATCATTCCTTTTCCCCTATAAGTTTGATGACAATTTTCCATCAAATCCGATTAGCACATGATACTTAAATACTTTTTTTCATTCATTGATGTTGCGTTGAGTTGCTTGAAGGGAAACTTCAAAAGTCAATAAGGAAATTAATCTGTGAAATTTTTCTACTTTCAGCTGTTCAACATGAACGCGGTCCCAGGAAGCCAAAATTGCAACATTTACATTCACAATTAGCTCATCATCAGCAGCATCATCATCACCATCATCATCATGGTGGATTTAATCCAATGACAGTAAATGCTTCATCTTACGCACATCATAATCTTCAAAGCCATCATGCTGGTGCTGCCGCACATTTTACACAATTAAATTCATTTCAACAACATTCAACCATCCTCCATCATCCACAACCATTGTCGTTTGGAACCCTTCTACATCCAACACCAATTCTTCCCAACCCTGGTTTAAATCAACATAATGTGCTGACTGCAAACGGAAAGTTCTCTGATCAGCCAAAACTGACTTCAGGCTTTGATTTTCCTTCAATCAATAGCAACTTTTACAAGCCACTTAGTCAGCAACTTCATCAATTTTCACCAACAAACTCAAAAAGCACAATCAGTATTGATTCATCTTCAGCTTCAACAGTATCTGAACGTATTATGAGTCCACATTCAACTATTGATTCACATTCACAACATATTGCGACACCACCACCAGAACCATCAACACCTCTAAATAAACTTCAAACAACTCCTACAACAACAAGTGTCGAGCCAAATAACATTTCGGCATCATTTTCTGCTTCATCAGCTTCATCCGTCTCATCATTTACGGCTGTCACCAATGGAAATGCAGCATCATCCCAACTAAGTCAACAAACCGCAAGGGCTAACATGCAAAACGGTTTATTGGACATTCTTATGAGTCCCGACAAGTATCAAGAACTCATTCAATATCATCAAGCTCAGAATTCAATTATTTTTCCATCTCTGCATCATGCGGCGTATCAAATTGATGCATTAAATCCAAGATTACCTACGTGGGAATTTTTACAGGTGGGTGGTGGTAGAGTTTAATTTCGTTTGGTGTTGTGGAAGATGATGATGTTGCATGAATATTATTTTAACAAGGGGACTTAACCCATCATCATCACCATCAGCAGCATCACCACCTTTGTCTTAATGACTAAATAACAAACAATATCAGAACGAAGAAATTGAAAATTTGATTTAATCGCATTTGTAATTTTAACATTTCAGGAAACAACAGCTCGTCTTTTATTTATGGCAGTGCGATGGGTTCGTTGTCTGGTGCCATTCCAGACACTTTCAAAAAGTGATCAACAACTTTTACTTCAAGAATCGTGGAAGGAACTTTTTCTTTTGAATTTTGCACAATGGAGCGTTCCATGGGATTTGGCGACACTTTTTGACAGTCCACATGTTCGTGAAAGAATTCCTGATGATCCGACGACATGTGTGGAGATGAAAACAGTTCAAGAGATTCTGTGTCGTTTTCGACAACTTTCACCAGATTCAAGTGAAGTTGGATGCATGAAAGCGGTGATTTTATTCTCGCCAGGTGAGTAAATCTTTTACTACTTCAACATATTTCATCATAAAATATCCAATAGAAACAGCTCGATTATGTGACGCTCAACCAGTTGAAATGCTTCAAGATCAAGCGCAATGTATTCTCTCAGATCACGTCCGCTTACGTTATCCTCGTCAACCAACACGATTCGGTCGTCTTCTTCTCTTACTGCCTTCACTTCGGGCAATTCGTTCAACAACAATTGAAATGTTGTTCTTTAAAGAAACGATTGGAAATGTTCCGATTTCTCGTTTACTTGGCGATATGTATATGATGGAAAAATATAATAATAATAATAATAACAACAATAGTCATATTACGCAAAATGATAATAATAACAATACACAAAATAACAACAATTCAAATAATGTTATCAATAGCGAAACATGTTAATAAAATGTTTCTTTAAATTACTGCTCGTCATCGTGATGCTTTGAATCATTTTTCTCATCTTTATTTTTTATTTCTTTCCTCTTACAATCAACAAGAATTCACGATGATGTAAAAATTATGAAAATATCTAAAAGGCAACTTTACAGAGTGGAAGATAAAAAAAAATTCTACGTGGTTACCTTTAAGTATCTGAAGGCATTGGCGCGTATAAACAAAACTGAAATTGATTTCTATGCTTGCTTTTGTATGTTGGACAAAAAGTTATGATGGGAAATTTCGCAATGCTCCTTCTTAAAAAAAATAACATAAAAGAAAATGAACATTTTGTTTATTTTCAATTATAAAAGAGCAAAAACCAGTGGAAATATAAGATGAAAAGTTAGAATGTGTTGATTTGTAGATTACGTTAAATTACCATTTTTAGTCAATAACTTACAAGTTGTTTCTTTTAATAATTAATTTTGAAACAAAAAAACTTTTCTTTTCGAAAGTAAAAAAAACTTCAAATTCTGAAACTATTTAACATATAAAAACAATTTATGCTGCTATTTAGTCTGTAAAGTAAAATGTTCATAAAATTCTTTAACCATTTATGGAATGAATTATAAAATAAAGGATGTTCTTTAGCATTCATGAAAGGCACAAGCTATCAATGGAAGAAAGGAAAATAATGCTGAATAAAAATGAAAACGTTATGAGAATGAAAAGTAAATTCAAGTCGTATATTCTTCTTTCAGCTTTTGAGAAAATCGAAATTTTCACATGAAATATTTTCACCATATGAAGATAGAAAAAGGAAACTTTACAGAACAAACAATTGCCTTATTTTCGTGGCTGATAAAATAACATCTGTAGGAGTTTTTCTGTCGAGTGTGAAAAGAAAGAAAATCAAAAGGAGAAAGATTTCAACTCGAGTAGAAACACTTCCACACCCTTGAACATGAATGACATGAAAGCACAGACAAGCTGAAAAGATGTTTAACAGGATTAAGTATTTTCATTCGACATCAAATGACAGTGAAGATTCCTCAAGTTGATGCTTTTTTGAAGTTTAACAATTAAAGAATTTCATCGTCAACAACGACTTTAGAAGAATCTTTTACTCATCATGAAACATTAGCAAAGGTCACCGATCAACGATTGTGGTAGATAAATTCATTTGAAAGACTTCACTTAAAACCAATTATGATGATGCGGATGAAAAGAATGGAAATGTGGGAATTCATCTCGGAAAATCTCCAGGTGTCAATTGTAAGTTTCCTGATGAAAACGGCACGTAATCACGCAAACAGCAAACATCCTTCGTAATTAATTTTAAATGTTCAACAAACGATTATCTCCGCTTCAGGTTCATGGCTTTGGGCGTTCGCACTTATCCGTCTACAGACATAAAGAAACAATTTGAAACTTCCCTTCTTCAAACCTCAAATTAAATGTGACAGATTCAATATTGTTGTCGTGTTCATCGATATTCGTTTCACCTAATTGAATATTCATCGACCATCAAACACGTTCACCAATGAATTTCTCTCGCCTTGTCAAATCGTTTAATGACTAACGGCGGGGATGAAGAGAAAATGAAACTTCGTGGTCATGAATTCAATGTTGGAAGCGATAAGGAACATAAGAAAAAAGGGGAATAAAGCAATTCATCATACACAATACAAACTGATGCAATAAATCCCACTCGACTCAAAGCATTGCATCGCATCCACCCCCAACCTTATTCACACATGTTGTCGCAAAGAGCGAAAAGGTATTAATAAAAAGTTGAGAGATCATATTATAGAAAAAACACACAAATAAACACAAACAGTTGAACTCGTGAGAAATTAACATGTGAAAGTTCATCGAATAATCATTTTTTCTCTACGTACGACAAAGTCTTCTTTTATTCTGTTAATATCATAAAAACAGATAAATCTTCATAGCTTAGGAAATCATGGAAATTATCTTTAGATATCTTAAAATTTATTACAAAAATATTATGATAAGAATTGTGAAATTTGATATAGAAACGATATCAAATGATTCATCGAACAAAAGTTTTTATCTCTTCTCGTAGACGTCATCAAATATTTTGATAAAAAGATAAAGAATAAAATTGATTACAATCAGAGAATTTTGTTCATTGAAGAGTGTCAGTTGATAATGAAAAGTCTTCCAACTTTTGTTTTAATTTTTCTATTTCTTCAACATGGAAATGGTTTGTATCAAGGAACTGGAGCACCAGCAAATTCTGCACGTTTCATAGCTTCAATTCGATATCGAAATCTGGATCATAGTTTTGGATCTGGGTTCTTGTGTGCTGCTTCAGTTATCAACAATTTTAATGTTGTGACTGCGGCTTCGTGTGTTTATAACATGCAACCATCGCAAATTAATGTTGCATTTGGACGTATCGATCTTAATTCTCGATATGTAGTGATAAATATTGCACAGATTAGACTTCATCCAAAGTTTGATATTTCCGACATTATGAATGACAACATCGCTGTTGTGAGAGTAACGAGAAATATTCGGGCGAATACAAATGCACACATTCAAATTATTAATCTTGATTCGACGCCAGTGATTCCATCACCTTGCAGCTTCTTTGCTTGGGGACTTGAAAATCGTCTTCTGAGGGCAACAATTCCAGTAAATTCGGAAAATTGTCATAATCAAACAGATTCTACGTTTTGTGCGGGAAATGTTGGAGGTGGACCTGCATTATGTCCACGAAACTTAGGTGGAGCTTATGTGTGCAATTCCCAATTGACTGGAATTGCTATTTCTGTGTCTGGTTGCACACAACCAGGAACAACAGGTCGACTTGTAGCCGTCAATAATTACAGGGATTGGATTTTACGAGGGTCTGCTAAATCTACTTGCAAATTAGACATTTCATTACTTTCATTGTTACTTATCGCAGTTACTCAATTTTTATTCATATAATATTGAAATTTTCTAAATCAACTAACAATCTGATAAATGTTATGAAAATGGCCAGAGGAAAGGTAGATAAGATTAGATTTAAAGTCAACATGTACCTTAACTGGTGGAATAAAAACAAGAATTAGGAATAAAAATAACATTCGTGAATTTTGTAGTAAAAAATTATATGCAACAATGTTTTCGATTGTTTAGTATCTACAACATACCACAAACTAAATTGGTTTTTATTTTTTCTTAAATTGCTTCAAGCACCCCCGCACCATATAAACTTATAACATGTTTTGAACACACGAGATTAAGTCTGACTTTGTTTCATATGAGTTATAAAATTTTACCCTTTGTTAGAAAACATGAGCAAGAAACAACAGAAAAAAAATATTTTACACCATTCTTTATGTTTCAACATGTCGTGTGAGTTTCGACATGTGCTGCGATGATGTGAAAGGTGATTTCTCATTCATTTTACGGTCCAGGTCATACCGTTGATATATATTTAGATATGTGTAAGTGCATATCATAAATTTGATTTCTTTTTTCATTATTCTAAATTGTTAAAATGAATATTAAAATTCAATTTCAATTCATTATTCTTGTACAAAGAAATACTTTCAAGTGAGTGTTTGAAAACCAGGAATAACCTTCTCACTTTTGTCCTAACATTAATAAAATGTGGATCGTCTTCATTCTCATAGCAAAATGCTTTATGTCGGTCGACTTGTTAAGGTTTTTTTTTTGCTTCTTTTTTCCGCACAAGAAAATATCAAAAAATCCAAAAATCAACCTTACATTCATTCCCACAGCTCTGTACAAGCAAATTCTTTTGCCTTTTCCTTTATCCATCCTGTCCTAATGTAGCTTGAGGAATTTAATATTTAATTTTCCCATTTTCTCAATGTTTTATGTACCTTTGTTCTCCATCTGCTAATCTTCTAGAACCACAAGAGGAAAGCATAGGAAAAATGGACTTTTCTCTTCAAAATTTGTTCTCTCGGAGATTATCGGTGGGCGGAGCTTAGAAGTTTTCTACGTGAAAAACAAAATGTGAAAAAGTATCTACATGAGCGTACAAAACGTAGAAAACAACAACGGAATTTTCGTATCACACTTTCTGAAGTCATAACAAACAACCTGTAAAGTATTTCTTTTCCTCTATGAATCTTCTAAAACTTCAATTTCAGTGAAACTAAAATAATATTTTCCCAATATAATTTTATTGCACAATTTATTGTTTTTCTGTTCTAGGTTCATATAATTCGTACAATTTATTTATTAAGATTACAGTTTATTTATTGTTTAGTTTCATGCATTTTATGATTGTAAATTATTATCTACAATATTTACTGAGAAGCTTTTCAATAATTTGCTTTTCATTCAATTATTGTTGTTTCTCAATTTCAACATCACGAATTAAATTCAACGCAAATTATTTAAAACTTCAAACTTATTTCAGCTTAAATAGGTATCTATGAATAAATAAAATTTTCAAATCAAAAACAGTTTCATCGTCTTTTAAAAACAACATAAAAAAATATCACCAATATTTAAATTAACACAAGAAAAAAAAGTCAAAAAAGCTTTCAAATTTAAACATTTTCATCTTAACACTCAGTCAAATCGAGAATAAATCAATAAATTAGTTGAAAAAAGTTACTTTTGTTCTTTCTTAATGTCAATATTCTGGAGCTTATAAGCTAAGATATTTTGACATTTTTCTTCAAACATGACTTCGGGTATTGGTTAACATCTTTAATTCAATCTATACCAGTCAACTTTGAATGTCAGATTTCATGATAATGCGATAATTTCGTAGGGTTGAGTGGACTTTTTGATTTACGTTTTTGTCTAAATTGTGTACAATTTCATTCTACGCTTGGTGATTGAAATGATTTTCCTAGATAGTTGAAATATTTAGTGATAACTAACAATGCTGGATTATAAACGATTTTCAGCTACAGGTCGCTCAATGTGAATGTTAATTACACTTTATATAACACAAATAACTTTTCCATTTTTTATCTAAAGTCGACAAAAGGATTTTGTTGTTAATTTTAATGTCGACTTTTAACTGACCTACACACACACTTACTCATATTACACCTACACACTTTCAATTTTATTAACATTTCATATTTAGTTTCGTCAAATTCACGTCGCCTTTTTTTTCATTTTACCCAGACTTTTGCTTTCAATAAAATAATTAAAAAGAATGTCATTTGAATACTGATAATTTAGCAACGATGATGCGAATTGGAGAAAGAGTTAAATTATATAAAATGAAGTAGTCCTGAGTCGAAGTGAAAGATTTAATTGTTGTCAAAAGATGTTGAAGAATGTCTCAGTTGTGTGTAGCATGATTGACAAACTCGGACAGGTTTTAATAAGCGAAGTCGAGAAATTTCCGATTCAAATCGACTGCATTTATTACAGAAGACCAAACCACAATTACGACAGTGATGACGACGTTCATAGATTGAAAATCTGGGAAATTTTATATGTCATAAAATAATTGTGACAGATATTAAATGAAATTTACCGTATATGACAGCCAACACATTGCTCTGCTGCTTCATCTTTCAGCCAATGATCAGCCATACCTCGACCTGGTTGTTCAGCGACACTCCATGAAAAAACTCGACCACGAGCATCACCTGAATAATTAATAAATTTAATCATTTTTTCTCCAAAAGCTATTAAAGCGACTTTTACACTCACCAACATAAAGCGTACGATGATCCTTCGACACAGCAAGAGATGTAATACTGGCTGGCTCTGAATTATCTTTACGATCATAAGCTGTGTGCATAGTTAATTTTGATCTGAAGACAAGTTGCTTTTGCCATTTGAACCCTAATGAGAAATCATTTTTTAATCATTTTTTAATCATTTTTCCAAGTTTCTAAAGTTTTCTGTATTATTTATCAACTCACCATAACGTAAAATATTTTGTTTGTTAGACAATCGTCGCCCACCACCATCATTATTATCGATCATAACAAATGATTCGGTTAAACTCGTATCTGACTTACTTGGACGAATTCCTTTTTCAGATGAACATCCGATATCTTCAAAGTCATCAGAATCGTCGATTGATTGTTCGATATGAGAAACACTTCGAAGCTTTGTTTCTCTCCGTCCACTTCTTCTTTTAACATCATCACTCCCACTTTTCCCACCACCACTCCCAGCATCTTTCAATTGTGTCATTGATTTTGCTCCACTTATTCCGCTTTTATTGTCAATTGTCAGATGTTGGTTTTTGTTGTTGTCTTGTGCTTGCATTTCTTCTTTGTCACTACATTCATCTTTTTCATCTTCAAATTGTTTCTTTGATTCTTTTATACTATCACACGCTTCAGATATGCTTGACTCTGATCCTGACTTTGCGAGCGCTAATGTAAAATAAATTCATGATTTTTGATGAAACAAAATTAAATAAAAGTTCTTCTCTTACCTCCACCATCAGTTGAAAGACTCATTTGTTTTACTAACTCAGCCTTCTTCTTCTCTTTTATAACTTCCTTTGACTCTTCTACGAAAACTTCTTCTTTAATTTCATTTATTGTTTCTGGACGTTCTTCTGGTACTTGAACATAATCCATTGACCACATCTATGTATACAAATAAAAGACGATAAATTCTCTTAAAATGAAATAAGTTTTAAGAGTTCTCACCCTCACAACTCCATCAGTTGATCCAGTGATGATAACATTTTGCGAATCCCATTCTCTTGTCATTGAAAATGCAACACACAAAATTTGTTGCATCCTATCAGCTGATCCAATGCTTGTGTTGACTGTTGCTAGACAATCACCATTAATTGACCAAATATGAAGCCAAGTTGCACTACATGTTGCTATTTCACCAGTTAAATCATTAATAGCAACAGCAGCAACCAAACTTGCATGATCACGAAGTTGTCGAACAAATATGAAACGATTCATTTCCCAAACAATTGCAGTTCCATCTCGTGAACCTGACACAATAATGTTGTAGGCTGGACTTGCTGCTAAGCATGTGACAGCATCAGTATGTCCATGCAATGAATGCTTTACATTCAAAGTTTTTTGTCTTGAATTCAACTCCCATACAGTCACAACTGAACTTGTTCCAGCTGTTATTATCGTTCGAGCATTTGGTGAAGCACATGCAAGAATCTCGCCAGAATGTGCTGTTGATTCACAGACGAACATTGCACGATCACTATCGTACATCCCAATCCTCAACGAATGATCAGCAAATCCCCAAGCAATGTAACGTGAGAATGTTGGTGGCATCAAAACTTTATTTTGTTCAACAGCAAGGACAATTTTGTCGGGATGAATGATCTGTCCAACTGGTCCTTTAAGTTCTGTTAACAGTTATTAACAAAACAATTAATATGAGATATTTAAAGTTATTTTTTCTTACCTTTAACTGGTTGAATGCTAGGCTTTAAATTATCCAAATTATGGAAGAACATCTTTTCAACCGGCACTGAACTTGATGTTAACATTGGCGTTGGATCAATCATCGACTGACGAAATCCTGACATCTTCTTCGAAGGATGGGGTTTCTTGAACAATTGTTTAGGAATTTGCCCAAAGTTATTGATAAATCCAATCGTTGCATTCTTTTTCAAAGGATCATCGATGCTGAATAAACATTTTTAGAAGATCAATGTTAATTGAAAGTCATAATGGCGTAAAGTTCAAAAACTTAATGAAAGTCATTGAACCTAACATTAGTTAACAAAACTTACTTGTAAATGTCAACATTGCCTTCATAAAACCAATAATGGAAAACATTTACAGCATCAACAGCCGCTTGTCCTTGTTGTCGATATCCAAAGATCAAATCGATCCACTTTAAGAAAACAAAAATTAATCATTAAAAAAAGAGGTAAAATGAAATGAAAATCCTACCAAATGAAGATTTTGTGAAACATAATCACATTCAAGTGCTGCACGATGAAGTCTAATAAATTCTCTTGGATCTTGTTTAGCCCATGGTGGTAAAATGATGTCACCCAACACTTCACTGTTTTGTTTCGCACCCAAATCAAAATTATTTGAATTGACAAGAAACTCAGGAAGATAGAAAAACTCAGGAATAAGTTCTTTTACATCTGCCATGTTATGTTTCGAGGCTGAAAACCAACCTTCCTTGATGCTATGAAACATGCGATCAGCGAGATCAAAATGTCCACCTTGCAACCGCAAAAAGTGCTGCGTAAAAGGTTCAAGGCGAACAAGATATGAACAAACAATCATCGCTGAACTGTAATGTGTTCCATAATGATATGGCGGTGTCTCTCCTTGTGGATCATCCCATTCTTTGAATCTTTTCTGAAATTGTTCTAAACGTTCTGGTGATTGTGCTCCCATTGGTTTCGAAAAATCTCTGAATGTTTTTGGATTTATTAAATCCAAATCTTCTGAATCATAATCAGCTAAGATCCATGGAAAAACTGGATATTGCATTAGATCATTGTAAGAACGACCAGCGAGTGTATTAAGATGCATCAAGTATTGAAAGTTTGAAATCTCTCCGCGTACCCATCTTTGTGTGACAGAAGTTTCACCAATTAAGCTACTCAAAAGACCCGACGTTTGTTCAACACTCGCAGTTCTTCTTTGGCCAGCAACTGATGATTGAGCATTGTCAGCAATTGATGTCGCTAATGCCATAACACGTTGATAAACCTTATTTCTAACTTTTCTTTGAAAGCTTAACAAATAATTTCGACCGTCACCAGAGAAAATTTCCAATGCAATTGGTTGCAATAAATAACGACGTTTGTGAACTTCACGAATGTCTTCGTAAGCAAATTTTGAGCATTGCCTGAGAGATTCTTGTCTCAATTGATTTCCAGATGGGTTTGGAAGGATCGGCTCATAAGTTCCATCAGGCATTGAATCAATGTCACGAATCTCACGATTCTTAATCAAAGTAAATCCATCAACAACGTAGCAATGTTCTTTCCCAAACAATATCAAACCTTCCGATGTATCCAAACCTTGAATTCTCGCGCAACGAAACATGTGAGAAATCTTTTCATTCTCTTCCAACATTCTCAACAATGTTTGATTGTCTGGGACCATTGCAGCTGCTGCTGCTTCTTCTTCAGCATCTTCGTCAAACTCTTCACCAGGTTCACTTTGTGCTCGATTTAGCGTCAATGGTTGTTGTTGCTGTTCTGTAGGAGTTTCTGGTGGGGTATTTGCTGTTGTCTTCACATGAACAGACATTTCAGCTTCACAAAGTACGCGAGTTTTATGATTCGACGTTTGATAACATTGAAAATATTTTTTACTATCAAAACTAGTCGCAACTTTATATTTCAATTGTTTGTTGTCAGGAAGTTCAAGTTCAGGACGATAAGGATAATGTAAATAGAATAAATCATTTCGCATTGTTTTCTTTCGCATTCTGTGTGGACCTTCAGTAGAATCCAATGTCCATTTGTCAAGAATTGAACCTTTTGTCGGTCCCCACAATCCTCGCTCTCTCGTCAATTCACATTCAGATTGAATCCATTCTTGAAGAACGTAACGTTGTGTATGTTGCGACATGTGAATATATTGAGCACAACGCATTTCCCATAAATCTCTTACTAAACTTATATGAAGATTTGTCCATTCTAATGCTGACTGTTTCTTTACACTTGTCTTCGACTTCACACCATCATCCTTCTTAACTTTTGTTCGACTCGCTAAACGTGTCAATCCACCAGTAACTTTTTGAATTTTCGATTGAATTTGATTGTGAAGTTCCCAAGGAACGCGACACGTTGCTTTCTTCTCACTGTCGATATAATTATGCCAAAGTTTAACCGCTGAATCAATGACTTGTTCCCTTGTAGCTGATAAATCTGGTGCTTTAGCATTTGTTGGTGGATTTGTCAATGTTATTTTAAAGACTTCTTCAATTGCTGGTTTTTTACATACATAAAGTTCTTCCCATACTCGAAAAGCTGCGCCAACAATTAAATTCCTTCCCTGATGTTGATTTAAAAGTTCATCACGTGATTCAACCATTTCATTACGAGAAACATGCCAAGTTGTGTTCTTTGCATTTGTATCAAGTTCAATTTTCATATTTGATGTTAATTGAAGAAGACAATAAGTCAAACAACCAATGAATTCGAGCTCATGATTACCAGCACCAAAGATCAACAATCGATTTGTTGTGAGCTTATGAAGAGTGTCAAGTACTGCCATTTGTTCAGCAACTGATTCTGTTGGACGTGATAGAAGATAAAGAATCGTGCGATTTAATGAATGATGGAGATGTTCAAGTGAAATACTTGATGGTCGTCGTTTCGCTTGTCCAATCAACTTCACAATGAATTCAAATATCTCATGTGGATCTTTATGAAGACAATTCTGCCAAAGTTTATCAACAATTCTTGCTGTTAGGTAGAAAACATTCGGCGCAATATTTTGAATATGTGATTGAAGAAGGGGAACAATTGGCAAAGCTGCTTGTTCGCCAACAAGCATATCAGCAGCCAACAAATGATCCATCAAAGCTGTGATGATTTCAGTTTGAAATGATGTTTGCATTGCAATGTCAGAATGTTCCGGTGACACATCAATAACGAGGTCAATGACTGGCGTCTTACCAGTTACAGCTAAACTCAATGAATCAACAATAATTACACGCAATAAATCAATCACAAATTTTCTCACTGGATGTTCAGTCAACTGACCATTACAACTTCCAGATGAACTTGATAAAATTGGATTTTGTGAGATTTCACCACCTTCTGGTGTCGTCGCATTACTTTCGTTTTCCGCACTATTTTCAGGTGGAAAAAGAATTCCAACAAGTGCTGCTATTACTTCACCAAGCATCAAAACTGGCATAAAATCTGTTAAATTGTGATAAAGTGAGAAAATAACTTGAATTATTGTCACAGGATGATTCTTAAGCCATTCAATTTCGTTATTTGTATGAACAATCGTTCTAACAATTGTTAATAAAGTACAAACAGCTTCAGGACATAGAACAACTTTCGGTCCGTTTGTATTCGATGGCGACACTGGACCGCCCCAAAGGAAGGACCAAACCTTGTCAAGATCAAGTTTTGTATGATCAGATGCGAGACATTTCACTGGTTGGCCCATAATCATAGCTGTGATGAGAAAATAAAGTTCAGGAATCTCCAAATGATGTGGAAGTAACCATTCGAGATATTGAAATCCATTTACACTCAAAGCTTGTATTTTAACTTCACCAGCAATTTGTGATGGAAGAATAATTCCTGGCTGCGATGATACTAAATTGCTTGGACTCACTGGACCACCAGTTGTCATTTGATTCGATGAAGCAAGCACCACAGCGTTTTTATTTTGTGATATGAGTTCGGTGTTTCTTAAATATCCGCCATTGTAGGATCCTTCTCTGAATCTTGTAATTAATGTTTCATTTGCAAGCAACACAACAAGTATTCTCATACTCCAAACAACTGTTGATGGATGCATGTTTGGTTGCATAAATAAAAGAATCCAATCAAGTCCAAGAACACGAGAAATTTCACTACAAATTGCTGGATTGACCGTGTTCTTAGCAGTAAAGAGAAGTGAATGAAGCAAAGACAAACAGCGATTTCTTAAAATGATTTGTCGAATGGAATTACTCGTGGCATTATTCTCAATATTGTCATCAATTAATGTGAAATCTTTGTTGGAAACGAGATGTGAAAGATCAAGAAGCTTCTCATTTTCATTTCCGATTGGTAACTTTGCTGTTATGAATTGACCAAAATGAAGTAAATCGCCAAGTCGTGGTTGTCCACCAAGAAGAATCGCTAAAAGTGTGAAAAGAATTTCTTTCGTTGCATTCTCATTAATATCGCAAATGATGTGAAGAAGCTTTGGAACAAGTTGAAGTTCACGCATTATACGAATGTTTGTCTTCTTTTCACCAGATTCTGATGCTAATTCGAGAAGATGTTCAAGGAGTGAACGTAAAAGACCGTTCGGTGCATTTAACCAAATTTCCAAGTCGCAAAGAAGATCTTGAAATGCTGTGACATTCGGAATGGCTGCTGATGTTTCTTGTCCCGAATTTACAGTTCCAACAAGACTAAAAGTCAAATGAAGAATATGAGAATTGAGTAAATTTCTCTTCTTCTTAAAGAACATCGCTAAAGTTTGATAGCATCGTTTACGATCCATCTCAGCTTGTGCTGCTTTATTGCTTCTCACAACACAAGTCAATGCTTTAACTCCAGCATACAAACTCTCAACATCTTGTGCCATTGCAATAATTCCAAGCAAAACGTTACATCCACCAACTGTCCCCATCATTGTTGACACTGGATTTGGGCTAAACACACGAACACCCAAATATCCAACAACAACACCACCAAGTGTCCTTGCTGATCCCGCTAAATGACCAGCGGAATTATGGAGAATCCTTATCGGTGTTGCATTCTCATTTGAGCTCATTCCCAATTGTTTTGCAATCATTTTGTTGTCAGCACGACTGTAAACTTTTCTTATTCTCGCTAATGTCAGTTGACTCATTGCTTTTGCGTTTAATCCAAACGTGACACGTTCTTCTGGAATTAATGGATTCATAGGTTCAGCATGCTTCCTTAATTGTGGTGCTTGAAGTGATCCCATGTAATGTGGGCCAAGTTTAAAGATGACTGCGACGGTTTGTGCTGTTAAAACATCTTCTAACAAATGACAAACTCCTTGTTTCCAACAAAGTCTGGAATAACGCCGCCATGCTGGTGGTGTACCAATTATCGCATAAACTGAATTTGTAGCATTCACACTGCTGTTTGTTGTTCCACCAGGTGTTTGTGAAATGTAATGAAGCTTTTGTGTGTGCATGTGTTGACCATCAAGGAACAACGAGAAACTTGAATTCTTCAGCACAGCTCGATTCAAAACCACAGCTAAATGATGCCATTGCCCTTCATGAAGAACATCTGGGCACCATATTCGAGCACTGTTGTCACCTGTACCATCAGGTTCCCATTCACCAACATCTGAAAAAAATAATTTTTAATTAGATTATAAAATCTGCTTTACCGACTTTCATTAAGTGGACACTTACTTGGTGGAAGATGAGTTTCTTGTGTTGAGACAATGATCGCTTTATCTCTTGCTGATAAAAGAATGGATAAACACACAACATTATCTTCTCTTAAGTTGTTAACAATTCTTGTTATTGTTAGCAATCGAACACAATGCGGATCTGTTCTTGGATCGGAAAATTTATCAACACAGAACCATGTTGAATATGTGAGACCTGTTTGCGGTGGGAAAACACGTTCGCCACTTCCAATTCCACCAACTGTCGTTCCAGCTTCCATACTTGCTCCACCGCCTAACACTGGTGCTTGCGGTGAGATGCTAGGAAGATATAAGCAACCAAATCCTTCAGCCATCATGTCAAATTCAACAAATGGTGGTAAAGTGCATGAACCATGAGCACGAAAGTCTCTCGGAGTTGTCATGGAGACAAGTGTTTTGATTCTCGTCAATGGCACAGGCCCACCGTCTTTGTAACATTCCCCAAGAACTAAATTTTCACATTGAAGTGGAGAAGCAAGTCGAAGAAATTCACGTAGTTCAGTTGGCTTCAATGCTTGAGCTGCCAGACGTTCGAGAATGTATTGAAGTGGAACATGAAGAACATTTTTTTCTTCAGCAAGAACAGTCTTCCCAATCTTTAATAAATGTCCAGCTAATCCTGATTCGCACATTATTTGTTGATTTCTCTCACTTCTCACAAGACTTTTAATCACTTCTGCAAGATAAAGTTGAAGACATTGGCCGCGTATCACTTCCACTTCATGTTCGACTGAAGGCAGAAGTTGGAGCATACAAATGACAATGCCAGGATGAACAATTAATGGTTCTGGAAGTGGTTGTGTGAGATTAAGTGTTGAAACAGCAACTCGTGGATCTAATTTTTGAAGTTTATTAACTTCTGATGGCTTTGATTGATTTGTTATAGATATGTTGAGAACACCGGAAAGATTCGGCTTGTCGAAGTTGTCCAACACAAGATCGTAAAGAAAGCGATAAATTAGACACGAGAATGTCATTGAAAGTGGAAACTCGTGGGAAAATTCCGGCTTTAACAAGTTGCCAGTGAAAACACTTTGATAATAACCATCGATTGATTCAAAAATGTCAGCACTTTGCGATGATTCACCGAAGTCCATTCGGTTACTGAAACATCCCATCAAGCGAAGCGTGTCGCATAGAGACGTTGAGCAAATCTCCTGAGCGAAGAATTTAGCGTTTGCTGGTTCGAAGCGCATAGCAGTGGCGAGTGTTTGAAAAACAATGTTTAATAATTGTAATAAATCTTGAAGATGAATCTTTCGTTCATCTGATGACTCTTCACCACTCATCACAACGTCAGAGTTATCAGAAAGTTTTCCATCAAGCGACACGAAAACACTCGTCACATAAACAAATCCACCAACTTTTCTAAACACAACACGCGTTCGATGTGAGTCGCGAAGACATCCAAGAACTGATTTTAGAATTTGAATCTTTAATTCAATGTTATGTGGTGGAGCTGAATGCATTGTTGTTAGAATAAAAAGCATGTCATCATCACCGCCATTTGATAAAATTAATTCACGAATAATTCCCAAAATACTGTCACGACAATGTTTAAATTTTACAATCTCATGAATGGCTTTAGCTCCACCAGATTCACGGAACACATTGCTGTTGTTACTGTTGCTCGACATTAGAATCGTCAAAGCTTCCAGAATTAATTTTCCAAGAGTTTCATTTGAATCACCAATCAATTTCTCGACTTTCTTCTCATAATCTTCATCATTATTATCATCATCATCGTTTTCAGTGGTAAAATGTTGTTCAATAAATGTGAAATATCGATTGAGACATGAGACAAATACTTCAAGTATTCCAACTTCTCGATAAACATCTTTAAAGATGGTGTTGTGTTTGAGAATGTTCAGCAACGTCTTCATGCATAAAATGCTACAACTAATGGAATGATTCGACTTCAACAGAATTGATAGAGAGATGAGCTCCTTACACGGCACAAAGTTCAATTGAAAGACAATGAATTCAAGAAGTTCAAAGAATTTTTCTTGTATTTCAAGACTCTTCGTGTGAATCTTCTCGGTGAACTGACTCAGCGTGTTCTGAGACTCTAATATGAAATAATTTGCATTATCGGAATGATAAACACTTGAGATGGCATCGAGAATTGTACAACAAAGTGATGTTGAATTTGATTTAAGAAACACATTCTGGAGGACTTGAAAAGCATGAACATTCCGGACACATGTGTGACGAGAGGTGGTCTGAGGCATTTGAAATCCCTGCATTTGAAAGAGTGTTCCAGTTGGATTCTGATTTAATCGAGGCTCATGATAACCACACATACAAAGCGATGCAATCATAAACACGAGATTCCTAATAGCGGCTTGTGTTTCACTATTTTGATTCTTTTCCTCGATGAGTTTTAACAAGAAATCAGCAATGAAGTTGTAGCCTTGACAAACTCGAAAGTCATCGAGTAATGTTTGAGAAACTTCACTTGAGTCTTTTAAGAAGCAGAAAACAGCAACAAACATTTCAACAACTTCGAGTGGTGTCAGTTGTGGAGATCGTTGCATGTTATCGATGGAAAGTGCAACACAGCCTTTGGAATGAATATAATTGACAACGGGATCGGTGAGACCATATCGTGACAATGTCGTAAGAACTTCAGCAGCTGATTTTCTCCAAATAATGTTATAATTCGGACATTGCGATGTTATGGCAGAAAAGAGAAGTGTCAAGTCGTCCATACGTGCTAATTCTTCAGCAGGATAAGAGTGTGAACAGAGACGAACTAAAAGTTGAACGAAAATTTTTTGAAGGAGAATTCTTCGTTCTCTTGGTGTGAAATCGCAGCCTTCATTTGGCTGTGTTTCTTCTTCATCGGTGATATCAGGCAAATCGAAAAATAAATAAAGACACTTTACAAGAGTTGATGGCACTGATGCTGATGTCATTGTTTGAATAATCGATTGATCACCAGCAGCAAGAAGATTCAAAGCTGAAAGCAACATCCAACCATTTGAAGATTCTTCATAATTTTCGATCTCAAGGAACTTTACAATCGCTATTGATGCGGCTTCGGTTGACTGATTGCTTGCCCTTCGTCTAATCTCTGATACCATAAGTCTTGATATTTGTTGACAAAATGCGAGAATATCCCAAAATTTTTCATTCATTTCACCTGAATGACAAGAACCAAACACTTTGCAGAATAACGGAAGCATGTTGTACAATTTACTGTCTCGCTCTTGTTCCGAAAGAGGGTCCTTTGGATGAGTAAACTCATTGAATAATTTTTTTAAATGCATAAGTCCAAGTTGATTCTGCGAAGCGTCAGTATTTGCTTCATTTGTGTTGGACGAGTTGTTTGATCCCACACCGAGCTTTCTTATGATATTCATTGTTGAATTACAAATTGACTGTGATTCACTCGACGATGAAGACTAATCTAAAATGAAATATGAGCAAAACATGTTGTTTCGAGTTAGGTAGAAAAATAATTTTTTTCTCGCTCTTGTTAGTGCGATAATCACAAGTGCGATGAATCATCGCTTGCGATTATTTGGAAATTTCGCAAAATCACTTAGAATATTAATTTGCTTTTTAATCTTTCAAATTCAATAAGTCCATTAAACTCTCACTGATAACTTAGTAAGTTTATTAATTTTTTAAGCATTCAAAGAATTTTTCCAGTTTGCTTTTATTGATTTTTTTCAGTTTTCCTTACTCTGAAAATTTCTTCCCAGTATTCACTTGAAATTTTGATGATATTCAAAGTTTCGACATCACATTTCGATTCATTCCTGGTTATGATAATTTATCATTTCAATTTTAAAAAGATTTCCTTTGATTTTCTATTAAATTTCTGATTAAATTCATTATTTTCTGGAAAAACTTTTAATTTTCAATACAATTGCCTAATGTCAGTAGCGTAGCCTTTACCTTCCACATTGAAAAATTATCATTGATTTGTGAAGAGATTTCTCATGAAATGTGAAATAGTTAATAAGTAATTAGTTACATCCTGTTCTATCAATTACTAGCAATCTATAAAGTAATGTAAAATGTTTAATTAGATTCTAAACTGGGCAGTTAATATTTTTCAAAAATCGATGACTACGTCTATGGTTACAAAAGTGAAATTTTCCAAGTTAAAGAGGTAGAAAAAATATAAACAATAAAATTATTTCATGAAATTAAGTGTCATATAACAAGAAATCAAACATTTATTCAAGATCGAGTTGAAGTTACGTTAAAATCTTTCATGACAACATTTAAATTGAGTTAATCAAGTATTGAAATATTTTATCTTTCAATTGAGCAGGTTTCACTTTTCGAATTCAACTTTTGAAAACAGAAATTCACCACAGAGCGTGTTTAATAAAGAAAAACTCTTAACTGTGACAATTTAAAAAAAGTTATTGACTAGCTATGACTAGCTTTTTTAAATTAAAATTTAATGAATATTAAAGGCGATAATGTATGAAAGTTATAACCAATCATCCTTGCGTACTTAAAATTTTTTTATTGCTTTCATTGATAAGTGCTTGACACAATAAATATCCTCAAAACTATAAATTTTCATTAGCTATGCATATATTCTGCAATTTTTATTTGTTTGCTCTCATTTTCTATTTCATCAAGTAAGAATAATGAATAAAATCTCAGTTATTGAGTAACAATCAACAAACTTCTTACATTTAAAATTTCTCAGAATAATTTTTCCTGTTTATTGAACTAAAAATTCTAGAATTTATAAATTTATTGTAATCGATTCGAAGAACGATCCCCTTCTCGATTGCACATTGCATTTGTTTCTTTAACACAGCAATTAGCAAGTGAACCCTTTTTTGGGCCAATAAAGTGGCTCTTGATGCACATTAAAAGAGCTACATGAACGTATTGAGTACCTTCAACCGCATTTTATTGCCGCACTGGAAATAGAAGCAGAAAACATCATAAATGTATTAAAACCCATCAGCATCGTTTCTTTTGTTCTTTCCTTTCCTTGTTTAGGTTTTCTCTCTCATTTTCACTGTAAAGGAAACATAAACAAGTAAAATTACTTTTGCTTTCTGAATTATAAATGCACTTTTTTTTACATCGGAGGGGGAAGGAAAAAATAATAAAATGCAAACACCAGACTTTCAATTCGAGAGACGAAAGACGAAAACTCATTCATTCTGAGTTTCTAGAAGCATATACTTTAACGACCTTTATTGTGAGTTCGAGAGTTTTGTTTATGTTTTTGCTTCAGCTAGGAATTTCAGAGGGTGAACATTCTTGATTGAGGAATGTATGTTGATAATATCGAGGATGAGATTGATATAAATATTGAAGATCTAGATACCCCCCTTGCAAAACATCACAAACTCAACTCATCATTTGAAAGAATTGTTTTCTCTACTAAACGACTCAAAATGTGAACAGAGAAAAATGAACGATTTAAAAAAACCAGAGCAGTCAACGAAAAGAAAAACAAAGCAAATTGGAACTTAGCAAAAATAAGAAAATGTTTCTTGTGGGGAGAAATTGAACATGTGTGTCGATTATCCGAGAGACGAAGCGAGAATGAATGTTCAAAGATTTAAAGTCTTTTTTTTTTGTTGAAACCAGTGTTTACACTAATTAGTGGATGGAAGTTTGTCTTTCGATTCGAGAATGATTTTATTTTCTTTGTTGTTGGACGCTTCATATGTTCATTTCGTTTGTTTTTTAAGTAATAAAAATGAATTTTTAATACTCTTAAAATCTGAATAAATGATATGTTTAGAATCGTGGGGGTGTCATGAACTAAACTTAAACAACAGCGAAAAGATATTCGACAAATTCTTAATAAATTTTATTTACATTTATGTTCGCCAATTATCACATACCAAAATGACTTTCTGTATTTGTCCCCATAAGGGAGTTAAGATGACGAAAAGAACATCATGCGATTGGTTTGTGTTATATACTATACTTTATGGAACATGCAAATTCCTTTGAGACTATAATTTTTATTTCTTCCCTCTCTCTCTCTCTCTCTCTCTTTCTTTTCTTTCTTGTTCTTGATTATTCATGACTTTATAGTACCATGTGCAGGGTTCATGTTCACTAGTAACTTCCAGCCGTATTCGTTTGCAATTTACTTTAATTAAAATTTCTCATGCTCGTGTTTTCATCTTTCTGTTAGTCTTTCGAATTGTTCATTAAAAACATTTTTATTGTTATTGAAAAACGCTGGCAAGAATATTTGCAAATGTTTTCTTATTCTGAAATTGCTTAATTGATTATTCCTAACAAAACTGTTTCGCCCTGGCATTGAAAACGACATTCATGCTTCTTTTTTTATGAAAGAAAGAAGAAGAGGAAAGAGAAAGAATCAGCATAGCATGAAGGCAATTATTCAATTATTCGTCAATTAATAATATTTCTGAAATAAAAGATATATACAAATGAGTGTCTTCTCTGAGACGAAAACTAAAATGAACTTCTTAAGTAGTGAACTTTTTAATATCATAAAATATCTTGAATGAAGTTTTACTTCTCAGGAAAAGTTTTCTTCTTAATGTTTGTCTCATTTTTGAAAAATATTAAAGAGATTTATATCTGAGTTTCAGTTTCATTTTTCTATATGATTGAGTTCTTTAACATTGTAAAATGAAGAAATAAACAATTTTTAATTTCTTAAGAAAAGCGTTGAAAACATAAACTTCAACATACATTTTTAAGAGGTTCACGTTTGCGACAAAAATAATTTAACTCAGCGACGGTTGACGGCGTTTAAAGATCTGGCCGCTGATATGAGAAGTTGGAGCTGTTTCAAATGAGGAAGAATGAATCATGTTTTAAGCGCATGAGTCACAAGGATGTTGATGATAAGGAAACATGTTACTCTCTCGAGAGAAAGTTTTATAACTAAACAAGGATCGAAGCAAATCTAGACTTTTATGCTCTCACAAAACATTGACGATTGACGAAATTTGTCTTTGAAAAATATTTTCCTCTGCAACATAAGACGCAACTGCTCACTTGCACCATATGGTTAACAACATTCTCTCTTCACAAAATATTCTCTCGCTCTCACCCACAGTACAATTTAATTTGGTTCACAATTCGATTTTTTTCCATCTACAGTTTCAGTGTTGTTTCGATTGTTTTTGCCTCAAGCACGTGTAGAATTTTCTGTCATTTTTTTGAAGCTACACAAGAAAGATTTTCGCGTGCGTTTTACGAGATTTCATCTCACTTGTTTAAGCGGCAACTCGCGAAATCAAATGCAAATTAATTCTAAGAGCGTTTTGACTGAAATTAAAAATCAGTTTATTTTCAAAAGATTCTTCATCAATTGAAGTTTACCGGAATTAAACTTTTACGGTGAAATAAAAATAAAAATAACGCAGAAAAAAGACGTTAATGCGATTAAGTGATTTTTGTTTGTCTGTTTGTGTGACAGCAATAAATTTAATTAAAAGATATAAAAGTTATGTTAAATTAATTGATTCGCGACACATTAAGACTTAAATGTCACAGCAATCTTTTACCCTACATTAATTGACGACAAAGAAAAACTTTTCTTCCAAACAACGCTTTTCTTACAAGCACGGACTATCAATCATATTTGAATGAAATCAATGAAAATGTGAAAATTACCGCAGTGTTAAACCGCATTTAAATAAATGAATATAAATTGTCTTGAGTGAAGTTTCTTGTATTGTGGAAAACTTTAATATTTTTTTGCTTGTTATTATTATTCATCTTTTTTCTCCTTTCAACTATAACTAAGTGTAGGGTGCTGAAAAAAGTGGGCAAACACAAATAATTAATTGAATGATAACCAATTCAAGTCTAATAATTACTTTTCATAGAATTTAATGCTACACTTTTATGAAAGTGCGCGTAAAAGGCTTCCAAAGTTCACCATAAATTATTCATGTTGGTATGATTATAAAGCATATTGAATGATAAATAGTTTAGTGGGATTTTGATTGACATACAGTCGATTAAATCGATTTTAAATGAATTATTGTTTTTAATGTTATTTTCATTATCAATCAAATAAAGTGAAGAATGATAAAGGAGAAACATTAAAAAGGAGAGAAAAAAACAAACTCATTTAGGAGTCAACAGTGACATAAAATCGAAAAGTTTTGAAGTGAAGAAAGATAATCAAGATACTTATTGAGTGTTGAACAGTGGACATCAAATAACGAATCACGATGAAATTCTGTCTGCAGTGTATGATTATAGCTTGTGTAATATTAAAAGGTAAGCAATCACAATTACTAAGTTACATTAATGAATTGTGTTCAATTTTTCAGAGACAAAACATATTTGTATACATAAAATATTTGAAAAAAGCGTAAGAACTCTAAAGAGGATTTGCTTTTTAATTTTTCTCCAATAAAATATTTTTTAGCTCTTCCCATGTTGATTGCACTATAAACTTAATTCTTCAGTGAGAGCAGAGCGTTTTATGTTTGATATTTAATTATTTGAGCTTTGGTCAAAACATTTTTGTTTCTCTTTAGTTTCGGAACTTCACTATAATGCCTTTGATAAGTTAAGCCAAAGCGCTGCTACAACATGCAGTCAAACTTTTATAGATTTCGTTTATCTCATTTGGAAGAAGGTTTTAGTGGAAAATTTTGTGTGCATCCGTTGAAGATTGAGCTTGGAAAACAATTTTCCTCGTTTTTATTTTTAATCTTAAAAAAAAAACTTTTTTCCTTCATCCACAAACATATTCTGTTCTCACTCATTCGACTCTCCGCAGAATGAAAACATAACAATATTCTTGAGCATAAAGGAAAACGAAAAGTTGAATAACAAGAACCAAAGTTTGTCATTGCACTTCTTTGGTTGATTTTGAAGTTGAATTGGGACTTTAAATGTCACTTAGAAAACAAAAGCTTTAATGTTGATATTATCAAAGAAGAAGTTAAAAAACAATCTTGCAGATAAAATTTCTTATTTTTATATCAAATTTCTCCAAGTTGTTGAAAACTGCATCACTAAAACACATGAGCCAACGGTTTGAATTTATTTTTTGATTTAAGAAATATTTCATGACTACTTAAGTCTTAAGTCTATCCATGAAAGATTACATACATAAAGCCACATAAAGGCGAATAAGTAAGTATTTCGGCATTGTTTGAGCTCAAAGCAATGAAAACTCAACTGTTTTTCCGATTAAAACCTTCCAACCCATAAATTTTATCCGCTTAAACATTGTTCTTGTGTTGTACAAGAGTAGAGGAAAAAAAATTGTAAAACGAACTAACACATAAAATGTGTTTAAAAGCGCTGACGAGAAACATGAACGGGGGAGAGAAAAAACCCATAAAAACTGTAAAAATAATCAAAGCCGAAAATGCTTCACTATGCACATTTTCAAGTTTGTGGTTCTTCATAAGGAAGAGAAGCATCGAAAACTCATTTACATCAGTCATAATCACAATCACCCACTTGCCTTAGAGAAGACACTTTCAACAGAAACTTTCTCGAATGTTGAGTTGAAAAACTGAGTTGATGCACAAACACTTAATCATTTATTGCTTACACTAGCATAATATCTTCATTGTTGTCTTCTTCAGCCGTGGGTGTACAAAGGGTGGGTTTTGATAATACAAGATGTAGTTAACTAAGGGGGAACCTAAATGTAATAATCGTAAAAGAACTCAACTAATCCACAATATTGCTTTCGATTTAAATCTAATCTTCAATTAAATCGGGTATTGGTGAATTGTTGAAGATTTTCTTATATGGAAATGATGATGACGTCTCCCATTTGTAAGAGAAAATGAAAATATTTAATCAATAAATGCACTGACATCGTTTATAGATTTATTATTACATTGTTAGATACTTTTTTATATTTAAACTGTCAAGAAATGCAAAGGTTTTGACATATAATTTTAATATCTAAATGGAACTTTAACTTTATGCTTAAGGAAGAAGAAAATTTATTTATGCTTGCTTGAATCATGAATATCCAATTAAATTGTAACATCAACATACGACTTCACGAAATATTTCCTTTTTCGATGTTGAAAAACTCAGCCATGTAACTCGACTCCATGCACATACATCATTGCAAACATATTACGCAACATAAATTTACGTCAAAGTATCATATGCCATCGCAAAACGATCCCTTGAAGCGATCAATCGATGGTCAATGTATCGTATTCGTATAACTTATACATATCAATATTGGGGCGAGAATGGGTGGAGGGAAAAGAGCGTAATCAATCATTTTTCATCATTATTTTGTCATAGACATTGGCCCGGCGTTCTCTCTCATTTTTTTATTCCTTTTTTCTTCTCACCCGTCGCTCGAGAATGAAAACATTTCTGATGTGTCTATATTTCATTCTGCTGTGTTGTTATATTTCGAATTGCTACATATCTCTAATATTTCATAAAGCAAAATAAAAAACATTGATATTTCAATATCCGTTGGGTAGTTGTTGGTCATTTCTTTATATTTTTTTTCATTTCGTGTATAAATAAAAAAATTCAGTCCTCAACGTAAATACCGTGAAACAACATTTGTTTGTCGGTTGCTTTATACAAACGTTGAAAAGAACTGGAAAAATATAAAATAAACTTATCTCGAAATTCAACTAAACAAAATTGCATGAAATTCTTAAAGTTTCTTCAAATATCCATTCAGATAAATGAACAACCATTGAAAACTGTTACATGAAAATCAATCAGAAAACATAAAATGAAATGTTTACAGAATTGTAAACATTTTCTAAAAGAACAGACGAAGAAGTAAAAAAATTAAAAGAAAAACAAACTCATTAAAACAAATTGTTGATAACAAACTTTAATTTATGAAGAATAATTCATAAATTAAAGAAATCGCGTTTGTCCTTTGATCTCGCGGCATTGGATGATTTATTTTAAAAGTGGAGGAACGATCCGAATAAATATGCTATTAAAAAAGGTCTCTTCAGATTCCTTTTCTTGACTTTTGCGTTTGACCTTCATCCTCAATTAAAATGTTTGAACAGTTTCGTAAAACATCCCGCAACGAGCCAAGGGTTGTTGTCGATCTTTTCACCAACACTCGACTCAAACCTTTTTTTATGCTGCTGAGAAATAAGTTAAATAATTTTTTTCATTGCTGCTTTTCATAGTGTCTAAATCATTCATATGCTTGACACAAAAATCCATGATCCTCAACACAAACTCATCTCTCTATCTCTTTCTCCTTCTCTCCCACTCACTTTCGTTATCTTTGGTAATGCAAACATCCTCGAATTTTCTACTTTCCTTTTTGCTTACGGCAAATCTTCTCGGAATTGGTTAGTTAAGCATGAGAATATTTCGTTTGCGCAAGTAAAATTTATAGCTCCACATGTTACGTTTGAGATTCTTTGACATCAGAAATGGGATTTGAAGTTTTCATGACAAGATTTTATTTAATTTTTTTTTATTATATTACTGTTGCATAAGTTAAGAAAAAAAAGGGAAAAGTACTTGGAAAAAGAAGCCCAAGCGCCAAGTGCTACAAATAAATTTTCCCACTTTCAAAGGTTTTAATGGACACATTCTCAACATCCAACAGCTTAAATCAAGTGGCTTATACAACTTCATTTTTTTCTTTTATTTTGCCTTTTTCCGCTTTTTTGGGTCATCCCCGGTATATATTTCGTGTTATCTTATTCGTAATATGATTTCTTTTTCTCGATCTGGTGTCTCTTGCGTAAAGTTGGAAAAAGGAGAGAAAAAATTTCTTGAACCAGTAAAAAAAGGATGGAAAAGTATTTCGATCTTATTACGACGGAATGTCTCCTTGCACATGAAAGTATGAAGAATTCTTTTCTCACAAAAAAAATAAAGTAAAAGGAATAGCCACATAACTTGAATCGTTCATAAGTGACGTCTGCAATACTTTCACTCCATTCAACCTTCATCAGTTTGTTTTCCTTTCTCTAACTGCACTACTCACCTTTACATGCCTTCATAGGTCGACGAAGAGGCAAAGTTTGGCTGTTATAAATATTTCAACCATAAAATTGTGTTTGCTAAGAGAGACGTATCATTCCTGCGTGTGCTGACTAACTCTGAATATCTTAAAGGATGAAAATGGTACAAAATATTCAAGGGGAGAAAAAATATTTTTCTTCTACTTTTAAACCCTTGAAAATCCTTTTTTTTTCTGCTCTAATAATGACGGTGACTATCAGAGCTTGCAAACAACTGAGTGCACAATTTTAATTGCAATGAAATATGACAAATGGTTAAAGTCTTTCAAGGAAATCTTTTCAAGAAGATAAATGTACTTTCAGCCGTAAAATTCCATGATAACAGAAATTTCACGTTTCAAGTCCTTGAACTTTGAGCTTTAAGTTGTTTTCTTCACAGTGAATTCTTTGTTTGAATCGATAATAAATAAATTTATGGCATTTTTTCTCATCACTACGCTATGAGAACGGAAAGAAAAAAGCAACGAAAACTCATTGTTGAAAGAAGCGAAGGGAAGAAAAATAAAAAGGCTTCAGCCCCATGTCACGAAATCCAAGAACGTTTGTCGTAAGATGCGGGGAAAAATCCTCGGTAAATTTACGAGCTTTTGATCTCTTGAAGCTTTTGATTGTATGGTAAAGTGGAAAATTCCCTATGTAACGATGAAAAGAACAGATGAACGTTAAGAAAGTCTTGCACTCTTACAGCTTCCTCATTGATGCGGAAAACAGACGAAAGAAAAAAATTCGAAATCTTAATGAGAAAATTTTCTTTTTCACTCACAAGTGTAACAATTCACATCCATTTTCCTAAAGTATTGGAGGAGCGTTATAGAAAAAAGTAAACTTCAAGTGTAAATTTGAGTACTTACCATGCGCATGCTGTTTTCACTTGATATCGTTTTCATCAGCTTCAATTACATTAATGAACATGCTGTTATATAAGTCGGTGTTTTTAACGATTGTTTACACAATGTTCATTCTCATATAATATAATTTCTTTCAATAATTTTACGCCCACGCACACGTGAAAAGCAAATTCTATGATTTATTTTTGTGTGTTATTATATGGTTTGATGACGTGCATTAAAGCTTTGATACACTCAAAACATATTAAGTCCCAACATGCTCTGTAATTTTCATGATGATGATATTTTTATCGCACACTACATATATGAAGACGATGATGAAGACAATTTAAAGCATCTTCCACTGTAGATTAAAGTCATAAGTCTTAATCTTATGCGATGTAGATGAATGCACAAGCAAGAGAGTTGTCAGAAGATTTAATTGAAAGCGATTTTCATGGCTCTATTAATTAATTGATAACCGTACACTACTGGCGAGAATGTTCATATGTGTCTATAATTTAGAGAAAAGTTGTTGCTATAAGTAAAGGAAGAGAACTTTTCCTTATGTTAGAACACAAAAATGTATGTTGTCGATTGGCAATGGTTAGAGAGCCACTTTGACTCTTTAATGAAATAGAACTGTCATGCAATTTACAATTCAGAAAATTAATTCAACTTCTTCTTATCTCTCTCAACATCATTGTAGAGATATGTAAATTGTGGTGAAGACAATTATATGAATCCTAGCTTTCTCTCAAATTTAATTATTTGTGACTGTCGACTTCCTTTCATCCAGCTTTCCACAAATTCTAACTATTGAATATTCATTAGAACATTCCAATTGTTACTCTCAATTGAACATCCGTAGAGACACAAACAATGTCGAATTTCTGAGCCCACACCCGCCCCTACGATAAAACAACATTCACCGATACATGATCATTAAGGAAAATTTCTCTTCTTTCATGAATATCGAATTTGCAGCCTTTGTGTTTCCTGTTATGTTTCACAAAACATACAGCAAAATCCTTTTTTAAGATTTCATTTCAAATGTTTACTTCTTTTGTTGAGAATGATAACAATGTAACCTTAGATATCAATCCGAATATAATTGCTTGAAAATCGAAATGTGAAGTGATTGTGTTTCAATCTCATGTTTGTATGTAAAATGCGTAGGAAGAAGTATAGAAGGTAAGAGACTTTTCCAATTTCACTAATTGTGTCAATAAAAGACATGTTGTGTCTCAACCCATTTAGGAATAGAATTTAATGACATGAAATTTAAAATATTAACTTACTTGTTATTGATGATGAAAACTTTTACGCTTTTTTCTAATGAAGTTTAGGAAAAATCATTTCGTCAAATATTTTACCACATTTCAAAACCATTATCTCGGAAACCTCAATTTTATTTAAATGTTAAGCATTAATGGCGAGAGTAATTTCCATAATAATTTCTCAGCATTTATTATTTCCACCTTTTTCAATCAAATTCAATTGATATATATTTAGTCGATACGATACGGCTTCTAAAGCGGTCTACCGCAAAGGAATGAAAAATTGTTGAGTTTAATGATTCAGAAATCGATATAATTTAGTTCCAATATTTTATCGGAGATGAATTTTCGGTTGATGGTAAATTGAAATCCATAGAAAATAAATGCGAGGAAAGAGAAAAAAAAGACGAAAAGGAAAACTTTTTCATTTGAATTGAACATTTTTTATATTCATTTTGTCTTAGGTTTTCCTTTCTTCATCCTAAATTTCATGAAGGAAAAGAAAGGAAGGGAAAAGATTGGAAATATTTTCAGTGGATTAAGAAAAGTGTCGAAACAAGATAGAACGGGAAGAAATTATTCGACGATGGAGTGAATAAAAGGAAAGTTTTCTCTGACATCTGAGCGAAAACGAAAGACGACAAAAAGAGCGCAAAAAGATTTATGAAAAAGTATATATGTATATATACATATTATTCTTATATTTTATGGTTTATTGGTATAATAAAAAGTCGATCAAATAAAATTTGCGACGATGAATGGATGGAGTCATTTTAGAACAAGTGTTCTTGCTTTTCTCAGCCCGCTGTCATTTGCATAGAAATCAAATTGTTTTATTGATATTTAACAACTTTCAGCGATGATCATAAAAAAAGTATCAGGGGCGACTCTTCACAGCTCGAAGGTATTTTAATAATTCCCAGGTTGTTGCTCAATTTTTTATCGTATCGGATTTGTCAGTTCGCACTTCTTCTGATGGAAGCCTCGCCTTTCTTGTAAATTGAAAAATTCTTTTATACGACAACTTTTTAAGGCGGCTTTAAAGAGTTTTATGGATTTGTTGTTCATCACAGAAATTCTACAAGTAAGAAAAACGAAACGAACAAGAAGAAGATGACGAAGGTGCTACTTCGATATAGAATGAAAAAAAATCTTGCGATAGAAATCTCTTTGACTTCCAAGTCATTTAGTTTCGAGCGGAAAAAGAACAAAAAGGAAATTTTCCATTAGAATGAAGTTACCGGCAGAGGGAGAAACGGAAAAGTTTCAAAATCAGCGAGAAAATGCCTTTTTTCCTCATTTTATAAATTTATTTAATTTTCTTCTTCTCTGTCATTGGTTTTTTTTGACAATCTTTTCTCTCTCTTTTTGTTTTCAGAATGTTAAAGAAAATAAATGGGGTTGGGAGAAGTTTAAAGGTAAAATGTTCTTTCTTCTCATTCGATTCCGTTGAATTGATGGTTGATTTCTCTTAAACATCTTTCTTGTAATCATTTTGATAAAACAAATCTGATTATTTCTTCTTTAATCACTTTTTAAATGTTCAAGATAAGAAGCTTCAATGTTGTTCGCTTTAAGGTAAAAGAAACTTTTAAAATGAAACTCAATCACTCACTTTATGTAGCATCACGAAAGCAAAGCAAAAAAAAACATATTTACAACTAGGTTGCCTTAAGCTTTTTTCACTTGAAACTATCTACTATCGATTTTTAACGCTTACAAGATTTAAGTCTGCTACAGTGTTGCTTTTTTATAAATTTCTTTACCTCAATTTTACCCCCACAATGACAAAACTGAAAGCACATTTTCCTATCGTCGTCGTCTGAGAATTTTATCAAAAGCAGACGAAACGAATTTCTCAACGACTTTACCACACCACTGTCCCAATGAGAAAAGGAAAAACAAAGGAAGAGGTTGGCGGTTGGTTGGTTAGATGTGAAGGGATAGAGGCCATTTCGCAGGAATTTTTCAATAAAAATTGCAGCAATTTAGCGAATTCCAACCAGTTATCTATCTAGTCGTGACTTAATAGACGGTTTAGCACTTCAGGTTATTAGCACAAGATTATCAGCATTCATTGACATCGAGAAATTCTTGGTATGAAAAATAAGAATAGCTTTTGCATCCTCTACCATCTCTATTCAATCGTATGCTATGATCCAATACTAATTGAAGTATGTGAGTGTGATAAACGAGCTGTCATTTGACACGTTGCTAAAATACTTTCACTTACTTCGCTTCATCTCATTTATCCCAACATTGACGCTTCTTTGTGCTTGAGAGTCGATAAAGCATGAGATGTTCCGTGATAATAACGAAAACAGATAAAATTGAATGGATTAAGGGGGGAAAAAGAAAGGCACACTAAAATTATCTTGTTATCGTAAGAAGAATATCTTTTGAGGATTAAAAACTGTTCAGTATAAAGGCGAGGCAAGAACGCAAGACGTCTACGAATATAGCCTTTCGACAATGACGAGGCGGAGAAGACACTTAAAACACGAAGGCATTTGCCAGTCATTCTTAATGCGAATCTGCTGCTCTTGTTTTCGAGAGTAATTAATGTCCCTTCTTACATTTTTTTCTCTTCTTTTTCCTTCTGTCCCCTTTTTTTATTTCGTCGAAGAAATTTTCCTTCGCCAACCTACGATACTGTCGTTGCTTTATCATTGCTTCGGTAGATGATTCGACTCTTCATATTTTTTGTTTTCCATCTGAATTCTTCGTTTGCTTTAAGCCTTAGAAGCATAACTGCCATGATTTTCCAGTCATTGATTTTATTTGACTTGGGCCTTTCCGACTCCCTTCAACATTTTATTTATTTTTTTTTTGTTTCTCTCCTTTTGTTCGTAATCAAATGAGTTTTAGGTTGTTTTCTGTGTTTTATGCAACTGAATTGGAATGAAAATGAAAATGAAAGGCAACAAGGAAATTTAAGGGAGAAAGGAAACCGACATTACTCGTAGCATTCTTTCATGAGTAATGGAAGGTGAAGCAATAAAATTTGCGAGCTTTCCCGCCTCCGTTAATTTGATTTGATTGTAGGCTGTTTGAAATAGGATTTGGGGATGGGATTTAAGTACTGTAATTCATAAACATAATTGATATTGAACGTAATTGATAAAATCTCGAATCTATAATAATAGAAATAATCTGAGGTTTTCTTCTATTCAATGTTTTAAGCTTATCTAATTACAAGTCATTTTGAAGGATTTGTTTGTGAAAGTAATAAGAAACAATTTTACATTTTATCCAATTAAAAATTGTTATAAATGTAACTGAAAAGCGTTTAATAACAATTGATGTTCTAAATACTAGGTAGAGAGATAAATGTTGAGCGGAAGTTTCTGGCTCAATTATTTTTGTAATTTTAATTTGTCATTCTAAACCTGACTTTTTGTGTACAAATATGAAGAGCACCCCACTGACTTTTTACATTGTCTTCTACCTTAATGTAAACTTTTTTGTGTTCATTTTCTACGTAACATTTGATGACGTAAGCAAGGGTCTCAGTTTTCAGGCAATTAAAGCTACGTCATGTCTTGATTTGTACAACCTCAGCTACGTTAAAATTAGAAAAAGAGAAAAGTAAAAAAATAAGCTTAATGAGACTCCTACGCAATATTTGTTTGTTCATGGAAAATTGCATTAATATTGAATTTTCGTTTAAAACTTTTCCCAATTAAACAATTTTCATCAAAAGTATCCCCAAAAATCAACTTCTAAGTAATAACTTAATTAATTATCTTAATGTTGGCATTTGTCTTTAACTTCCCAACGGAGCGATCTGTTTGTAACAATTAAGGGATTAATTTTAAGATATAATCTTTATTTAAGCAGCTTAGTTACTTTTATATAAGTAGATGATCTGCTCAAATATGTATAAAAATAAACGTCACAATTCTTCTTGGAGAGAAAATCATTAGTTATTGTATCAAAATCACTCAAAATGAAACATTCTTTGATACGCAAAATAGGAGGCTTGAGAAAGTTGAGTACAATGACAATAAATGATATCGATTTATCTAAAGTGAAATTGGGAAGTACAAAAATGGAAAAACATTCCCCATCGCGTTAAAGAAATCTCAACAAAAGCAGAATGAACGCGAGTCTCATGGAAGCTCGTGTATATTATTATTCCAATTCCCTTTCTTTATTTTTTTGCCTTTCGTCTCTTTCCTTAAAAATTGTATTATGACTATAATGAATTATAATTAGGCGAAGGAAAAATGGGCCGTATTGAGAGTGAGAAGACGAAATAAATGATATTTATAAATGCGATGAATGGAAAATCGTGGGAGGTGGAGGGGTAAGAGAACACTTCCCTTCAATGGCATTTAGTGGTGTTTGTCTGTTGAAATGTCTGTTCCTAAGCTTTTCATTTCACTCAATTTACTTAGCATTTGAAGGAAAATAAAAAGAAAAAGAAGAAGAAGAAAGCTTAGACTCTAACAATGAACATTACAAGGCTTGAGCGTCGACAAGTATTCCTCCTCCACTATCGCAATGGAAAAGTAATTAATCATATGCCGCTTCACCAAAATATCCTTCCTCAAACTGTAATAAATTGAGGAGTGGTTGGCTGGTTGCTTTTGTGTTTAGGCGTTCTACCGAATCTTTTACTCTAACAACTTTCTTCTTTTTTGTTTCATTTTATTTCGGGAAACGAAAAAAAAACATTAATTTTGCTTTAAAACTCGTCGGAAATGGCGTAAAATTTCTCGGAAAATTTGGCGTGGTAAATTAATTAAACGTTTATTAAGTTGATTTGACGTTGAGTCTTATGCCGCTTCATATTTCGACCCGCAACATATTTTTTAATAAAAATATAAATACTTGCTTTTGGAAGTAACATGTGTAAAGCCGATGGGCTTTATGGTCTTGTCGCTTTGTTTTATTTGATATTTTTTCCGTTTTTATTTTAAAAACAACATCATCTCACTCACTTTCGCCCTTTTTTCCTGAAAATGGTTTGACGTTAAACGATGACAAATTGATTTTCTGTTTTGTGGAAAAAATGGTTAACTCCCGTTTGTCCCTCTCCCCGCTTTCTGCCACATAAAAAGAGACGTAAAATAATAACCGACACAAGGCCATCTGACCAAACGATGAAATGATATTTTCGACTACCACGCAATTTATCAATTATTCAATAAACCGACTAGAATAAGCGAGAGAGTTACATGAAACATTAAATTCATGCTCGGCATGATGGCACATAAGTTCATGTCTGCTAGTTGATCATGTTTTGACCACGGAGAACTATGAAATCCGCTGACGCGCCATTTATTGCACCATGAAAATGGAAAAAAGACACGACATTGTCAAAAGCAATTAATTTCAATCGGCAAAAAACCAACGCAAATATAAATTACGAGTTTGCGTCTGAAAGGCGGCTGGTAGCGATCTAATAACACAGTCAAACTAATAAAATTTAATATTTATGTGCAATTTCTTTCTTCAATCGTCATTTGCCTTAATTGAAGCAGAAGGAAATATTTATGAGATATACAAAACGAGAGAGTTGTAATTATTTTTAGGTTTTAGTTAGCAGTCACAAATGTAAAAGACTTTTTACGTCTCTTTCAAGGTCTCTTCTTATCTCTCACTATTGACACTTCTTCCAAGCCGTTCATGATACATGACAATCTTCATTTTCATCTCAGCCATTGCTGGAAACAAAGAATAAAAAAATTAATAATGTTTTCCCCCCCTTTGCGCTTAAAGAGATGTTGAGATCGTGACAAATTGGCTTAGTGATGCTATAAAACTAAATTTTTTATGTCGACAAAAGAGAAGCTAACACATGTAATGTATCATAAACGCGATGCTATGAATCCATGGATTGGAAGAAAAAAATTGAAACTATTTTCAATGCGCGAGATGAAAGCGAGCAAGGGAAAGTTTTATGATGATGACTGTAATAACTTTATGTCTACAATTTCTTTCAATCTTTCTCATCTTCTTTTTCCCACCTTCAAGATGTTGTCTTTTGTCACAGTCGACTGTTGATTTCATTAATAACATTTCGAAACATCTTTGAGGTAATAAAGTTGCTATTGAGACTAACACATACTTTGCTTCTTTACTTCTTTTTTTTTCTTTCTTTCTTCCCTCCTCCAATTCAACACCCTGTGCCTCAATAAATCAAGAAAGAATTTTTTTATTAATATTTTTATGTGCTTCATTCGTTCATAAATCACGACATGCCTCACAGTGCAATCTTTTCAAGCTTTAGAAAGAAGCTTTCGCTGGGACTTTTGCTGGAAGATTGTAAATCTGAACAACTTCACATAACAATCTCCCTGAGTTTACAGACGGCAAGAAGAAATAATGGAATTCCTTTTTATGATTTTCATACTCGATTTAATGGGGTAAAGAAGATGGAAGAAGAACCTCGGGAGAAGCTTTTTCCATTGCCTCAGTTGGTGTTCAAATGGTCGGAAGAGAATTGGAAAATTTTATTATGCTACGTTGAGAAACAGAGGGATGGAATAAATTTTAATTCAAAATGTTTTAAGTAAATAATAATTATACCTGCCTTTATTCTCCCATCTTATAAGCGATCTTGCTGAGAGTTTGATGTTCCACAAGGGGAAAATGTTAAAAGGAAAATTTTTAGTTTCTCCTTTCTCTTCATTTTGCCCTCGAGGCGGATGAGATAAAAACGTTATTCGCTATTCGCTTATGTTTGAGTAGCATTTGAAGGAAAGCTTCGGTAAAAAGTTTTTAATTATCGTAGTCGTAATGCTGGTGGTTCTCATTTCTTGGATCTCTTTCATCAGCAACATTTTTCTTTTCCGAAGATAAATGAAAGTTTTACTTCTTCTATCTTGTGATTAAACGATACGAGAGTGTTACGTGTGGATTCAGCAGATTGAGTTTGTACAATTTAAACACCATTCATTCTGCTATAAACATGATATGAGTAAAAACGCCAGCAGAAACTGAAATTGATATTATAACAGAAAATTTTCGATCAAACGACGACTCACACTGAAGATAATGCAAACACATGAAACCTGAAAATTAAATGTTCATTAATGAATTTGTAAATTTCAAATGTTTACCTACGTCATTTAGTAATTTTACTCTTTACATACATGCTTTGTTTAATGGAGCAGGTAAAGGGAATTTTCATCTTTTTATTTTTCTCCCCACCCTTCTCTTTGCTTGCTACTATTATAATCATCAACATCGTCGATGCTTTGCATGTGAACACAAACTACAAAAGAGCATAATAAAAAGAAAACTGTTACAGAAATGAATGCTAGGATCGTGATTTTATGTTTGTTATTTTCAGAATAAGGAATGGATATGTAAACGCAGACCATTTTTATTGAACAATATACAATTTTTTACTACACTATTTCTGGTTCAACTAAACTTAAATTCATCTTTAAAAAAAAGAAGAAGAATCCGACATAAACGTTGCTACAACGTTCTTGGTTTAAAAATGAATTTTACAATTTTGCACCATCATTGCGCTTATTTAACCTTTTCCTCGTGGTTTTTTTGATCATCGCCGCATGGCACACGTTGTGTTATCATTTGTGTGAATGTTCAGTTTTGTTGATGCAAATGTTTGTGTATCGATTCGACATGGGTTGGATTTTCTGTATGATAAAGAGAAAGAATGTTATGATAAAATATTCATGCAAAAGTTTGGGTGAACACAAAGTAAAGTAGCTTTTTATTAGCTTTTTTCCATTTCCCAACGTAAACTGATTAAATTTCAGATTGCGATTTCAGTGTTCTTGTAAGAAGAGAAAAGTTTCGTGAATATTTACATTGAATTAGATCAGCAAACAACAAATAACCATCATCATTTTGATTTCTCCATGAAATTTCTTTCTTGTGCAATTTAAACTTACTAAGATTATTTGCTCGATAAACTTTTAAGAAAAAGGGGAAAAAGAACTTTGTAAGTACTTTCTTCACCACTTGTAACGAGATTGGAACATAAACAATGAATAAATGAACGAAGAGAGTTCTCCTCTTGTCAGTATGGTAGACCATATTGATCGATATTTGATATTTTACTCTACAGCGAGATAACATATTTGACTTGATTCTGATGTGCAACATTTTTGCCATCTCAATGGCAATAAGATCATTTCGTTGACAAATCAAACACACACGTAAAAATCCAGTATCGCATCCACAAACAGATTCCATTGAAAACTTTTCCCGCAGTCACTCAGGATATGTACAGGAAAAATAAAAAAACGAAGTTGACACAGTCGACCGAGAACGACGAACATGCTATAAACGTGAGATGGTTTCATAAAAAAAACTTTGCCAAAATGGAAATGTGTCTATTGTCGTCGTTTTTCGAGGGCGGTGTAGGAATATATACGCTTGTCAATATCAAATGCGGCGACGTCGGAATGATAACGCAGAAAATATTGCCAAACATATAAAATATTCAAAGTCATGAACTTTTAATCAGAAAACGAGTGAAAACTCAAAACTCAATGTTGAAAGCGAGATGGAAACTTAAACTGAATCCATACAAACGCTCTTCGATTCTTTTCAAATAGAATTGCAATATCTAATTTTAGAATAACAAACAACATACTTAAAATCGATAAATGCTTAAATAAATGAATTCCAGATTTGTGATGATTTTATGTTTATAAATGATCAAAGGGAGATAAAAGAATGAATGTTTTAAAGGTAGTTTTGCATTCATATCACACAATATCCATGTGATAAACACGGTGAAAGCAACAAAACCCCCGGAAAATCCCTGAGAAAATGATTTTGTTAACCAAATTAGGCAATGATATTTGAATGGATTTAAAATTGTACGAGACACAAATCACAGCAATTTTCCTAAACGCTTCTATATGTCGTATTTGCTCTTTTTAAAGTACTCACTCTGCCTTCATTACCCTCGACACAACAATGAAAGTTTAGCGTACTTTTGATAACAAGTATTTTTGAGCACATTCTGACGTTCTTGTTATTCATACATTTGTAATCTTTGAGAATTATGCTCGTCGAGTGAAAGGTTCAAATCTTTAAATTTAGGAATTTCCATCCTAAAGTGAAGTGATGCTGTTGGTTGATGTGTCTTAAGTCCGGGAGAAAAAGAAAAAAAAGTCATGATGTGAAATGTGATGGAAAAAGGATCACAATTTAAGTAGAAAAGTCTTCTTATCGCTGTTTAAAGCTTGGAATGATTTGGAAAGAACTTCATTCACTTTGTCAGCATTTTCCGGATTGAAATCTTTTTCTTTCTATTCCTCATATGAAAACTCAACTATTTTATGTTTAATTTATGTCACGCAAAAATCATCATCATCCCATACATAAATCACACTTTAAAGCTCCCCACATAATCGGACTTATCCCATATGCGTGCAAAAAACATTATCGTAGACGAAAAGAGAAAAGTTGAAAACACAATGAGACAATACATAAATCATCATTTTCTGGTGAGAAAAAAAATTCTTTTTGATATTTCTCCCACATAAATATCTACATAAACATAACACATTCAAAGCATTACATGGAATATTTGTTTCGTAAATAAATATTCTTCTGTATTTATGTCACATAACAATAGGATTTGTGATGTATTGTTGCTTAATTTTAACTTGTTAGAGAGTTTGAACTCTTTATTGTAACTTAAAATGTTCTAATAAGCAGTTCGCTCACCTTTTACCGCACAACATGAAATTTTTCAATTTCAAGACCTTCCTGAGACTTCTTCCTTTAAAAAAGGTTAATTTTCATTCTCCACTGTTGTAAAGACGCATTAAAATTGTAACAACTTTTAATCTAATTTAAGTATTTTCCAGTATACGTGAATACTATGACAATAAGCTCAAGGAAATCCCTTCAACAGATTTTTCCTTGCCGACAAATGAAAACGACTTACCACCACCACCTATTGATTCATATTTGTGACTAGAGCTCTCATATTTTTCTACACCACCTTTCATCCCAATTAAGTATTGAAAGGAAAGTCGTGAGAGGCTTAAATATGATAAATGAGCACATTCATTTGAAATGAAATGGTAGAAAGGGTTCAGCAGAGTATGCAAAATATTATTAAACGTTCATGTTCACTTTTTCTTTCTTTTTACTTCCTTTCTTCGTTTTTCATTTCATTTCTGGTTCCAAGCACATTATCTGCCAACTCAAACAAAACGTGGTATTAAATATGCATCGTTTTTATTTGTAACAAGAATAACATTTAATCTTTTCGGAAAACATCTAAATATACACACAAAAACGAAATGGAGAGAGGATGAATTTGCATATGGTTTTGTAAATCAAAACTCACTCATTCCTTTTCATTCCACGGAAAATGTTGTCTTTGAGATTTATATTTTGTTTCGAGAAAGGATAAATATTGTTGTGCTGAGAGATGTGTTTTAGAAATAACGAGAGCAGAATAAACAAGAAAATGAATAAAATTTTCTTGATCTTCTTTTGCATCAAATGACAACAACATGAGAAGCTGTTTGTTTTCACAGAACTAGCAAATTATGCAATATTATGACCTCATTTCGTATCCATTTGATATTAAATTCTTTTTTGCCATCTATTCTCCTTCTTTTACGCTTTTAAGGATTTTCCTTTTTTCTTTTTATTCATATTAAAAAGGAATTTCTTAATTTTGTAGCTGGCAAGCAAATTGAACAAAAAGGGTCAGAGATTTAAAAATAAATTTTCTTCTCGCACTCGTGCGCGAAATGACTCCAAATCGTTGTTATAAAAAAAAAAGAAAAAACATTCGTAATGAGAAATAGTTCAATTCAGTGCAGTCATTCTTATAAGAGATTTTACTTCAGAGAATTGTTTATGCATTCATTCATCCATTCAATAATATCAACATCGATCTCTAGGAACAAGCAAACCACATTTTCTGTTTGTACGATCTTGCAATGTTTCAAGATTATTGTTTATAACAAATGAATAATTTGTTCCCTATTTAGCTTATATTTTTGCGTGGATTAAACCAGAAGCCGATATGAAATGAAAGACAAAGAAAGTTTTGTTTACAGACTAACAATATCAAAAGAATAAAGAAAGAAAAACGGAATGAAAAAATAGAAACAACGGATAAACAATAGAAATCAAATTTGCATAATTTCATAAATTGTATACAGACACGTTTTAATAAGCGCTCTTTTGTGTTCTGGCATCGAAGAGTAAACTAACCAAACAGAAGCTTGAAGCCTGAATCTTGTTGTAGAATTGTACCGTATGATAATTTATGACAAATGGCAAAAGCTTCAGGGCACCCCATTTTCGTTTCGACTCCAAATTCGGATTAGAAAATTCAAAATTATAAATGCAAATAGAATGTATTCAGATGAACTCTGTTGCTTTGCTTCTGATGGTTGTTTAGGTTGGAGATCGTTTTCGTTTTAGCAAGAATGAGGGTTTTTTGGTCATTGGTATGTTTATTTGCACGACATACTTTCGCTTCTCGAATAAATTCTAGAAACTTGCTATTCAATGACAACAATAAAACTTCATTCAAATTAATAAAAAAAGAACATTGTGAATGATGGTAATAGGTGAAAAAAAAAATTCAATTACGAAGTTGAGACATTCATATTTACCTTGGTAGCTTGGCCTTCATTCATTGGCCATTTGTGAAAAGTCTGGAAGCACAACGATGTAGAGAATTCAATTTTTATCCTCATCTTCAGACGTCACATTTATTTATGATTCCAATTCATATTTCTATAGACGGAAGGTGGTTTAGTTGTTCTCTCCTTCTCCTGTTGATACATTCTTTTCACGTTCACGATGTTGTACGAATGAGTATGTGAATAAGGAAAGAACGGGAAAAAAGGTTCTATTTGCATAATATTTCATATTAGATTTCTATTTATCTCAAAAGTTATCTGAGTGTATTCGTTTGAATTCGACTTCGTCTTACCTCAACAGGGAGCATAACGCTACGTGTGGTTTAAGATCTAACAATGGAGAGAAGTTTCTTTTAAAATTTATGTACTACGTATTTACATGCAGATCGTTCAAGTACGAAGACGTTTTCCTATATATAGGGCGTATGGCTTCTGTTATGCTCAAAACCAACCTAAGCTTTATCATCATAAACTTACTTAGTTAGAAAATAGAAAAATTTTAAATTAGCATTTAAATTATGATATGCTTAAGAGTAAGGTTTGAACCACCTTCATACCTGATGAATTTCATCTTTTTTTTTATTTCCTTTACTCATTGAGTTTAAGTGTGTCAGAGATCAAGGCCCGTCGCTTCCTTAAAAGCTCTCTGCATATATTCATTCACTATGCAAATTATATGCAAATTTCCACTTTTTGATTCTAACGTTTTTGTAGTGATATGGATGCTACTCAGTCTTCAGCTTTCCTGTAGTTATTATTATTAGGAAACTTGAATAATTCGTGTGTTGATAGCAAAAGTAAAATGTAAATTTTGTTCTTGTGAAATGATGATGAGAAAGATTGATGGAAATATCCAATTAGACGGCACGAATGAACTTAGAAACAAAGTTGTTTACTGCTTCGTCGATGAGTTGAGATTGCATTTGCACATTTCTTGCATGAATTAAGTGAAGTTGACTTTTCCTTTTCGCCCTTATAGTTTGAATAATTTAAACATATTATGGATTTGTAAGGCAAACATATGGTTGACCGAAGCAATATGCTGTTTATGCTGATTGATGTTAAATATTTATTGGCTTATGTAAATTAGTCTCTCGACCATTTATTTATTTATCTCGATGGCCTCGTCCTTATTTAGAAGTGTGTAGGTACAAAAAGGGTTCTAATTTTCTTTCTATACATGAAAATGAGAAAAATATGTCATGACTCAAAACAAATCTTAGTAAAACTAAGCAAAAAATAAAATAAATAAAATTACTCAACGTGAAAAAACATTGAATAAATAGGAAATATTTAGATTTAGGATTCTGGGGACAACAATTAGTAACGTCCATTAATTTTCATTTAATCTTTTAAAAATTTCGTGTCAAAATGAACATTAAAAAAATTTGTTTTATAAATTAACATCACTGTCAAAAATTTCCCATGATAAATGTTAATATCCTGAATAATTCTCATAAGTATATTAACAGCTCTTTTCCTGTTTGTAATATGATATACATAACTGTATACAATCTGGTTTATATTGCTTTATGAACTGACACATTGTTCAAGCGAATCCACAATGCGAGAAACTTCTTTTCATCCCTCCCGGCACTCATTCACGCAGATGACGTGACCATGACATTGAGTGCCATTCAAACGAATTATGGAAATTCTATAGCATTAATTAATATTATTTAGTTTATTCTCGACTTGTTTTAGCCTTGTCTGGGTATTTTCTTCATTTCTTTAACAACTTCAAGGTTGAAGAGAAATAAAAGAAGAAAAGTTTTTACGTTAAATTATTCTCCACAGATATATCGTATAGCATGAATAATAAATAATTCTAAGGAAACCAATTTGTCAACAAAATATGTATATCTCATTCAAGTCAAATGAAGAAAGTACTTACAATGTTTATATGTAGCATCAATTGCTCCATAAGAAGCATACGATTCTCGTTTGCTATGAACAAACATCTCATGAAAAATACTTTTCGTTTTCCTAGTATCAAATGGCTTCTTAAAAAAACAACATCAAATGCGATGAAAACAACAAGAGTAGAAACCAAAAAGAAATGCTTGAGAGAAAAGGAAAACATTTTCTTCTGATTTCAAGTTAAAGAAAGTCTGTGATTTTCCAATCGAGAAGACACATAAAAACATCTCGAGTAACAAATGGACTACCAATTCATGGGTATTTGTGTGCCTTCCCTAGCACATATCAAATGAAGGAAGAGGAAGAACAAAAAATAGCAACGAGTGAAAAATTCCAATCGAAGCAATATTCTCGAAATACTCGTTTATGACTCAAATTGCATACATTTTGACAATGGAGGAAGAGAGAGAGAGAGAGGGAAAATGTTTTCTGTTTGAATCGCAAATAACAAAGCTTGTAATGGCACAGCATTGTGCAAGTATTTTCATGGATGGTGAGATTCTCGAGTATCAAAAGCTTTATGTAAATACTTGGTTTTACTATTACGCTTATTTTAAGGCTCATGAACGTTTATTTTGCTTACGTAAACAGACGACGAAAGCTATCAACACGACGAAGCCATCGTCAAACCATTTTCTGTTCTGTGTGTAAACACATTTTTATTCGATTCTTTGACAAATGCAGTTTACTCATTCATAAAGAGAGTTGTGAGAACATTTATAACCATTCACTGAAGAAGGAATTATTGAAAAGCTTCTGTCAATTTTAGATTAAACATATATGTATCTGTCTTAAAATTGAGTATCGGAAATTTTCACAAAACATATCATTATTTACTTTATTTAAGTTTCCCTCATTGTCTGTCATTTACTGGTTGTGTTTGAACAGTTACATCAACAGCAATGTAGATTCTCTAAAACTGTAAACTCGGTAATATCAAAAAACCAGATACCAAAGCACATGACTTTTCTTTAATACACAAAAAAACAAAACAGCAAAAGATAAAAAAAAGAGTAAACGTGTTCAATTTGTTTCAACACAGCTGGACATATCAATAAAATTCGAGGCTGAATGCTTAATAAAAAGCGGGGAGAGAATGTGCAGCATTAAATATTGGAAATGTGATGTGCTTGCTGCCTTTTGCTTGTTCAATGATATTCTTTTTTGTTGTGTGCTTTTCACTAGACACAGTGTTCACCCCGGCACGTTTCTTTATGTTTAAATAATAAAAAAATAAAATAAACGAAGTGAATGATCACCATTGCACCAAATGTGGTATAATTTTTATTGAGTGAAAAAAAGTTAGGTCGAGTTAGCGACGAGGGTTGGAGATATGAGATTGCGTGGACTGTTGAAGTTTGTTTTTCGTTTTGTCCTTTTTTTCGATTGGTTCAGAAGCAAAAATAATAAATATAGGTATTTGTGATAAATTATTTATGTCCTAGTTGTACCTTTTTTCATATTTTTTGGATCTACATACACGCCATGAAATCAGTGGCAGATTATCAAATTTTTGTCTCTCTAATTCTACTTTATGAACTTGCATATAATATCAACATATATCGTTTACTTTTCATCCCCTGCATGCATACATAACTTTTCCAATGCTCAAAATAAATAAACATCATGTTTAAATTCAATGTGTGTGTGTGTGTGTACGCGAGTTTTAATTTTAGTGCTGTTATTGGAATTTATTTATTCGGTTGAAAAGTTGGTATCATTCACAGGCAATAAAAGAATTACTTATGTTGAATAATTTCATTTCGTTCACTTATTCAGTGTATAGTGGAGTGTGGGTGTGATGGTTACAAACATCAGCTGTGCATCACCTGGTACCAATGAACAATAATTCATCATCATTCATAATTTCAACTGATATTTCATGTTTTCCTTGCTAGTATTATGAAAAAAAACATCCCTTCAACTGCTGCCTGACGTGCAGATAAAAAATTATGTGTAACATATTTATTTTATTTTATTTTTGTACATTTATATTTTGTATTAAATATTGTCTTGTGATTTTCACATAATCACTTTAATAGGGAATTATCAATTATTTAAGACTCTTAAATATATCTTATTAAATAAACATTTATTATCGTAATTAATATAAAATTTGTTCATTAATGCCTCTTAATGAAGAGATAAAACATTATCCAATGAAAATTTTATAATTAAATATTTATGATCTATTCATGCATTTTTGATTATTTTATTCGTAAAAGTTATGACTATTTTGTTAAAACTGTAACATATTTCTATAGACATTGTTGATTAAATTACGATATTAACATCTTTGTATCGAAAAATGGAAACATTTAATATTGAAAATTTAAAATTAAAACAAAAGTGCATACGGCTACAATTGAAATATATGAAGCCGAAAACATTTAATTTAATTAAATTTAATTTGATTCAACCTTTTTTCTTCCTCCGCAGAATGTTCATCTCACGCGCGATCATAAATTTAAATTGTACAACTTTGAATTAATTTAAAAACATTCTATTTTTCTTTTTCCTCCCTCGTCTCTTTGTGTATTTAATTTTGCGCTATTTTAAATTTTTGAATTGAAGTAGATGGGGGAGAGTGAAGAGTCTTTTCGTTTTGAAATTTATTGATATTGCTTCTTATTAATACGAGGTGAAAAGAGAAAAGGAAAAACATTTTCATATGAAATTTATTAGTTTGCGGGTGGAGGCGGAAAGATACGAGCAGAGGGTATGTTGATAAAATGTGATTATCATAATGTAAAATCCATCGAGTTCTTGCCTGACGTTCAGATCAGACTTGCTGCCATAAATTTTAGCTGATATTGAATTGCAAAGTCACTCCTTAGTGAACGCAGGCACACACAGAGGGACAGAAAAAAGGGCGATAAACTGAAAGAAAACAAATTCGCTTTTAACTCAATTTCAGCACGTTGCCATCCATCAAGATAATTTCACTGATCGATCACCTGATTACGAAGAATGCTCAGAACTTCGTAAAAATACATTTCAACCCTTCTAAGCAAACTCTTTGGCCACAACACAAATGGTATTCGATTTTTTTTCTTCACTCTGATACTTATAGAGATGAAAACGAGTGGATGGGGTAACAGCAACAGCGCATATAAGTATTTGATCCCAGAAAATAGAAATCATCTTAAGGAAAAAGATCCAAATGTTAAGCTTATTTAAGGGTCAACTCTTACGGGGCTGGCAAGAGCGCAAGCACGATTTTATCTCATTAAATAAATATCCAAAAAGCTATTTCTGCCTTTCTGCAAATATTAACAAGGTGATAGAAAAAGAAAACATAACTCACGTATACACACATGACTTCACACACTTATACAATCACGTAAAATGAAGTAAATAAATAAGACGGATTGAAACCCTTTTAAAGTATTAAAAAAATTACAAATTGTAGATACATTCGACATCGAATCACTCAACTGACTTCCCTCTTCTTACTGAATCCTCAACAACCTCATAGAATAGCTCAAAACTGACCATAAAGTTGAAAGAAGGATCTTCTGATAACACTTCGTGTTTTTTCATCATGACATAAATTATTTGGGGATATTTCAATAACCTAAATGTATGTGCCGCTGTGACGTATCGTTCGTTCGTTTCCAAATTGTGTGGCTGTTCTTCATTGAAACCTTCAAATAATGTAATGGTTTTGTTATTGCTCTGTTGTAGAGTGGACTTTTATTGTTTTTTGCTTCAAATGACCCAAAATAACGACCAAATAAAATCATAAAGAAATCAACAATTTGATGAAGGCAGCCAAATCAAGTATTCGATTATGAGTAAAAGGCGTTAAAGATGACATCAATCTGATGTATTCAGTGAACTTGAAAGGAACATTAATTTTCCATTTTTACTTCTCATACTCCAGCATTTGACTAATTGCAAACGCACCCAATCTACAACCATCACACTCACGAACATTTATAGTTCATGTTTGGAATTGGATTATTTCACGCCTGAGTTGTGATTCATGATGATGATGAGTGTTCATTGTATGTATGTTTTTTTTTCTGTCGAAAAGCCGGATAATTATCTTTGCATATGTATCATATAAGAATGAGACGCTTTTGGGATATGTTTTGTAAATAAATAAACCATGAGAAAATAATTAATTGATTTAACAATCTAAACTGTTATTCTCTGTCTTCATCTTTGTTTTTGTATCCTTTAATGTTGAAACATTGACAGAAATGTTCTCTCATTTATTAAACAAGAATTTATCATTTACAAATTTTTTCCTGACTTCATCAATTCAAGAGACATCACAACATTTGGTAAAAAACTAACCAAGTTCAGTCGACAACAGTAACAAAAAAAATTATTTATCCAGAAATTCCCCGATTAAATGACTCAAGTTCATCTAATTAGTATTACAATAGAAATAATTTATTCATGTGATTAATTTCAATGGTTCTCGGGGAAATGAGTTCAAATATGTTCATGTATGAACATGTAAGACCATCAGCAGATAAAAGAAGGCAAAGTCATAAATAAAAAGCGCGTGTAATGTATTGTGTATCTGGTGTTGTAATTACATGTTATTAGAAGTTTGTTTTGTTTTATTGTTGGTCATTTTCTTTGTGAGAAAAGAGGCTGAAGATTGCTCTGTAATTGCATTATGAATGAATCTTAAAAAGGAACAAGAACAACTTTTTTTTTCTGACTCATCATTCAGTAACTTTTTTTTCCGTTTCTCTCCTTTCTCGTTCTTTTCCACTCATCTTGCTGTGCGATCAGGAAACCTTTTTGCGAAAGAAAGAATTCTTTCTGTGAACCATATCTAACACGAGGCTGCCCGATAAGAATAAGAAATATTGCTGTAAATGAGAACAATGGTTGGACGAAAGAAGAGAACAATAAAATATCGCACAGTGAATCTTAAGGCGCAATGACATAAGAGAGAAGAAACAACGGCAAAGGCGAAGGAAAGGAATAAACTAAAGTGTCTTGGAAATAAAAACAAAAATTTTATTGAATTTATTTACTTCTTAAGGACACAACTTTTTATTTGTTGTCATCCCAGCTTAAAAGCCTCGATGAGTTCTACAAGTTGAGAAGTTAAAAGGAAATCTTATTTCACAGTAAATTTAACTAAATTGGGATTTTTTTTATTCTTTCTCTCACTTAGAATCTTTTGAGATTTTTTCCGTGTGCGACTTGTTTTTAAAAAAAGTCAAAATAAAAAACACACTTAGTAACGGCTTATCTTATCGTCTCCAAAATTGAGTTTTCTAGAACTTTTTTCCTTCTCTCTCGCTTTAGACAGTGTTCTTAAAGTTCAAACTCTTTTCATCTTTATGTTTTAAAGATATTTTGTTGTTTAGACGATACCGATGAGAAAAAAAGAGGAAAGGAAGAGAATGCGACAAGGCTAATCTTGATAGAAGAGTCCTTATTATTGTTTTTTTGTCTTCTTTTACGTCTTTAAACCACACACATTCGTATTAAGGAGACATCAAATAAAAATAACAACTTTATTTGTTCGTTCTCCAAGAAAAAGATTCCATTTAGATGAGTAACAAGTCGGAATCTGTCTTTGAATTGAAAACGTCATGAAATTGTTTACAATGAAAGATTTACGTTCGCTTCCACTCGCATTGTTTTGTCATGAGACCAATTTTTCATGAAAAGCAAGAATTAAAATCAATTTTTCATATTTATTTCTGTTTCTCTTTTTTATGAATTAGGTAGAAACTGCGTGGGTGTGTCATTCTTAATGTTTCGACTCTTCTTCTTCACTTAAACTCTGCAAGTAATTGCGTTGAAATGATGTGGAAAAATTTAATATTCAAACAAAACGATGAAATTTTTACGCGTTGAAAGATAGAATTGTCCCTCAGTCTTTACGCTTCCGCGATAATGGAATTTGAAGAAAGTAAAAAAAGTGTCAGAGAAGGAAGTGAGAGAAGAATGAGAACACGTCAAAAAGATATTGATTTTGGTATTCAGTCTTCCTCTGAAATAAGTATTCTGATGAGTCATAGATAGAGTTGAGATTGTAAATGCTGTGAATTAAAATGTCATTGCAAAATATGCCACTTCATGAAAACTCACAAAAATATTTTGTGGAAAGATTAAAAGAGTTTTAAGCTGTCAGCAATATTTTTGAAAGTTTCATCGCCACTCATGAAACTCTCAACATTCATCTTTTATCTATGAATACAACTCATAAATTATCTTTGAACTGGATACTGTCGATAATGATGTTTTCTGAGTGGCTTCTTTCGTTTCAATTTTCTTCATTTTCCCTTCGACACTTCAGTCGTAAAAATTAGAATTAGATTACGAACACGAGTGGTTTTTTGAGGAAATTATTTGTAATATTAACAGGAATATTGCTTACTTCAAATTTCTCTTTAATAATTCAGCGAAAAGAAAAATTATTTCTGTAGAATCCTCTCAAGAAATATCTGAAAATTATTCATTTAAATAAGAATATTTACTTTATTTAAAGCCGTTGATATAGCAAGAATCTTAAGTAAAATCAATCACTTTGAAGTACATTGATTTCAATGATAATCCATTGATTCCTCTTGGCAACATAAAATACGTCAAAGTCGCTTCGTGCTGGATTTTTCTTGCTGCTGTAGGTTTAAATGGATAACAGAATAAATAATAAAACTATTTATAAACACATGGTGAAGCTCCTTAAGTAGAAACATCTTTTACAAACTTCTTGTTTCTCTATCGTTTTTTGACAAATGAAATTATTATCTTGGATATTTTGGGTCTCAAATGTTTTCTTTCAATTCTTACTCAAAGATTTTTTTTCTCTTGTGTTTTTGGAAACTTGTGACTTTATGGACTTTTGATTTTTATGGCAACCACATGTGAAGTGATCTCATGAAAGAATCTTGTTGGATCTTCTTCATGTGACCCTTTAAATGAAAACAAGAATTGAGAGAAATGTTTTAAGTGCTTAACATTGAAATGACTTCGTCGGTGATCTCGCATTTCAATAATCGCTCCTTAGGGAGATATAAGCCTTAAAATTCATAAACATGGAGAAAGCATGAAAGCAATTTAGACTAAACTCTCATAAAACAATTACATTATGTGAAATGACTTTATTGCTCAGGTGAAAGCTGACAAAAGCAACCGAGGTGTAGGTGTTTTGTGCAAGCTTGCAAAGAAAAGTTGCATCTTTCATTCTTAATTAAAATGAAACATATTAGAATTTACTCAAATGGAAAATTAAGTTATTCTGATAAAAGCAGAAGATATAAAGAGATGGAGATGTTTCTTAGTTCACTGAACATTCCAAAGATGAAGAAAAAGAAGAAATTCAAGGAAATTAATAATCTTTTAGCTAAATTTTAAAGAGAACAAAATTATCATTACGTTCATAGATAAATTTTATTCAACGTTAGATAAAGCTTCGTCTTAATATATTTGTGTAGACGATAATAAAGAAAAATTCTTTATTATCATTCGTAAACGATATTTTCGAAAAGTCTGTTCCAAAACTAAATGAAATGTACCATTAACATTGAACTTAATTTCTATGGCAAGAAAATCGCAACCAATGAGAATGCAAGAGAAGGAAAAGCAATTAATTCTGAATTATAATTTACTACGATTGCAATTTTCTTTAGCTGAAGTAAGGTTTGCCTTATAAATTACGATGAGCAATTAAAGAAAAATTATGACTCTGTCGGCCTCCAGTAGAACGCTAGATGGTTGCTAATTGTTTGCATGAAACTCTCTAGAGATAATTTTGTTGACTTTCTCTGTTGCTTTATAAATATAATATAAATACATATAATTCCTACCATGGTAGGTTCATTAACAAGTCTCGGAATTACAGTAACACTCTAGGACTCTTTACCACCTTACTTTAACAAAATAATTTTATTTACAACACTCGGTTAGAAAAATTATTTTTTATAAACATTGGAAATGAGGTGAAAATGTGATGCCATTTATTATTTAGGTTGTGACTTCAGGCTTCAAATTAGTTTGTTTCACCAATTGCCCTTTCGGAACAACTTTCTTCGTCTTTGTAACTTCAAGGTGATTTACCTACAGTTAAAAAACTGTAAACAACTCCCAGTGAGAATAGTTTCTTTCTTATTCTTATTACTCATTTCTAAACTAGGTTAATTTACGTAAATCCTGCAATTAATAACAAAAGCATTCTACCATTCTGGGATGAAGTTTACCATACAACAAACTAAGCCTCACTAAAACTCACCCGTTAAGCAATATTTTTTAATTTTTTCACTACTTTGCAGCAATGTGTGGCGAGCGGGCGTTCACTAGAGAAATTTCAATGGTGTATTAATGCATACGTAAACTTTATGGCACGAAATAAACTCATTAATCAAATGGGGGAGAAAAAAACTCAGAACTGAGAGAAAGAAAAGTTTCGAACTATTTTTTTATGCTCATTCAGAGTTTCCATTTAATCAGCTGAATGCCCAGGCCTTAAATTCATTTTTATTTTTCAAAGTGAATTGTAAGGAAAAAATATTGAATGCGGTTATGAAAGTTGAAATATTGTACGTGTTGCAAGCATACGAGGTCATAAATTAATAATTTTCCGTTTATTCAATTCATTTTATCACTAAGCGAAACTAACGAGATCATTTATATAATATGTTACTTCAAATATCTTTTTAGTGACTTTAGTCATGTCAATTTTTTATATTTTTATAAAGTCATCATCGTCATCAATGATTATGAGTAATGATTACAATAAAAAACAACTGAAGGAGATTTCTTTTAAAATAAATTAACAAACAAGAACTTTCTTCCGGCAATTTCCATTTTTATATTTTTATGAATGTTGTGCAGTATTTTTTGCAATTCTCTTCACCGAAAAGAAGTTTAATTAATGTACATTTTATTTAAAAATGTCAACGGTTAAATAACATTTCATCGTTATCTTGAGGCTCGTTGTCAACAATATTTTTTTCATGAAAATGTCTTCCTTTCACAGTCTTGTTTAGTTTTTTATTCCACAAATGCATTATGCATTTTTTACACATTTATAAGCTTTAGATAGAAATCCTGCAGCAAGCCATGAATCATAATGAGATTGTTGAAAGAGAGAGGAAGCGAGAGAAATGAAAGGTTGATTCACTGTTCTTAATGCATCACATTTTGAAGCTCTAATACGGGAATATACAACGACACAATCACGATATCGTCTTTCATTCATTCGTTTTTATCCTTAACATACTATGCAACTATACATTGAATGCTGAGATTTTTCATCATTCAACGATGACACTTCGGTTTCTATAATGTAGGGAAGGGAAGAAAAGCTTTTATTCAATTTTTAAAACTTGTAAATTCAATCAACACCCCCGCATCCAACAAATAAAATTATGTTGTCACGTAAACCCATCTTTTCTATCTTTTTCGCACTCTTATATTTATTTCTCTTTGATTCTTTACTTTGGTCACTTATCAAGATTTCTGCCATCTAAAATGACAGCCGTATTTTTGCGGTGGAAAATGATTTTCCCCACTTTCTACATAATAAATAAATTACCTACTAGTTTTTCATGTTGAAGTCTTTTGCAATTGAAGGAGGTTTGTAAAAGACGATAAATTCAAAACTGTCAATCGATTAAAAAAGAAAGAAAATATTTTTGTCGTGATTTCTATCGATACGGTAGACATAATCTTAATTGAGTTTTAATATGATTTCAGCTGGAAATATTAAAGAAATAACGCTTCTAAATTGAAGTGACAAACATCCTTTGAGTCATAAACAAAAATTAATGCAAGGCTTCACAACTATCTAAAATCAAAATGCAGAACATTTAAGAGAAAGTTTCGAGACCTAATAAATCTAAAGAGCTCTTCCATCCCACTCAAATCCTTGTTTCCTCGTACCAATTCATGCATGAATAAATTATTACCGTATCTCGTATATTTCTTGTAGGATGAGAAGGAAAAATAAAGTCTCATCTTCCTTTTGTCGGTTTCCGTTTTGTTTACCAGAAATCTTAAAAAGATGGTCGAACACTTCTCCTTCGAGGAGTTCATAGTTGATGAACACATCAAACTTCTCATCCGTAGAAAAGCTTTTTCGAATTATTTATAAACGATTGCAGTCTACTTCAAATGTAATTTGTGAGCTTCGTTCTAAACTTTCTTGATCAGGTTTCCCGATGAAGAACATTTTCTCTTGAATATAGTTATCAAACTCAAGAGATTCTATTTCAAAATGAATTTTAAATGAAATTTTAATTAAATGCAACAAACTGCAAAACCATATTTCTTTTCTTGAATATCTTTGATGCATATTATGATGAGAATATTCCATGAATTGTTTTCTTTCTTTTTCACTTAATTAAAATATAAAAACTTAAAAATTTCTATCTGTTTCAAATTGGAATAAAAAATGGTTTTGTACTCTTAAAAATTAAATTAAATTTTGTAACATTTAGAGGAAAAATGCAGTTTATTTATATCCAACTAAATGGCAAACCATTTTTCTTGTATCATTACAGAGTTCTCATCAGCGCTTCGGATGCTTGAAGTTAGAGTTCCAAATTACACAGTGAAAGATAACACTGTGAAGCTTGAATGTCACTACGACATGGAGGATGAAAAGTTATACTCTATAAAATGGTATGCGATGGAATATTTTACAATTTTATCCCCTTAAGTTAAAGGTTAATTTTACTTGTCATAGGTATAAAGACGGCCATGAATTCTACAGATATTTGCCTCGAGATCATCCACCAGCAACGCTTTTCCAACAAAATGGAATAACAGTTGATGTAAGCTTAAATTACAACACTTGAGTTTCGATATAATGTTTTCATTTATTTAATCTTTTGCAGCTTCACAACTCTTCAGATTCCTTAGTCGTTTTACAATCAGTAAATTTATCATCATCAGGACGTTATCGATGTGAAGTTTCTGGTGAAGCGCCAAGTTTCAATACAGTTGATGGCTATGGTGATATGATCGTTGTTGGTAAGTTCGAAGGCGAATTTTTTTCATTTTTTAAATTCCCCAAGCTGTTCTCAGAATTATTCCTTACACGAAGCGAATTTTAATTATATCTCATGGATTATTCTTTCATAAAAAATAAAAGAAAATCTTCGAACATTTTCCAAGGCTATCTCCAATCCCCAGTAATGCGTGAACTGACTTTGAGAAATTCCAAAATCGAATCCAAGGCTTCATCAGTATCACGTTTCATAGCAGCCTAAGTATCTGGGTCGATAGATGGAATGGAATCATTTTTCTTAGATTCTCAGGTTAAATATGATAGAGACGGCGAGGTAAAAATAAGCATAAACGAAGATACGAAAAATGAAATATTTCATCTTAAAAAATCGCATGAAAATTACGTTATTACCATTTCTCAAAAAAAAAAGAGAAAAAGTTGTATGTAACAAAGATAACAACGCAGTATCGCAAAAAAAAGCGACAGTGCGATACACAATCTCGCAGAGTCTTCGTCATTTGTCAAGAAAGTTTTCATTCTTCTTCCTTTTTTTATTTTATTTCTTTCTTCTAAGAAGAAAATTTGCCGCAATTTTCCGGAATATAAAAAAGCGAAGAATAAATGAAGAGATAACATTATCAGGCGGACATTCGACAATATCAGAAGAAATTTGTTTGGCATTATAATAATTTTTCGAGGTCGAAAGGAAAGCGTGGGTGATAGAGCGGGGAAAAAAGGAGCATGAAGTCGAAAGAAAAATAAGGAAAATACGCATGAATAATTAATTATTATGCGACGATATTTTATGTGTTACGACTCGCCAGCAGCGCGTGCTTGGTCTTGAATAACAAATGTCATTGAATAAGATGAGAATGGAGAGAAAAAATTTTCTTTTCGGTAATTTCCATGAAATTTATGCTGTCGGAGAATATTTATTTCACTTTTTTTCTGTTTTCTGCTGTTGATATTTAAGGGAATATGAAAGGTTTTGTTGTTACGTATATGCATGATTAGATTTGTGCAGAAATCTTCAATATTTTCTTTTTTATACTTAATCTCATTTGCTGCATCATAGCACCTTTCGAGGAAGATTTTCTGCATTTTAAAATAAATATTTCTTTGGTTTTTACTTTTGAAAAGTTCAAAGCTTTTGCGTGTGATGATGTAAGCTGATGTGGAGGCGAAAAAGGGAGAAACACTTCAATTTCTTCCCTTATTGCATCAAGTAACATGAAAGATAAAACATCAATATTTTTTGTTCTGTGTGCTGCTTTCAAAGACGTCTTTTCCAACCTCTTGAGATCAGAAAAGTCACATAAAAAATTCATTTGTAAAATGCGACAGAGAATTGATGGCATTTCTGCTCATGAATCATCAAATGTAAATCGAATTCGATGTTTGAATAAGATTAGCTTTCAGTTCTTTTCTCTTTTTCACTCCAAATTTCTCTTTTTTCAGCTCCCTTAAGATCATCACTCAATGAATTGAGCTTAATTCGAATGAATCAACAGTCATGAGTCTGACTGACTACAAGAAGCTTTTTCCAATTTTCAGAATAATAAAGATTAACGTATTATGAGCATTGCGCCAAGTTGTAGGATCTCAGTGGACGTGAAACTTTTCATCCACGCCAAGATATTCACTATAAATCCGAAATAATTGCAATTTTAATGGATTCAACTTTTCCATCCGAACTCGTCTTCATTTTCTTTTTTTCTCAAAACTTGCAACGAGTCGCAGATTTATTGCAGATAAATTTTAAAAGCTTTTAATGTCAATGGAATGAGTCGTTGTTATATTAAACTCTCAAGTGTTTTTCAGATAAACTTTCATTCTTAGGTCGAAAGTTTACGAGAGTAATCTAGTTGTGCTGGATGGATGTTTGATTTATGTAGTAAAAACACTATTTTAGTTTTCATCATCTTCTCCAACGTTCCTTACTTTTATTTTGATATGCTTTCTTAAGTTTCCACCAAAGAGTAAAGGCTATAAACAAAAGAAACTACAGTTAATGCTTTCAAAGCTTTTGTTTTCTCGAGAGAACATACAATAATTTTCTTACGACACTAAAAAGCGAAAGAAAGAAGAAAGAAAACCAGCAGGAGGGTAAATGTGAAAGATGTCATCACTTCGAAAAATGAAGAAAGGAAAAAAAAGCTTAAAAGTTTACACATCTCTGTGGTGGAGAAAAGTGTGAAAAAAAGGCACCGCCAACGAACGAAGATTGCTTCGAAATCGTTCATGGTTTATCATAAAAACAAAAGACTCAAGTACCAAGTCTTGTAAGTGCATTTTTTATTGAGTTTATGGTACGATGAGATGAGAAAGAAAGAAAAGTTTGTGAGAAAAATATTTATTTCTAAGACAATGACAACAGGAATTACACAACTTGTGTTCGTCGAAAGAAAATAAAAAGAAAACACAAGTGGATTAAAAATAACTCAATTTAAAGTTGAAATTCTTCAAACCATCAAAGCTTCTTTGTTTGGTTCAACTTTGCTTTATGTTCGCATATATTCACTGACACTTGAGCATTTATTTTTATTTGTGTTTCTTTGTAAGTCTTCCATTCGCAGAGAAACTTTGAAAACTTTCCGTTCGATACTGACAATGTAACAATGATGAAGCTTTAGATACTTTCCAAACAGCCACCTTTTCGAACCAGCAAAATCGATTGAAAACTTTCTCTCGTATGAATTCAACAGCTAATGTCATTAGAAATATTTTTTATTATAACAAAAATTCAATAAATAGCTGAAAGACGAGATATCAAATTTGATATGATTACATTCCAACGACCTACTAGCTTGTTATGTGGCCGGAAGATATTGGCTATTATTTTCGAAAATCTGTGATGTCAAATCAAATTTACTCTCACTCGTCCTATTTTCGTTTCCTTTTATTTTTCTCTTGTCATGTTGTTCGGTTCCCTTTCAGCATTTTGTGCAAAGAATGAGTAATTGGACACTTAAATCTCAAATTCTGTCAGAGTATTAAACAGAATTCTTTAACTTCATCGACTTCTTCTTCAATTTTTTTTCGTTCTGCTTCTGACATTTCTCTTTTATTTCTTCTATTTCTTTTTACTTACCATTAGTGTTGCCCGAAACGGATCCAAGGATCACAGGCGGTCGTGCACGCTATCAGATCAATGATAGAGTCAATGTTAACTGCACATCGGGACGTTCAAAACCAGCAGTGAAGTTGACATGGTTCATCAATGGCCAACATGCGAACCCCGAATATGTCAAACAGTACAGAACAGCAAAAACAGGACGTGAAGGGTTGGAACAAACGATACTTGGACTGAGATTTCGTGTCAGGCAAGAACATTTCAAGCACGGTGACATGAAGTTGAAAGTAAGATCCATTTTTATCATATTTTCTCCATCCTTAAGTTTTATCATAAAAATTTCATTCGTCCTTAGTGTCTTGGCGTAATTGAATCAGTTTATTGGAAAAGTAACGAGGAAAGTGTCATTGGCGACCGACAAAAAGCTTCCACTTTGGAAGTAAAAAAGCAGGTCGCAGCAACATCAACATCAAACACAAGAGCAGATAGAGTTCATGGTAAGTTGTTTGCTGTTTCTGTTTGTTATGCCATTCACTCTTGTTTATTATTTAAACAAAGGAGTTACAGTAGATTCTCAATAAAATTATGAGCGAATGAAACCATCACATTGCTTCTTTAGAGTCCAATGTACTTTATTTTGTTACTTACATTTCCTTCCACCTCAAATCAAGTGAATGAAGTAATTTAATTTTTTATTTTTTATTACAGCAAACTCCTCAGAGAGCTTGAAATTATCGCATCAAATGCTGGTCTCGTTAGTCGTCTGTTTCATTATTGCAATGCACCAAAGTTTCATTCAAAGATAACTGTAAAAGCACGACATGTGTGCAATAGTCGTCGGATGTGAAAGTGCTTAATTTATGATTTTAGCAGGAAGTCTGTTAGCAACGAGTTTAATTATAAAACCTTGTGGACTTTAATTAAATCAGCGATGATGCAAAAAAATCTGTTTGTGTGTGTGTGTGAGTGGAATGAGCTGAAGAAAAATAACAAAAAAATAAATATAAAAGGAATATGTAGTCTGGTAGTGTTGTATGTAAATAGTAAACGGCACGATGGCTATTGTTTTGAATATTCAAAAAGTTATAATTTGTAATTTGAGAGAAATTGATGAAAAAAGAAATTAAATTACTGAAAGTAAAAAAAATTATTGAAAGTTTACCCGTGCCAAAAGCGTTCATTGTACGATCTAACGATGATGAAAAACCTGCTGAAAATTGATATACGATTGACAACATTTTCATATCACTGAATTTCTATTTACTTTCATATCATCAGCAGTGTTCGAAATTCATTTAAAGGACACCAGCGAAATTTTAAATGAATAGAGAATAAATTTAAATATGAAACGACGACATCCTCTTTAATGAGTTAAATCCCATAAATATTCCTTAAGAGCTTCATTACATTCTACAATGAAGCTCCCTCTTAACTTTTCTTCAAGGTGCTCCGCTGTAAGACAAATGAGTGAAATTACTATCATCGTGATACTTTTTCTTTGTGAATCAAAAATTATCTAAATCCGATTTTTCTCCAGCGCACCTTTAAAGAAGAGAAATTAAAAGATTTATCACTTAATCTTAAGTCACCACAGAGAGTTTTTAAGCATATTCAAGTAACCAAAAAAAAAAAAAGTAAAAAAAGATGTAAAATTTCCTTTTATCTTTTTGTAAATCAAACTTGAGCAAAGTAAATGAAAATGTACTTTTAAAAATTAAGAAGATAATAAAGAAAAATAAATTATAATTAATGTTTAAAAATAAATGTGTATTTATTTGCTATATACCTAAATGCTTTTATTTAGAAAGGTCTTTCTTTCAATTCTATTGATTATTTATTCAAATAAGTTTCAGTCAAATATTTGACTTCTGAATAAAGCAAATGTCATATCTAATTAAATAAATGACAAAGAATTAAACCACATAAAGATAAATTTCTAATAACCATCAATCAACATAGTAATTTCTACTTGAACATAATCCTTATGGGTTAAATGCAGCTTTCCAAGTCACATAAGATCACTCTCTAATGTAATAAGAGATCTTTTCATTATATTGAACATTTATTGTGTGCTTATGTTACCATAATTACTTCATACAATTCTAAACGACGACGTTATGAAATATTCACTTAAACACTCAAAGATTTCCAAGGAAAATATTTCGAATTAAGTGAAAAACATTTCCTTCCAAATGTGAAACCAAGCAGTTAAATACATTCCCTCAATTATGTTTCCCAGAAACAGCACCTTAACATCATTTTGACAACTCAGATTAATTTCACCAACTTTGAGAATCATTCAATCTCACGAATGTTTGTAACTCTAAACACATCTGTTAGCTGATGAAGGTTTGGAAAAAATTATATAAGTAGAAAGGAAATTGTAACCATTGGAACACCTTTCGCGTGATAATGTTGAGGCAAACATGCTAAGCACCTTGTCATGTGTTGTTCATTTCATCTCAAGGGATATTATGCGGGTAAGTACTCAACTTGTATATATACTCAATGAATGAGTTTTGTGGCAGGTCTTGTGGGGATAGACGAATGAATTCAAATCTGATAAAAGGAAAAATTAATTGTTTGCACGTTTTGACAAGGTGAGCTTGAAGTTAAATTCGAAATCGAAGGTTTTCCGAAAAGTTAACTATTTTTGTGATTTCCTTCGAAATTTTCCTTCCCACTCCTATGTGTACGTAGTTGTTAAATTTTAATGACACTGATAGATCCTCAAAATATTCCTTACATAAAAGGAGAATAAAGCTTTAAAAGTTTAAAATGAACATCGGGGATTAAATTGAATCTTTGAATATTTCGGTTAAGAAGAATGTTGACATGGCATTTTATATTTATGACTATGATAGATGACGTTTAATGATTCTTGAAATAGCTGTCAACTGAACGTTTTCTCTCCACCCGAATCGTTTGCAACAATAAACATACGATGACGGTCATTATAAATGTGCCACCGCTTCACTTCTCGTTTCACAATAAAGAAGAAAAATTTTCTTTTCATCAAAATATTTTCCTTACCCATGAAGAGTGAGAGAAACAAGTTTTCTTTTTCTTTCTTCATTAAGATATATTTCGTCATTCGCTCAATTAACATGAACATTTGATTGATGGAATTTAATGTGTCATTACGCAAAGCTTTAAGGGAAATCGTTCCATGACGAAAATCCCTCATAAAAGTTTCTATTAAAATCGATGAAAATTTAATTTCTTTATTAAGTCGACCAGCGGACACGCTGTTTCTTCCGCCTCATGAACGAATAACGTCCAAAGGTTAATTTAATAAATTGGATTCTCTCTCTCGTTCCATTTTTATTTCCCCTTTAATAACATTAATGAGGCAAATCATGGGATTCAACTCAATCAATATTTGTCAACGCTAATCACCAACAACTCTCGTATGACTCAACAACTTTCATGTTATTTAGTTATTTGTTTGCAACTTTTATTATTATTTTTAAGCAAATTTAATTTTCAAAAATCCATCATAAGCATTAATATACCCGTGTATGAGTAGTTTAATTCAATTTTTCTGTTAAGTATTCATGAAGATAGCTGTATTGCGTGTACAATTTTTTCGCATAAATTTAAATGAATCATAAAAAATGCAATTTTTTCCTCGCCGTTGGTTGAAACGACTTCATTAAAATTGCACCCCAATATCTCAAAATAAATAAAAAAAATTAATTTATTTATGCTTTTGCAATAAAACATTCGGATGGTTTATGTTTTGAGTCATGTGTCAAAGTTAAAGGTGGAGAAAAACATGCAGACTTTTTTAAATTTATTACAGAATTAAATTTATTATAAAATTGCATATAATTAATTATGATTCAAACAGGAATAAGTATCGCCCATAGATAAATAAATATTCATTTAATCTCATACTCATTATTTAGATATATAAACACAAAATATTTTACATTTAACTCATAAGCTAAATAGTTAGTTATCTAAATATTTCTCACTACAAATCAGCGGCGTTTAGTTACGTGACGAAGTATCCTTTTTCACTCACCACATAATTCTCTCATCCTCCTACGTACATAATTTCGAAAATGAAAATTAATGGAAAACTTTTTTTTATGTTTTTTGTACACAAACGAAACACGAGTGCATGATTACATTTGAATGACTCATGTAAAAGTTTTAGTTTCATCTATACAAGTATATGATTAACACTCCTAGACTCGTAAGTGTGAATATACATGATGAATTTGATTCACTGCCGATTGTTCTGATTGATTTTTCCATTAATTTATTACAACATAAGGACGTGACGTGATTAAAGAAAGTTAGGTGAAACAATTTGTTTTGGAAGTAATAAAAATTGGCGAAGCAACCAGGCAAGCAAATTCTGGTGTAATTTCTTGTATACTCCATTTAATTCAATTAAACCATTTCAATTAAGGAGTTGGTTTGTGTTTATACTTAAGTATACCTTCATATTATTATAATGTATATAGAAGAACAAAGTTAATAGACTGGAAAATAAATTAAAATAAATTATTAATCATTAGAAGAAGTTTATTTGAATCTATTGACTGTCAGTCTAACGATTGTTTGTAATTTACACACAAAGAGAATCCTACAGTTAAGCGATCGTAAAGGAGATTGTATGTAATTAACCACTGTAAAAGCATTAGAAGGAACGATAAAATATCGCAAAATGGCGTGATTCAGATCTATTAACGTATCAAGATCAGGTGAGTTTGCTTTCCATTCTTGTGTGTGATTTGTTTTCTTCTTGACTTTTGGAATAAATTATCAAGTCACAACGCGTTGAATATTTAATTTTTTGTTGCTGTCTCCTTTTCTTCTAAGTCACAAAAAAGTTTAGAGATGTTGTAAAAAGTGTCGGCGGGAGTTTTGATAACTTTTTCACGATGATGAAATTATTTGCTTGTTTCGTTTTTCGCGTGAGGCTCAAGGCTTGGAAATAGAATAAATGAAAGAATATTGTCGAGCGTAAATTTATAAAACTTTTATATCCGTAACTTCAGCGTTCTGTTTATTTTAATTTTCCACTCTCTTGGATAGATGAAAAGTTTCGTCGCTTAACCGCATGCCGAAAGGAGAACAAATTCTACTTGATCTTGAAAAACCAATAAATGAAGTCAAATAACTCTGAGGTAAGAGCGACTGCTTTCAGCAACGTTTTCGAAGGAAATTGGCAGAAAGTTTTCAATTTTTTTTCTTCTACCTATTTGAAGGGAAAAGGATTGTTTTTAGATTTTAATTGATCGAAATGTAGAAAGATAAACTTTTCGAATAAATATTTAATTGATTAAATAATGGGGAGGAAAGTTTTAAAGTCTAAATACTTATCAATGTCTTTGGAATCTGATTTATAATTTATAAGATTTAAGGCATCACCTCGGATAATATTGTTATAGCAACAAGAAAATGAATAAATAAATGAAAAATTTCTTCAGATATTTCCATTTTGACTTTAAATAGAAATTTAAATGAAGAAGTCAATTAACAAACAATAATCTAAAACACGAAAGATTATTTAATAATAACTTAGAAATTCTCATTATCAATACACTTCAGGATATTATTAAAATAAATTAAATTATTCATCAATGCCTTCTGCTCAAGTTATTTCTTAAACTTATCCTTGAATCAAAAATCGTTGCATATTTAAAATGTTTTTACAATGCGAACATAATTTTCACATCAATTAGCTGAATTTTAAAACCGAGGTGAAATTTTTCTCAAAACCATTAATTAACATTCTCTTTTTTTAAACTTTATTTTAAAATTCCTACAAGCCTTGAATGCTTTTACAGGTTAAAACAGAAACAAAAAAAAATTCGCTGTGTAATTAAAAAATAGAAGAAACTACAAGAACTTTAACATACATAAAATTTGAATTTAAAATGGCGAATAAATTCCGTTTTAAAATGACATTTTTGTTTAAGTTTCATTAAGTTGTTTTGTTCTTGCAAAGTAAAAGTTTAAGTAAGAAATCGAGGACAGAAGAAAAAGAAATCAAAAGCAGAATTTTTTAAGTCATTGTCTTATAACAAAAGTTTTTGTAGAATAACCGATTATTTTATGCAAATGAAGTGTAACATAATAATTTTTATTATGTATCTAAAGTAAAAATAAAATAACAAAGTAAGTAAAGCGCCTCTGATTATTTTAAAAAATTTTCTCGCTTTAAACTTGAAAGCGCTTCGTTTTACTTTTAGATTACCAAGGAATTGTGGAAAAATTTTCAACATTCTTTGAGTAATTTAACTATGTACAAAACAGGATTATTTATTCTATAAACCTATGTCACCTTGGCATAAAATCTTTCTATAGTTTTCCTTGCCCCAATTTAAGACTCATCAAAAAGAAAAATGTCGTGTTGATTGAAAAACCTGCACAATTGTTGAAAAGGGAAACAGGAAGTTGACAAATTTTGAACTTTTCCTCTAATGTTATTTTTATGACAATAAATTTTCACACCAATAGGAAAAAGAAAAGTTTTTTAAAGATGGTCGGCCTTTGATATGAAGAAAAACTTAACAAACTGAGAAACATCAACTTCATGATGCTTTATATGTAAATATTTATATTTAACAAAGTTAAGTTGATGCGGGTTGAGACGCAAACAAAGTTTTAACACACACAAAACTTTTCTGGAGGGTTAAGTTCTCTTGAAAAGACTTTAAGACTTGACCATTGGCATCATTTACATGCCATGCTATCATTCCTTGGAGAATATCAACATTCAAAACGCAATGAGCTAGATTAGAAATCAAAAGGGAATATCGTTTGAGCACTCGACATTTGCATTGTCATGCTTCATGGATATAGACGTGGAAAACGCACAATAAAACGTGATTCGCATAAAATGTTGCTGCTTGTGTCTCCGATTTTATATTTTCGGTAATGCGCAAACAAATAAAATATGAAATATTAAAATATCCTCACGAGAGAGAAATCGGAAAATTACGAGGAGAATGCGCTAAAAGGATTTCCATTTACGGGATTTTCCTTTCAAACTAAGCCCTTCAAGGGGAATAAAAAATAGTAGAAGGAGAGAATTTGAGGGAGTTTGTGGGAGAAGTAAAGCCATTGTCAAATCATTTTCGATAATCGTGCTTCAAAATTCAAATCCAGAGAAGCTTTCAAGTGGTTGTATTCTGATATACATAGAAAGTGTGTAAGATTGGATTGATACTTTGTGAAGGATGCTGTTATGCTGTTTTCTTATCTTCTTCAAAATCCTGATTTCGAATGTGTTTGTTATGATGTTCAGATCTTAATGTTGCATGCTTCTCTTTCCTTCTCTATTCAATGTTTCCATTTCCTTTTCACTCTATTGGTATTATAGAAATTTCATAAAAGAAGTGAACAAATAAAAGAAAAATTGAAAATTTTACATTAGAAGAGTAAATTTACATTCCCAATATTGGTATGTATTTTCTGTCATCAAAACTTACATGCTTAAAAGCATGCTTATGCATGATATTTACATTTCAACTCTTTTTCTTTTTAAAGATATCTCTTTGAAATGTCATCGATTTCCAATTCCAGGATATGAAATTTCAATGAATAAATTATATTTATGTTTATGCTATGTATATATAAACATACTTATCTACATATCGTCATGACCAAAGAACATCAAGAATGTTTGAGTTTTTCGAGCAATCATAATCTTGTTACGAAAAAGGATTCCCCTTCGAGGCAAAACGGTGAATTTTTACTTTTTTCGGTTATCAATGTCATAAATTATTGAATTAACTTAGAAGTCTTCATATTCTTCTTCCAGATTTTCTTATCCTTTTTAAAGATCTTTCAAAATCTAGGTTTTATTTATCGTTTCTATAAGCAACACATAACATCATATCAACCATTTAAAAAGTAAACATTTCATCCGAGAAACGTCTTAAACATATACAATTAAGTTGTTAAGATCCCTTCAGGGTTGGAAAGAAGAGAAAAGTTTGCAATCATCCCAAGCACGAAACAGGAAAGCTCTAAACGATATTCTGTTAAGCGAATGTGTAATTAAAGCACGCACTTCATATTCTATGTCTCATCGCGTCAACTAACTTAAACTCAATTTCGTCAACTTTTTATGTGAGCGTGAGCATGAACAACTCAACGTTATTTCTTCCTTATGGTTGTTGACTTGTCTCTCTGCTATTATATTCCTCCGGTAAATAATTATACTAGTTTACTTAATTATTACTAACTCCAAGCATGAAGCAAAAAAAATTGTAGTAAACTTTTTACAATCTAATTAAAATGATTTCGAATGTACGTTTTTTATGATTCTAATGATTATTCTAACTTATGTTATTATCTTACTTAATTGTGCAAACATATTCATAATAAAAGTGAAGGAACTCCACTGTGGCTGCAATTATTCAACAAAGATTACCACCAAGCGATTATTTTTAGATCAGCAAAATTAATTTCCCCTCCCCGGGAAAAAATAGATTCTCATGAGGGAAAACTTTTCAGTTGTGTGTTGTGAATGCTTAAAGAAGATTGTGATTATAAATGAGTTTGTATGTGTATATAGGTATTACGAGAAGAGAAGGAATATCACATCGAGAATCTATTTATCTAAATGTCTAATACACTAGAGGAATGTACGCTTTGTGGGAAAGCTCGTTTCGTTCGTGTAGATTATTGGAAGGGCCCTTCGCTTTCCTAAACCTTTCCTCTTCAAATATTATAAGATTTCTTTTTCCCTACATGATGAGATGACGCTTTTCATTTTGCTGTCTTCTTTGATTATCTCTTCGTTTCCTTGTGATGTGAAAATATTTCAAGAGATTGGAAAAGCTTCTTTATACTTTTCAATCATGTCCGCTTGTCAGATTAAAGCTTTTTCAAGATCATCGCTTTTTAAAATTTCTAAATAATGTAGAACTTTGATATTAAAAACATTCTTACCTCGTAATCCTTTTAAATTTGATTTGGAAAAGGGCAGGAAATAAGAAAATATTTCTTTCTCATGAAAAGAGCTGAAAATGTGTGTAGGCGACGGCGGCACCTTACCTTAGGCCTAAATTAAATTGTAAAAGAGAAGAAAAGAAGGTTGAATCATTCTTGTATAGATACATGTAAGTGCAGATATAATAAAAAAATTCCTTCGTCAATACTTTTACGTCACTGACCAAATAAGAAAAGCCTTTTTCTTTCAAGCATGAAAAAAAGCAAAAGAAAAAATATTTGACGGTAATGCAAATTGATATCAAATGCCACAACTCAACCAAAAGATCCGGAGACCATAAAAAACTTGATAAAAAAAAGAATAATAAAAAGCTCTAACCAAATTTAAATAAATTTCAAATTGATGAATTGTAACATTTTATTTTTTACTTTTTTGTTGCTGATAATGGATGTTTAATACAATTATTGTAAACCCATGTTGAAGGTAGAATCCATTAATTTTCTGAAAACCAAGGGCTAAACGGAGAAGGAAGAAGCAGAAACGAAGGAGAGAAGAAAAAATTGGATGCCAGTTCAAAGCAACAGGATATAATTTGTTTAAAGGCCTCTTCAAACAACCACAATCAGAGAGAGATAGAAAGAAAATTGAAAGAACAAGAAATCGAACCACAATCGATGTAGATCGTTGTTTAATGTTCAAGAATGTTTTCCGATAAAAACGGAAAATCGCTTCTGAAAAAGTGAAATTGTATTCATTACAGTTCGGTGAATAAAAAGACCATTAATAGAAAAGCCGAAAATGTGGGCGGATGAGATGAAGGGAGGGAGAGAGAAGAAATCGAGTAAACTTTTGCAATAATTTAAACTCGAATTTCCCCTTAAAATGACTTTATTTAATGTCGTTTTCGTTCTTCACTCCACCCCCGTCTACAAAGAACATGCATAAACTTTTATATTCTCCAAATTGGAACTTTGAGTGGAGTTTTCCAAAATTTTCTCTTTTTTTGCAAATAACTTTAAATGGGATTTCTTTACTGGCAGTATTCTTTTTTTTCACGAGTCCAAAAAGCGAAGCAAACCAGAAAACGTCGAGCAAGAGAAATATTACTTCAAGTATAGACGACGAAGCACATAACAATAAAGTCTCCTTTAGAGACTTTTGGCATTTTAATAAGAAACAATCTCTTTAATTCCGAAATATTGTTTCAAAGAACAGAGAGATGGAAATTGTACGCTTAAATCAGGATCAACGTCTTATGTGCGTAATTCCGACAGGGTAATTCGGTTGTTAAGCGAGGAAAACTTTTACGTCTGCTTTTTCCTTTTACATTTTATGGAAGCCGTTGTAAAGCATCCTGTTTTTTGTTTCTTTTTCTTATAGCGCGTTTAAAAAAACACAAAGGATAACATTGTTTTAGCTGAGCATATACAGAAGTATGTCCCCCCACCGACCAAAGTGATGACTGAATGACGTAAAGTTGCAGGAATTATGCGATATTTATGTCTGAATTTTTATATTCATTTTAATTCACAAATTTAACTTTTCAGTTGAGTTAATAAACTCAAAAAGAAGAATTTATTAAAATACTTTTGACATAATTTTTTAATATTCCCAAGCAACACATCAAATTTCATGTCATTTATAAATCTTTCCCCGAAAAAAAAACAAAAATTCAAACAAATTCAACCACATAAACAAACATCTTCTCTTAAACTCATCTAAGATATTTTCCTCAAACTCAAATGTTTTATGCCTCATCTAATAAATTAAATTATGAGTGGTTTGGCGATGATGCTGGTTAGGAAGTATTTCTGATTTCTTATTTTTTTTTCAATGCCCATCATAACATATTTTATGTGTCTGCATTCTATCGCTCATATTCTTTGAGTTTCAAAGATACAAAATACGAGCAAATAAATTGTTTACGCGTATTTGCGACTAAGGAAGGAAGAGCAAGCGAAGTTATTTTGATAAAATAAATTGGGGCGCTATTATGGAAGGTGTAGTTGTTATGAATTTATGACAGAAATATATCATGCCACGGTTATATGTACACAGTCATAAATTTACTTCTCTCGAGGCTTGAACGCGTTATGAAATGTTACGCCGCAATTTCACCTTGAATTGAGTGACCGGGGATGAGAACTGGGGGAATAAGAAAAGACAACAACATATGTTGCTTGATTGTTCTCTAAGGATTTTTTTGTAAGTCAAAAAACTCGCTTGCTGAAAATGAAAGCGTTTTGTGTAGGTTGCTTAAAAGGAAAAAGACCTTAGAAGAAAAATAACGTTAGATAAAACTGTTGTGAAACTTAAATTTCCCTGCTGTGATTCATCCAAACATTCATCTCTCTAGCACAGCAGTGTGTATTCATTAATTATGCACATTCTTTTGCAATTTAATTAAACTGAGTCAATTCCAAAGCATTCCACACTTCATTGAAAACAGAGTTTACGTCTCCAGTTCCATTAACTCTTCTAAGAATTCCTTTTGATTCGTAGAAAGCTGCAAGCGGTCCTGCTTGTTCTTTGTACACAGAAATTCTTTGTCTGATTACATCTGGTTTATCATCGTCTCTCTGCGATAAAGTTTCTCCTGTAACATCATCAGTCATTGAAACTTTTGGTGGATTAAAATCGACATGATATGTTCGTCCACTCGCCTGATGGAATAACCGACCAGAAACTCTTCTTATAAGAACATCGTCTGGAATTTCTAACTCGATTGCCGCAGTCAGTTTTGAGTTACGGTCGTTCAATATTTCATCAAGCTTCAAAGAAAACATTTTTTTGATTCACTTAGAATTAAATTGATGGGAAAAGTTTATACCGTAATTGATTGATTAATATTCCTTGGATATCCATCGAAAATTGTTCCATTAATACATTCGATGCTGTCGATTTTCGATGAGAGTAGTTTTGTTATAATTTCGTCTGGGATCAATTCACCAGCGTCAACGAGATCTTTTAATGATGTTGATAGCTCGCTCTGATTACTTGCAATTACATCACGAATCAGCTGACCACTCGATAAATGACATAATTTTATAACTTCGCTGATTTTATTAGCTTGTGTTCCTTTTCCAGCACCAGGTGGTCCATAAATAATAATATTCGTTTGTTGTAAGTGTTCTTTTCGAATAACAGAAGTAAATGCAAGTGAAAAGCTTAAAACTGAATAAATGATGACTTGATTCATTTTTTATTTGTTTTTCTCAGACTACAGCTGTAGAACTACTGAACAAATACTTTAAGAAAAATGAGTTGTGACAGTTCATTTCTCTTCTAATAAAAATAAAATTCAATCATACTCAATAAAATTCGAAACTAAACTTGACCTTTGACTTTGCAATAATTACTTTGTTTCAAAGTCAATTAGAAACATTTTTAAAATTAAGTACAGAAGAAACTTAGGAATGAAATCAAAGTTATCAATCTACGAATTGATTCTAAATATTAGATGTGAGAGAAAAAATGAATGTCTCGTCTTTGCATCTGCCATTGACTTTGTGATTGATTGATATTGAAATGAAACCCGTCTCATATCAAATCAAATACAAAAGCAGACTGGAATGACAAAAAAAAATATTTTTTCACCTTTCACCTTTGATCTGCAGTTAGAAAAGCGAAGAATTTTATCTTCAAAAGATTTGCTTGTAATAGGATACACAATTATTGGAAAGTGAATAAACTCATGCTTTAACTGTGAAATTAGAAATACTTTGAAGACGATTTAAGCTTTTCAAAAGCAGAAATGTTTTCATAGAAGAATGTTGTCATATTTCCATTATGGAAACAAAGGCTGGAGAATCATTTAAAATGGAGATAATTTGAGTCATGAAGTTTTGAGATTCTCTCTCAAAAGTCTGCTGAATTCTGAGGAAATTACGTCTTATCTAATCAGTTTTGTTATGTAGATAGATAAAGAGGAAGATAAAATTACATCAAACAATTTTTATTTGGTCACACAATCATTCATTGCGAAATATTCAAACATAAAAGTCAAGGTAGTGACACAAGTATGGTTAAAGTTACTTGTTTGGCATGCTTCAGAGACCTCACAGGTTTCGATAACATTTTTTCGTGTTCCAAAAAGCATCATTTTTGTGCACCATGCGGAAAATCTCTGCATTTACAGTGTCAGGTACACCAGAAAATTGCATTTTAAGAATTTCTCGGCCATCGAATTTCGAATACTTTCACGTGATAACAAAGATAAATTAAAATTTAGAATTGAAATACGATGTGTTTGAAATGTTTCTGAAATATCTGAAATTTAATCCACTCTCAACATTCTAGATAAGTCATTTTATCATTGTAGAAATAACGAAAACTTTCTATTCGTCTAGTGCGATGAATCATTGCAATTGCTGACGGTGAAAAATGTCGAAGGAATTTTGGATGAAATCGAATGTTTGGGCAATTCATTGAATATATGGGATTGCAATTGGAGTGGCAGAAAACAGAAATTCTACGAGCATTTCATCCGATCTCACAACAATATTGAAATATTTTCGCAATTTCAAGTTTCATCGGTTCCTTTTCGTAGCGATCAGATGTTGTCAGCAATGACACTGGTAAAAGCTTTCGAAAGCAATTTCGTTTTTTATTATCACGCTAATCCTTCAGTGGAGATGATTTATTTCTTGATTTTTCTTCTCGATGAGAAAGAACAAGTAAATCCTGAAAGCTTTCTATACGAGTTCATGATAAAATCACCAAAGGAGAATCACTGGAAGGTAATTAATTAATCAACTTTTAAATCAATTTTTTTTTTCTTTCTCATCCATTTCTCTTCGATGATTTATTGAAGTCGAATTAATTTATTACTTTTACTTTTGGAATTAGACGAAGTACGTTGAGAAATGTTTTGTTCTGAACGATGACATCACACATTTGAGAGATAACGAGCTTTGTGCCGCAATTACTTATCGTTCGATTCAGAAGTATTTGTATGAAGGTCACATACATTTTTCATTTTTAATTAAGAAGACTTCTAAGGATCTAAATGTGGCTATTAAAGCTTCTGAGGGAAGTAAAAAGGAGACTGGGAAAAAGAAGCCAAAACCCTATAAGGCTGATAACAAAGGTTGTTTAAAGGGGAACAATGTAAGGAAAGCACCATCCATACCTGACGTTAAGCCTTCCGCTGCCGATATAATAAAGAAAGATATTGTTGTTGAAGTTGATTCTTCAAAAAACCAACCGCCTGACTACTCGTCAATCAACAGACATAACAATGGTAAACAATTCGCCTCTCCAGTCCATGCCACAGAAGCAATGAAAAGAAACGATGTTGAGCTCGTAAGATCAGATCATTAATTTTAAGTTTCAACTTTCATCACAACTTTTAACTTCTTACTTCCTTTAGCTTCTACTTCAACAAGGTGGAACACGAACCGATGAGTGCTATCATTTTCCAAACATCATGTGCCAATCATATAAAAGCCCCGACCATAAACTCTACAGGCAAAAATATCCTTCGTGCTGTTTAAGCAAACCCATTTTAAAGAAGTGATGAGAATTGGACCGGAATAAAAAGGACCGAAAATTTTCGAATAAAAAGCTCTCCATTAAAAAGCTGTGAACGGATGGTATAAAATGTTACCCAATTAATAAACAACATAGATTGTTGTAATCGTTTGTTTAAATTGAATGAAAAACTACAACTCACGCTGGGAGATTTAAGATATTTAGTAGAAGTTTGATGATTAGATATTCAAAAAGCTTTTTTATCTTTAAACTTTTCTCTTGTTTTATAATTTTGTAAACAAGCATTTACAATCAAAACAAACTATCTACCTTCTCTTACTGTTATTTCAATCTCATGGAAATCTTTTTGTTGCTCCTTCTCGTGAAAATCCATTTCCTATTTTGATTGATTTTTTTACTTCTCTTTCCACATCTCTATGTTGTTTTCTCATTCAACGTGACTAAAATCAACAAAAGGAAATGAAGAGCTTTGCTTTAGTCGTCTGGTGAGAATGGGCATTTAGGATTTCGTAACAAATATCTCTCAAGTTTACAATGACAACAGTAATCAATGTTCTGGGACGAGATTTAATTTCTTATTTGAATTGTTTCTCATCTCATCTGCTTTTCTCTGTTTTCATAGCAAATCTGGTTTTCATTGAAGGGAAGCTTTTAATCAACGCGAAATGATTATTTAATAAAGCAAGTTTCTCTTCTAATTCGGGACAGGAATCAATGTTTTTCTGGTTGTTTCCAAGCAAACAATCTTGTCTTTATTTTTAATTATTGTTTGCTCTCTAATCGAACAAAACAAAAGTTTCGTAATTAAATTTTGTGCTTAAGCTAAAAGAATTGATAAGAGAAAGAGTGGAAAAAGTGGCAGCTAGGGGAAGAGCCTTGGGAAGCATTTGAAAATTATGTGATTAAATGTTTAATTTGTTGGTGCTAAGGAAATGATAGTTGTTTATTTATGTAATGATTTCTCAAGAGTTTGGATGCTAGAACAAAGACACGATGATGATGATGTTGATGATACACATGATACGTAAAGCTTCTTTTATTTTTTAGTATAGAAATTAAAGTTCCTCTCAATATATGCGGAATTGTTGTGTCAATTTATATGAACTGCTTCCAAAAATACAAACGGCAAATTTGTATATAATTCGGTAAAGTTCCACATTAGAAACATTAACAACAATTTGATCGACAGAAAGTCAGAACATGTTCAATTCGTTATTTTCTATCGCCTGTCAATTACGAATTTTTCTTTTTTCTCTTCTTCAATTTCTGATTAATCCCAAAGCTTTTCTCTATCTCTCTCTTAAGAATTGTAATTAAAAATAATCATCACTGATCTTAATTTTTTTATTTGAGTTTTCTTTTCGTCTCTTTCTTTCACCCTCGCAATACAAAATGAAATAAGCATGACTTTCGTATTCATCACGAAGTTTTACTGTTCAGACATTGGTATTGTTTTAATTAAAACTCCTGACGATAAGTAAATAAAAGCTGAAGCTTTTTTTGTCCATGAACATTTAAACACACTCACATAAGGATATTTGTTTAGAGAAACTGTTTACAGATATCTTTGTAGAAATTTCTACTAGAAGAGTTTGAAAGCGCATTCGAGTTGATATATTGTGAGTTGAAGTCTTGTAAAATGAAAACCAAAACTACAAACTTGCAGGACGAAAATTTATTTTATGAACTTTTAGAGCTTTGCAAGCGAAAACTTATTTAATTTCGTCATTTGAATTGAAGTATTTGTTATAAAACGTTGGTTGGGATGAAATGAAATTTATATGTATATGAATTTGAATGTTGGAATTGAAAATATTTGCAAAACATTGTTTGCAATTTAATGATGCAATATGAACGAAGCCAATTTAACATTTATTTTGTTTGAATACCGTTTTACAATTTGGATTCATGAAATTAGCAGAAAATTCCCTCGCTTAACAAACCTTTCAGATGCTTCCAGCAGAGCAGGTTGCAAAGGCAAACTTAATCCCTGGCGAACAGCAGCAACAAAGTAAGTTTAAGCGAGCTCATCAAAAATTAAATGAATTTCTGGATCGCTTCTCTCTTCATCCTCATTCAGATGACTTTCTTCCAGCAATTTTATAATTGCCATACAAAAAGCAATTAAAACTTTTTTCCCTTTTGTTTGCAATGGAAGTAAAAGAAGAAGAACACGAGGAACAAAACGAAGAAGAAGAAATATTCATTGTATGAAGAAAGTTTTTTTCACTTGCTCAAAATCTAAGGAAAAGTTGTTGCAAGAAAATGCGAAGCAAAAAAAATTCTTTCCATATTTTTGTTGAAAACTTCTCGAGGCTCAATTTTGTGCTTGGTGTAATCTCAAGCTAAAACATTAACTTTCAAACCATCAAAGAAGTACAAAAGCTTTCTTTTTTTTCTTTGCTTTCTTCATCTCACTTTGTCAAACATTATTGAGGTCAAACCATGTTAATTAGACAAAAAGATGAAACTTTAACAATTTGGATTGGTTTCAGTGAACTTATCGTCACCTTTGTATGTGCTTGAAGCCACCTAAAGCTCTCAATTCAAAGAGAAACTTTTTATATTCCAAACTTATTCCAAAAAACATTGACAAAAAATGGTGCAGAATATTTTGAAACATAACAAAGATAAAAGCAAACTCGATTATTCCTTACCAAATGCTAACCAGCATCGTAGAAATTGAGATTCTGTTTATTTCAATCTAAATTTTGCTTCTGGAAAGCTATAACTCTCACCTGAATAAAGGCACAGCTTAATTTCTGGGGGTATGAAGAGTATAAAAACAATTATCCTTTTCATTAAGTAATCCGAGGTAAATTAATTAAACTACAAAAGTGCTCTTTTACTTTTGTGCTGACTCTTGTTTATAGTTCAATTGTGAAGTCTCCGGTTGAGAGTTTTCTCAAAAGGAACAAAAAAGGAAAAAAAGATTGAAACGACCAAATGACAGCATTTGTAAGTTTTGGTTTTGTTTCGATTTCGACAAGGCAATCATTAAGGTTCGAGGCAATCCTTTTTTTACAAGTGTTTTCATTCTCGAGCGTCATGAAATATTTATGAAAACAAATTTCACAAGCATATGAGGCCCCAGTTAGTAATGTTGAGCAAAAACGTGACTCAATTTGCGAATGATAAAGTACCTTTGCGGGATGCTCCCTTCTCCCCCTTAAATTGTAGAAAACGGAGGCGGCCGGAACCAAGCAAAGCATTCGCTTTTTCACGCCTTAGCATTTATTAATTATTCTGAGTTTTGTTGATATTTTTCGTGATTCTAATCTTCAACCCGAGCTCGTTTTTCTCGGGGCTCTGAGAGATTGTGAGAAGAGAAAGTTTCTTTTTTATTCTGTGAAGCCTTAAATTTTTTCTTCAAGGGTAGTAAAGAGACAGAAAGGTATTTGTTGGGTATCATCTCGTACTCGTTCCGCCTAGATCCACAATATCTCCTTTCGCTACACACCAGAATGTATAATTTTGATATCTCAGGTGAAAGTAATCAACGAAACAAATTTGTTAAATGTTTTGAGCATTATTTTTCGGGGTAGGAAATTTATTGTTTATGTACAACTTTTCTCGCCCTCCTTCCACCCTCTAAGTTAAAACGCTTTTTGCTGATACTTTATCTTCTCATGCCTTTGCAACAATAAGATTAAAATATTTGATCCCTACGAGCGCAGGCAGAGATGATACAAAACATTATGAGAAAGAAAAAAGAGAAGAGAAACCTTCATGTCATGGTTAAGCGTAAGGGACGCGCGGCTAAGCAAACTTTCATCAGTTTATTGAAATAACATCATTAATATTCGAAATTTTCATGAAATATTTTCACTTTTTCTCATCAACTCTCATCTCTAAAATATCTAAGTACTCGTTGTTCAAATATTAATTTTATACACTAGATGAAAGATTATGGATTTTCAAATAATCTAAATCAACATTTTTGTCTTTCAGCATCTTAACAGCCGACTAGATGTTAAGAGAAAAGTTTTTCATCAAATATTTTTTCAACCCTTTCCTTCATCCTCGCCCTCTGTTTTTCATTTACGTTTTCATCTCAAAGATTTTAGCAAATTCTCAAGATTTGTGTTACTGCTTTTTGTTTGAAGTGCTTTTCATGAACAAGAATTTTCCATCACAAGTTATGCTGAGGTGCCGATGGAATTCTGGTGCTTTGTTCTCAGGTTTTTCTCATCATCGTTTTTCATTCACCATGATGAGTCATGAAATTATTTATTTTCAACGAATATTTAATTCTTACTTTCTCCTCAGTCTTAGCTTTGAAATTATTGCTTTTTTCATGACGTTCTCACCTTTTTGACGTATTTCATCCACGGAAAACGACTCATCGTGATATTACAACTTTCATCTTGCCTTATAGAATGAATGAATCCAACAAGATCGTCGTCGTCGTCTGTTATAATTCCCACAATAAATCATTTGCATATGAAATTGAAAAATGAAAAATATTTCTTCAAAGTATCACTGCAGAGTGCACAGAATCTTGTGTATGGTGGAATATCAAGTTGATGAAGAACAACACATGAGAACCGTTAAGTATTTGTTTATTTCTCGCGCAACCTGTTTTAGACAAATTTGCAACGAAAGACGGAAGAACGATGAAGTAGATGAGTGGAAAATCATTTTTATGTATGTGTGTAACTTACATCGAAGTCAAAGTCGAAGTGAAGTCAGAACCAAAGGGGGACCCCAGAGACGTCAGATGTTTTTAAAGAAATTGGATTTTTTTTATCATGAGATATCTTTCTCGTGTCTGCCCTCGAAACATAAATTTTTAAAGTGAATTTAAGATGATGCACGTAGCAGCTATGAATTCAAAATGCAGCATTTTTCATAAGAATGCAAACTTGGGGAACATGAAACTTTAAATATTATTTTTCATTTTACCTCGTACATGATTAAAATTATTATCTCTGTTGTGTACTGATGATAAAAATTGAAAAAAGTATCTTTGACCATCTCGACTTACTTCGTAACTTCAATAACGTTCAAGATTATTTGCTCATATTGATTATTTAAGCTAACATTTCTAACTTACTTTATCACATGTTCTGTTCTTCTCTTTCCCCACTCTTCGCCTTCCACAACATTTCTCTTTGCTTTCTGTTCGCCTCAAACTTTTTACACCAAAACGACACGCGCTTAGTAGTCTTCTCCAAGCAGCGTGTTGAATTACATTGATAAACTCTCGTAAACGATCCATTGAGACTCCATCAAAACAAACACAAACGGAATAAGAAATGCACAGAAAATTGATATTACTTTTAATTAGTTTGTGTACTGTTGAAAAGACATCGACATTTGGAAAAAACAAAAACATTCCGAAATGGAAAAAGCAGGTACTGGATATAAATTACTCAATTAATTCATTCCATTAACACAAAACGTATTAATTGAATTTTTACCTTGCTTTTGTGTACGGTTGCGAAGCCCTTTTTCTACACATTTTTTTTCTCGCTTTTGTTGTCCAAGCCGATGTCAGAGACTTCATTTGCTGCTGCTTTTGTTGTTCTCAACCCATTTCTCGAATCGTTAACATTCGGGCTTATTTTCGCTACCAAAAGCCGATGTTTCGGTTAGAAAAAAAGAAAACGTTGCTTTTATGTGCCGGTCCGTTATAAATTCAATTAATAATTTTTTATGTGTACGAATGTAAAGAATTATGAGCTGAACAGATGATGATTTTTGTGCGGTTTTATTAACCCATTATTCTGGAAAATATTTTTATTTTTATTTGCGTATTTCCCTACCTACAACATCAATATATAAACGTACACTTATGTGTTGTGTATAAGGCTTGTGAAGTTCCACAACAAAACCAATATTCACATTACAAATGTGATGAGAATGGTGATTTTAAATGCCTTCCAGGTAAGCTTCATGCTTTTTGATTTTTATTTTATAGATATAGCAATATAAATAAAAGTAGTTATAATTTATAAAACTATAATTATTTATATTAATTTATAAAAATTCCTATCAATATATTTTATAAATACATGCTTAAAACATGTTTTTCAGAGACGTTCAAGTTGATGATCATAAAAAAAAATTGATTTTGAAAATACATAAAATTTTCACCATCAATATGAAATCACTCGTATGAAAATTTTTATTAATTCATCAAAAAATAAACTTTAAAGGTTGGCAAGGAGACCTTTGTGATGTTCCATTGTGCAAGCGAAATTGCGATCCACAACAAGGTTATTGCAAGCGTCCCAACGAATGCCGATGTAAGCTTGGTTTCTATGGCGAGTTTTGTGAACGATGCATCCCACTTCCAGGATGTCAGAATGGTGGATGTCGAAAACCATTTGAATGTGTCTGTCACAAAGGATACGAAGGAATCTTTTGTCAAGAACGTAAAGAAATAATTTAATTTAATTTAATTTATTTTGAATCACATCTTTAAGGAATTTCATTTGTATTTCATTCATTTTAAAGCAATCTGTCGTGAAGGTTGCCATCCAACGCACGGATATTGTGAGACTGCTGGTGAATGCAAGGTAATTACAAACTTTTCAAAAATAATGTGGTTTCATTAACTTCATCCTCGTCATAAATTATTCAAAAAAGATAAAAGCTTTTTGACGTCATCAAAATTAAAGTTTTCTGTTTGAAATTCGATTAAAGTGTCGCATTGGATGGACGGGTAAGACTTGCAGAGACTGTCAAGTTTTGCCTGGATGTGTTCAAGGAACATGCACGAAACCATTGGAATGTCGATGTTTGCCGGGTTGGACAGGCTTCTTATGTGATCAAGGCAAGTAAAGTTTTTTGCATTACAAGGACACTTCTGCTAACGTCGATATTTTAAATCATTCCAGCAATTTGTAGTGGAAATTGTAGTCGTCATAACGGATATTGCAGGAAACCAGGGACATGTCGTTGCAAGGTTGGATGGCTTGGAGATGATTGCACTAAGGTACATAAATATTTAAATGCAGAATCTTGCACTTTGAATAAATTTCAAGACTTACAAAGACAACGACAATGACAACGACAGTCAAGTGAACTTTTTTGTTTTCCTATTTCTTCCATTTTTTATATTTTTGTTTGTGACAAAATTCTGAAGCAACAAAATATACTGAAAATATTTATGTAGCGGACATTCAAAATTAAAATGTAAAATGCTGAAACAACAAAAAGCAACTTTATTAAAATGTTTCTTTTTTTTCGCTTAATCCTCGGAATTTTTAGTGTCATCCATATCCAGGCTGCAAAAATGGCAACTGTAAACGACCATGGGTAATTAAAGTTGAAGCATTTCTTCTTAATTTTTTATTATCTAAACAAATTCTCATGAAAACATCAACATTTTCATTTACACTTTAGGAGTGTAATTGTCATAAAGGTTGGGGCGGATTTCTTTGTGATGAAGAACTCAATTATTGTGAGAAGAATCCAAATACATGTCAAAATGGTGGAAAATGTTCGTCGTTAACCAAAGACGATGGTTATTTCACATGTGAATGTCCAGCCGGATATCGTGGTGAGAGATGCGACCGAACAAACATGACATCAATTAGTAAAGTTTCTGTTGTTACACCACTGTTAATGGTTCAGACATCTTCACAAAAACCATTATTAAGTGAACGTAATGCCACAACACCAATTGCAATTTCAACAACTGAACTACAACACATGACTATAGAGATGCTTCACAACAACGACGATAACGAAACATAATATTTTCCTGTTTTTCTGTTGTAAAGTGTCGTATGAAATTTCATCCGCATTTAAATTTTTCTCTGTTTAATAAAAGCTCATAGTGATAATTAAATTACTGTGTAGACTCCTTCTCATCCACAGAGTGAAAAACAGCACCTTGTAAACCCTTCTCATCTCCGGCCTTTTCCTTCCTTCACTACATTTAGGAAATATTTATAATTTACGTTTGTTCTTTTAATTTGAGACTTATTCAATATTAAACGTCAACTGCGAATGTTGCCGTTTGTGACTTTTAAAAGCAGAAGGATCGTTGAATCTGAAATGCAATACTGATGATAACATGAAATAATTTCACATGTTCAAACGCTTCACTCGTTTCTATGAAATTCGATTACATTTTTTTATTCGGTAATATTTTATTTAATGGTTTTCCGAGTAACTCGATACACAACATTGAATGCGCTTGACTTTTCGTCCTTCGATCAATACATAAACAAAAATAAAGAGAAACTTTCCAAATTAATGTAATTTTAGCTGTTAATCGATAATTGACTTCAACGCTTCCACCTTAAATGAGCAAGTTCAAAATGTTAAATCGCGTAACGAGAATCCATAGAAAGTTTCGCTTATCCATCGTTCTTTATGATGAGAAATTCCATAGCTTTCGATGCTTTCATTTCTCGTGAAAGAGTTTCTCATGAACTTTGATATTCAGTGAATTGAAAACATAAAAGGGGAAGTTTGTCGGAAGGAATGTTAAGTTGATGGACTTTGTTGGAATTTCAATGAATCGATATTTTATTACCGACATCAATCGATAGGAAAAAGGAATTTAAACTTTTTGAATTAGTTGGTAAAGATATTTATTCAGATTCAGTCAAATCAAGATCAACGAGAATTGTCTCTATGAAAATGTACATCGATATCGAGACAGTTTAAGATGATTCGATGGAATGTCGGTGATTTAAGGAAAGTGACTTTTAAAACTGTGATATAAAAGCTTTTGGTTGAATCTTTTTTAAATTACTTTTTTTTTGATATTAAAGTAGCAGATAGCATGTTGATGTCTCATTTAGCTATTAAAAAAGCAACTTACATATGTACACAGGATAGAATTTTCACACAAAACTTGTTTAATGAATATTCTAGATTGTTAGTTTTGCTGTTTGCGTGACTTGTGACAAACTTTATCAGTCCAAATGTTTATATCTAGTAGATAATTATATTCTTCAGGGCGTGTTAACTTAAAATCATTTCAACAAATATTCATTAGCTTCAACATTTCTACCTTAATACGATAAATTTCATTTAAACATCAATTTGATTGTAATGTAAATAGAACCTTAAATACAACAAATATCAATTCAATATGTTTCTATTAAAATTTTCCTGTTGCCTCTAAATGTGTTAACTTAACTTAACTTAACATTTCCAATTTAATAAACGATGAAATGTTGTGACACTAACTGGTCGATACAATCTTTGGGGATTGTTACTGGGTAAATCTTTGTTTTCTTACGGAAATTTCTATCCAATAATGCTAATGTCTTACGAAGCAAACATAAAAACTTTTTCCATAACAGCAATTGTTGGGAAAGTGTCACACAATCGCGATTTCATGAAAAAAGTTTTCTTTTTTTCTTACTTACTTGTTGGGACTTTGGAAGGACGAATTTTCTTCTCCACGAAAGTTCAGAATATTTCCTAAGCGTCAAAAGAAGTGAAACAATTGGAAGTTGGCACTAAGATGTAGTGAAACTTTTATTAAGAAGTTTTCTAAAAGTTTTAGTCTTCTTAAGGAAAAGCTCTTTAGTAGGAATATTACTTATATTTATTAAACCAAAATCCAGTGATTTCTTTTTCTTTAAACACTTTTCTTTACGGTGAATGTCAATGTTCTTTTCCATACCTAAACCGCCTACCTTTAAACCCACTTATGCATTCAAACATCGACAAGACGTAAATTATTGATTGCAATTTGTTAAAAGTAAACGTTATGATAAATTCTAAACAATTTCTCTCATTCAATTTCGCTTTCTTCTTAGGATTCTTCTCCATCGACACTTTTGTAAGGTGTATGTACGTGTAAAAGATTGAATTGATTTCGTTCAATCGATATGCGTAAAATATTTCTTCCTCCATTGTGATCGAATGAGAAAATATGCTAAATATATTACCACTCATCTATAACAATGTCTTTCTGCTACATAAAACGCTTCTTCTTCTTTTCTTTCTTATTTCTTTGCTCTCTTTCGTCTATGATAAAAGTCGTTTTGGTATTGAATGAAAAATGTATTAACACGTAATGTATTTGTATCAATTTCATGCGGGAGGTTGAATGGTGTTTGAAAAATTGCAATAGAACGTTTATCACTTCAATGTGGTATCTGTCTTGTAAAGAATAACTAGTCGTTTATCACAAACAGTTTTCATCTCATTATTTAACGAGAAGGTGAAATAAATTCTTTATGCATTACAATGTTTACTCGACCTCAATGGATCCGTAAGTCACTGCAAATTTTAGGCTTTGGAAATTCTTTTATTCTTGCCTTTTGTCAATCCTGAAAATTAAATTTTCTGCTTTCATGTAATGATGAACTTTTGTTTATCATTGTCAATGATTTGCTGAAAAGCTGCTCTAATTTTTCATAGGCATTGAAGAAATCATAACAAAAGCCATGACTGTAGAATTTTTCTTTATTTCACAGCACATTATTTTTAATTAACCTATATTGCTGTGCAAGTTTTTAATTACACCGTAGCATTCATGAAGCTTCCTTTGTTGTCTCACATTAACTTCACATCCGTTTTCATTCTTTTAGTTTAAAAACAGCAGCAAAATTTCCTTTTAACCGTCTTCATGTCATATTATCTGCGATTTTACATGCATGGATGTACATGATTGAAAGAAAAACAAAAGGATTCAGAAGCCATGGTAAAAAGCCATAATATTTTATGATTGAACAGAATATTGCTTGCAGGAAAATCAATGCCAGGAGCGAATCAAGAGAAAAGAGAAAACATATTTAAGTTGTTTCTTCTTTGACTTTTCATGCGGAGTTTCTCAGTGTAAACATGTGTACGTAAAGATAGGAATACAAAACATGAACGATGGTTAGAAGTTTTCCTTCAATTATGGGTCTTGAATATAAATTTTGCATAAACATAGATAATAGGATAGAAGAAATTTCTAAATTATTGGTGTATGTTATAATAAAATTTTTAATGTTTCCTTTTCTCCCTCTTCCACTCTCTTTAAACTGTTAATTGCCATGCATAAGAATTGAATGGAGACTTCAAAATACATTATGATATAAGTAATGGAAAAAGACGCTTTCATTGTTCATGATCTTTAATTCATTCTTTTATGCTTAGCTGTATCATCATAATGTGTACGTTGTAACGATATTTATGTTGAGAATAATTTCCAAACCTTGCATGTGTGTAGTGTGATGATATACTCAAGGCTGAGGCCAGCAAGCGTCCAAAATGAGAAAAACTTGATATGAGGAGAAACAAAAATAAAGATAAAAAGAAAAAGGAAAGCTTTCATAAGCAGTAGGATCATGGAAAACGTAAGCACATCTTTTATTTATCAGTACATGCCAGCAAAGAGGCGAAACAAAATAATAATAAAAACACAAAGAAAGTTACGAAAACATATCGCGGCAATGTATGATCTTATGCTCATAAGAATTTTATTCAGGATTGCGTATAAAACAAAAGAAAGATAAAAGAAGAAACAAAAATTTAGGAAGCTTTATTTAGAAACACGATGCAAATTTCCTTTTTATTCATTTTCTTTACAACAAATGCTATATACTTCTTTTTTTCCACCATACCCAAATATGAACAGGAGAAAGTGTCTAAAGCGAAAAAGGTGTATGAAAGAGTTATGGTTGTGCCGTAAAAGCTGTTTGGAAAACAAAGTATACATATAAAGCCATATCGTGGCGCTTTTCTTATACAATTTGTTTGATTAATCACTTGTGTGCTTCTTTCTATCATTTACTGACTTTGATGTTCTTATACTTGTCTTGTTAGTGACATTCGTGACATATCAAATAAAACATATTTCTAATCCACTGCATTATCAATTAAATTATCTTTGACACTTTCCATCAAGGTGGTTATATTACAATTTTTTAGAGCACTGTTTATTACACGACCACGACAAGTTGGCAAACTTTCATGCGGTGAGATCGTTATTGACCTTCATCAGTTTTTGACATGATATTAGACTGGAAAGTAAACCCACTTTTGAGGATTTATTGTGCGGTAAATATCACCTTTTTCTTTCTTTTTTCCGCCTTCTTTCCTTCATCAAATATCTAAACCAAACCAAGAAAAAATTATTAAGAAGCAAAATAAAAAAAAAGAAGAAAATCTCTTCAGAAGAATCCAATTCAATTTCCAACTCGTCTCATCTTATCAGCTTATTTTCTGTTGGTCTCTTACTTGCACATGAGAGTAAAAGAAAAAAGCGCTAACCGTAGCATTATTTTCAATAAAATTGTACGAGAAAACTATTAAAATTGATTTTCTTCGAATGCTTAAGTTTCTTTATTCTTCTTTTCGTTTTTCGTTGAGATTGAAAAACCTACTTTTATCTGATTGATTTTCTTCCTTCCCCTTATCGCTATGCTCGCCACTGAACGTGACTAGAATCCGTAAATCGACGTGTCCAAGTCCATGAGAATCGATTGAGACAAAGTTGCCAAACAATCAGGTCCTAAATGGGTGATAAATAGAAAAGAAAGCAGAATAAAATTGAAATTAGAGTAAGTTGAGTGTGCGTTAGTTTTGTGAGTATTTGTGATTCTTCTTTGTCCTACTTATATTCGACCCTTTATTTACTATTTGTTTTGAACACAGAAAATATTTTCTGTCACCCGCCTCCCAAAGAATGTTCAGAGAAAAGTCTTTTTCAAGATCACAGAAACTTCCGTTTCAGTGAAATCAAACTGAAAATGACAATATCAGGTAAAAAAGTTTTCTTTCTTCTTACCTATTGAATGGCAGATAAAAAGTTATTGCAATTCCACCTGCAACAGTCAGAAAATAAAAGTTTTTCTGCATGAGAAACCAATTACATTATTTTGAAATAGCTCTTGTTTTAGGTTTCTTTAAGAATCACTTATTAATTTTATTAGTCTTTGACTTATATTTTTAAACATAGAAATATGTTCTAATAGAAATCAATTTAAGAAAAGGAAACAATAAAACTTAAATTCTCACGTGGAAGTTTTACTTAACTACTTACATAACATTTATTACGTAAATGTTGAACAAAGATTACCCTTGAATTTTCATGAAACTTTCCTAATATTAACTTTATTTGTAGTAAAATTTACTTTAAAATTTATGTTAGCTTCAGGACACATTTAAGAAAAGAAGAAGAAAAAAAAATAATCTCTGAAAAATGCAAAGAAAAGTTTTCATGTCGAAAAAAGAAATTTTCAAGATTTTTTCCCTGTTTCTTAAAATAGATTATAGTCACAGAGCTTCACAGAACGGATTCAAGATGTTGTAGCCAAAGATATAAAATTGTATAATTGGATCAAAATATTCATGCGGAAAATTAAATTTTCCCATGAATATGAAAGAGTGAAAGAGTAGAAGAGGTCCAGGGATGGAAGGTTGCGTCAAAACCATTGTGAGAGTCACGAGTTCAAAAGAAAATTTATTGAATTGTTCCTTTCTGTCACCCCTCTGGTAAACGAAAAGTTTGCTTTATCACTTAATCTATAAAATTTATGCAATGTGGTCGTGTTAACTCTATCTCCATATAGCGGGAAAAGAACAAGTCTCCCTAATTTCTAAACTAGGTACTTTATTTAGAAAAGTTTGAGTAGCAATCATTAAAGTCATGAGAAAATTAGTCGCTTGTGCCAAAATTGAAAGTGGAAACTAAGAAAACTTCTACGAATTTGATTAAAATTTTGCTTTATCGTTCAATCTATTCAATTTATGCAATGTGGTCGTGTCATGTCTGTTTGCGGAAGACATAAAATAAATTTTCCTTTACTAAAGCCGCCCATACCCGCCATTCACTCCGATATGCTTTGAATCACTGTTTTCAGGAGGATGGCTTCATTAAAAATTCAATTTATCTAGCTTTTCTCTAAATTCGCTTTCTCTCAACTCGCAATTTGTTCAAACTGTGATTATAAATAATCTGATTATCTTATGGTTAGCCCATAAGTGCTTCAAGCTTCTTTCCTAAGGTTTCGGTGATAACTTCTTCCTTATTCTTTCAACTGAAATCATGTGTCATTTACCATCATCCTATTTGTCAAAACTTAAACTGAAAGCCTAGGGATTCAGATTAAAAATAAGGAGAAAAATATAAAAAGAATGAGATGGAAGTTTGTTAAGTAGCAAGCACAAAACATTTGAAAGAAAATCTTTTTCATAATAATTGCAGATTTATATAAACTTATTAGCGTTAGTTACAATTACTATGATTAAACAATGATTAAATTTTAAGCAAAACATCAATTTGTAAATTCACATCCACTAATTCCATTCTCAATATCCCCTCAACAACGATTCACAACGATAAAAAACATATCGTTCTCCATTAAAATTTGATTTAGTTATTAGCATATATTTGTAATCATTATATCGTGTATCTGTTAGCTTATACAAACTCTCATCATCCCACTAGATTAATAAAAAGTTATGGTTATTAAAATGTGGGCTACGATGGGCTTTGATATATCAAAACTGATGTTATGCACGCAACTTACATAAATATTGATTGTTTTGATAAAATATACTTTTGTGTTATTGCATAATTTGCAATGTTTTCGACGCTCAAAATTTTTCCTCCCTTCGTCTCACATTTGATGCCATCATCGTGAACAAGCGGAATGCTAATCAAACGAAATCATGCAAATAATGCGGAAGGGATCGATTTGTATATTGCTATGCCGTGTGGGAGTTTTTTCTGCTCTCTCACTCTAACTTTCTCTTCTTTTTGTATATTTTTTATTTATTTTTTGTGAGTTCAACGACGAATAATTGTCCACGTTCATTTCCCAATGGGCGTAAAATTAAGTTTGCAATCTCTTAATTTTCTTAAAACTTTTGCAATTTTCAAAGGAAGTAAACTTTGCTACACCATGAAAATCACAGCACGAAGAAAGCTTTGAAAGGAATCTGAAGAAAGCTTGTAATAAAACAACGATAATAAAAGAAAGTTTTGCTGTTCCATGTAAACATAAATTCTAATTCCATCTTAATAAACATAACAAATTACACAACTCTACTAATCTCCTCAAACTAAAGTTAACATTAATTTATTTCCAACCTAGTACCGAGTTTTCTTAAGCAATATTTATTTATTTATTTGTTCATTTTCCTCGGATAATTTTTTTTCGTTCTCTTCTGATGTTGGAATGTTTGAAAGTGAAAGACGCTTTGTGTGTATGGACTATGGTGTGGAAGATAAAGTGGAGAAAGGTGAATGAAAGGACGTGGATGAAGGAAATTAAATTAAATGCTTTTTTTTTCTCGTGAGAGAAATTTGTTGTCATTCGTCGTACAGATGTCGTGCACGACAAAACTAATTAATATAGCAACATGGTTAATTAGATTAAAAGTTTGTGTTGCTTCTAAGAGGTGGAACCTATCCTTTCCTTATCAATTAAACATCGTTTTATTAAAGTGTAGAATTGAATTGAATCAAACGAATTCAATGAAAAGCTGTGACTATCAATTAACACATTATTGACATGCTTCTATTGAGATAGACAGCTTGGTGGGTGTTAAAAAACCTTTAAAACTTGAAGCATACTTAATTTAATTAGAAATTTTATTTGTTGGGAAAATATTAAGAACATCAGTTGATATTTGCTTAGATAAAGAAAGGAATTTGAAAAGAAACTTTTAAAATTCTTGAAATCAGAAAATTTTCTGCAGAAACATCCGACAATACCCAATCAGGTTTCAATTCATGATTCGTGAATAAATAAGTCACGTGAATAATTTTTTTTTTCAGTTATCTATGCACAAATTACACGCACAAAATAGGACTTATTCCACTAAAACAAACTCTTGACGATGCAACTGTTTTATATCTTAAGAAAAATGCCATTTTTATTTTTATTATTTTTGTGTGTAATTTTTATAAGTGTGTAAATTTTGTGCTCTAAGGTTTATTTTGAATGATCGATAAATGAATGTGAATCTTAACTGGCAAGGGTAAGTTTAAAGAAAAGTTCATGTCATAATTAGAAAAATCTTTCGTTGAAATATTAATTATGTAGCTGATGAAAGGTAAATAACAAGATGGTCTGATTTAAACTCGTTATGATTATTTTCTATTATGAGATTTCCTGCAATTGTTCCTTTATCACAAACTGGAACATTCACAACTAAATCAAATGTTTAAAAAATTCTTCTAAATATTCAAAATCGTTCTGAACAGCGACTTTTGTGAATATTTGCATTGTTTCTGTTAAAGTAACATTTCCACCAATTTCCAATTTTCCGTTTATGATTTTAATGTGCTTTCAATTCTTCAACACAATTAATAACAACAAAATCTTGATTTCATGTGATCGACGATAAATACCATGCGCTGTATTTCCTACTACATATGTACTAGCATTTGAGCCTTGTCGCTACATTTTCCTGATGTGCTTCAAATATCCTCGATGGAATAAGCTTTGTGCAATTCACGATCACAATCAAAGAACAATTTAAACTGCTGTTTCATACAAACTGTTTCAATTGAACTGCAATTTCCTGTTCCACATGAATCAATGTTCTGACGTGTCTTAGTAATATTCAAATCTTCAATATCTACACTTCACAATTTTAACAAATTTTAATTTGCATCTGAAGCAAGCGATTTAAAAGCATCTAAGATGGGACGATAGCCAGGACAACGACAGATGTTACCACTGAAAGAATTCTCAATTTTTTTCATCGTTATTTTTCCTTTATGCTTTTCCAACAACGTATACATATTCATAACCACTTCTGAATGACAATAACCACATTGAGTTCAATTAAAGTTTGCTAAATGTTTTTGCACTTGATGCATTCCTTTTTTCTTGCCTCCAGTTGCTTCAACGGTAATTATGTGGAGCATGTGACATGAATAAATTTTTTACAAACACTTTGATATGAAACAAGATGAAATTAATGCTGTTGAAAAGAACTTTGATAATATTTTACAGAATTAACAGCCCATGTGATCTTTTTCTTCGTAATAGGATACATTCCTTACAAAGTCACTATGCATGCTCCAAATCCTTCTAAGCACATGAACATTGTTCCAGACAGATTTGCATAATTTCGAATGAAAGTGTTTAATGATGTATCGATCGAGACAGTTCCAGGCGAAACTGTGTTGAAACAATTGAGTTATGATAAGAAGTTAATAAGATTTAAAATACTTACTCGTGTAAGACTTTCCATTCATTGTGAAGAAGACTGCCATGCTTTGAAGAGAAGAGAAAAGATAATCGAGATAATTTTCGATAAGCACAAATAATCAACTTTTCCAAAAGTTCATGAACAAGTTATTAAAGATGATTACGCAAATACAGAAAAGTTTGAAACTATGAATTTGAACCAGTTTTGATATTTACGACACAATTATTTCTGAATCAATTCTTGTTGAATTTAAGATTACTTGTGCAGTTGAAAGGAATTGATACCTGAAGGGACTAAAAAATTTCTCGATATTAACTTTTTTTTTATTATTATTCTTGTTGTACTTGCACTGTAATTAAAATTAAAACTCTAATTGAAACGAAACTGAAAAGCGATCTGAAGTCAAACTTTTTCATCTGAACACTTAAAACGAAACTGAAATTCCTTCTCGCTTACTTTAAATCTTTAAACATAATTGCAAGCGATTTTGCCGACTCGTTATGTATATTTTTCATGTTCATGCTTTTATACAAAAATAACGGTATAAATCCTTAAGATGCAACATATCGATGTTATTTTTTTCATAAAGGTTAATTGCTTAAAGATTCAATTATATCTACGAAATAATTGATGAACTTGTCGATTACAATATGAAATTTAATTTTAACTTATTCATTTGTTATTTATGGTATTAATGGAAAAACATCACACACGCAAAACGTTAATTTACTTTCATTGGCATAAAACAACATAAAATATTTGCTTTCAAGTTCAAAAATTCTTGAAGTTTTCCAGTCGCCAAACATTATGTAGGCAGGAGAAAAAGAATGAAGATGGATCAAAAATTTTGCCTCAATACACTCGACGTTTTAATGTTATGACAGCATGAAATGGTAATCGACAAAATTAGAATACAAGAAAAACAGAAAGCCTTTGAGTTCAAAGAGAACAAAGTAACACAGGGAATAAAGAAAATCTTGAAAATTATTAGAGTAAATACAAATCAGACGGAAACTTTTTAACATTATAACAATTTTAATTATTTAACATCAAACTGAAAGCCAAAATATGTGGGAATCAAATCGATTTGAATTTATTTATTGTACCGGTTAGAACCGGTTCAGTTCAGTTAACGTTGAGGCGCCGAACTGGATGGACGCAACAAATAAAGAATACGATTTATAACGTTAATTAAAGTGTTTTATTAGCCGGAACATTTATTGTTAATTTTTTGTGAAGAAACCCGGCATTTTATGATTGTTTACTCTAAATATTAAAATAATTGAATCGATTTTCTGTTCATGACGTTGTAATTTTTTACATCTTCTTCGAAGCATCTTTACGACTTTTGGCATACTTGCAGACATCAAATTATTGTTTTAGGCTGCAAGACGTCACAAGATGTGAAGAAAACGCAAACAGGAAATATTCTCGATCTTATTTTGAAATCTTTTTCGTTTCAACTTAATTCATTAATTATAATATAAATAAATAAATATATGTGGCGATCATCAATTTACACTCAAAAAACTTAACTTAAGAAGTTGAAATGACAGAAATTAAATTTTTAAAAGTAATTCTCATAATATTTCCATCTGAAAAGTTTATGCAAAGAATGTAACATTTCACTATTCAAATTACTTTTTCAAAGCGACAATGAGGACAGAGAAAGCATTGGTGATGTTAATTTCTTTTAAATGTAGTTCTGTCAGCTCAAATTATCCAAGGCATAACGATATTTTAATTTTGTGTCGCTTGCTCTTTATGCTTTCGTGTATAAATTTGTGAAAAGAAATGAGAAGAGAAACGAAAAAGTCAAAAAGGCTTAGATACACAACAATAAGTCCCTTCTTCCTACTCACAGGCAGTCCCTATTCTCTCATTCACTCGCACTTAAAATTGAATGCTCCTCGTAGATAATTCTTCTTTTTCTGTCGACTTTGGACAAACATTCATTAAAAAGGACTTTAAAACTTATTCCTCGCAATGTTGAATGAGAAGATTTATGGTTCTTAAAATTGTTGACTTGTGCTCATTTCAAATGAGGGGGAGAATGTTGGAGATGTTGCTGTCTCCATTTATTTTATTGTATTCGAATTATGGATGGCTTAATTAGAGCTTTCACGGAGAAACGGAGATGGTAGTTGAAAGAGATGAAGAGACACTGACTGTCTCATTATCAATTCAAATGTGTTTTGTTAACGGAAGGATAAATGACGGTAATTAGAAGAGACTTTTGCAGAGATTTATTGTTTGCGGTCTTGACTTTTGCATTTCTCATTCTTAATATATGTCATGTTGTTGTTTCTGTTGATATAAATTCTGAGATCAAATATTTATTATATTTAACACTCACTTGTTCTCAATGCAAATAAATAACTTGGAAATAATGTTTGAAGAATTCATTCAGAATTTAAGAGAAAAACTTTGATGAAGAAGGATTTAAAACCAATAATCTGAGACTTGAAAATGAGATGAAACTCGTATATTTTTAGATTATCTATCGGCATTAAGATGAACATCTGAAATTTTATATTTCTAAAATTTTTTCCAAGAATTTAACGATGGTACTCTTAGATACTCTTAGATATAAAAGTTATCTTTCGCTTAAATATTTAAAAGCTTTTCTTGAAAGGATTATTTATTTTTACGAACCTATCCTTGCCTAAATTTGATTCATTTTGTTGTTTCTTTTTTTCTGTAAGTAAATAAATGTATAATTACTGTAGATACTGAAAAGTAATGTTTATAAAATAAATTCACCTATTATCATTTCCCAAGCGACTTCAATTTATTATGTTCACATTGCCATATCTTAGTATCATGAATAAAATCTCATCTATCGTACTGCATAAATAAATCAGTCGCATGCTTCAAAAATAAGAACATAAAAAAAATGTTGAGTTTTTTCTACGTTAATTACATCAATAAAAATAATTTATAATTTTTTTTATTATTCGCCAAACACCCGCAAAAAAAGGAAAGCTTCACAATATAAAAGAAAAAAAAAGATTTATGATTAAACCATAGAGCGTTAAGAATTTCTGCTGCCAAAATGATACTATAAAATTATAATAAAGAAAAAAAAGAAATCTCACCCACTCTTCGTGATGATGAGTCGGTGATAACGAGAATACATTGATTAAATTTCCTAAGTCCAACGCAAATGCGAAATTTGCGAGACGATTTCATCGAACATGATAAAGCTCTTTTTCTATTTCGCTCATCCTGAAGTAAATAACTTGCGAATCTCACCACAAGTGGCGCTATTGTCACAATGAAGAATACAATTTGCCCAGATCGGAAAAGTGTTTCTGAAAAAGAGAGAAAAACTCGATTTCTCGATGAAAAATATTCAGTTACGCGTTGACATATCGAGTGAGAGGCCACAAAATTTTTCTGCAAGTGTTGCGAACAGAGTAAAAGTGATTTTTTTTTGTTTATGAAATATTAATGTTTATACTGGCACAACGTATATTTTGCATACAAAACAATGAAAAATAAATGGCTTTATGATGTTACGTGATTGAAATTTGTAAACAAACCGTGTAGCCTAAATAAAGGCACAAACATATTTACAAAAGAACTAGTGGAAATAGCGAAAATTTTTGGAGTATCAAAGAAGAAAAATTAAAAAGATTGCAGTATATGTAGGTTAATGAAAGTTTGAATTAAAAGCTTTTATTTAGAATTAAATTGAGCATGCTGGCAAATCCCTTTGACGATACTATTTAATGACTTTCTTTTCAATTAAATTATTCTTTTACTGAAAAATGGTGATACGGAAAGATATCATAAGCTTAATGAGTAAATGAATGCTGAAATGCATTAAATATCTCATGATTTTCATTCTTCCATTCTCAAAGTATTGTCAACAATAATTTCCAAAAGCTTACCCTTTGAATCAAGCTTAATGTTGAACCCTTGTAGTGGAAACTGAAAAGTAAACTCAAATTTTATGCTTATACGGATTATTCGGCTTAATGTTTTTCTAGTTTCATTTTTAAGCTTCACAAGCATTAAAAATTTTTAAACGAAATAAGCTCGTCGGAGATAATATAACCAGTCACGACACTTTTACTTCGTTTTTTAGAGTTTTCAATTCTTAACAATGTTAGAATGATGAAGGACAGATAAAAACTAAACGCATCCTCATGGATAAAGAAGCTTTTTAGACAAATTGCATTAGTTTATTAGAAAAAAGAGCTAGACAAAATATGCTATAGAAAGAATTATGATGATGAAGATTAATTATTCATTTCTGACTGGTGTATGCCGTTCATATCGTTTAGAGTAATGAAAAAAAACCGAAAATAATTTGCCCTAGACACCATCAACTATTTGAAAAGGACATTCATTCTATGATGTTCTACTGTGCGTACGATTTCAAGACCGTTTTTGCCGCCATTGTGATAGATTATAGTCGGACTCACATCATTAACGAAAATTTATTGCGTGAATCAGACAAATTGCTTTGAATGTGCGATAGGTCGACTAGTGTTTATCCACTTTGGTGGAATGTATTCTATGTTGAAGGCGATGCGACCATTTAAATTTATCAACCTTTCTTGTTGGCTTCTCTCACATCCGACAGATCGTTTATCGGGTAACCAACGTGGACAATACTAGAAGAAGAAGAAAAAATCAATCGTGTCATGAAACACACGCTCAAGTCTTCTTCATATCGTTTAAAGAAAGAGCCCGTAAAAGAACCCAAACATAACCGTCCGGCAAAGGAAGGATAATATTTATGATCACCCATGACACAAAGAGCAGTGACATGAACAGAGAAAAACCAAAAATAAATGTGCACAATCAACTTCAAAACACTCATCATTAATAAAATAAATCAAAAAGATTTCTTTGGACATTCAAGAGTAGAAAAGGGCACAATTCAAAGCATTCCTGAACCTTTTCTCCCTTTCAGAAGAAAGAAAATTATCAAAATAGATATAAAAAAGTATATGTGTTTGAATCATCTTTTGAAAGTTCTTGTGAGATGAGTTTCTGGAGAAAAGAAGTTTGGAAAATAAAAAGAAAATTCACGAAAATTATTTTGAAAGTGCTATGGAAAGCATGTGATGATTATAGCACAAAAGTTACCCTCTGTATAATTATTTATGTATATCATAGCAAAGGTTGTTAAAAAGAAATAAAGAAATGGCAAACAAGAATGTATTTATACGGAAAATTAACTGCAATTTCATAAAGCGTGGTTGTTATATGTGTTGTTGGATGGCGTATCGTGTTTGATAAGCCATAAATTGTTATAATTTTATTTTTTTTCCCGCTGTTTTTATGCACTCTTTAGATTTCATCCGTTACGAGTTTATTAGAAAGCGCTCAATAATTAGTTCAACATCAATGGATTTACGGCACGACATGAAATTTATTTTTCCTTCACTATTTTACCCGGAAAATGATCATGAACTTGTATATTTATAGTCTTGATTAGTCGATAAAGAATTACAATTCTAGAGCTTATTTATTGCCACTTTTTCTCATCTTTATCATTTGGAACACGTCTGTAAATAAGAAAAAAGAACAATAAGATATTTTAAAATGATTTCCCGAATGCCTTCCATTAAATTTTCAAGTAATTTATGAACATTGAAAGTGTAATAACTCGAGCGCAATGAAGCCATACAGTAAAGTTTCTTTATAATTTCCTTCAAAGAAGACCTTGAGGTCTGTAAAGCTTTTAACCTTCAAAACAAATTTCTGTCTTTAATTAAGACATTTTTATTCAAATGCAAACGTTTTCCGTAAAGAGAAGAAAAAGTTTTTTTGGCAAATTTCCCCGCTAAACAAAAAGTAAACAAAATGAAGCCTGAATAAAGTAGAAGGGTTCGATATTTTTTCAGAGACAGAGCAACAAAAAAAGATGAAAATAAGGGAAGTTTTATTTTTTATGGGAGAAAGGAAGTAGAAAGTTTTCAAAACGCGGCTTTAAATGGCTTTCAAGAAAAAAAAAGTTTCCAGTTTGTCCAAGCGAACTTTCAATGAATTCTATTTCAAGGCAATTTCTTCCCTCACTGGATTTGCGTGACTAATTAATTCCTTTTTATTGTTTTTCTTTAACAATCAAAAGGGAAAGAGAAAGAATTTGCATTTTTATTTATGTTGTTCGCTCTACAGAAACGAGACTAAAAAAAATTCGTCGAAGGAATTTCTATTCATTTTTAATAATTGGACCTTTGTGGTGAAGTATAACACAAACCGCCTTTGAATGGTGTAAAGGTTTGTGAAACACGCACACAGAATTTAGCTTTTAGTTCTTTTTTGAGAAAAAAAGAGAAGAAAATCAACCCTTTTTCAACAACCTCACCGTTAAACTATGAATGCCAATAATCTGACTAATTTGAGCTTATTGCGTGCTTTAGTTTATCGTAAATGTTTAACAGAAATATGCAGTTTTAGTTTTCTAATCGTGTTTGTAAAAGAACCATAATCCATGTGAATAGAAACAGCTGCCGACTACTTAGCCCGAATATTGAAAGTTAACTTTAGATTTTAAAAGCTTTTAAACGTAACGTATCAATTGGTTACGCTACGGTAACGCTAACAAAAGTAACAGTGGATGTTCCAGTTATACCATACGCAAATGAAAAGTAATCGCATGACCTTTTCCAACCTCGCTAGCACCTCATCTTTTTAATTGAGATAAATTGACTCTTATAAAAACAATATTATTTTCCATTTCCAGGGCAAAATGGAAGCATTTAAGACTACATAACTGTTCCAGGAAAGAATAATCAAAAGTGAATTATTGAGAAAGTCGAGCGATCTCCATTTACGCAACAAGAACTGAGAAATATGCTGTCAAATTTAATTATAATGAATGCATTACTAAAGTATATTATCGTGCTTAAACAAAATAGACAGTAATATTTAATAAATAGAATTCACCCTGAACAAAAGAATATAATCAATTTTGGCAGAGAGGAGAACACAAATATATAACAGAAAAAACTTTTCTTCTATAATAAATCTTCATCTGTAGAAAAAGGCTCTGAATGTGTGGAGCAAGTCATTGAATTAAAAGCATAGGAAGTGAAAGTTTACTTTGATATACGATAAAAAATTACGTTTTGCTGCTTCAAGAAAAATATAATATAAGGAAAAGAAAGAAAACCTTCCAAACAGATCATGGATGTTTACTGTCGAAGCTCTTACAGTTTTGCTCTCCTGTTACTCGTTGTATTTATTCAAGGTAAGTTGAGAGCTCATAAAACCTTTTTCTTATTCCATGCTCTTTTCTTTTTTTAAATAAACGAAATTACATTTCCTTTTATTCGATATCTCTTATGTCATCGACTTATTCTCATTTGTACATTTTTTTTTCAACAAATTTAATTTAATGAATAAATGATGTGGAAAACGTTGATCAAAGGTATTCTTTTAACCTTGTACAATTTTTTTTGAATTGATGTTAAGCTTATTTTAAGCATGATCTCTTTTTTTCTTTGCCTCTAGGAATAAAATACAATTGCTTCCATAATGAAAATGAGTGGGAGTTTTCTTCTTCTATCCAATTTTGCAATTTCATGTATTTACGTTTACAACATAAGCATGAATAGGGATGACTTTAATATGAAATACATCTTTATCGATTCAACATGAGTCTGACATAGTGACTAGATCATTGAACGATTATTATATTGATGCTACGTGTGTCTAAACATGATGGATCTTTATATTCATCTCAGTCTCATATAAAATAAGTTTCCTGTAAAAATTCCACGTCCCACGTTATGCAAATGGTATAAAAATTTCGCTAAAAATATTCCTAAAATTATCTAACATCACAGCAAACAAAATTGACAAAAATCCTTGGCTTTTTGTAACATATGATCATCATTACAATTGCTCATATAACCGAGACAGACAAGCATGAGAGAAAACAGCAATGCGAAGGTCGTAAATTATGATACGTTGTTTGTATACACAAAGTCTTCCGTCTATTCCCCAACACATTTTGTCCTTCTGTGAGATTAACTTCAAGACCAATTTGTGTTTGTCGTAAGAAGACCTTCACATCATGCAATATTCTTGATGTTGTTGCTTCCACTACTTTCCAAGTATTTTCATGCATGACTTCGATTCGAGATGATTTCAATGTATATCAAACAGATAAAAAAATGACTTGTATACTTAGCTAGTTAGACTAAGGATTTTTGTTTTCCAAAAGCTTTTCATATTTTCGTGTTTCGAAGGTCAAACGTCAAAGAGTACAAAAAAAAGGAACAAATGCTATCACGTGAAAATAAAAGCATGAATAATAACAAGTTAAGCGAAGAGTGCGGGGGAGAAAAGGAAACAAAATTAAATTTGGTATGGTAAATTGGTTTGCAATCATGAATATATCATGATAGCAGTATTGCTATGACATAAATATAAATCGATAACGCTTTTTATACACACACAAGAAAAGAGCATTGTATTTAGGTCAGAGTCAATTAAATTATTAAAAATATTCCCATTCCCGAAGCCAAAGCGCATATAAATAGATTTATACACAAACCGCGTTCACCTCGTTAATGAAGAGATCATTTTTGAATTATCCATAAAATTTTAAATGAAATTCACGACAAAAAAGCTCATAAAATAAACAAACATCATTTGTTGGTTTTTGTATCGTGATGAGTTCAACAAAAAATTTTTTTTTTCTTATCTATTTGATTTGATATTACAATAGCGAGAATTGGAATTGAAATTCTTTTAATCGAAATGTCTATCGTAACCAAGAAAAATGATTAATCTCATTTTATAAGTGAAAATCTTTTCAATTTTTTAAACAATCTTCTCTTTTTTTTCTTCTTGAACATCAACAGACTTTACCGAATCGCTTCGACTGACTGAAGTTCGCATACCAAATCATGTGATAAGGAACAATAGTGTTCGCTTGGAATGTCATTTTGACATGAATGGCGAAGCGCTTTATTCAGTAAAATGGTACAAAGATGGATGTGAATTTTATCGCTACGTTCCTCGTGACCACCCACCAGCACAAGTATTTGAGTTGAATGGAGTCAATGTTGATGTAAGCTTTTTGTTTATATAATCACAAAGTTTCTCTTAAATGGACCGTAATGCTGAGACGATGAATGTTTTTTCTTTCTTTTAAATAAATAGCTGCACAATTCCACTGACACACAGGTTGTGCTCGATAATGTAAATCTCGCGTCAACTGGCCGTTACCGTTGTGAAGTGTCTGCTGAAGCACCCTCATTCCAAACAGTCTCGGATCATGGAGATATGGTTGTTGTTGGTGAGTTGAAATAATTTATGATCTAACTATGTACAAGTTTTAATTTGAGAGAGTGAAAACTTTGAATCAAAACCAAATGAAAAATAATTTTTTATTAGATACGAATGAAAAATTGAATAAAATTGAAATTTAATAATTCAGATTTTTCATTTGAATTTATAAACGTTTGAGGTATTCAGTAGATGAAATTTGCTTTCCATAGCCACTAGACGATAGTTTGTTGTGTTATACATTATGAAGAAAAAGAAATTAAAAAAATATTAATTTGTAATTCATGAAAATACTCTCAATTGAGTCATTATTATTAATTTAAAGCTCTATGGAACTATAAAATAGTTGTTTTAAATCGTTTTTATTCCCCGTTGCGGGTCGAAGTAAAATGAAAATTGTTATTGTTGGTGAAAACTTTCCTCATTCGAAAGTATGTAATGAAAATTTAAAACCTTTTACGCCTTTTCGGGGTGAAACTAATTTACAGATCTTTTCTTCACTCCAGAAAATAAGTCCATTACTTAGTTCCAAACAGAGAGAGAGCTTCTGTTGTTTATTCTGAAGATACTTCAAGTGATTCACTTTATTTATTGCCCATTACGCCACTCGTAGGATTCAAAAATTAAATAATAAATAAATTATGTGCGCACATACGAACAACGTAGAGGCGTGAAAAGAAAGAAAAGAAAAGTAAAGAAACAAATGCTTATATTTTATTTTTCATAGCCATAAATTAAATAAAAAAAGTAATTTTGAATAATTCATCTCGTTCGGTGGTATACATATCGTTTGGCTTCCATCTTCAACAAACAGCAATAACAGAAAAAGGGGAAAAAAGAAAGAAAACTTCGATTCGTTTGTTGTCTTTTCACTGAACTTTCCACTTTCTAAATAATTTTAAATGTGTTAGGGAAAATAATAACAACCATAGCGATATGATAGTGACGATAAGTTGAATGAAGCTTTAATTCTTGTTTCATACGTTTGCTTAGGTTAATTCGAAGGATACAACCAAAGTCTTGTCATTGTCAGAGGGATGATAATTTATTTGTTTTTAATTTAAATGCAAACCTCACAAACTATAGTCAATGAATATCTACATAAATTGTGAAACAAAAACAAAGTATTGATTAGCTTCATGTTTTTGTCAACATACATTCATGTTTGAAGTTTCATATAACATCAATGACGCATTTAATGTTTTATTCTTGAATTGTACGACAAGATATCTGAGTAAAGTGTTGTAAATCATAAATTTATCGCCCAATACATAGCGTAAATAATAATATTATTTTTTTATGTTTATTTTAATTTTATTCACGCACTTGATATAAAAAGCTACACCGGAGCATGGACCAATAATAACAGGCAAGTGCCATAAAGCGTAATTCACAATTGTAACCCGCAGTTTAATCTCCATTCATTCTTTCTATTCATGTTGTAATTCATAAATCATAGGAGGTCGAGCACGCTATCAAATTGGTGATGTCGTTCGATTAAACTGCACATCAGGCCGGTCAAAGCCAGCAGCTCACTTACAGTGGTTCATAAATGGAGAACCAGCGGACTCAATGCTGACACGCCAATACGAAACGATAATCACGGGACGCGAAGGTAAATTTATATTAAAAAAAAGTATTCCCTTCAGAATATTCCTAAATAAAAAATTCTACACCCCTAAAAGGCCTGGAGACGACAATTCTCGGTCTTGAGTTTCGTGTACGACAACGTCATTTCAAAAAAGGCGATATGAAATTAAAAGTATGAATAATTGATGCTTAATTGCCAGAATATTGTTACTGATACATATTTTATTTACATTTCTCTTCCCCAATTTTCCTTAGTGTTTGGCAACAATCGCTTCAATTTACTGGAAAAGCAACGAAGAAAGTGTAGAAGGTGACAGACCATTAAGAACTCCTATTTCGAGTCCAATTGAGTCTCGTTCTGTGCCCTCAACAAGCTCGAAAGCTGATAGAGTACAAGGTGATTATTAAAAATATTTTCAATAAACAACAATTAACTGAATGATTTGATAATTAATAATTAATGTATGTACGTCAATAATTATAAATCACATGTATTTATTAAATTTTTATTCATTTTCTTTCTCCCCCAGCTTCCAATAGTTCGAAGAAACCTTCAATTATATTTTTTGAAAGCATATTAATTAAATCATTACTTTTAATAATTTCATCAGCGGTTTTTCGGTAACTATTTTAAGTTGGAAACTCTTAGATAAGAATGGAAATTAAAGAAGAAAAAAAAGAATCAGAAAGAAGGTCGTTGACATATCTTCAGTCTATTGTTAATAATAAAAATGTATCGAAATAAGTCCATATCCCCATCCCTTCCAATTGTATTTTAACAACAACACATCAGATTGTATCCACGTTGATACACCAACATGAGAGAAATATAAAAAACTATTTTTTAATTTAGCATAAATTTAACAAGGATTTTTATCACATAAAACTACAAAAACAAGCAACAACAAAAAAAATTGAATGCCAAAAAAAGAGTTTTTAATAACTTTTGAAAATTTAGCAAAGCATGTTTTTTAATTGCAAAAACATGAAAAAAATAATATTTTTATCAGGTTGAAAATGCTGCTGCTGATCAAAGTTTAAATGTAAAAAAAAACTTTTTTATTGAAATATTTCGTATAAAGAAAGTAAAAATAACCCAAGCTATGTGAGTGTTCTCGATGGTTTTGAAAGCTCTGAAGATTTTTCCGAAGATATAAATATTATAAACTGAGAATGGCTGCATTGAAACGAACATTCTCCAGAAATTAGTATTCTAATTGATTATATCAACTTTAATCAGAAATGTATAGAGAACTTTATAATTAGTAATTAAAAGAATTCAGCTTAAATAATTAAACTCTTATCTTGCTGTTCAAAGGGAAAGTTTTGCAACTCATCAAATTCAACTGATCTCGTGAATGTTTATATTTCATGGAAAAAGTAAAATTGATCTAAGAATTTTTATAATTAACTCTCTTATGGACACAAGTTACTTTATGACGAGGAAAGTGACTGAGAGTTTGTCTTATTTGTAAGCTTCAAATTGTTGCAACTTCTTATGAGAATTAATATTTTAATTTTAAATATTCCTCTTGTTCTCATTTCTACTGCATTCAGTCACTGAACTCAATTTGTACAGAGTTTATAAAAAGAAATATGACAAAAAATGGTACAATTATCTACCTAAATATAAATTGTTGTTCTTCTTAATAAAGCTAACGTTTCAAAAGAGAACTTTTACATAAATCCTAAAAAAAAATGTTTAAAGAAAAATCTTTAAAAGACTACTTAAACTTTTTAATGAAACATATTCAAGCAAAAGAGTTGGAAGTTTATTCACAACAATTTTGTTTTAAACTCGGTCTTAAGATCAAATTAATCGTTAAACTTTCTCGTTTTAAAGTTTTGTCACCAAGAGAATGTTAATTTGAATTTTTTTTTGATCTAGATATTTCCGTGATCAACGAAAAAATTAATTGAAATGTTTTATTTATTCATTAAGTAGTTTTTCCGATTATTTAAATCTAAATCGTTAAGTTTCTTCTTTTAGATTGCTGATAGTCGTTTATATAAAGTCAATACTTTCATTGAATGTTTATTATATCTACTTTAAAGTTAATTGAAAAATATTTCAATTGGAATTTATTACAGTGAAATTTGAATACCTAATGAATAGTTAGACGAAGTTTTCTACGAAATAATTATGAATTTATTTATTAATTGTCGAAAAGTAGATATTTCTGTTTTAAGAAATAAGTTAAACTAATTTTCATATTTAGTTTTATCAAATGAATTTGAATTTATTGACATTAAAAGCACTCGTTAACATTGTAAATAAGGATCAGAATTAAAAAAAAAAGCAAAAGAATAAAAGTAAAAGAAAAAATTATGAAAAGAAGTCATATCACTCATTCATTTATTACTAATAACGTAAATATATCGTAAAAATTCGCATTCGAACAAAAATACTCATTGTAATGTCGATGTTCCTGTTTTATCGAATGCAATGTCATTAAATGAAATGATATTGAAGCATGTTCACATCTCACGATCTCACTCGTTGCGATTATAAAATTATATTGAACATGAACAGAAATTTTAAGAAATTCTTTTGTCTCTCAAATCTTTTTGTTTATCAGAATAACATTAAAAGGAAAAAATCCGTCACAAAATCATGTGAAAGATGAAATAAAGAATGATTGTTTTCAAAACTTTGGCTTTTTTCATTCTTTTGTTGTAGGATTTTCAGATATTTTAACAGACAATTGTCAGCTGCTTTTCATTTGGAAAATTCTCTAAATAAATCGAAATTTACTCATTTTGTTCATTTTATAAATATTTATACAATAATAGATCAATTAGATACATATATCCATTTTACAAAATTGGATGCAGTTATTTCCTTTTCAGTTATTAAGAGTTTAAATGACGGTAATTCGGAAGGTTGAGAAATTTAAATTTTCCGGCATTTTCCGCACTGAAAATTTTCGAATTCAGATTTTCACTAAAAATGTTTGCAGCATAAAATGTGTTGGAAGAGTTAAGAGCTACGGAAACTCTTCAAGCAAACAAATAAACTCGAAATCGCCCAAATCCTATCGTTAATTCTCGCTTCTGATTAAATGGTGCATGTCATGCTGCTATTATTGCAAACAATAATTTTTAAACATTGTTGTTTTGCGAGGAAAGCATCACCAATCAAGCTGCTTCACTGAACTGTGACGACTATGCCAATTGTCCTTTGAAGGTTGATTTATATCAAAATCGAGTTTCAGCGGAATCAATTTAATTATGCTTTAAGGTTTAAAGGTTCTTTCATTCAGAAGTTTTTGCTCTGAAAATATCAAGAAAAATCATTAAACAACAAAAGAAAAATCTCATTCGCAAATCTATTTTGATAAAAGTTTAATATTTTTTATTTTCTCTTTTTTTCAATGAAAATACAAAGGAAAGTAAAAAAATTATATTGATTTCGTTTCTTTACTTTTATGTAGAATCTCGGGTACGAAGGCCCCAAATGGACGTTCTTCGGGGCATCACAGTCGGTCGGGCTACTGAAGAATGAATGAACTTATTGATCCCAACATTTTTAAAAGCTTTTTCCATGTGTTGTAATCCCGATTCAGACAAGAGACCAAAGACATCAATATACAACAATGATTTAACTTGGTTGAGTGTCCTTTTTGATGAGAAATGATTGGAAATAGATACTTAAAGATTAATTTTCTTTGTGTTTTAAAAAATAACTTACAAGTAAGATGATGTGGCGATGTTATAGCATCGTGATAATGAAATATATTCAAGCTTATCAAGACTCATTAAGTTTTCAATACAATTTGAAGTCAACAATGTACAATCAGAGATGTCAAGTTCCACAAGATTCCGACAACGTCTGGTCAGCGTTTGTATATCTGATAAGAATTTAAACATAAGCCCAAATTCTGATATGACTTATCCAAAAGAGATTAAAAATTACTTACGACTGTCAAGCAATGATTTCCGACAGCCAGAAATATTTAATCTGACAATTGTTGGTGTGAGCTTCTCAACAACAGCAGCAACACATTCCCGGTTTAAGCCAGTCCAAGAAATATTTAATGCTAAGAGATTTTGAAGATTAATTAGGAGACATATCATTCCTTGTTTCGTTATTCCTTCACACATTGCAAGATTAAGAACTTCGAGATTTTTGTTTGCAGCTATTTGACGACAAACACCATAGTCAAGCGGAACAGCTTCGAGACTGAGCTTTTTCAAGGAACGACATGTTTTAATGAATTGTTCAAGAGACGACGTATCGATAGAGGCCATGCTAAGATCGAGATACTGTAATTTTGTTGATACAAACTCGTCAGAATCAAAATACGATTCGAAAATTGGACTTTGAATCTTTGCTTGTGCTAAACGTAAAATTATGACTCCTCGAGAGATTATTTTACTAATTGCACCACGTCGTAGAAGTCTGTAGCCTAAATCTAATCGAATCCATAATGTTTCATCTTGAATTACTCGACTAAAACGATCATTAACTGTTGCGATTCTATTTAAAGTCTTTTTCGGAAGAAATGAAAATATATGAAGAAGAATCTCATCAGATATCGATTGAAAAGGATCCGTGGCTGGCTCTTTTAATTGGTGTCTTTTCACGAATGCTTCATCAACTTTACAAGATGTTCTTATGGGAATCTGATGTTGGGAGGAAGATCCAGCTGCACTTTGATTTGTTTTATTTATCAGCACCAGAGGCGAACGTTTTCCAAAAGATGAATTAAGAATTCTGCTTTTTGATTTGTTAAAGTAATTAAGGTCATTATCATCTTCATAGATTGTTACAGAAACGCTTGCATCCTTGTCATCTTCAAATTCGCTGTATGTTTTTGAAAAACTGGCACTCTCGTTCATTTTCAACCTTTTGGCACTAAATTAAAGTTAAAAATACAAATTAATTAAAGTAATACTAAATTATCTGTATTACTTACCTGTTATTTGCTGTTTTCTTGCCACTATTTTCTTTAAATTCTGATTTGTTTGACATATTTTGCTATTAAGCGAATAAATCGGCGCGAACTTAATTGTGAACCTGTGAACACAAGTAAAAACAGAATTTTAAAAAAATTATTTTTTTCCGTTTTGAGTTACTGCGATTTATTTGATGATGAATTTCCTTACAGAGCTGTATCAATATTTTATTTTATTTTATTTCATTTTTGTTTGCAGTTCTGTTTCTATAATATGTAGGTTCTACCTATATCAGAAATGAAAATATGAATTCTGTATTGTATTTTAATGACATTTTGGATTGACTATCAACATTACATTTGAATTTTTTTAGTAACGGTTTTTTTATAGGGTTTTTTTATAGTTAAATTATATTTATCACTTTTCACCTCATTTTAAAACATAATAATAAGATTAATCTAATGCCTATCTGAAGAATAATGATGTTTAACTTAAAGATTTCCAAGATATTTTTGATAAATAATATTCCAATCAACATTGTGCAGTATTTGCTGAAGTATCAACAGATATTTGAACGAAATCAAACAGTTTCTATTGACTAGTGTTAGGCAAATGAAATGCTGCTTCTACTATCCCTAGCGAATATAATTTTAGAGAGTATTTGATCACATTTTCATGATTCTGCGTTACTCACCATGTTTACTTAATTGTATCTTTACGTGATAAATACGCGCAAAAGTGTCATGAAAAGTTGTTGCTACTTCAAATCAAAAATGGGAAATAAAAGCAAGCAAACGACAAAGATAATGCTTTTTGAGTTATTTTATTTAACGCTTGATGCTTAATATCTTCGTCTTTCGCGTTAAGAAAGCTTTTATCTCATTTTATTTGTGTCTTAGCATTTTAATGTCATCTCTTAGTTCTTCAATACAATAAGTGTGTGCCTCATTCTAAGTAATCGCCCACATCCCCCCCGCATTACCCCCAAGGAGCCATTAAAAATCTATCTCCTTTTGAATAATTCCCTATCTGTTTTTTCTTTCCCTAGAATTGTAATTTCCATTTTTCCGTTTTTTCTTTTTCACATTGCGGGATTTGAGAGAAAATTCGTGTTCATACAATTTTTATGGGAAAACACTCTTGTGGAGGGAGAGTCTTTTAATGATGTATACCTTCCTGACGGTGATGCATGAGCTCACATCCATTTTCTAAAGAACAACATCACTTTCAAAGAACGAACCTTCGCTTTGCAAATACTCATAATGAGCGTTAAAAAAGAATCGAGTGCAAAAAGACTCTCAAGTGCCGATGCTAAAAAGATTAAAGGATTTCTTGTTTCTTTTGTTTTCTGGTTGTGCTTTGCTTAGAAAATCTTTTAAGTAAGTAGAGGAAAGAGAGCAAAGAAAAAAAACGTTTAAGTGCCTTCATCAACTGATTCAGCTGCTGTTCATCTTCCCAACACTCATTTTAATTTCCAACTACTTCACATGAGCAAATGTGTAGATGTTGCTTCTCTCGAATTAATGTCATAGATATCACTAAAAGAACGACAAAAAAAAGTTCTGGCGAAAATCCACAGATATCTCGATGACAAGATGAAAAAGTTATTTTTAAATGTCTCGAAGATTTTAATCCGAATCAATTTCTTTTGAATCAGTTAGCCTGCTAAGATACAAAATCTTTTAAAATTTAAGAATTTAAGATGAAATGAGATTTAACAAAATTTGCGTTCATGCCAATCCATTAAATATCGTTGTCGATTTGTACGAAAAATAAACATTTCAATCATTGGTAAACATTTCAACTCACATAATTTGCAGCTCCAATGCTAAATATATTCATGTTTACCAAAGCATAAGAAGCGAAATGAACAAAATGAAAAGGTTTTCTTGAGTTCGGTAAAGGAAAGAAGGAGAAGCAATTATCATCATAATATATGTAAATCAAATAAATACGTTTCATTCAAATGAATAATAAAATCCATCCACCGCGCATTGAGCAGTAAATTACCAGCAGCAGTCGTTGCGTTGTCTCTCATTCCACCCTTTTCTCACGAGTTGTGTTAAAGGAATTAACGGGCGGCCCATCGACAATAGGAAACTTTTTTTTTATTTGTGAATCAATTAATTCAGCAACAAGGCGAGAGTGAATAAAGATTCTCATAAAGTGATAAAAACAGTCGATGATAATAGAAACAAATTGAGGAGAAATTTTCTTCTGCTATGATTTTTTTTTCATTTCTTCTTCTTTCTTTTGTTGGCACGCCAAATAAAATTTTCTTATTTATGTATTCATTTCGATTGTCTTCTTCTGGTTTTTGTAATCGAGGAGGCGGGCGAGAGAAAGCTTTTCCTTCAGACTCTAATCTGATAGGAAGTTTATTGTTGTTACATCATTAACACAGCCGAAAATAATGAATAGATTTGTTTGTGATGGAAATTCTGAAAACTTTAACAAACAACAAACTTTTAAAGTCTTAAGTAATTGTGGGTGAGCTCGAGTGATGTCTTTTACATAAAAATTAGAAAGAAAAAAGAAAAAAAAAATTGTTCAGTGATTATGACAGTCGGTGTTGGAAAATTAACTGCAACATGTCGCTTTTTACGAATCATCCCCCACGCAAAGCTACCATCAACAAGAGCTTTGGGTGACAAAAAATCATCCAACAGCAAACATGAAGATAAGAAGCATGCCGACTCCCACATAAAGCGCTGTTGAAAATTAAGAAATAACTTGATTTTGGGACATAAATTAAGTCCAACAACGAATAAATATTAATAAAAAGCTAAAAGGGTTGGGTGAATGTTTTCCCCGTTCCAACAAAAGCGTTACATTGCTCGCTTTTATTTCCGAAGACTCTTTCAGAGCAATAAGAGAAAGAAGAAAGCATTGCTGATAATAAATATAATTCTCACAACAAGAAAGAATGGCACAGATAGAAATGGGGAGAAAATATAAGCAAAGCGAGGATTCAAGCTTCCGCAATATATGCGAGTGAGCGGCGAAAAGAAAATTATTGTAATGAAATTCATATCGTAAATGGAGAAGTTCTTTTCCGCTCTTCATCCACTTAAACGATGACTTAATATTGCCACCCATAACAATAGCATAATAGACACTTAAAATCGAATAAAAGGTCATAAAAAACATTAAAGATCGACAGAAGGAAGCTTTCAATTGCTTAGCGACTTTGAAGCTTATACGAAAGAAGAAAAAGCTCAAGTGAAATAAATTACTTCAAATAATACAATAAATCATAAAGAGAAATACATAAAATTGACGAGGGCCAGTTAACTCTAATGAGTGCTCACTTAATGAATCATAACAATGCTGTTTTAAATCAATATTCAAAGGCATAAATTAAGGTGGAAATGTGAAGTCATTGGCAGTTGTAAGCTTTAAACGAGCAATAAAACAAAAAACCTTTTAATTCTCGTTGCTTGTTATACCCAATAACTTCTTTCTTTTTTCTGTTGTTCGCGGTAATTTTGCTTGCAAACTGACAATAAACATGCAATGAATGTTGAGTAAAGTGAAACCTGAATTATTTTACTGAATGAATCCTACTCAATTATTCAGTGTTTATAAAATTCTCATCACCTAACTGCTTTTTCTTTTTCTTTCTCACTGTTTTTCGAAGTATTGTGAATGAAAATTCTAAATTATTTTCAACATTTCATTAAATTATAATTCTTGTATCAGTTTAACGTCTGCCAAAAAAGTTAAATAGAAAGAAGTGGACTGCTTGATATTACTTCGAAAACATTAATTTATAAATGTAAGCTAAAAAGTTTCTCCTTCTGTGCCATTCTAATTTATTCTTTACTTCTGAGGTTTCATTGCATGGTGAAAATTCATAATTAATGCAAAAGCTTTTCTTCGCTTCGTGAAAAACTTAATCTGTGTGTATTTTTTTTATTCTCGAGAAGTTTGAGAAATGAACTTTAATCTTTACTCGAATGACAACCCGTAGCTGATTCAAGTTACTTATTGTGCAGTCAAGTATAAGCTGAGACAGAGAAATTGTTTATCATAAATTTCCGAACAATTATATATCAAGTATCATAAGCTTTTGGAAAAGCAGAAAAAGATAAGTGGGAAAATACGTGGAATGGTTGGAAGGGAAAGAGCAACAACCATCTGAAGAATATTAAAGCCAATTTATGTCATTTCATAATAAGCATAATATGAAACCCTGCTATCATTTAAAAGTATGTGAAATTATATCCAAGATGTGTTCATCACTTTTCACGTTGCTTAGTTGCGCTTGTTTCATCTCTTGCCACAGATATGTTAAGACATAATTCACTTAGAAACACGATATATCATTTGCGGAAGGGAAACATCTTTTTTATTATAACTTCTTATTTTTTTATTTTATATTTCAACGCCATTTCAAAATCCACCAAAGAATTAATTCTTGTTTAACACAAAGTAACCATGGAAGGAAGAGATGAAAAACAAACCCAACAACATATATTTCCCAACAGAAGTGATAACAATGGCTGGTGTTGAAAAGCGTATGTGATACGTGAACACGATAGGTTGGTGGGATGTTCAAGCTCATCTTTCATTCTCCCTTTGCGTAAGCTCATTAGAACAGTTAAAATGCCATGGAATTATTGTTAATTTGAAGTGACTGAAGCTCAACACTAGCTAAACCACCAATAACAACTTTCTCTTCTCATTACACACGCGGGACTTGAGTCTAATGAGTTATAAAATGTAGTTTTATTAAAAATTATCATGTATGAAAGTTTCATTTTGTTTCTTCTTCTCAACGCCCACACGACATCATGGAAAGCTTTTTTTTTTGTTAATTTGTTCTCGTGCACATACATACGGGAATATCTTCATAAAATTCCACAACTCTCAACTTCCTGTTGAAGTGTTCGAGAAAACTGAATTATCGCAATTAAGTGCGAGTGCTTAGTTTACAACAACATTGACAGCGTGACATTTCCAGTGATTGTTCAACTCAACAGCAATAAAACGTGTTAATTATTGAAGCATTTAAGCTGTACGTTTTGAAGGCAATTAATTTCAATATATTTAATGTTGCTTTGAGATGTTACTTTAATTTTATAATATATTTTTTAAAGTTAAAGGTCAAGAACTCAAAAACAAAACATTCGAAAATCAGTTTATTGGGTGTCACTGACTAGCATGAAATAAATGACCATGAAAAAAGGAAAAATGTTTCGTTTTGTATGCTAAAAATATTCAAACGTCACAAATTGTTATAATTAGTGCGTGTTCTCATAAAATGAAACAAGATAAGAAGGAAAGAACATTTTTCTCTCAATCTCTTCCTACTTCTAGCTACTGAAGCAAAAACGACCACCCAACGTTTTTCCTCTCACAGTCATGTTATTAATGATATCAGAAATTCCCAAAACATGAATCGTTGGGAGGCGAGAAACGACTCCACGGAACTGTTACGATTTTCTTTCCTTTCCTTCAGCTTTTCTTTTTTTTTTGTTGAGTAGAGTCACATACGAGAATAAATTAACCGTTTGAATACATGAACACATCCACTCGCATCTTACCTCATTCGCCGTGGTGGCGTTGAGGACATTCATTCACTTTCCCATTCAAGGCAATATTCTCAGTTCGCATTTCTACTGTTGTGCTTATGAGAGTTTATTCTTTCTATGAATTTCTTTATGACATAAACAAATTACATATGACAGTCAACGAGAATTATGAATTCAACTCGTTTCGCTTGTTAAATATTTGTATAAAAATAAATTTATTATTTTAATTTTGTTCGCCGAATCCCGTAAGCGTATACAATGTCATCATACAAACACTTTTGCCCTAAAGCGATTCGCATTTGAGTTACCGTTTTGTTGTTAGATATGTCGGTGACAATACACAAGCAATTCCTCAGTCTGAGTGAAATCTCAGATGTGGATCATCGCCGTCAAAGAATATAAAAGAAAAAAATGAAAACAGACGACAGATCATACATTGTATTAGCTCCGCACACATTTTATGTTAATGGACAGACGTTTTTATATCTTTTTTCGTTTCTTCTTCTTTTTCACAACATTATGAAAAATCTTCCTACATTAATTCCCATGAGAAAAGTGGAAAGAAACTTTTTTTTCCATATTTTGTTTGTATATTTTCACCCCCGCTTAACTTGCAAAACGATTTATGCACGAGACTTTTTCTCATCATGTTTTTCAGCTCGTTTTATATGTTAATATTCATTCAACACAAGAAGGAACGATGAAAATCATACATTTATGACAATTGAAATTTAAGTTAAAAAAATTATCATTGCATGAGATGCATGATGAAAAAAAGGTAAAGTCAGACATATTTATAAATGTCATATGAATGACAAGATTAAAGAAGTCTGATGCAAATTTTTTCTAGTTTTTGACTTTGATCTTAATGAAGCTTTTCAATATTAACTCGTTTTAAGTGAATATTTCAGTGAATTAAGAATCACTTGCCCTGATTTAATAAATTATGACTTCAATCATCAAGCGACGATCAGCTCATCAAGATATGAACGGAATAGTTGATTCTCCATGGAAGTCATAAATTATTCTGAATCAAACATTTAGTCTAAATGTTCTAAAAACATAAAACTTACATTAGGTAATTTAATGTCTCAGACAATTTATTATGCGTACATTTTTCCAATTCATAAATAATTTTCATTTTTTATTAATACTACCAGGAGTTCAATCGATTCAATTAATGTAATGTCTTTTAGAATAAAGAGGCAAACCGATAGAAATTTTTATTACAAATATTACCAAACCCAACAATTTTATATTCTCATGGTATGAGACATGTGTAACAAAAAAAATACAAAATCCTCACGCCATATACAGTATTAATCTTAATTTATCATACGTCACAACACTCCTTTCGCGCAATAAGCTTCTCAAGTGTAAAAATGTATAATTCAAAAACATATAAGGTAATGCTTTTTACATGAACTTTGAAATAAAATAATAATATAAAAAAGTGGATTCGGAGTTTTCCATATTTTATTTATGAAAGTGTATATGTTTAACTGTGTGTGTGTGTGCTTGTATATATCTACTTAAGCCAAAACATTACAACATAATCCATTATTCAGTCTTTGATTAATAATTTCAACCGTTTTTCTCTGCTTTCACATTTTTAGACAACATTGTTTTATACTAAGGAAAACAATTTTTTAATATCATTGTGGGGGTGGAAATGAATTTTGAATACTTGAATTTTACACGATTTTAAACAGACATGCAAAATTGTTTGGCTTTTAAACCATTTACACGATATTTTAACCATCCACACAATAGGAAAAAAAGTGCCCAACGTTCGCTAAGCTAGAAAAGCTTTTTTAAGAATTTAAAATGCAATCAAACTCGATTTCGACAACTGCTTCTTTAAAGGCAAAAGTAATAATAATTCAAATAGACATAAATTGGATTAATGGCTTCTAACAACGTAAATAGATTGTAAATTACTTGCGGCTCGAATGTGAACTTTTTTAAAATTCTTTTCTGATCACGCTAGCGAAGTTTTTAAATGTCTATTGGTGAGTTCAAATTCATTACGACATTTGCGAATTTTTAAGAAGCTTTCGAGAAGCAAGTTATCAGGTATTACATTTTCGATTTTCTTTTAAATTTAGCTAAAAATTAGGCTTTAATTTTTATATATTTTATAAGTTTAAATGAAATCGAATGAAACGCTGCCTTTTATTGATTACTTATGCTTAACTACCTGGAGCCTTGCATAATTAAAAACATTGTTCAAGTCATCTGTAAATGAAGTAAACATTTCAATTCAAGTGGGAGCATTGCATCATCAACATTATTATTTGATGAAAAGAGAACAAGTGGTTGAAACTTTTCCTTTTAACTTCGGTTATGATTTTGAACTTTCTAATAATCAATTGTCCCTTTAAAGTTTTCAGATTTTCTTGATCTCGATTGGTAAAGTTGCTCCTCTCACGACGTGATCTACAAGCGGATATCTTTTGACTAAAATTCCGTCTTTCAATGGGAAAAGAGTAAAACGATGGTTTTTGAGATGATTATGTGAAACATTATAGATAAAGTTTTTCGAATCGTTGCAAATTTTCTTTCCTCATATTCAATATAGCTCGAAACTATGATGAAAAAGCTTTTAAAAACTTTATCAACTACTTGATCATAAGAAAAGCTTTAAACGATATTTTGCATCCAATCAAAACAAGAAAAAGTTCTTTTACATTTATTTTTAGTCAAATGTCATCTGTTCGACTTACATGAAGTTGATACAAAACAAGAATTTTTCTGTTTGAAACCTCAAAAGAAATATTGAAAGGAACCAAAATATTTTAATCTTAGAGATTGACAAGAAATTGTTTGATAGCCTAAAAGTTTGCTTGTTGTCTGAACTCAAGAAGATTGGTTTATATGGAAACTTCTCGATTTTCCTGAATTTGATAGAATTTTTACTTCAGAATATCACTTTTAACATCATATTATTATCACTTATCTAACCCTACACGTAAGCTGTCTAAAACATATCCAACAGTCAGTTTTTTGACATGAACTAGACAGAAATGATTCAAAATTTTGAAGGAAAAATCTTTATAAAACTCATTTGTTGAAATTTATGGTGCACTATCCATGGAATTTGATGAACGTCCATGTGTTGCAGTGTATTTAGTCAGAAACTCATGATTGCAATGACCTGGTAGTACTTCAACCAAATGTCTACTGTAGCAAAACGAATATTTCGGCGTCATGTTATACCAGAAGTTTGATGAAAATTTATTTTAGTTAAAAACTGGAAACTGACCTAAATATTCATGTGTGCTAGGCCAGCAACTTCATCACTTATATGATGTCATATCCGATGTACCAAACATGTTAGCATCATGTTTCATGAACTCTCATCTCTTACACACATGATGAACACATTTGAGTAGCTTGGACTGGAATGCATGTGAATTTAATCAGCACGAATTGTGTTCCTTTTCATTGAAAATTATGTACTTACTATCTAATTTAGATATCACTTCAATCTACAATCTGCAGAAAGTTTGCGAATGTTCTTTTTCTTCCAAAACCTTTGTTTTCACTTATTTTATTATTGTGGGTGGATCACAAAAAACAATTTGCATAAATATACATGCAATACAATGTCTGAAAGAGATATCAAGTTGAATCATCAACATTGCACGTAAAGCAAGAGTTATAAATAAAATAAAAATTTGACTTCATTTTTATTTCTTTCTTTGTTCGAAAAATATTAATTTTTGAAAGTTCCTTGATTAGAATTAAATTTTATTTTCTGATGTTAAAGAACATTTAAGTTTTGTCACAAAGTACATTAAATTTTGACATAAAAACGACGATATTTCCTTTGTATCTTTTGTTGAATTCTCTGTTTGATGTTCACAGATAAATTCAGTATAACAATAAACATTTATATGACAATCAGGATTATTTTACGATTCTCTTAGTTACTTAACTAAACTATCGTTATGACAAATTTTTAAGACAGTTGTTGAAGTTAAACGAATTTTCGTGTGTTATGTTTCTTTTTCAATTCTTTTTTCATTCAATTTGACAGGATAATTGACAAAATCCATTCGAAAGAAGGAAAATTATGAACTGAACATCGCCATTATAATGAAAAATTTATTTTGTCTATACTGCCATGTTTCTGGTTTCTATTGATAGATTAAAGTATCGATTTTCAAAGCTATGTTGCTTCTTTCTATTATGATAGAAAACATGTTATGTGTACCTTACCGATAGTTGACAGCACTAAAAGCACTGCCAACGAAGAATAAGAAGAAAATAAGCGAAGGAAGAGAATATTCACGGAAGTTTTACAACAATGTAGAAAATGGTAGTTATTTTATTATTAGTTTTTCTGACTAACATAATTGCTTATAGACACGCTATCCTTTAATAATAATCCATAAATTCTCATATCGACAGCCGTCCGGGCGTGGATAAACATCGCAAATATTTAAACATCATCGGGCACTTCTAAGCTTCCTTACTTCTCAAACTATAATTACATATTTCTACATCACATCGACTTGGATCGATCCATTCACTTATAATTAACTGAGATATTTTGTAGATGATTAATTGGAAGCTCGATTAAACTTCAATTCTAATTCCATTTGACAGAAAAAAAAGAAAATTGAATAAATTTTATATGATTTCTTATAAAATAAATCAAAGGAATTGAAATATTCTTTTATCCTTGTAGGTTGGAAAATTATTATTATCGCTGTTCATAAGAATTCCAACAAGAACATTGTTACGCTTACATAAATCAATCAAGAAAATTTCTTTTTTTTTCTTCTTTGTTATTTTATTATGAAGCAAATATGTAATAATTCTAAGGAAAAATTTGACAACTTGAATCCAAATCATAGCCTGTCAGAGCTGTCAATTAAGCTAGACAATGTCATGTTGAAATTGTAGCAACTAATAATGAAAGCAGAATCATTAGAACAGCAATCAATGCTTCACTTTTCAGGAAGTTTTCCAACTTATTACGTCCTAAGTTTGGACCACAGATGTCTTATTCAAACAAAGAAAACTTTCCAAGTAGGAAGATAAAAGTTTTGGCTGAAATATCATGTGAGTTCAATTCTTCGTGGAAAAAATGCAAAACTTACTCAATAATACATGTTTTCCCTGAAGGATGAATTGAAGAAAGCACTTTTTTTTTCTTGACGATAAAACTAGTTTTATGAAAAGAATCTAACTTCCTCCACATTCCCTCGAGAACTCATTGAAAAATCTTTTATGTGCAAAGTTTTGAATGGATTATTCATTTCCTCGTTTCGAAATAATAGCATTGAAAATATTTTCATTTCAAGAGAACAATTGAGCTTTCTGTTGCCACTCATAAATTACCTCCATTGAGCTACTCAACTGACCATGAAATTGTAGTTTAATTTTCTTATTTTCCTTTCTCCGACTTTTGATTGCTCAATTATTATGAGATGATGGAATTTTTCATGTCGTAATCTGAGCGAGTAGAAAGGGTAAATAGAAAGGAAAATCAATATAATATGTTATGAATAAAAACTTTCTTTTCATGATAATAGAAAAGGAAAAGAATTTCATGAAAGTTTAATTCAAATTTCTATGATTTGGAAGTGTATATGAAGTTTTTCAAATCAGTTTCAACATGTCAGAAACCAACAAAAAAGACAATCATTATTGATTGCTCTTTAAACTTGTAACTTCTAAAGTAAAGTGTTTCAGAAAAATGTAAATGCAAGTAACTTCCACACAATGCAAACAATTTTAATAGGAAAATCAAATTTTGGAATATAAATTGATATATTTTGAATATTTTAGTAAGTATTAAAGTAATTTTTTTAATCCATTCATTCTCAATACTCTTTAAACTTGAACAGAACTTGAACAATGCATGAATGAATGTTAAGCAAAAATCAGTTTTAGTGGTAGAACTGTTGATGTTGTCATGTGTTCTGAAAAATATCAATTTATATTCGAACTTTTGCCTCTCAAGTCTCAGTGGTTGCAGACATAACAACTTCCAAGAATACTTAGTAAATTAACTTCACATCACTCCAATGAAATTGAATTTTAAATTCGAAGAAGCTTTCTAATGACAATCGTCATACTTAAATACTTTCTCTAGCACTTCTAAGTATGAATAGATATGTAACACCAAACTTTTCTAAAAGAAAATTCCATCCTTGAATGTTGTTAATCCCTAACCAGAAGAACAAAATCCGTTTTCGACCATAAAAAAATTGTTTTGTTTCCCGCAGAAGCCAGTGACTTCAGTAAAGAAGATAAAAAAGCAAGTCAAAGTAAGAAGTCCCAAATAAAAAAAGGGAAAACTTCAGAAGCCCAAAAGTATCATAAAAATTCCATGAACATCATTCATCAGCCAACGAAACCAGCGGGCAAAAAAAGTTACTTTTCTGGCTTTTGTGTGTTGTGATTTTTTTTGTTCTTTTTGTTTTTATTTTTTTTACTCTTTTCCTTCTCCATCTCTGTCTATGTGGTGGCTTTGACTAGTTCTACCCAAACAAAGCAGATGAGTCGTATGAGAACAGCAGCAAAGTACACATATGAGTTAAAGCCAACAAGAATCAAATGAATCGTTATCGAGATACATTTAAGCGGGAGAAAAAAGCTTTACATACAATCTCTTTCCGCTTTTTCATCTTTTATTCTTTGGTAAAATTTTTGTTTTCTCGTACTCGCATTGCATTCAAACATGTTAGAAAAATGGAGAAAGAAGGAAAAAATTATTCCGGAAAGCATAAAAGCAATGAATGTGTGTGGCTGCGGTAAAATGGAGAGTACAAGTAAAAAAAATGTTCTGAATTCCGATTTCGAGTTAAAAAAAGTGAGATTCGATTCGAATATTTTTTATTACAAAATCCCTCCCCACGAGCTTGCACACCTATGAAATATTTTGACCTCAATTTTTTTCGTGACTAAACTTCAAACAATTTAACTGAAGCTTTAACTTTCCTAAAGCAACTCACAGTTTTTTTTGCATCTCTCTTATGTAAAGTTCTTGGGAAATTCGATAACTTTTATTTATGTGGAAAAATGTGTTGACTTCATCGAGAATCTAAAGTAAAGGAAATGTATGCAAACTACATTACCAAAAAAATAATTAATAGCTAAAGTTAGTCCATTGATTTCATTTTTCAATTTTAACATTCACTCTCAAGTTATTCAGTTAGTTTCGCTTTAAAATTTTTGTGTATTCATCCAACGAAACTAACGCTTTCTGAACAAGCGCTCAAGCAATTCTACTTTGAAAGAAGCTTTTCATAAGATTCAATATTCACTTTATTGAAAAATTAATGAACATAACAGCAAACTCTTTACTCAAAAGGAAGCAAAATTATTTCACTTTTTAATGAAGTAAGGTAAAATATTCAACGGTGCTGGATAATCGCGAATCCATTTTCCTGATTCGGTGTTGTGAACTTCTCCAGTATTTCCATCTTCCCATATACCAGCTGGCAAATACACGTCACGTTTTACTGCATCTTGAGTAACAACCGGAGCTGCAAGAATCAATTCACCAAGTAAAAATTCATCATTGACTTCCTGTGCGATTGGATCTTTTGGTGCAATCCACCTAAAATCATTGAAACTTGTTCATTAAAATGAAAATATTTAAAAGTATTTCCCATTTCACCAAATTGGAGGATTCACTGGTTCACCAGTCATTACCGCTTGTTTGAAACGCTCCATGATGTAAGGCGTGTATTGAGCATGCAAGTTAACGAATGTATGAGAAATGTCGATTGCCTAAAGGTGACAGAGAGAAACAAATTAATCTCTGTTATGCTTAGCAAAATATCTTGTTAAAGTTTGAGTCGATTTCGTCGTTTTTTTGCTTGCATACTTCTTGATCATACTGCCATGGAACGTAAGAGAATTGGAGGCTTGGCATAAAAGTGTTGGCCTGAAGCCATCTTAAGAACATTTCCTTGTCTGGTTCAACATTATAGCCATTCCCTCCAATCATATCTGGTAGCACCAAAGGATATCCAACCATGTTAAGCTGTAATAAAAAATATTTTCTTATTAGTAATTAAAAGACAACATAATGTAGCACCTCAAGCAATGTTGTAATTAATGTTGGAAGTCCATTATCCAAACTCCATTCGGTGTCTTTGTCTATCATTCGAACAAAAACAGGCAAATCTTGTGTTGCAGAACCTGATCTGATTTCGACGAGTGATCCAAAGCGAGATACTGAACGAACATAGTCAGAAGTGAGTTTCATTGGATATTCATTGCTAGTTGCATTAAGAATAAAATCAACTGGGCCCCAGGAAGATTCACCAGCATCAAACTTGTAACTATCAACACCAGAACTGGCTAAAAGTTGTGTAAGATGTTGATGAAACCATTTAGAAACTTCAGTCTTTGTGAAATCCAAATAAGCTGCTTCATTCTTCTCACTATTCCACCAAGAAGTGTCAGTACTGTTCTGTCGGTTAGTAAGAAAATGTCCTTTGCGTTTAGCGTTCGTGTAGTAAGGCTCACAATTTTTATTAACAAATGGATGAATCCACAGTGTAATGCGATTAAATCCAATCGTGTGAAGTTTATCAGTTAAATCTTTTATGTCTGGAAATTTTTGTTTATTGAATGTCAATGAGCCATAACAAATTTCCCAATCATCATCCAATTCGAGTTGCCCAGTAAATCCATTATTTATAATCTCTTGTGCAAACTCCATCACGACACCTTCATTAACATCGCGTTTGTATCGTGCCCATGTTGACCAAATCGGTTGTTCGACCATTTTCTCATCTGGATGTCCCGAAGGTTTTCCTAGAAACCTTTTCACTGCTTGCATGTGAGCGTCACGAGCGTTTAATCCAATTCCAACATGATATTTAAAATCAAACGATCGGTGATAAATATCATAGGGTAAAGCACGCTTTGCTTGTAAACACATGAAACCTTCATTCTCGTTATGTTGATCAATAAAAAGCGGTGCATCGTTGTCAACGCGAATGAAAATGCCATTTGAGTTAAGCCAATAACGTTCAGCTATAGCTTGATTCTGAACAGCTTTTGTCACATAAGAGTTATGTTTGTGAGTCATGTTCTGAATTGGATAATATTGATGACGTTGTTGATTTCCACCGAACCAGTTAACCTTCGTTGCATTTCCAAGATCAACACAATCTTCCGTTGATGTTCTATGATGAAATAAAATCAATCTTTTGATACCATCTAAGTTTGAAATGAATAGCTATTATATTAAATATATTGTGAGATATTTATAATGAGATTGCTGAGAAACCGTGGAAATTTAATTAAATAAATAAAAGGAAATATTTTTGAAATCAACTACATAAAAGCTACTTGCCTTATATTGCGTCGTGTCACGCTAAATTGCGAATAACCTGACTCGTCAACCTCAATCGACATTTCGATCTCATCACCACGTCCTGATAGAATTAAACCGTGTGGCGATTTCGTTGCTTTCACAAATCCACCCGGTCCCGTTCCTAAAGTTACTGATTGAATTTCTCGATCATCTGTACATTGATAGTTATTTGATTAAAAGAGTTTATAGCTAACATCGCTGACAGTGTCACCTCGAATCACGGAGTATTCAAGTTTGTAGTAGTAATCAGTTATAACGATTCTGTTTGTGGAACGTTCAAAGTTGAGTTCAAATTGTGTTTTACCATCAATGAACCGCAGCGTATAGAACAAAACTGTTAGCACTATAAAATTGTTCCACATCTCTTTTCAATTAAGAACTGACAATGATTCAATCAAGTTTAGTCTTATAATGCCACTACGTAGCTAACGACTCACCCGCCAAAGTACAACTGAAATATTTTTCAAATATTTACTCTCAACTTGAATTATTCAACTGATAATTTTAATGAAACAGTGCTAGTTTGTCTCTTTGATGTTCCTTACAAATTATCAGCATTTGGGGTCATTGTTTTTGATTGATTAATTTTATTTAAAAGGTTGGGAGATCAAATGCAAACATTGTTATTACATGAATATTTAATCCATAAACAAAAGCAATCAATTCAATTTCAATAAATGTTTGTTAGGAGAAATATTTATATGAAGTTTACATCTCCAGGTATAACCGCAAATAAAAACTTCAATATGTGGTTAATTCCGTTCTTGAGTTCTCTAGAAGTCTTGATTTAAATTTCATCTGATATTGATACTTGTTTGTTGAAGTTTTAATCGATAAATTCTTTATTGCAATCTAGGGTTGCAGTTCAAATTTAATGTTTAATGATTTAAAAATAAACCAAATGAACAGTGTTTAAGTACATTATTTGCAACGTTATAAAAATGAGCTTTGTAACAACTTGAAATGTTTTAATGCTCACACGAATAATTTAAGAAGCTTAAAATCTGAGCTTTACGTCAGTGAGTGAACGAAATTCAACACTTTTGTTGCGATGAAGATATTCTCACTGTTCTTTTTATTATTTATTTAAAAAACCAAAGCTCATCATTCCATTGATATCTTCACTCGACTAAAACGTAACGAGGCGAAACCCTGCTTGAATCACATTTATTTATTCATTTTGAAAATTAATTACTTTTCAACACATTACAGAATGCATTCTTGTGGAAGTTATGCAATTGATTGACGTTGAATGCTTCTCATCCCACAACTGTATTGACGCTTTTTCCTATCACTTTCCGGAAAATATCGCTCTATTAATTTCTGACACAATTTAAGATAAATTTCATCTCAACTTTCCTTTCCTTTGGTTAAATGAACAACATTTTTGAAGGAGAAAGGAAAATAAATTGAGTAAATTAAAAGATATGTAGCTTAAAAAACACAAAAAGAAAAGCATTTGAAAAATTTATTCACCGTTTAAGGATGACACAATGTGATGGGAGAATGAGGGGGGAGGGGAGAAAGATTATAATTAAGCAGAAATATTTAGAGAAGCTTTACATTTAAAAAAAAGAGTCAACAAGGAGAGCTCAACGAAACATAAAAAAGATCTTTTTTAACAGAGATGGGAATTTTGATCGACTGAAGGATATTTTCTGTAACTTTAATTTTGAATGATAATTCTTTTGTTTAACTTCACAGTCAGAATTCTATCCCTGCTATTCATGACAATCGTTGTTAAGGAGAAGGAAGAGAAAAAAAGTATTAATGTGATCGCATTTATCTTGCCTTATACACAAGCAACCATCGAAGGAATTCGCTAAAATGCGAATCTCTGAGACGAAAAGTGCCAAAGCTCACGAGAGTTGTTTTCAAACGCAAAATGATATCATTTTTCACAAGTTTTGCTTCGTTGCGACTTACGAGAGTTATTTAATAAACATTTTTCTCTTCTCCATTGCGTTTTGCTCTGTTCCGTGGATTGCCGACGTGTGATTTAGTAAATCTTTTGACATTTTAGACACTTCTCGCTGTCTTTTGCCAGGAGCCATGATAAGAGACGAGCTTTTGTGAGGTCTTTAAATTCAGTAAATAATTTTACAAACCTGACGGGTCTGCTAAAATTAAGATAAATGAATTTTTTTCCAATCAATTTATTTCGGATACTTCTCAGTCAGTCTTTTGAATGTGGCGTTGTCGGGTTATTGAAAATTGATTTTGTTAACAAACATCGGATCATTGGACAGCGGATTTCCAAGGGATCAATATTTTAAAATTATGTTGTTTATTGTACATATGTATCTTAATCATCAATACGACCAGAGATTTTCAGTTTATTTTTGGATTTCGTTGGTATCGCTTTCTGCATGAGCTTTTCTCACAGAAAGGAAGAATAAAAAATCACCAACTGCTATTCAATTTCCTGTTTCTTTAATGTCAATTTTCTCCACATACAATGTTCATCATTATTCGCACATGAAAGAAGAAGTAGAAATATTCCCTCTCGACGAAATATCAACGTTAATGAAAATAAATGACATCCTTTTCCTACACTATACCTCAGCCTTACTCGAAAAGGAAAGAAACGGAATCTCTAATGGGATCTGAAGGCTTTGCTTTTTCTAAGATGTTGAAAAATCATTCAGTTTTTGCTTCTCGTTTTTTTGCTGACACATGACGATTTAAGATTTTTTTTCCAGATTCTCAATTTATTGGCAATCAAAATGAAACCTCAGCATCGTGAATTATGGAACTTTAACTTCGCTGGCATATCTCGAAATGACTTCACAAGGTTTTTTCTTTTATTCTATGTATCTTGGAAGTTACCTGAGCAAACATTACATGTGACCACAAAATTATGTACATAATCATTTGGTGAAGAAAAACTAAACTGTTTCAATGAAGGCACAAATATGTACATCGAACATTAAAAAACTTCTGCGGTTTGATTCCATTAGCTGCAACCAACTTTAGAGTGAAATCAAACCACATTGTTCGTCTTCATCTCATATCATCGCTTTTCAAATTCAAATAAATATTTAATGACTTTAGTTTGCTTCATTCCTTAAAACTCCATTTATCGTCATCATCTCTTAATAATATTCCTAAAATGAAGACACGGTGATACCCTCTCAAATTAGCAATTTACAATTTTCCAAACGACTTGTAATACACGTTAAAGTAAATGGAATTTTTTTATGCTTCTATGAACTTATGCTATTATATTCTGATGTTCCTTCCTTCTATTTGGCGCTTGCTTGAAGGGGCTGTTTGAAAGTGTCCTATTTAAGAGTGTTAATTAATGGTATATCTCTAAAGACTACTTAATATCGAACAAAGTAAAAAGTGCCGAGGAAAAAATTAATTAAAAGCAAAGAAACAACACAACAAGGCTGTTCAACTGAGTCTTCCACATGGAAGATTCTTTTTTAAAATTTCCTCTAAGGCACAATGAAAAAAAGGAAAAACGTCAATTAGTCGTTAAATATTTCCCTCAATTTCTTGCTCGAGATGAGAAGAATCGAACAAGAAGCCAAAGAGAAAAAAAAAAGAAATCACAAAAGACATGAAGACGCCTCAAGATATTTTCGCAAAAATTATCCAGAATAATCTGTTTATGTTTTAAGCTTATAAGTCAAGCAGACAGAAGACAGAAGCATAAATTGTGCTTCTCATAAATAAGCACTCAAAGCATTTTTTTCCGCATGTCGATCATGGAAATGAGAATAAGCGTAAAAGTAAAAAAGAACGCAAAAGAAGAAAACAAAAAAAAACTTTCATGCTTTAAGCACAAAGAAGCTTTTACTTGAATTAAGTTTAGGAAAAAAAAGTTTAACATGGAAATTAGACGATTTACAACTTCAAAAAAATATGAAATTCTTTTCGTAATGTTTACTTTGAACCAAAACTTCACTAGCAGATCTTTGCAACTCTCCTTTTGATTTTTAATGATAGAGCTGCTCTCAATGTTATTTGATTTTATTTTAAAAGACGCTTTGAAGATACAAATTTAGATATCACTTAAATATAAATTCAATCTAATTTCTTTTCGGTATGTATCATTAAAAACAATGAGATCAATGGGGTTTAAGTGATTCACATTCAACATAATGAAACCTAAATTAATTATGTTTTTTCTTATGAATTTAAAGACATTTTAAGCTTCCTTCATGATTTTCTAATTTATGATTCCGACATCAATTCAATAAAAATTTCGAAGACGCAAAGAAACGCAAGTAAAAGAAATTTCATAACTCCCGAAATTATTATTTAAATATTTATTAACAATTTGCATGATCTGGCGGATGAGTTCGTAAAGTTTGATTCCGAAAATTTCGAGAAGTTGAAGTTTGAGGAACAAGGAAATCAATTGAAAGTCTCCTAAGCAGCTCAATGGGTAATAAAAGCGTTTATTCTCTCTTAAACACCAATAAAACGACTTCTCTAGCATTCATGCAAATGTTACTCAATCTCCTGCTCTCACCGCTTTAATATTTATCATTCAAAGGACATAAAAGCTTCACAGCACTAAATTTTACGAGCTTTATCTCCGACAAATGCTTCTCGTTTCGAACGATTTCTTTCCGAGGTGATAACTCTACAGAAAATTATTTTAATCTCTTTGCTTCTTCTTACTTTTATTCGTTTCTGGTTCATATTTTACAGTTGTTCGTGTTATCTTTTTGCGTTGCTCGGATGATAGTGAGAAGTTGAGGTCGGAATCGTCATGAGAAAACGAAGAACATTAAAAAAGGAAAATCTAGTTTGTTTGAATACAAAATAGAATTGAATCAGATATTTTTTTGAATCAACAGCACTCCAATATTTTTACGGCAGTAATTTTTGTCTCATTTTTATTCATTAAACTCTTCCAACCAACTCTGCTCTTATGAAAAGGAATTTTTGTATGTCTCTATCATCAAAGCGAATGAAATCATCCTCTCGCGTCACACGACAAATGAAACACCATTCGACACAAACACGTACGATTTTCCCTCAACCGAAAATGAAAAATTATTTTAAGTCCCACTAGCGGCACCATCTATGGAATAAATTTTATCATTTTGAAGTTCCTATGTATTTGCGCATTTTTGTCTCTTTTTTCTCGTCTTTCTTTGTTTATTTCCAACATCATTTGTGAGCAAGCACCAACAAAATAATAATGAAACCTCTACGCTTTCATTAGAAGAACTGCTTTTACGATTCCCACTCGAAGACGAACAAAGCACGAGAAATGAAAATGAAACCAAATTTGGAGTCCTTTGAATACAATAGCACAGTTTAATTTTGCTTTTATTTTGATGTCATTAAAATTTATCTCATCGCAGAAGGGGCTTTAAAAGGAAGACCTAAGGAATGCGAAAGAAGGCATGCCAGCCTCTCATTTGAGGGTGAGTCAAAAAGGTCAACGAGATTACTTTATTTTCCTTAGGATTTATTTCACTTGCAGAATTGTGAAAATCTTTTGTTGAAAAAAGAAAAAAGGATTGAAAACATCTTCAGTGTGCTGTGCTGCAAGCAACTCAAGAAGAATCTTTATTTTTTATGTTTGTTGAAAGTATTTCGAGTTATTTCACTTGATGATCCACGTCAGAAGCTTCCTAAGAGTTTCATGCTCAATTGCACTGTTTTATAATCATCCAATCATGATTTTTATTCTCTCATATAAGCATTTACTTACCACGTCAGCAATAAAGAATGTTCGTTCGTCTCTTCTTACTTTCTCATTTATAGCCTTTTCACTATCATGCACACCACTTGATCACGTCACTTTTAATTTATTTAATAAGGATTAAATAAAGGAGATATTCTAACCATTAACTAGATTTTTTTTTTCATTCCTTTCTTTATAAAAATATTGTTACGAAATCTTAGTACGACCCTATTTACCCACCTTTTCAATAGAAGAACGTTGAATCGTGATGTTATTTAATCACTCTTCTCTCTTTAAGAAACATTCAACCTTACAATTCAAATAATATAATATTGGAAGGTGAATGTATTTACCGTAAATGAACTCAAGTAAATGAACAAAAATATGTATAAAACGTTCTTTAGAAATATTAATTACAGAAAAGAGAGAAAATGGATACTGCTTTTTAGATTTCAGAAAAATCGAGTTACATAAAGAGGAAAAAATTCATCATTTACCCAGTCATGAAAATCATTGCGGCTTTCACGACTTTTACTCATGTTTTGTCGCATTTTTTAACCGCAAAGATCTTTCACTCTGATATATACTTTTATAAATTACTCCAAAAGAATTTATGTCAAAAGAAAGCGTATGCTGTTGTTACTCATCTCCATCATTTTAACATTCAAAAAAACATGTAAAATATTGGATAATTCATACCCATAAAAAATGCGAGAAAAAAGAAGAATGTTGTATATAAAACATGTAAAACGCACAAGTAGTTTTGAATTTATGGGTTTTGAGGTTTTAAGACAATAAATTTCCCGCTCGTTATCTTTTATGAATTTTTAAATGGAATATTGTACGTTTCAACGATATGGTATATTCAAGAATATGAAAGGTAAATATAGTAAGTTTTTTTTCATATATGCGAGAGTAAACTGCATTGAGCTTATATTAAAACCCACAAAACGTTGACTTAGTGAATATTTTATATTATTATAATTTTTGATTACGTAAATTCAAAGTTTACGTCACGTCTCGTCGTTTTACGTGTAAACGTAACACGTAAAATAAAACTTTTTGTTTGTTTTTTTCTCGTCAACTTGTGCAGAGCTTTTTTGAAGCTTTCAAAAATTTAAAACAATTTGCTTTCTAAAATTTAAGAACTGATCTTACATTTCTTAATTGGAAATCTAAATATTTATACAGAAACTGGAAAACTCATTGTGAAATTTGGCTTTAAAGCCTTCAACCAAAATAAATAATTTGAACTAGTAGTTTAATCAAATAGAACTCTCAATGTTTGTTTTAGATTGGACTTCTAATTTTGCTAATGGAAATTCTATATAATTACTTTATATCAAAAGCACTAAAACAGCCACAGACAGATTTGAAAATGCATATACATATAATAATGTGCTTTACTGTCGATAATTTTGTTAAAAACGTTAGATTGAAAAACCACACAACCTACATTCATTTGATGTGAAACGAATTTGTCGCTTGACGCAAAACCAGCAGCTTGATGGAGCATAACCATTTGATTTACTGTTTGCGGTTGAGCTGTTGTAAACTTTTTCCATTCTTATTCATTATCATGGGACGTAAAGACACAGCATTTGACAACGGAACTTCATTAAAAAGTGAATGAAAACATTTTCTCGCTATTCTGACCCTTAAATTGACTTTCAGTTGTTGCGATTTTCTCATGGGTAATTAGATATTTATGACTCCCGCTACGGGTTGGCTCTTTAAACATATTTAAAAAGAAAGACATTTCATTTTGATATTGTCTTCTTTGTCTTCGCCGGAAATGGAAGGAAAAGAAAACTTTCTGCTTACTTACGTTGCTTTCGATGCCAATCTTTCCTTTTTCTGTAGATGTTTCAACGGCTCTCCTAGGAATTTTCTTTCCTCCAATTCAACATCAGAAATTACATCGTAAAAATATTTGAAGAGGGCTAAGTGCGTTAGCTGAGCTAATTTCAATATTTATTGAATAAATAATACAGATTTGTTTTTCATTTCTTGTTTTTATCATCGTGTGTAGGCTAAATATAAAGTTCTGGGAAGGTTAGGTGAACTTTATCTACAAATTGGGAGAAAAACGTGACTGTAAATATACAAGAAGTTCTCTATGCTGATAATGGAAGCAATTTACAATTCGACTTTATTGTCTTTAATACAACTTGCAAAGCGAAGCAAATTTCTTCGAATGACATTATTGTATACAAACAATTCACAATTAGACGACAAGAGAAAGCATGAACAGAGGTCTTTCGAAGTAAATTGTCGGAGTCTCTGAAAACAAAAACTATTTTTATATTAAGCTAGAGAGAGAGAGAGGGATGGAAAGTTGTGCTGATTCAAATCACGTATGCAGTAAAGTAGACAAAATAATCAAAATCAATCAGGGAGTACATAGATTGAGTCAACCTAATCGTGATTGTCTTACGATTGAGTAAGTTGTCTTCGGTCATCTCATGTGATTGAGAATCATGGTTTAATGGTCAACACTTTCGGCAAATTCAATTCTAAGTTCATGAATAAGATCTTGACGTGACATAAAAAATATCTCATTCTCCTCTCGTCGAATGGTCTCAGAGATATCACATGAATTATGCAACACATCATGAGAAATGACGAAGGTAGATTCTGATTTCAAATAAATGAATAAATTTATGTTTATTCGATCGTAAGTGCGACTTCAACATGTCAGAAAAGGTAAGAAAAAAGAAATTAGTTTTAGAATTTTAAATGAGAATCTTGAAAGATTTCATGTTATTAATCTTTAATCAGATTTTTCTTTTTTTTCTTTGGAAAAACTACCCCAAAATTGCGAACTTTTCCTTTAATAATTAACTGTCATGTCATGAGTTTAGGTCAATAAAAATTACCGATTTCCAGATTAATTTACTACATTAATTTGACATGTGCAATTGTGCAACTCTACGTTAAATTAGTCTTTATATTCAACTTTTTTGTTTTGTTTTTCACTGTTTAACATATAAAATGAATACTTTTGGTTGTTTCTGAATGTATATATTTTTGTTCGCTTGTTGTTCCGGAGAAAATTACAGTATGTTTTCCAACGGCGGTGTTGAGGGAAAAGTTATTTAAATAAAGCTCAAACCGTGTTCGATTCCAATGCTTAAGCAAATTTATCTACTATGAAAGTTTGTATATTTTGAGCTTCATGTAAAATATAAACGCCCAGTGAAACTATTCTGAAAAAGAATCGTCAATCTAATTTAAATTCATCATTCTATTTAATGAATAAATTTCAAGATGTTACCTTTCAATGTTTGCTCAACAAATTCTGCCAATTATTCCTCCTTCGTTGACTTTTTCGTTTCTAAGAAGTCAAATAAGAATAGAAAGTTATGCAAAATGACATAATTAAACAACCATAATACCTTGAAGAAATAAAAATTTAAATTTTTAACAATTTAAAACTTTCTTATAAATATTCTTCAAGAAGTGAGATATTTTATAGAAAAAGAAAAAAAATGGGAGCGAGTTGAAGTGCACGACAAACTTTTTATTGTTTCTTCTGTCGAGCTGAAAGCTTAATTTATTTATTTTTGTCTCATTTGAATAATCTTTCTTCTTTTCTTTCTTGTTGGGAGTTTTAACGATTGTTAAACGAAAGGATAAAACTAGGTATATCTGAACAGATCTGCATTAAACATTTTTTCTTTTACCTTATCTTTTGAGAAGTATTAAGCACGGAAATTCCTTTTTAGTATGTTGCTGGCAGTACGCTTTTATTTAGATAGCTAACTTCTTTAAGAATGATAATCTTGAATAGAAAAAAATGTGTAACATTTATAAAAATAGAATAAATGAAAATATGTAAAATATTTTCAGGAAATAAATGTAAGTTACACTTCTTGATAATTGATTCTCTTTCATTGTGATTCTGAAGCTTGAAACATGAATATCAGGGACGAATCATGAAGTTTTATTTCACTCGATACATGCATAATATAACATTATTATGTTTTAAAACATTCATGTGAAATAAGATAGAGAAGTGAGACTTTCAAAAGCAAGCAACATGGAAAATTTAGCATTGAAGAAGAAGAGATAAGAAGATAAATTTGACATTTAGAGATTTTCTCATTGCATCAGAAATGAAAGAGGAAATTTTTTTTTCCACTTCTCGGTTACTGTATATCAACGAGATTGGATTCGTTCAAGAAATATACCAAATATATCTGCAAATCTGCACGTATGTAAAGATGAAATGTTAGGTAAATAGAGCTGAGCATTTTTGCTATGAGAACAAAGAAACAATTTTTCTGAAGAATTTTATATTTTATGGATAAAAAGAGCAAAATATAAATAGACGAAAGGCAAATTGAGCTTCTCTTATTTTAAGAATTGAGAACTGTGCAAACGACAATTATCAGGAAGCGACAGTAAACTTCATGTGTTAATAACATATTAAAAAGAACAAAAAATGTTTACTTTGTTGACTTTAAGACAACATGAAAATAACAATTGACAATCAAGCATTTCGTTCACATTTGAGCACGTTTCAAAAGGGTAGTAAAGTCGAAATTATTATTATTATTCTTCTATGAGAAAAAGTTTTCAGAAGTTCAAAAATTTGTTTTTCATTTCCATTCATTCGATGTATCGAGGATATATAATTCATATTTTGTATGCTTTAGAATTTTTCACAGAAAAGTTAGAAATGTATTGTTGTGGAAGGCAACAAATAAAGTTAAAAGCTTTTAAAATTTCATCCGTGCTTACATGATTATGACAAGAAGATGGCAAGGAAGCGAAGTGCAAAATATTCGGTTTCTGGTGCATTTCCTGAACTCTCGTCTACTTCTCATGACAAATTCATGAATTGTAAATAATGTGAATATTATGTAGAGATGTTAGATAGTTGCTTGTAATAACAGAATGTTAAATTTATCTGAATTCATTTGGAAAAACATTCGAACATTGTAAGACTTTTGAAATGAAATACGTCATAAAAATTTCCTCGTCCAACTTTCCCCTCCTGTTATTGTCATCTTTGCTTTGAATTAAAATGTCTACATCATAAAGGAACACAGAAGGAAAACAATGTTTCCTTTCAATCCACCGTTGCTCCTTACCCGGAAACTCTGAACGATGAAGTAAGTAACATTTTTATCAAGAAATGAAAATCTAAACACTCAACCATTGTCTCGAAAAAGCGATCTTTACAGAATGAAAGCTTACACAGCAAAACACCGACATAAAGAGAAAAAGTGAGAAAAAGAAAAGATTAAAGTAATAAAGCTTCGGGGAAAGAAAAGAAGATTAGTTATGAAAGATTAACAGGAAAGCTTTTACATTTACAGGGATTTTTAATCAATACAACAACTGTCTGTTAAAACATCAAATCCTTATGTTTAAAATTTCATTTACAATATTGAATTACCACAATTTCATCGAAATACTTAATTTTGACTTACAGATATGTTTGCCTTAAATTTTAAGCTTGGCTTCATCAAATTTAAAGTAGTAAATCCTTTAAACTTTAAACTCATGATAAAAGGGAGAGAAAGTAAACCTGAAGCTTGCAATTGTGTTTAATGTTAAAGTTTAGAAACCTATGTATTTTATTCGAGAATAAAAGTCAAAACAATTCTCCATGTTGTTATGGTGGTTAAAAGTTTATGTTTCACCCTTCTTCGTACTCGTAGTCATTCACCCACGCTTAGTTTTATTTATTTATTTCATTACGATAGTGTGAAAATTCTCAATTAATCAATGTTTGTGGCTTTTTAATCTTTGAGATGGGAAGAAAAATCTACATGTAAACGTAACTAATTGCTTGTGTGAGTTTGAGATATTCTGATACAACTTTACATGATTTCGCAGCCACAAGACTAATTGCGACTGAAAATGGCTTTTAATTTCTTTATTTTGGCAAACATTAATTATTCGAAGGGTGAAGTGATGTGGGAAGGGTGAAGTAAGTTTCTTTCTCGCATGATATAGCTTTTATTTGTCGTAATGAGCCATCATAAATCCTCATCGTGGTCAGCAACAGAAATTTGTTTTATTCTTTTTGGTGCTTTATTTAGCTGTTGCCACTGCGTAAGTAAAAATGTTTTCAGGTTCGTGTCAGGGCGATAAAAGCTTCAACTTATTTTTCATAGAAAAAAATGCTTTTAATGACTCATTGCACTCAATTTCATTTTTTATTCACGACATAAGAATTTCCCTTCCCTTTTTCTCATTTCATTCAGTTGGAAAACTCATTTTCATTAATGATGATTCCCTTAAGTCATAATTAATTGTTGATAAACCAGAAAACGCTTTTTCTTTCATTTTCTTCGCTTAGCACGGCAGGAGGTAGAAAACATTATCATTTTTAATTATTTGGTTTGTTGCTGAGTCGTTGTGAGTTGTTTTTAATGTTGAAGCGACCGACGATAGCCAGGAAAAGAAAGAAGAAAAAAAATTCACAGTCATGGATAAGGTAGGCCCTTAAAAGATTTTTAATTTTTAGGACATTTCAGTCACTCATTTTGAGCTTACAATGTTCCGTTCATAAATTATTAAATACAGTTAATTATCTGATGAAATCTGATTTTTTATTCTCTTTCTTTTCCTTTAAATGTTTCGACAGAATATGTTGAGCAATTTAAACGTTGCTTGCCTTAATTAATTGTTAGGATATCTTTTTGAAGAAAGTTTGAATTATTAACTGATTAGATTTCAATTTTCATCATTAAAACATTTGAAAGTTAAAAATGTTTTATAAACGTTATCAATTAGATGTAAAATATGGTTGAATCAGCAGAAATAAAACATTGATATCTAAAGGCAACTGGTGAATGTTGTACGTAGGCAAAGTCCATGAAAATGTTTTGACTTCATTCCCTTTTAAGCGAACATAAATCAAAGTGTGAAGGAGAAGAAGAAGACGAAACTTTTTCCCATAAATATTCCAAGTGAATTGATATCTCAACTTATTCTATGAAAGCATGTTCCGAAAATCAAATTAAAAGCACCTTAAAAGATTTGCATTTGGGAATCGCGCTGTGAATTTTGCCACTTCAACGAGGGTGAAGTTTTCATAGTAGAAAACTTTCTTTATTAATTTGACATGAAATTTTCTCTTCTGTCATCAACTTTTTATAAAAATTTGGTTTTATCAGCAGAAAAGTTTATATTTGTTTGAAAGCCCATATCAATTTGCAAATGTGAAGACGAATGAACAACAAATATCGACATTCTGTTTGTCCTCGATTAAGAAATTCCACATTTCAAAGACGAAATAAATTGGCGAATTGAAATCAGAAGATGGAAATAATATTAAGCAAATATCTACTTCATTTTACATGACAGATAAACCTTAAAGATGAAATGTTCTTTTCTTGATGGAAGCTTAAAATTTTTATGTTAAAATTTTCCCCTTTTCAAGATTTAAATATTTTCAGCAAAACTTTTCAATTAAGTTGATTTTGTCCTGCATAAAGTTTTTAATCTTCTTAAACTTGAAAATTTTACCAAATTTGTAAGTTAATCAAATAATGTCTCGGTAAAAGCCACAGCGGATGACATAAACATAAACTTTATGATGAAAATGAATGTTGTCATTTCGTTCTTCTTTGAAAAGTTCAGGCAATTTTTTCTTTCATTTTTTTTTGCTGAATCTCCGTTTGGTGACAATTTATGAAGGTAATATCAATGAATTTCATAAATTTTTCAACTCTACGACCGACCGATGCGATGGAAATGAAGCATATGGATGACAATGACAATGGCCACATGGAATGTTAAAGAAATAAATTTTCCTATCTTTTATTGCACGATGAGCTTTCGAGTTGAAACAAATGAAAGAAGAATGAAAGTTTTTATATCTAACGAAGGAAGAGTGAAAAGTTTGCTTTCAATTTTTCTTTTCTATCATCATTTATCGTCGATTGTTGTCACCGGTTCTTCTCTATCATTTGGTGTGAGTTTATTCGCAAACATTTGCAATTTTCATCTCTTCTTTCCTTACTTTCTTTCATTTCTTGCTCCTTCTTTACTTAAAGAAATAAAAATTTCCATAATATGAAATCGACAGCTCATTTTTCATTCAATTTTTATTTAAACTTCTACGAAACGTTGTAGGGGTATACGATTGCCGAAGCCAGCAGAAAAGTATAGAAAGAAAACGAATGAAAAAAAATCGTTTAAATATGGAAGCAAACCTAATTGTCTGAATTCATTGTGATTTATATTAATTTTTCTTTATTTTTCTATCTTCTCCTTCTTCCTTTTTTCTTTTCTTTTCTCCAATCGGTTTCAATCTTACTGTGGGAGATTTCGATATTGGTAAGACGTGAAAACGACAGTTACCAGTTTCTCCAATTTAAGGCTTTCGATGGGTGAAAGGATGTTGAAAAATAAATGGGTGAGAACGGATAGCACTCTTGATACTATCGTAAGAAGCGTCGAGAAGAAAATGAAAACGAGAAAATGGATAAATTATTGCTGTTCGTTTTATCCCTTTGAAAACTCTTGCCATGTTCATGAGATATGTTTTCACTTGTTACACATGTCTACTCACGACTTGAATCTGTATCTAAAAGGAAGATAAACAACTTTTTGATTCATCATTTCATTTAATGATACAAACAAATAACGAAATTCAATCAGTATGTAGTGTAGGTATGTGAGTTATGCTATTTATAACATATAAAGTTGGACAAATATTTTAAGAATGAAATTGAACTATTTATTTAATGATTTTCAAATGAAATTTATTTTTATATTTTCATCTCAATGAAGATTGTCAAATCCAATGCTCTATTTAATTTATATTGTTATAAATTTTCTAACAAATTCTTTGAATGCAGCATCTGCAGCAGAATCCACATTCGAAATGCTTGAAGGAAGTAAATTTGGAATTTAAATTTCGTACAAAAATTTAGGATATTAAATACATATGATTGTTAGAGAGAATAATTAACTTTTTAGGAAAAGAAAACTTTGCTTTCTATATTTCTGTCCTTCAGGGATTCATATTGAAATTTTAAGATAAAATTTCCTAAAATTGAAGACTAAAAGTTTTCAACATTTTTCAAACTTTTCCTTTAACAAAAGAAAATATTTTTGTTATGAAAAGAAACATATAAATAGGGTGAGAGATCATAAAGTTTTGTGCTCAACTCACTCTTTTTTCCTATCCTGGGGTTCAGTTCATTTTCAAACCGATTTAAGTGGATGAGAAAATGAAATGAAAAGTTTAATCGTCCTGGGAAATTTTTATGAGCTGTACGAGTATATGCTATCTTTCCATTTGTGGTCATTGTGTGATCATCGATTAACTATGTAGAATCAGACATTCAAGGAGGAAGAAAGAGAAAAAATAAATACACGTCAAAACGAAGTCGGATAAATAAATTAATTGAAGTGTTATCAAATCACATTGAGAGTTGGCAAACACGATAATGTCTTGAGTCTTCTCTCATCGTTTTCACAAGATGCGGAAAAGCACTTGAGAACAGTTTTCCTTTCACCAGATTTCCTTCGACTTTTCCTTTCTGATTTCGCGTTCCGACACATATTCGTGACCTTAAAGAAGAAAAAAAAAAATAATACCAGATGTGCGCCTATTTGCTTTGTGCTTTGCCGCATTCAAAGCCTTGCGTTGTGTACATTTTCTTCTTTTTCGGATGAAAAAAAGAGCACACAAATATATGCATGAGCAATCTCACTTTACGCAATTTTATGACACGAAGGGAAGAAAACAACGAAGAATGAAAGAATAGAACTTTTGATATTTACTCTTCCTGTATATTTTTATTATTTCATTTTCTCGTACTTAATAGCTTGAGTCGGCTCTATGTTAGGACATAAATGCCGAGGATTTGAGTGTGCGCAATTTTGTAAACTTTTACTGCTTACAGCGCCAGTTTATAACTATGTGGTGAGAATTGGAACTATTTATTGTTTTTAACCTTCAGAAAAGATTTTTGTGCTTCATGTAAGTAGGAACTAAATTCCAAGTCTCATGTTTTTTGCTTTCGAAAGAAAATGTAATGATAATAAATTATGTTGTGGATGCCATGTAGGGAATTGTTCACACTCTCGTGAGATCCTCTCGATTTATATCACCCAGAAAGTCAAAGATCATGCTATGAATCATTCATCATTTCTCGAATAAAGTTTCGTGTTTCTAACAAGTCATGTCATACGATGATGCATAAACATCAATAGCGTAACCAATCAATTGGATGCGAATTTCAGTGAGGAAGGGAGAGAGAGAGAGAGAGAGACAAAAAAGTAATTTTGATCGATGTAATCAATCAGAAATGGAAAGCAGCAGGAATTAATACATAATTGAGTTTATGTTTTTGTGTCACTCTTTTATCATCTCTATAGAGCCTTTTTTCATTAAATATTTGTAGACTTTTACATAATTGCAATCAACGATCATTAAAGCCATTATTTATTGAAAATAACGAGCAGTTATATCAACGTTTATCTGGCACTATAGTTCTCTAAATAAAAATAGCAACAACATCATCAAAGGGATTTTCGATGAAAGGTGTTTTGATAGAAAATGCGATATGAAAAAGGGATTTTCAACATAGAGTGAATAGAATGAAAGCCATGTTCTCGTCCAAGTTTCATCACATAAAGCACTTGGGATTGTGAGAGAAAAAGAAATGTTTTTAGGAAACACAACACCGTAAAACAATGTGCCCTGATAAATTTTGAGCGTGCGGTGAGTGAAAAAGGGCTGAATGTCTAAATACAAACTGTGTGTAAGGCGATCGGGTTAATAAAATACATAAAGTTCTATAATGTTGAATCGACCATTATATAAAGGTGTAATAAATTGAGTCTTTTCGCCTTTTGTTTCATTCCGAAACAGTTACGTTGTTCACCGTTTTACGAGAAAATGATAAAATTTAAAACTTGTTGTGGCTTTTCAACGACACAAAACTTTACGATTCTCTTAATTTACGGGTTGAAACTGTTTATGCAACATCACTCAGAATCATAGTAGCGGATTTAATTGAGTGAAAAATTCTGTTCCCGTTCAACATCACTTTAAATTAAAAACTTTTATTCCATTTTGGCTTCAATTGAATGTCACTCTTCACAAATCCATTTTCGTATGGGTGAAAGCTTTTAAAAGCTTAAATAGCTGAGAATTAAAAAAATATATACAGATATGTATAGATTTCTCTTTTAAACTCATAAAAATAAATTAATTAAACACATTGAGTTGCGAAAAAAAAATCACACAATTTCACCGTCAATGATCCTTCAATTTAAAATTAATTTAAAAAAAGTTAATTAAGTTCCTGAGAGCGGACTGGTGGTTAAACTTTTGTATGAACAGTTTTTTATTATTATTTAGTGAGAAGATTTACCTCGACTATCTTTCGTGAGAATCAATTTTCTTGAAAAGAAGTAGAAACTTTAATGTTCGTTAATTTCTGTAAAAAAATATTTACTAACTTTAAAGTTCAAAAATCTTGTAAAGAATTCTTTTAATTAAATTATGACTTTTCATCTTATAAGAGGAATGTTTTTAATTTATTATCTCGACTTCATGAAATAAGTTTCATTTATTACATCACAAAATAGTGCAATGTATTTAAGTATTCAATGTGTGTTTATTCTTATTGTAGGGCTTTTCACTGCTGTCCCATTGTCAACGCCTTGGCACACAATTTCGCTTCATATTTTAAAATTGGAATTGTGAAGAAGTTTCACTACTTATTCATTGCGTTGAAACTTTCACAAAATATATTAGATCAACTTATTCGTGAAATTTGTCGTGTTATAATTCAACGTAGGCTTCGATGTTAAAGCAGATATTTATTCTTAGGAAGATAGTTAAAAGTTTATAGCATTACTTAACAATTTATACATTTTGTATCAAGTTATTATTGCTATAGATACATTTAATGACTCGAAGCTATACTAAAATTAACACACAAAATTCAACCCATAAACTTTCCCATTAAAGATGGTTTCACTAATAATTTAAATAGTTCCCCCATTAAGATAGTTGAAGTTTTTACTTCTCACCAATTTTCTTGTAATGTTAAGATGGAAAAAAGATAAACTAAGCATCTAAAGAAATATTTATAATATTATATATCCATCAAGAGCTTGTTTAAAAAAAATAATTCTGATTTACATACATTAAGAATAGTTTCGAAGATCAATGTTTCTAGTTTTGAAGCTGAAAAAGCTTTTATCACGATGTTTTGCTAAAACGTATTGTGGTATTCAATAGCTTTTAAAATATAATTTCCAAACCAACTTACAGACGAGCTTGAGATAAAACATTTGAAAAGCTTCTGACATATATTATATTTGAAGCTACAAATGTAATTGAAACTCTCATGCAAGCATGCAATTATTTCTTTTTAAAAAAGAATGAAAATAAAAACGGAAAGACATTAGATAAGATATTAGTTTAATTTAATTTTAAAGTACTTTTAAAATTTCTCAGCTTTCCATCGAAATTGTTTTTCCCAATGCATAGCGATGTGACGCTGTCATCTCTCTTTCGATACCAAATTGTTTGAATGATGTTTATTTGAACTGATGCCATAATTCACCGACTCCACAGAGAGCTAAGTGAGAAAAGAAAGAAAACTTTTAAGAGATACTGCAAATAATAAAAGCGAAGTCAATTTTAATGATGAGTCGTTTGAGTGGCAATGGCAAATGTTTAACAAGCAAAATAAATTTGATGTTGATCATCATCATCGTCTCGTGTATTAGACGACAGCACCATTGATGTCAATCCTTTGCTTCTTCTTTTTTCCTTTCTTCTCTTGTTTTCATTTTGTTTATGTTCTGAAATTCCATCCAGTTCCACAAAAATATAAAATTCTCACACTACATCAATGCTTACTTGATAAGCTTGACATCATGTTTCAAAATATGTACAAACAAATTTCTTCCTTCCACTTTTGTGATGAATGAAAAGCCAAATAAAAAAAACTTTCATTTCAAGGCTTTTTCGTTCCAAGAATTTATATTCTTGGGTGGAATAAAAGATGAGGCGCAAAGGAATGAATAAATTTGATTTGTTTCACTTCATTAAGCAATTCTTCACACATTGAATCAAAACTGAAAACCGATTTGAAGGTGCTGGGCTAGAATTGGGTGAGTAACGTTACGCGTGGTAAGTAAGCTTCGGAACCATAAATTTTATACATAACGACTTATGTTTGTTTGTATGTTTACGTATACTTACAAACAACACCGCATCAACCGCCGCTTGAATATTGGCAAATTGGATTCATTTCCAGTTCAATGAGTTCTGATATCATATGAAAGATAAGCCAATTTTACAACCATCTGTTTGACTGATTGTTCGCCTTAAAAGCTCTGACATTTCATTGGTGCTTTTAGATGACATTCACTCGACAACGAGATGTGACTGTTTTGACTGTTGGGGTCGGAATGGTGAATTGAGTTTATCTTAATCTTTCACAACAATGCAGATAATCGGTTTTTCGGGTTATTCAGCTCAGACATTTTATGTTTGTCGTTTATATCAAACGCTTTTCTCCTTGAGAAAGTATTTAGTCGCACATGTCTATTGTAAATATCTATCTGAATTGCTTTGTCCTTTTGCCCTTTTTTTCTTTTTCTTTTTCAATTTTATTTCATTCGTAGGCGAAACACTTCATCGCACTTTCATTTCAGGACATATTTGTATGTTGGGTCAATGAAATAACATTAAAAATATTGATTAGAAGTCCAAAACATGCCAAATAATCCTGTTCGATTAGAAACGTGTCGATAGTCAAAGAAAATCAATGCAGGAAAATGACAAGACTTAGCTCCCTTCAATAAGATGAATTCAATAAAAAAATAAGAAAAAAGATTGAAACAAAAACCTTACATTAACCCATCACATTCAGCAGATGATCAAAGTCTTTCTATGGATTTTTTTTAAGCTTTCTTCAAAAGCTTTTCTTTTCTTTCTTCACAAGGCAAAAAGGGAAGAAAATCGTCTTTGATAATAATAACACTTAAGTCTGATTGTGAAAGGCGCTCGTAGTCATTGATTGTAAGAATTGCTATTTAAAAATCTATAATGAAGAATCTATTGTAAAAATAGAAAGAGAAAACCCTCGGCATTATTCTCACATATTATTAAACTAAACAGTGAACATTCAATTGAGTTTCCTTCATTCCACAATCTGCGCTTGCCTCTCGCCGATATTTATTGAGATTCCATTAACATTTTTCCACTCTATTCAATGCTAACGCATGGGTTTGAGTATGTATGCGATTATATCTCTATAGCTCAATAGAAAAACAATTGATGCTGTAAATCTCTTCAACAAACTCGCCCCATCTCCTAACGCCATCGAACTGTTCACTTTTTTAGTTTAGTGAGTGGATGGACGAGAAGGAAAAGAATAAAAGCGAGAGAGATTAAAGATAAAGTAAATCGCTTGGTTTGGTGTCGAGTAGCAGTGTTTCACGAGTGAGAAACTTTTATATGTTTGCAGCAGGGGCGAGAAACAGAAAAAGGATTTTCGAAGGATTATCAACGTAATTGCATGTTCCATCCATTTATAGGCTAGGAGAGAGGGAAAAGAAGAATAATATTAGGCTAAAATATTAATTTATAAGTATCAATATTTATAGCGTTTTTCAGGCAATACATGAGCTTAAGCAGAATCATAAATAGTTGTTATAGCAACTGTCAGTGGAGTGAGATCTTATTTCTATTTATATTGTTGATGCTTTGAGCAAACATAAGATTTCATGAATCATTTTACAAAGTCACCCAGAGAATTTGTTGCTTGATGAGATTAACAAACTTCCAGTCAATTGACGAAGCTATATTGAACATAAAAGCAAAATCATTCTAGTTATCATCTGACAATGTTTTGCATTTAATGTTGCACAGCTGTTGTTAAAGCACTTTAAGTCTCATTGGGTGTGAAAAATGAAAGCCATTCAAAGATTTTTGCTTAATCTTTTAAACATCGTTAAGCTTCTTTTAACATTGAAAAATGTTTAATCTTTCATTTTGAATGAATTCTCGATTAAATTCTAAATTATTGAAAATATTTTCATTTTAAAGGTTTAGTAAAGTTTTTTTTCTTGTATTTATAAAAGACGATTCAAATAAATAAACAGCAGTCGAGACTGATGATTACAGTTGGTATCGCGTTCAAATGGAAAAAAAATTGCGTCTTGGGAGTATTACTGAAAGTTGTAAGATTTTCCACTTTATTTAACTCTTTCCTTCATCGTTTCAGATTTTTCTATTCATCTCACACTCTTATTGTGCACTGAAAACTCAATTTAACTTCTTATTCTTATTGCGCTTTCGTGAGAATTGAATCAGTGAGAAAAAACATCATCGCGGTCAAATTGTATGCGGTAGAAATGTACAGTACATCGTAAATAAAAAAGAAGAAAAAACGACGATAGATTCTAATTTATTATACTTGAAAGCGACTCATTTATTTGCTGTACACTTCGACTAGCGACGACTGTCAGTATTTCCACTGTGAAATATTTTTGTACATTAAATTTTCATCTCCTTATATCCTGTTCAATCGATTTACTTATGTCAGTAAATAATCATATTAAATGTTTGTTTATCTATTTGTTTACTTGCTTGCTTGCTTGATTCATAATGTCTCATTCTTTTATTCCACAATCTTAAATAAACATCAGAAGGAAATAGAAAAACGTATATTTCTCACTAAGTCGTTTCTTCCATGCATTAATCATAATGCATTTGTGCAAGATATGTTTATCAACAAAACAAGTTTTAAGATATAGTATGATGCTGCATAAGCTTAGCACCATTACATAAGGTCGCTCCTTACATCATAGAAAGCACTTCCTTTAATGCATTTTTAATTTATTACACATCTTCATCCATATCCTTTCTCCTTCCTTCCTTCCTTCCTTCCATATAACCAGACATTACTTACTTGACAATTATCTTCACTTCTCTTCCCATTCTCCACTCAAAGCTTTATGTGAGTGAAATATCATCTAATTGAATAGATTTAAGTCTTACATGCATATCCGTTTTTCTTCCTTTTCCACAAGCCCCAAAATGCGAATGTGGAAAAGAGACATGAGAGTCAGTGGAAGAAGATAAATGACAACGCTTGTTACTTTCCAGCAGAATTATGTGATGCTAATCGCACATAGGAAGAGAATTAATCATACGAAATTGAATTTGTGTGGTTTATGTACGTTCATTCTTAAGCGAAAGCCAACTTATGGAAAGCATTAAGATGCATGCAAATTTAATGGTTTGTTGCATTTTCTCAATCTTATCTCATGAGTGATATAAATATATTTCATTTGAAAGCATTTTATCTAAAGAGGAATTTTGAAATGAGATTCCTGTGAAAGTTTCCCTAGTTCAGGATTTATTTCAAAGATATTTCATATGTGAAGGCAACTCTCATGATTATCATATGAGAAATGAACAATGGACATATTTAATTAGTTATATAAATACATACTCTTCGTTAGTTATTTGTGCTGTTGAATGTGTTGCCTTAAGGTTCATTTCTGCAATTTATCGTTTGGCAATGAAATTATTGTTTTGCTGCCAGCTATGTGATTTAAACAGAAAAATTCTTTTTTTTCTTCACTCTAATACTACAAACCTTTACTTTTCTCATATATCTAATTCTTAAAAACAATTAAAACTGTTTTTGAATGTTCAACAATTCTCACCACAAACCAATAAATAAAAAAGGCAATTCATGGTTTAGTTTTTCACAGAATACAAGAAAATTTCAATAATTTTATTTTCTTTTTATGTTTATCAACATATGCAATTACACTTTTTACTCCATTCTTCAAAGTAATTTCAATTAAGTTTTCCCCAGATGAATTTATTATGATTCTTATGGACAGATTTTCTTACCAGTTACATCGTTCATCTCTCTTCCATTGGAATGTCATAAATTAGTTACAGAAAGTTAATTTTATAATCAGATTTCAGCATTTTCTTTATTTATGTGAATGATAATTAAATATCGGGAAAATTCATCATCATCATCATCATCGGACAGGGACTAAAAAGACCCTCAACCGAGTGTTTAGAGCAATCGGGAAAATTAAATGGGGAATTTAAATATAAATTGAATTTAATGAAAATATGTAATATTTTGTAGCCTAATTTCTTTCATTTCTTTTTTTTTCTTTACAAACTTTTTCATTAAAGCTTCAACTTAGATATTTCATCAACGCGCAAAACTTTCTAAATGCATTTAAAGAAGAAAAATGGTTTAAAATTATAACAAGAACTTTAAATAATTGAGAAATTAAAATGTCAGCAAATGAAAGCTGGAAATTGCATCGGAAAAGATGACGATGATAGATCAGAGAACATTTGATTTGTTGTAGTTTTTTTAATCTTTCCACTTAATTACAAAGAGAATAATCATAATATTTTTATATGCATTTTTTTTTTCATTTTAATTGATTTGGAAACGTTCAAATGTGATGTAAAGGCTAATGATAAAAATGAAAGTAATTAGCGCTTTTTTTTATTTCATGAAAACTATTAAGGTTAAACATGAGAATAAAAATAACATAAGCAATAGCTAGGAGGCAAATACCAAAATAAGAAGATCCTTTACATCACATACAAATGCTTACCAATAATAAGAATAATAATGTTTTCTTTACCACTTTCTTTATATTCATTCAATTTCTTTAATATAAAAGCTGTGTTTGTTGTTTACTGTTTTTTCTCATCCGACATGATACGGAAAAAGGAGTAAAATTTAATGTTTTTTCTTTTCATTTTCTTTTTAAATGTTTGCAGAGGGCAACAAAAATGTCTATTAGCTTTCTTTTTCTTCAAACCAGAAGTGGTTGGAAAAAAAGGAAAAATTTTAAATTTCTTTTTGTTCTATGAAGTAGTAAAAAACACAATAGAATCGCTTTTCCGAAAGCCGGTGATCTGAAAATATGAATAAAGAAATTATAAATTAATTAATTGTATATTTCAATGGAGCTTTTAAGATAGTTGCGAGTTTACGAATGACGTAACGTAGGATGTAAACTTCTTTCCGTGCAGCACTACGTACAAAACCGTAACGCAGAAATGATTTTCCTACATACATGTAGGCAATTTTCGTACCTTTGTCGCCAGAACATCACTTATTGCAGCAATTCCCTGTCGATCGATTCGTTTCACCTACAGTTGGTCGAATATTCTGCTGCTGACCCGTTCCTTCGTTCTTCGGAAGTTTTTTCGCTAAAAAATCAAATCATAAGTAAACCTGGAAATGAAAATAAAAGAAATCTTTCTCACCTATTGCTAAAAATATCTCATTAACATTGACAGCGGTCTTTGCTGATGTTTCCATAAACAACAATCCATTTTCATCGGCATATTGTTTTGCTTCTTCATAGTCAACCGCTCGACTTGCGGCCAAATCAGCCTTGTTGCCAGCTAAAGCGATAACAATATTAGGTGAAGCCTGAAGAGAAAGAAGATAAATTTTGTCCATTACTAAGATGATTATTTATTATAAATGAAATTAAATTACCTGTCGTTGAAGCTCTTTCACCCACGTTTGGGCGCGTACAAAACTATCCTGATTTTGTATGTCATAAACTACAATTGCGGCCTGCGCTCCACGATAATACATTGGTGCCAAACTATGATACCTTTCCTGTCCAGCAGTGTCCTTAAATAATGATTTTGTTGCCATCAAATATTTGAACGTCTAATTCTCTTTTTAATTCACTCACCCATATTTCAAATTTGACTGCTGTGTCGTCAATGTGAACGGTTTGAGTCAAGAAGGCAGCACCAATTGTGCTCTCCTGATACTCGTGAAACTGTCCTTTTACAAAACGCAACACGAGTGATGACTTTCCAACCGCAGACTCACCCAATAGCACCAACTTAAATTGACAGATTTTACTCTGTGTTGCGCCATTTGGACGTTGAATGCCACTGCCTCGTTGATTATTTGCCATCGTTCTTATTATCTTTTCTTCTTGTTTTTATATTTTTTTTTTATTTGTTGTTGTTGAGTTGTGATCCGACAGAAATTCAAACTGAAGTGAAACTAAAATTGAAAAAAAAACTGAAACTCGCGGATGAAGAAGAAAATCACCTAAAAAAGAAGGAAAACGTTCTTGTTAATAAGATCACGAAATTTAAGATAAATGGATTCAATTTCGTAGCGATACCAGCTGGTGGTCGAGACCAGCTGCACAATGCGTCGTCACTCATACGAGATGGAACATTTTTCTTTCTTTTTCTTATTTTACTTGGCAAAATGAAGTTTTCAGCGATGATAAATCTGTGCACTTCAATTTTCGTTTGCATACCAAATAGTGGGATTTAGAAGCTTAAGATAATGGAATTTCTGTTCAATTCTTGGTCTGAATAATGTTCCATTGTACTATTATTAGACAATAAGCGTGTCAACGTAAATGTAATTGAATAAGACGATTTGTGTTCTTATTGACGAGGCAATCATAAAAATCAAATCAATTTTAGTTAGATAACCAACGACCTTCTATTATTTCGGCACATTGCTGACCATCATCATTTTCACGTTTACAAAACACTGGTTTGTTTTCCCTCGACAATAATTATTGAATTTTTTTTCCGGGCTAATTATTTTTCCCAAATTGTCGCTACCTTCACCTTGAAATATGCCTCATAACTTTTTTATTTTTACTTTCTTTGGATAGCATCACGTTTAAGAACTTATATACATTTAACAAGCAAAGTGACGTCAGTGACCAGATAATTGAATTAAATCAAATGTGGACAACATTGTAGGAATTTTACTATATGATATTTATGACTCATCATACTCATTTTGTCTTAAACATATTTTCCACAGCACACACACTTGTTGTCGTCATCACTGATTGTTGTTGTATCTTTTCATTTTTTACTTCTAGATTGGAAATGATTATTCATCAAATTCCAACGAAACGTCTTGTTGTTATGTGAAAAACAGCAAAAATTAAAGAGAGAGAAAGAGAGGAGGAGAGAAAATTGATTTTTTCATAATAAATGAAAGCGATTTCAAGATGTTTGAAAATCAAATGTGCAAATATTGGCACTTCACGAGTCTTCTTAAGGTTCACTGACAAATTTCATATTTTTTTAGAACAAACTTCAAGTTCTTTCTTTGAAATATTTTTAAATCAGCGTAAACTTAAACGCATGTTACACATTTATCCGCTTTTCATATCATCTTTTTCAAATGTTAAGTTACACAGTTTTTATTGTAATATTGAAGATCAGATCATGATGATTGATTAAATTTTGGAATTTTCATGAAACTTTTTTTCCTCCTCGAAAATTTTTCAGCAATGGAAATGACAAAGAAAGATTAGAGCTATTTGCTCGTAAGACTTATGATAGAAGATAAAGAAGTGCATTTAGATTTTTGTTATCTAGCGGGTTTTCAGTAAATTACGCATTGTTCTTTGTGAAAATTTCAATAACAAAGGAGTGCCCATATCGCAAAATCATTTCCGAGCGACAAATTTCTTTTTTTAAATTTTAACATATTTTGTTTGTTGAAATTCACCTCAAATTGGGACTTTTGTAGATCACTTTTATGTTATTTACACTTAATGTATTCTATATTTTACGATGATAACAGTTTCCTTTTGTTATGTCGCGTAATTATGGCCTAATTTCAATAAAAATTATGAATGATTAAAGAAAAAATTCTCGCCCGAGACCTTATTTACGCCAGTTTATTTACTTTCACACCCCTAAACTCATTGCTCTTTAACACCCTTCATTTTTATTTTAAAATTAAATCCGGTAAATTTTTTTATAATAAAAATATTTTGTAAATACATTATATTGCACAAATATTTTAATGATTCTAAGTTGGAAAAATATAGATATTTAAACTGATTCTTGCATCATCCGATAGGTGAATACGCTACCTTTTTCATAAAATACCTTTGCATCTTCCTCTTCATTTTTGCAGGCATTGGAAGAAGTTTCAGCGTTTTTAATTCCATAACCAGCACCACCTGAAAATTTATCTTCAATATTTAGATCAAAATAATTTATTTTATAGATAAACCTGGTGTCAACATGGAGAAAATATCTCCTGCTTCTACTTGAATAGCTGTTTTTCCTCCCAAGTTAATAATACGTCTATCAACTTTCTTTAACAAATTCAATCCAACTTTTCCAGATTCTCCACCTTCAAGTCCATAATTTTTAATTGCGCGTCTTTCACTTAGAATGGATAAAGTTACAGGCTTTCTGAAAAGTAGCTCTCGATGAACACCTTCACCTCCTTTAAAGAATCCATCACCACCAGAACCATCAGCTCGAAGTGAAAATCTCTGTAAAACAATCGGATAGCGAATCTCAAGAATTTCCAAATCAGTAATTCTTGTGTTCGTCATATGTGTGTGAACACCTGAAGTTCCATGCCAAGTTGGCCCCGCACCACTTCCACCTCCAACTGTCTCATAATATCCCCATTTTTCATCACCAATTGTCGTATTATTCATGCAACCAGAACTTGCTGAACAAACACCGAAAGCTTTCAAAACAGTGTCAACAATTCGTTGAGAAGTCAACACATTTCCACCAACGACAGCTGCTTGATCTGATGGATCAAGAATTGAGTTCTTTGGTATTATAACTCGAATTGGATTTAAACATCCCTGATTCAATGGAATATCGTAACCAACCATTGAACGAAGGCAATAAATGATCGCTGACAAAGTGATTGCTCTCGGCGCATTGCAATTTCCATAAACTTCATGGCCAGTTCCAGTGAAGTCAAAGATTGCTGTTCCATCATTCTCACTGATATTAATTGTTAAAGTAATTGGACTTCCATCATCCATAAATTCATTTGCATGAAGAATAGTTCCACCAGTTCGCTTTCTTGTGTCAGCTGCAATCTCCTTCAACATTTCACGTACGCATTCCGAAGCATTATCTTGAATATATTTCATAAAAGCTTGAACAACTTGAAGACTATAAATATCGATTAGTTCACGAACAAGTTGAATGCCTTTATGATTGGCAGCAATTTGTGCTTTCAAATCAGAAATATTGTCAGCGAGATTTCTTGTTCCTGAATGTTGATTAAATAAAATTAATCTTCATTTTTCTATTGATATTATCTAATTGAATAAACTCACCACAACTTGCAGTACCAGTTGGTGTTTTTAACTCCTTGACAATTCCGGTCTCATTGAAAACTCCACCATCAACAAGAAGAAATGATTTGAAAGCAGCACCTTCATCAGCTAAACTCTTTGAATGAGGTGGCATTGATCCTGGGGAAATTCCTGAAAAGAAATATAAAATTTCATTTAAAGAATTCATGAAGAAATTTAAATAGGAAATTCACCTCCAATATCAGCATGATGACCACGACTTGCAACGAAGAAAACTGGATCAACGACATTTGGATAAAAAACTGGAGTGATGACGGTTAAGTCGGGAAGATGACTTCCGCCTGCTTGTGGATGATTTGACAGTAAAACATCGCCATCCTTTAATGTTTTCCCACGAAATTCAATCTGATATCGAACTGTTTCCTGCATCGCTCCCAGATGAACTGGAATGTGTGGTGCATTGGAAACGAGGCCACCGTCAGGTCCAAATAAAGCGCAACTAAAGTCCAATCGCTCTTTAATATTGGTCGAAATCGATGTTCGCTGTAAGACTCTTCCCATTTGTTCAGCGATTGACATGAAGCGATGACTGAAGATTGACAATTGAATTGGATCTAAATCAACACCCACGACTTTCTTCAAAAGTAAATCTTGGATAACAATGACTATATCGCCTTTTCTTGTAATCTTTGCATTGCAATTTGGTTCAACAATAATCGTCGATAGACGATCAATAATCACTGCTGGTCCAAAAATCTCATGACCCGTTTGAAGATCTTCTCGAATGAAAACTTTCGTGTCATGCCAATAATCATCAAAGAAAACTTTTGCGATTTTAATTGGCTTTAGAGTTGAATTTTCAACCGCAATTTCGATGTCAGGTTCTTCAGGTGTCGTCGATTTACCGCAACCACGAACTCGAATATCGTCAACAACAATATGACGTCCTTCCAATGTAAATCCAAATTCTTTTTGATATCGTTTGATAAATGATGATTGAAAATCGCCATAATTTGATGATAATATGTCGTCACATTTTCCATCTTTTTCTGGTGAAATCATCAACGAGCAGTCAGTTCCATTGTAACGTAGATGTAAATAAGGCTCAAGAACAATCATTTCATCATCAAATCCTTGAATCTTCAGTTGATCAACACAATCTTTCGATAATTCATCAAGAAGTTCCCTAATTGCTTGGAGATTTTTCTCTTCAAAAATCAATCCGCAAGGTTTTTGAGCTTCATGAACGACATCAGCCAACGCCATTCCATAAGCTGAAAGAATTCCTGAATATTTATGGATTAAAATTGTCTTCATTCCAAGTTCTTTTGCAATGGCACAAGCATGTTGACCACCAGCACCACCAAAACATGAAAGAGCGTGACGAGACGTATCAAAACCTCGTGATTGTGTCAATGCTCGAATTGGACGACACATTGCTTCATTAGCAACACGAACAAACCCCATCGCGACTTGTTGAACTGATAAATTCTCGTTGTTGTATTTATTGACGACGTCAGTGATGTTTATGAATTCCTTCAATGTGACATCTACATCGAGTGATTCGTCTTCATTTGGGCCGAAGATTTTGGGGAAATATTCAGGGAAAAGCCTACCAAGGATGAGATTAGCGTCGGTCACGGTCAATGGACCGTTTTTCTTGTAACATGAAGGTCCCGGATTAGCACCTGCAGATTCTGGCCCGACAACATACAAACCAGACCTGAAAAAAAGACGAGATCCACCACCAGCTGCAACAGTGTTGATATCCAATTGTGGAGCTTGAATTGTTACACCCGCAGTCGTTGATTCCAATGAATGATCATATTGTCCATCAAAACGTGAGACGTCAGTTGATGTTCCACCCATATCAAAACCAATCAATGGTAAATCAGTGTCGTGACATCCAGTCTTACTGTAGCCAATGACACCACCAGCAGGTCCACTTAAAATCGCTCGAGCACCTCTAAATCTTTCCATAGCTGTCAATCCACCATCACTTTGCATGAACATCACTTCAACATCTTTTAAATTGTTTTGAAATCCGGAACAAAATGAATTTAAGTAACGATCAACATGAGGTGTCAAATAAGCTTCAGCACATGATGTAAAACCTCGAGGCACAATTCGAACCATTGGCATTGCTTCGTGTGAAAGTGTTACGGTTGTGAATCCTATATGTCTTGCAATCTTACCAATCTTTAATTCATGTTCGGGACAAGCATATGAATGAGCGAGTGCAATTGCAACTGATCTGATTCCACGACTAAATACATCTAACAATTGAACGCGAACAATTTCTGAATTTAATTCTTTTGTGACAAAAAATTGAGTGTTGGAAATGCCGGTGACAGTGCGATAAGAATGATTTAATTCACAATCTTGTCTCACGGGGATAATTCGGCATGAAACTTCTACGACTTCTTCATAGAGATTTGAAGGTTTTCTAATATTCAAATCAAAAATTTTTGGTCTCGCCTGGTTTCCGATTTCTAAAATATCTTTGAAACCTTCATTAACCACCAAAGCAACTTTCTCGCCTTTTCTCTCTAGCAAAGCATTTGTTGCGACTGTTGTTCCCATGCGAATAGATCCGACGTGGACGATCTTTATTAATCCATGTTCATCAACTGCATCTTGAGTTTCTTCATGAAGAATTCTTCGAATTCCTTCAGTCGGAGCATCATTGTAATTTGCTGGATCTTCTGATAACAATTTCATTGTTTTCACGGTTCCATTTGGACAAATCGCTATGATGTCAGTAAAGGTACCTCCTGTAGATATTGAAGCATTGATTTATTATAACAAATATTAATAAACAATTATTTTTATTACCTCTATCAATGGAAAAAATGAATTTCTTCATGTTGATTAGCGACGTGATAACTCGGAACAATTAAATTTCTTAAAAAAAATTAAATATACAGCGAAAGATTCTCTCATAAAAAACGCTCGTAATGTTTGATTTAATCAAATTGGCACAATATATCACTTGTATGTGTCTGTTTTCATGAGAACGAAAATCTTATTGTATTATCCAACTCAAGTTGTAACTAATTTACACCAATTAATGATAAAAACTACGAAAATTAAAGATAGAAACAAAAAAAAGTAAGTTGTCATCATATGACGACATAAACGTTTCTTAAAAAAAAATGATATTCATTTAATCGTTATCAAATTCAAGTTTATCATATTAACTAACTGTATTTTTAAATGTAAAGAAACGGAATATAAAGAAAATCTGTTTCATAAAGTGAAATTAAGGATGCGTTTAATAATTTTATCTTTGATCTTCGAGTAGCGGTTATGAAACTATTTGAATTTCTAAGCATACGACAGACAGACAACTTTGAAGTCATTCATTCCTTTTTACTTTCGAACTAAACGAAATCAGTCAATTTTTCTTGAAAAATACGCAGCAAAATTGGGGAATCCTTTAAATTTAAACATATTACATATAATTTTCATACGTCAACATCATCCATTCATCGCCTCATCGACCGAGTGATTGCACACCGCTGTGATAAAAGATGGTAAATTTCATTTATTTTTATCTCAATAATTATGCTTTATTTCTACCCCACCCTCTCTTATGGTTTCTTCTTATCACACAATGTTTTTGTAAATATTATCAAAAGTATATTCATATTATCTGTTTCTTAAATTTAGTTCTCTCAAACTGTTTATTCCCTATTCAAAAATAATTTTCCACACCATGGATCATACAGTGACTCATCCTTTAATACAATTGTTGTTGTGTTTCTTTTAACTTTTAGAGTGACTTACAAATGGATTGTGCCCTCGATCTGATGCGTCGGTTACCGCCACAACAAATCGAAAAAAATCTTATCGATCTTATTGATTTGGCGCCTTCTCTTTGCGAAGATTTACTAACTTCGGTTGATCAACCTCTTAAAATTGCAAAGGACAAAGAGACAGGAAAAGATTATTTACTTTGTGATTACAATCGAGATGGGGATTCATATCGTTCACCGTGGTCCAACACCTATGATCCGCCACTAGAAGACGGCTCAATGCCGTCAGAACGTCTAAGAAAACTCGAAATCGAAGCAAATCATGCCTTTGATCAGTATCGAGAAATGTATTATGAAGGTGGAGTATCATCAGCTTATTTATGGGATCTTGACCATGGCTTTGCTGGTGTTATTTTAATCAAAAAAGCAGGAGATGGTAATAAGAAGATAAAAGGTTGTTGGGATTCTATACATGTTGTTGAAGTCCAAGAGAAGAGTTCAGGTCGTCCCGCTCATTATAAGCTTACATCAACAGCCATGCTTTGGCTTCAAACTAACAAGCAAGCATCTGGAACGATGAATCTTGGAGGAAGTTTAACACGTCAAATTGAACAGGATTCGCCTGTTAGTGAGACATCACCGCATATTGCCAACATCGGTCGAATGATTGAGGATATGGAAAATAAAATTCGCAATACTCTCAATGAGATTTATTTCGGCAAAACTAAGGATGTGGTAAATGGTTTACGATCAGTGGATGTTCTCGCTGATCAAAAGCAAAAAGCGGCAATGAAGCAAGACTTGGCAAATGCTATTCTACGACGTAATGCCAAGAACGAGTGACTGTCAGTTCATGATCAGTGGGACTGGATTGTTGAGGATACGATTTTTGGTTTTGATTTTCTTTAAGAATTTTTATAATTTCGTGTCCAAGCTGTCAAAGTAACGCCGATTAATGAACAATCAACAACATTTTAACTTATAATTTATAATTTCCAAAAATATTATCTTAACGGGACTTCTTGAGCAAAGAGAAAGGAATGTTTCTCTATCCAGCTTAGAAACCAACGAAGATCGACTTTTTCGTTAAAAAAGTAAGAAATTTAAAAAGAGGAAAAAAAATCTTTTAATTCAATAACAAAGTTTAAGATTTTTCCAACATAAATTATTCGATTTGCACGATTATTGATTAATTGAAACAAGCATAATCCATAAAAGTATTTTTCACCCATGCGGACAGAGAAACTAGGATTTCTCTTTTAGGCATTTAAAAAGTCCGAAATAAAATTAACTGATAAGAAACACTTCATGTTATCCAACAACTAGAGTTGCGCAAGGCAGAAAAACCGTTAGGATTAACATTAATTATTGCATTTCCCTTAATCTTGCAACAGTTAAAGGCTCTTATTTTTTATTTTTTCATTTTGTGTCCATGTAGTGTATCATATAATTTTTTTTATCGCATAGAATAAAAGCGGCGTTCAAGTTCTATTAATAAAAAAAAAACAAATCAAAACAACTTTTTAATCATTTTAGCGAAATAAAAACAGTTGATCATTGTTGCCGGAACACTAATGTCGACAAACAGTCTTGTCATACAATGTCTCTCCCTATACATATCTTAATACCTAATTGCATACACCGATTAGCATCATAGCATTATGATTTGAAGAGAAAAGTGAACTGTTATTTCCATGTTTTACATAGATACTCAATTAGGTATGTGCGAATGCTTTCTTCTTTCTCTTTTATTTAATCCGTTGTATAATCTTATACGATGTATAGGTTTAAAATGTCTAAAGCTCAGGTAAAAATTTCCCAAAATTGTTATATATTATAATGTTGAATAGCGAAATTAACAAGTCCAGGCCATAGATTGCATATACAGGTTACACCTTTGAAGTCTACGTTGCGTCACCTCTTTCTTAGGACGATTTGTAAATAACGTCAAAAAAATAAATTATACATGTGAACGTTAGAAATGTTTTAAAAATTTTCTAATATTTTAATGTGACGCACGTTACAAACTTTTCGTCGTACAACCTAATCGAAGTTCACTTTCGTAGAGTTTTAAAATTGTACTCTCCTAAAAATGAAATTATCCAAGTTAATACTTTAATAATAGTGTAAAGGCGTAGTGGCATCGCATTAGCGTCAGTGAAGAGTGAATTTAACTTAAAATAAATCAATTGTGCATTGAAAAGACAAAAGAAAAAACAAACACATTGTGCAACATCATGACGACTTTATTTTGGATGGATTTTTCTGATGACTCGTACAATAGGACAACATTGTGGCGAATGCTTGTTTTCTTTATCCTTTATGTATCATGTTACAAATTATTGAGGAAGAAACTTAAAGAAAGTCCAGAATATTGCTGTCGCCTTGTGACATTCGCACATGGACTCATAGCAAGTACCGTTTCATGTTGTTATATCATGCTACCAGCCCTTGGTTATTACAAAGGTGAGTCATAATAAATCACGCCACATTCCTTGCTGTTTCGCTAAAAGATCAGAAAATGCGACGAATGATAAGAGGAACAAATATTGAAAATGAAAATCTAAATAATCGGAGACACCATAACTTTGCAGAAATTTACGTTCGTTTTCCTAATAGATGTCGCTAGCAAACATTGAACATGCAATTGTTTCAAATCGATTTTTTTTTCCTTTTCTTTCATAGTTGATTCAATTCCATCACCGTTCATTCTCAGTCATAGTATGGGCTTCTTCATGTTTGATCTCTTTTGGTGCTTTGCTCATGGCGAGACGTGGGTCATGTATTTTCATCACATCCTAACTGTTACGGGACTTTTTTATTATTTATTTAAGCTAGAAAAACAATATTTTATTGTTTATGCTATAGGATTAACAGAGTTTACAAATCCTTTACTACAAACACGCTGGTTCTTAAAACACTATGATATGCGAGATACTTGGACTTTCAAAATTGTCGAATATCTTTTCTTCATAAGTTTTTACGCTATTCGATTAATTGTACTATCATATTATTCATACGAAGGTTGGTTCAATGAATCTTTAGGCTTCACAACAGATGACTTGATATTCACTACGCTTGGTGCTTTGACTGGTTACGCATTAGCATATCAAATGGCAAGCTACATAGTTTATCAAGTTAAGAAAACTCGAAAAGAGGAACAAGAAGAACAAAAACTCAAGGAACAATAAAAATAGAAATTGAGATGATGATTGCCTAAAAGCATTATAGCTTCTAGTTTAAAAAAGCTTTAAATATGAATTTATTTATTTTGTACGGATTTGTATGAAAACATTCTCATGCATGTGTTCTTTCAAATCTTGTTGGTTTACAGCAATGAGTTCCAATAAAACGATGGTTTTATAAATGGTTTTAACATTATTAATAATTTGAAATTATTTCGAATGGTTCGTTTTACTTGTTTATGTGATTTTTTTTTCATTTCAGAAATATTCAAAATAAATATTGTATAACAGAAATTCATTGTTCATAAGCTTATTGAAGTGAAGGGAATCCTTTTATTTTTATTAATAAATTTCCATAGAACATTAAGTAACACATACTGTAAGATTATGAACACAAATTGCTTTATGCTCAGAACGATTACATCTAGTGTTCTAAAAAGTGTACATAAAATTAAAAATAATTTAAGTAGGTGTCATTTATCTATTGCATTTGTTTCATGAGATTAAAGAAAGAATAGGCACTTCTTCCAATAACAGTAAATGTTGGAATATTTATTTCGAACCATCCCAGTGCAGTCAGTCTTAGTTCTTTCCTGTTGCATTCCATAAAAATCATCAAAGTTTTTTTTAATTTTGAATCTCCTTCAATCCATTTTGATTGAAACATAGAACTTGTGAGTTCTGATGATGCAATTGACAACTCGTTTCCAAAGTAGCAAGGAAGGAATATTTCAAGCACCATGGGAATTATAAATGTTGTTATTTGGATGAAATCGGCGGTACTTTTAGTCTAAACAGAAATGATAAAATAAATTTAAATTGAATTTTAGTTTAAAAATAAATATGTATATACATATATTCAAACTTACAACCGACATGGTGAACACTCCAGTACACAAAATGAGTGAACTCATAATTCCCTGAATGAAAATGGCTGTAGCAAAGTTTTCATAAATTTCATTCACGAAAAGTTTGATTTTTCGATGAATGACGACACATTGAACAAGATCATCATATGTTCTAACTTTCTTTATGCGTTCTGAAAGTTCATTCAAAAGTCCAATTGCAAACGCCATAAAAGTTACAGGTAGAATGTCTAATGCCATGTCAATTGCACTGCCGAAAAATGAATTGAAAACAACAAGAAATGATGCAACCCAGAAGCCAAGTTCATTCTTTTCTATATCAGTTTCAAATGGAAACCAAACTTTATACGGCAACTTGTGATTGATGAAAGGAACAAATACTCCAGCAGTACACATGACAAGGGCAGATGACCAAAGCATTAAATAAATTTTATACGAAAATGCCACTTGTTTCCTTATAAGTTCATGACTCAATAAATCATAATTTTGAGTGATATTCAACAAATCGTTCAATATATCAATCGAAGTCATAATCCTCCTAATATTCCAAAAGAAATTT